TGCGGGATAGGGTTCATCTTCATCGGGGATCTCCTCGATGGAGGCACGGAATTCTTCTTTCCTCTGGCGGGTAGGCTCAGAGACAACGGAGACTTTTCTTGAAGTCATGGGTTCAGGGTTCAGCGCCTTCTTGGGGGCTACTGGTTCTTTGATAGGCACCTTCTTGGGGTGCAGGATATTCTTGGGGGCCTTCCTGGGGTAAGGCTTTCGGTTTGAAGAGCGGCTTGAAGCCTGCGTCCTTCCTTTCTTGATCTATCCAGAGTTCTACTTCTCTAGATCTCGGGGTCTCGTTGAGGGTGAGACAGTTTTCTGCCCAGTTGATGTCTGGGTTCATGGCTTTCAGCCAGGGGAATCCAAGGAGAATGTTGTCCTTGGTTCGAAGCTTGGTCACGTTGAATTTTCCATACATGACTCGCTTGTCAATCTTGATGCCGAGTTCGACATATTCTCTAATCTTTCCGCCACGGCAGTCACTACCGTCGGCGGTGACCATGGTAAAGGGTTTCGAGAGTTTCTTGGTCCGAATTCCGTGATAGTCGATGAATTCGGTGCTGATGAATGATCCGGCGGCGCCGGAAGTCGATGACTACGGTGGTTTCGACTGGTTTCGCACGTTTAGTTGGGAGGAGAGTGGCAGGGACACGTAACTCTTCTTTATTACCAACATGATGTACAGTGCGAACTGGGATGGGAGGGACTGGCGTCGATACAGACCTCCATTCTAAAAATCCCCTTTCTTAGTCATCCTACGGGTATCCATAGTTTCATCGTCAGATTCTTCTTCCTTATGCTTGGCCTCACGGGCCGGTTTCTTCTCCTTTGGGTGGTGTTCCCTATCATTGGCTCTGTGGCCAGTCTGGTGGCATATGAAGCATTTGCCTGCTCTCATATGTTCGGCCCTTTCTTTCTCTGAGAGGCAGTCGACCTCCATGGAGTCTCTATCTCCTCGTGGTTGGTACCTTTCAGGTCCAAACCAGTTCTTCTTCTTCTGGTTCTGGTTGTGGTTCTTGGGCCTCAGCGCTATGATTTGCTGATAGGCGTTATCCATCTCTCTGGCCGTATTGACCATTCCTTCGAAGTCTTTCGCGATATTGCCTGCTCTATAGATAGCATTGGCAATTCCGAATTTCAATCCGGCGGTGAAGAAGTGGACCCTCGATCCTTCGTCAACCAGGCTGGTCAACTGGAAGAGATGTCTAATCTCCGCGATGTATTCTTCTAAGGACCCTTCTTGCTTGAAGGTCCTAAGCTTGATCCACGCTTCGGTGGCCGCTTCTCCCGTGGTGAATGCCTTCAGGAAGGCTTTCTTGAAATCTTCCCACGTTCCATACCCAATGGGTTGCTTGTTCTTGTCTAGCCTCGTGGTGTCTTGGGCTAGCGTCAGGAAGTCCTCCTTCCAGGTCAATGCCGTCTTTTCATTCATGAAAGAGGTGGCGAAAATGATGCATTTCTTGTCAGTGTCATAGATTTCACTGTTGATGTCAAGGTAGGCGGCGACCGAGAGCAAAAAGCTTTTTGCGTTCTTCTCGTTGCCATCAAAGGTCAGTGGGGTTCCGATCTTAATTTCAACTGGTCTGTGGGCGGCGGCAGCTGCTGCTGCGGCAGCGGCGGCACTGGATGAGGCGGATGGTCCCGACATGTTTCCAAATGCAGCGGCAAGGATGTTCGCGGTTATCGAATCAATGGTGTCAAAGTACTGTTGGAAAACAGGTACTGGGTGAGGAACTTAATCTTTTGTTACGACTGGGATAGTTCTGCTGTTGCCGGTCAAGATAGACCTGTCGGGCGAACAGTTCGTCGGCCTTCCTAATACAAGGAAGGTTTCTGGTGGTTTCCTACTGCACGAGCCGCGGCTTCTATGCAGGATCAGCGGCGAGTGGTTTTAGCACTTCTGCCTAGGCGGTGAGTGGTTTTAGCACTTCTACCGCAATCAAGGGTTTCAGGCTAAGACAGTGAGTGACTGCCTTAGAATCAGAGTTCAGGCTACTAAGGGTGGAGACCTTAGTAGATCAGGTTTCAAGGGGAAAACCCAGTAGATTAAGTTAAGGAATACATCTATGATACAGAGGGTTTATATAGGTAAAAGGAAGCGGCGTAGCCGCGACAAGAAAGGTAACAAAGATAGGAAAAAGAGTACAACCTATCAAGATAGCAAAGGTAGGTGAAACCGCCATGCGGCGCAAGATAGTATCTATGTTACAATCAGAAAGAAGAGAAGTGCGGACAGCCCGCTTGATAAGAGAATAGCCGAGTCTAGATGGGTCTAGAGTCGGCGGCATGGTTACGGGAAAAGAAAAATAAAAGTAGGAGTAAATGTTATTGTAACAATGGTTACGTCATTTGTTCAAGGCGGTTTTGTCCGCCTGTTGGTGGCCGAAGCCGAGACCAGTCACAATGACTGTAGGTTTCTTAAGGCACCTCAGGCCTATCGAGAAGTCATTTGTCTATGGGTTTTGTCCCAAGTCGTTCATTCATTATGATGGTCCTGGCCATATAGTCTTGTGCGCCCCCAGGGTGGCCAATCCCAACCCCGGGGGACACACAGAGTTCATGGTCATCTGCTCCTTGGTGGACTAGTCTAGAGAGACGTCCAAGTGAGGTGTTAACTTGACCTTTTGTTATGATCCAACTCAACACACAAGGTATCAAGTTGCGAACTAGCCAGGTATATTAGGCAAGGTCAAGTTAGAGAATACATGAAGTATCTACAGGTCTTATATACGAGTATTGAAGCGGAGCTACAATGTAAACGTCCAATAGGAATAATCATAGAGAAGTTGTACGGTAGAAGGTCGTGGAATGTGATGGAATGTTCTGTGATACGTGAAGGTGTGAAGTGTGCATATGTGAAGTGTGAAGGTGTGAAATGGTGAAAAGTGCCAGTGTGAAAGGTGACACTGTGACAAAGTGAAGTGGAGGGTAGGGAACCGTAACACTCCCCACGACCTGAAGGTTTTCACTGGCTGCAAGGCATTGTTCGTTGTTATCGACAGCAGACAATTTATGTACTCGGCTCAAATTACCTTGATGACTAGTATACCTAAACGACACATCCAAACATTTATCTCCTGGTTGAGGGTGATTGTCAGGACCGCCCTTAGCTCGGTCATGCGCAGATATCTTCTCTGCCCTACTGCGACTGATTCGATACTGTTATGTCGTCATCAGTCGATCAGGAAAAGAGAGAGCCTGTCAAGAACGGGGTTTGGCATTCAGCTCTCAGGCAAACGAACAAGACATATCGATGGCTTCTGCGACTCTCGCAGTGCCGATTCTATATGACGTTGAAGGGCGCCAATTTGGAACGGACATTCACCCTCCAACTCAGTACTTGATGAAGGATCAAACGTTTGGCCCGCAAATTTGAAGCTCTGCTGATCGATCATCGATCATGAATATTGAATAGGATGATAAAATGATACCATTGAATGCATCGTACTTGCCCGTACCCCAATACCGGCCACCTATTGGACCTTTAATTTAGATTAGCAATCCTTCGAACCTTGACCGAGATATATATAAAATCCCGGCCATCCTTGATATTATACAACGATATCATGCATTTAAGCTGAAATAATTTAGGATGTTGTGTTCCTTGCGAAATAAAGTCGAGTTGTGCAAAAGCGTAGTGTGAAGGGACGAGTGCCAAAGAACGGCGGCGTTCTCATGCATGATTATCAGTTCGAAATGATCAAACGACGAAATCTTCCTTTTGTTTAGTCTACATACGAGAGAATAATGATACTTAAAATAAATACCACAACAAAATTTCGAACTGAAAACAGAATATCCCGCTACACAGTACTGCTGGTTGACACATGCAGGCGCTCCTGGAAGGCAATTGAAGCCATGCTGGTTGTTGCATCGGAGTTGTCCACGAGTTTGGCATGATATTCTCGAACGCCAAGGATCAGGCGTGGTCCTAGCACGAACATCTGCACAAAACGGAATATCACAAAAATCCCCGTACATATCTGGGTTCCCTGGGAATCATCCTATATGAATGATGAACCGTGGTTGCAAAAGTCAATGACAGATCGGCATACCGCTACAACGTTCGAAAAATTAAAACCGAGACCGAGGCATGCAACACCAACAACGCTAGCACGTCCGAGACGTCAGCAGAAAAAGGGACGCACATTCACTCATGAGCTCACCTCGCAAAGTAAACCAAGTGAGTTTTCACCATCCAGCGCTTTACGGTATGCGCCAAACAAGTATAAAGGAGTGAAATTCATTGCTGTTGTGATTGATTGAATGATGCAAAATTGCAAATTCACAAGATGTCCTTCTTGACTTTGCACTGGAACCGAAGGCAGTGAAGCACTATGGTCCGCGACTCCGCGCTGCTCGTAATAAGTCAAGCCACGGGGTTCAATATAGCAGTATACCCTGAATTCACTGGAGGCGACATAGACTGATCATGGTCGTCACGGTCGTAGTGCTTAGCAGCTGCAAATTGACAATATCAATGTGGTCTATCTAAAAGCGAATCTGGTAATACTAGTAAGTAAGTGTGTGATAGCGAAAGTGGAGAGAGACATGTTCTTACCGTCAGTCGCTAGCACTAGCAGAAGCTCTATCACATGCAATGCCATTAACGCCGATCTCGACCCCTGAGGTGGCCGCGGGGTGGCGGTCCAACTTACACCTGACCACGTATATTTACCAACGCCCAGAACAAACGATATTGATCGATAATATTAGGGCGACCTGATAGATGCGGCGTGCCGCATCAGAAGGTTTGGCTCTGTATTCTGCGGGGTTTGTGCTAATGGGTGTGCCATTGACTCGAGGGACGAGTCACGGTGATGCTTTGCCACCACTGGCCCATCAGGGTCCAGCACACTGGCACCAACAAGTCAAATCAGGTGATCAACTTCATACATGGCCGCAAGGCTCAGCACTTATAAGGGCATCATTCAAATTGATTCATTGTATCACTTACCCTGATGCTGAGACAATGTTAGGCTGATCATATACACAGCGGTTGGTAGATGTGGTTTATTTGAAAATGAATCTCGTTACTAACAAGTCAATGGTGAGTCACGTGCACTTGACATCAACGCCCGCACGTACCAGTGCCTGTAGAAGAACCATTCAATGCCATCATGTCTAGTCGCTCGCCATCATGTTCTTCGTACAATTCTCTCACAAAGGGATCTCAGCATCGAGCTCTCTGTCTTGCGTGACTCAAAACAATCAAGGTCATTTCTCACTGGCCGGCGGCGGACTCGGAACACCAACAGCTCCACCCGAGCATACAGCAATCGTACTCAAACCTCTAACGATTCTCTAGGGAAGAATGCATCTTCAAGCCAACACGGGGTCTCCGCTCTCTTGCACAGAACATCAACATTTTTACCTCGCGCACTACCGGGATCGACCACTGACGGAGGCATACAGTCTTCCCAACTCTGGAGCGAACTTTTGAGCGAGGTCGAGGCAGATTTATGTTCCCTGCCAGGAGCGCATCCGAATGCTCGCGTAGTCGGTCAGTACTCCGTCCCACTTTTTATGTTCATGTATCCAACGAAGTTACCTCTTTCCAGTATGCGGAGCTGACCAGTGGGCCGGCTCTTATGAGCTCATCACAGCTCTCCTCGAAAACCTGTTTACGAGCGATGAGGCTTACAGCGACATCCTACGAAACCGGTGGAAAAACCAGTCTGCCTACCTTACAATTGAGTGCGTCCATGCCTTATGTTCGATGTCGGTGCATTAACTTAACAGATATTCTGAACAGTCATAGATCATCGACCTCCCTCGTCAACGGCACCCTCACCATCCCTGCCTCTTGGCTCCAACAATACCCCTTCCCCATACAACTCACCGAAATCCCATCTCTCTCCTCCCATCCTTCCTTCCCAAAAACCCTCCTCAAAGGAGACGTATTAATCTTCCTCTGGAACCCACTAACAAACCCCCTACCTACGCTTATCTCTAATGCCCAACATATTCTTCAGAGGCCGAACACAATACTCGTTCTCACCGCTTCTAGCGCATCCAAACATGCGCTAGATTACATTTCCAAGGAACTGGCAGCTGCAAATTGCAGCCCAGGAAAGATTCTTCCTGTGGACCCTATTCGCGCTTTGGAAGCCGTTTCTGCTCTCAAGTCGGATCCTTCGTCTCCTACTGCTATTCAGAGATACCAGGAGGATTTTATGGGGTCAAGGATATCGCTTCTTGGCGATGTTTTGGCGAAGATGTTTGGATTGAAGGACTCTGGTCGCACGTCATCGCCGCCATCGTTGTTGTCAGCTATTCGCACTCGGAGTGCTCTGATACAAATGCGGAGCGCGTTGTATATTAGCGCCCGATCGGTATCCCAAACACGCGTAGCGATAGACCGCGTCTTTACAAGTGCCAGCGAGCTCCAGTCGCAAGTTGAAGAAGTCCGTGCGAGGACAGGTAGGGAGGTGCTTGTAGAGTCTGGAATAGACGAAGCTCTACTTCGCGGTTCGAAAGAGATGAAAGCCTTGCTAGAGTCGTTGACCTGGCTTAAGATGATATGGCGTGTTGACGAAATAGATTCTTTGGTGGGTTTTGCGATGGACAAGCACTGGTGTAGGGAACTTGAAAACCAGGTATGCACGCATCACATAGATGTTTGTTGTTGGTGTTGTTGTAAAACTGATAACCTATAGCTCATCCTGCAAACGGGTCGTCTCGCCTCCACTCAAGCATCCCTAACATCATCCACCTTTTCTCAACTTGCCAAACTCGCATCGCCATCGCCATCCCCTGCTTTCCATTCCCCTATCCTCGACAACCGTCTCCGTCAACTCACACACTCCCCAACATATGCACTAACCCCAGATGCCCTCACCCGCCCCATCCAAGCGCGACGTTCCCAACTGATGCAACACACCACCACGAGGTTACAACGTGATGCCCAAAATGCAGTGCTGGGTGCGTTTGGTGGTATGTTTGGCGGTGCTGGTGTAGCATGGTGGCTTGCATTTGGAGAGAGCGCTTTGAGCGTTGGCGCTGGTTCTGAAGCTGGGACTGCGTTAGGTGCTGGTGCACTTGTTGCTGTTGCTAGTATAAGGTGGGCGGTGGGTAAATGGGAACGAGCAAAGAGGAAATGGGTGGAGGATGCCGATAGGGTTGGGGAGGGGCTGAAGAGGGATCTAAAGGTAAGCTACCATAGATTTTTGTTTCGTGTGGACTAGGCTCATGTGTGTGTGTTTGATAGGTGACTCTGGAGCGAGGGATTGAGAAAAATGTTGCGGTTGTTCCTATAGCGGCGTACGAAGGACTGCGAGAGCTTGCTGGGAAACAACAGGAAGAGATCGATGTTGTCAGGAGCGATCTTATTTCGATGCAAGCTGACGTTGAAGCTCTCGAAACCGCTCGACCTTCATAGTATGTAGCACGATTGGATATAGATATACTGCATCGCATTCGTCACAGATGATTTTGATCCAAATAGATGCTACCCTAAATGATGGTGTACGTGATGCCGTGTTGCATTCATGCACCATTTGTTCAGGAATGAGTCAGAGACCTTGTGTTGAGACAGCCGAATGTCGGGAAGGGTGTAGCATGATTACATTTGTTCCGCATGATCTAGATTTATCTGTATGCAACGCATGCTACGCTAAATGATGGTGTACATGATGCTATGAAAATTCCGGTGCGTTCATGAACTGGTGATAATTATCTTCGGAGGAGGGGGAGGGGGAACATCTGGAGAACTTTCGTGCTGCGGTCGTGGTGTGCCTGCACCATCTTCTTCGTCGCTATCATCGCCAACATCAAAAAACTCTTCTCTTTCGTCCCAGACGTCATTTAAGCGGGCGACTTTAACAGGCTTCGACTTGATTGTAGCTGGAGGGTGAGAATACAAGGGTAGGAGTTGTGTTCCAGACGCTCCTTCGCCATCTGACGCATCGTCTCCATCGGAAATGTCGTCCGTGTCTAAGGGGCGGTATAGGCGTGCGATCTGAAGAATTGGAGTCCGCATGAGATCGCTGGACGATATGAGAAGCGACTCACCTCTCGCCGCGAACGGTAATATTTCTCGATATGATACGCGAGATAGAGTCCGACGGTAGAACCCAGCCAATTTGCCTGTCAAGTATGATTACTGGATGAAAGGCCAGAGTCAAGAAAACATACCACCACATCACCAGATTGAAACTCCTTGTGCTAGTTCCGCATGATTTCGTCGTACTCGCTCAGACGAGGAAGGGGGGAACGTACTGGAAGCATGGACTGCACTATCTCACTCACGAACCCTCCAAAAAAGAAACATATGACAGCAGTGAATATCAGCCCTGAATGGCGCCAGAACCAGATTCTACGAGCTTCTCTACAATTAAACACAAGTCTTTAGCAAATATCCAGTTAGCCAAAATGTCAGAACTCACTCCTCTACGTCGAATATAAAGTAAAACACACCCGTTGCGACGCACAAGCAAGTAAAGTGTAGGAACTTGTCGTTCAGGGGTAGGGCCCGGGAATAGTTTGTGAAACCTAAGAAAGCGAGTATTATCATTATCACGCAGGTGAATACGAGGAACCACTGATGAATTTAGTGATCATGAGTTGCTAGCGCTTCGTGTGATAGTCCCGGGGGAGGCTTACCGGTCGCAGTCGAACGGGTAAGTCGTATTTTGGAAGTCGGACACGGTGAGACTTCATTATTGCTTTTGATATTTTCTTGAAATGCTTGCGCATTGGCTTTGACGGCGAGCTTGGAGAATTTGATGCCATGGGTAGTCGGATGTGCCCTTCCATGGCGAGCGGGTGAGCAAGTCAATTATTAATAGGCTCCGCAGCCCGGAAGTGATTTCCTTATATAATCGTGATGGCGCCGGCGCCAGTTCCTGCTCCAGCATGTCTCTTTTGACTGCAATACCCTTGGAAGTGCCATCTTACTGGTATACGACTCAAGACATCTACGGTTTATCGATACCACACATAGACAGATGGCGAGTCAAATGAATGAACCAACAAGACCATCAACCAGGCTTTTAAATATTTCGCCGATCGACACCAATCCAGATTAAACCTCATGGCTGCGGTCACTACTCACGCTGGCTACACCACTACTGCGTCCACCGCCAACATCAACAGCCGTACAAACAGCACGAGAAAAATTCCCCGCCAACATCGCAAACGATTTCGAATCCATTACGGACATCGCTGATGCACATGATGCATTTTTAGCCGCAAAGATTACACAAGCGACATCTGCAAACGCCCACTGTAGAGGCGACGAACCAATATTTGGAATCGACGATGTCTACCTCAACAGCGCATCGACGATGAGAGTACCTCGACGCCGAACGAAAGCAATAAACGCATGGTGAAATTCGTACCTGGTTACGATGGTCCCCACAAAATTGTCTTAGCAAATCCGCCTGCACATCCTAACATCTATTCACCCTACCATGTCTCCAAACTCAAATGCCACATGATGAAGCTATACCACTATGAGAACCGCAAAGACCTGGTAGGACCGATCACCACGGCGACAGGTGCCGAAGACTCCTAGAGAACATACTACTATGACTGTCGTGCACGCGGGCACCCTGAAGCTGACCTCTGGCTTCCCGGACACGAGCTCAAAGATCACGACGCAGTGCAAGAATGCAACGTCACGCTGGAGTCTTGAGGACCCGGGTGTAAGCCAGATGCTTACTACGTCAAGCGCCACTTCAACGATATTTATATCACCCTGTTTTGGCTTGCTTATCTTGAACTTGGGTCTCAGAAATCCACAATGTCCTGTTGCCGTTCGCTCGATTGGCATTCTAGTGTTCCCCGCTGTTACGCTAACGGGTTTCCACCACCCTAAAGTTCGTTAGACCAGGACCCTCCGAAGAGGGTCCTGCGATGTCGACGGGTTGATTTCAACAAGCTTTTTAGTTACTCAAAACTGCCCACTGCGGAACGCGCAAATGACATATGTGCAGATATAATGACGTAATAGGTCACAAGAATGATGCGTTTGACTACGGATTGGTTACCACCAGGTACCAGTTAACTTGGTGCCAAATTGCCAATCAGTCACAGAATGGTCATTGGCTGACGTTCAGCATTTATCCAAGCTCGTAGGGCAAATCTGGAGCATTATAGTTTCGTTTTGCTGAAGTTTTGACAGACAGAATGTGGGGAGGATACGCGAGATTAGTATCAGCTGGTAAGCAATAGTACTTCAAGGTGTATTTTTAATGTCGGTGAGCTCGGCCTAGCGATTTCAAATTAGATACTAGACTGAAAATTCGACGATTCATGTCCAGAAATGAAGCCAAAAAATCCACAAATTAGAATCGTCGGAAAACATCAGACTTCCGAGTCAGCGGTCCGGCAAGACCAACTTCGTCCTGATTAGTACTCAAGCCTGTACTGGACGCGCGCCTAGAACGACAGGTCGAGAGAGATCAAACCTCTCGGAACACTCCATGACGATAAAGAATCTAAATATACTAAATCTCCTCAACTTCAAGTCGACCAATTTCTGAACCGCCAGGCCCAGGACCACCGAGCACTTGGTTCTCGGCGCTGAGGGCAAATTGTCCCTTTATTCTCAGGGAGTGATCTAAGGGGGCATGTGCGCACCTAAAAGTTCGTGAAATAGTCATGCATGTAATCATGCATAACAAGATATGAGGCACATTAATACTTTTCATCCGTGATGTTAAGCCTGTGGGTCGCTTTTCTTGCTACCTTGACTATAGACTGCGATCACTGAAATTAGTAGCTAGTCCAACAGTCGAAAGAAACGGTGTTGCGGACCCGACGGTGACAAGGTGTCATGCCTATAAACTGCGAGCAGATCGTTCTCGATTTGTTCTGAATTAGAATATCAACAAAAATGTCGCTCAGGTGAGTAGCTCATAATATAACCTACAAACTGCCATCCTGAAAATTGTCCAGGCATGGATCAGGCCTTCGCCATACTTGCTTGGACTTTTCCCGATAAAGATAGCCCCCCTGACGACAAAACACTGGAATCTTTCCTGAGCGCATCAAGCATCAAGCATACCGCCCCCAGACCTCAAAACAAATCTGGAATGGCCCCGGTTGGTCTTTCTGCCTTACGTATATCCAGGGGTCCTCGTATCACCTGTAGTAAGCGGTCATTTTATGAATGACCGCTGTGGAGACGCTCACATCCAGTCACCTTGAAAAAGGATGCAGAACGCAGCAGTAAAACAAATTACACCCCACAAAAATGGAAGGTACTGCTAAACACGATGGCTCCACAAGGCAGTTGGGCGACGTGTCATTTCGGATTGCATCAGCGCCAACGGTAGACACCAGCCTCTACAGTTTGTCCTCCGAACAAGCTGAATTCTTCAAGGCGCAAACCGGTATTGACGACGACGAAGACTTGAAGAGACATATCTTGGAGGTGCAGGCGAAAGCATACAAGGCAAGTCATTCCCATATGACTTCGCAATGAGTCTGATAACCATCTGCTGCTGACAGGTTGCACCATATCCTTGTATTCGTTCATTTGTTTTCCTTCGGTATGTTTTCAGTGAATTTGCACACCGAACAGAAATACAACGTTCCTCAGGTTGAACATATCAAATCTTTCTGTGTATGAACACATCCTTGAGCTTGGTCGCAAGCGCCCCAATGCCGTGTTACTTGACATTGGTTGTTGCTGTAAGTCAAATCTTAACGTTCTGTCGTAGATAATGTTGACTCCATTGTAGTTGGTACTGACGCCAGAAAGGCTGCGGCGGACGGGTTTCCTGCCAAAAACATCATTGCGTCGGATCTCTTCAATGGTAATTTTTCCCCTGCAAACAATCATTCTCGTTAATGGTCTGTCTGTGCAGATTTTCTCGAACTAAGCCACGAACTTTTCAAAACGACACCAGTTTCTTACCCCGGATGCTTCATCCCTGGAGATGTCTTTGATCCAGCATTTCTCTCCATAGCTGCGCCGTCGGACGATGTCTCTCCGGTGCCAGCTATTGATCTATCCTCCTTGAAATCCCTCAACGCTCTTCATGGTCGTATTAGCGTAATAAACGCTATTTCATTCTTCCACCTCTTCAGCGAGGAGAAACAATTGCACATTGCCAGGGCTCTCGCAGGTCTGTTATCTGCCCAGCCAGGTTCCGTCATTTGCGGTTTTCACGTCGGAACTCTCGAAAAAGGCGTGGTCAATAACAGTCTCTCAGGCTCCGAGTACAAATTGTTCGCCCATTCTCCGGAAAGTTGGACATCTTTGTGGAACGGTGAGGTCTTCGAAAAGGGCAGTGTAAAGGTGGAAACAGAGTTGGTGGAATTTGCGACTGGCGAGGTGAAATACTTCATGATGAAATGGTCAGTGATGAGATTGTAGACACAAGCGTCGCAGTCGATTTGATGCTAGAGGAGGTTTGATGATGATCTAGTCATAGCTCTGGGAGTATGGTTCAACCCCCCATTCTACCAATGGTTCATAATTATATCGACGTTAATAACGATACTAGAACACAGGAGTATTGCATGTGCTGTCTACATTGGGCGTAGCCCCAAGTGGACATTAAGTAGTATAAGAAAAAAAGGTTCAACCCCTCCGACTGCTAATGGCAAGGAAATCAACAAATCTCAAGACTGGGCCTCGATTTCTATGTAGCGAGTGCAGAGTCTCGCCAGCCTATGAGATAAACCATTCAGAATTTCGTAACCTCCAATTCAAGACCTTGAGAGACCGCAATTACAGCCTGAAGTAGTGTAAACCTTGCTGCGCCTGAACATATTCGAACTGTTCTCCCTTGGAGGAATCCATGACATCAAAAACTGCGGAAGATAACACCAAGAACCATCGTCTTGGCACAGGCTGTGTTTGTGACACAAATTCTCGCAAAACACAAAGGAAAATCGAGAGCAAAATTGAGCTGGCGAATATGACCTTGAACTAGATGATAACCTCGCTAGTAGTGACCCGGTTGGCGAGATGCAGAACAGGCTTTTCTTAGAGGCGTTGCCCTCCGGAAGAAGTCACGGTAGGAATAGAATTATAAGGAGTTAGCGACATGGGGGGAAATGAACCGTGGTTACAGCGTGCGCACCTGGTGAGGAAGGACTAGGGAAAGGCTAATTTTGTCAGCTACTTCAGCGTATCCTCGTCGCTGCTGTGCGAGCGTTGATGGGACACGTCGGATGGCAGAGGAGACGCAAAGTAAACATGGTCAAAACATTTTGCGAACGATGGAGTGAGGGATTTCAGATACGTTCTAAGCTGGTCGGATAAAGCCGCCTTGAGATAACTGCACAAGATCACAATGAATATGGTATAGTTCATGTGGCTCATTTACTCACCATCTATGTACATCATGCCATCTGGTGTTTCCCTAATACTGAAGTTACTGAACTCAACTTACAGGTAAGTAGGCCCGCACATAACCGTTTTGATGATACTGAAAATCTGATCGTGGACCGTAAGCGTCCAGCCAGCGGACTGTCAAATTTTGAAGTATGGTGTTTGGGTACCAGGTCACGGCTTGTGGTCCCACGCACAATATTTGCGACTCCGATAGGGTGCAGATGACAATGGGCAACAGTAAAGGAGTCAAACCAGCTTCGTCTCTTACTCGCATGCCATGGAACCACCTACTCCCATTTCATTTAGGTTTAGCGACCTTCCAACTGAGCTTGCCCTCATCATCTTCGAGCATGCTGCACGACCAACCTTTGCTCAATATGCCCCTTACACCAAAGACCCATACTTATCCGCCCTTTCACTATGCAAGGTCTCCAAAATTGTCAGGCGCACTGTACTGCCTGAACTTCTGCACACGGTATTATTGTTGGAAGCTTGCCACCTCCTTGCTTTCATACGGGCTCTGCGTATGCAGAAAAAATACATTGATCAACAACATGAATTAGCTTTTGATTACGCGTCTTGCATCCACAGGGTGTCCATCGGAGAGTTTTGGGGGGCTGTGCGAGACCCACTCGTTCCCTTCTATCCCCCTGTCATGGCTAAGCTTGACTGGGAGCTCGATATCAGTCTGCTAGCTCCAGTGATCCTCGGTGTACCATCCCTCGCAATCAACTTTGACAGTCTAGATATTCTTTCAAAGTGCCTCAAAAATGTATACAACTCCAATGTCGACTTGAATATTGACCACAGAAATTATCTGCGTCCTTGGAGCACGAAAAGTTTGACATTATTGGGTCACTGCAGTACTCCATGGTGGTCCCTCGTGGAGTCTGCCCATGGATATGCTTTCCTCGCTTCCATCCAACACCTCACCGTACTCTTTCCCACATCCCTCAGCGGATCCTGCCTGCCCTCCCAGTGCGACTGTGTGAGAGAAATTGAACATAAAGGTTCGGTACCCTACATGCTGCCGTTGCGCATCGCGCGTACTCCTTTCAAAGTACTGCAAACATTCTCGCTGGCCATTCCGCACATGAAACGTCCGTTCATTCATTGTGTGCCTGGTGATATATGGATGAAGCTGGACACCTTCCCTGCTTCCGTGCTGCCTGACCCTTGTACACCAGAGGAAATAAAGTCGTTTGTTGGAGCAGAGTTTGTTCCATATGTTCCATTTCCGCTGTTGCTTTATCGCAGGGTGTGCCCGACACCCACCCCACTGCCAGGTAGTGGGTTCCGCAGAGAATAAGTGTCCAATGTGTCAGGGACTAGCGTCGTTACCGATACTATAAGTACTCACTTGCAATGGGTTTCTATCAACCTTTTATGACGATAGTAGTACTTGTTCCTTATGCTGTCAACACGAAGGACTATTCATAATCGATGTGTATCACAAGGACTGCCTACCGTGACATTGTTCTCTGTCGACGCCCGTATGTTCTGAGGTCATTGAGTCGCATGATACATCTCACATCATCTACGCTTCTCTCCGGTTTTCAATGATTCTATCCTTGACTATGAAAACTAGATCGGTCATTAGTAGGAAGGCAGGACAAGGGAGCTTGACTAGGTTTCGGGTCATGTACTATACTGTACTGGGAAGTTACGTCCTTTATATGTACACACTTAACTCAGGTCACAGCCGGGCATACCTACTGCTTGATTCATGATCGCAAGGACTCGTCTGCTCGCCACCAGTCGTGCCATGTCGACCTCGACGCGCTCCTCCGCATGTCCACTATCACAATTTTCCGCTTGTGAAATATCAGATGCCCTCATAAAGCTCGGATCTCCAAACGGAGGACACATCCCAGACATTCATATGCTCTCCCCAATTTCCCAAGTCAAGATCTGTGCACCAGCATACACCGTCCAAATGGTGCTCGCATCAGACAATTCAGCCCCAAAGCTCTCCTCCCATTTCGTAGATACCGCACCCCCAGGATCTGTAGTCGTCGTCAACGCCCCACCTCGTTCAGTTTGTTCTACTCCCCGTTCCATGTCCCAACTTTTACACTCATGTCCTGTCGCACAGAAATAAAGAATGCAGTTTGGGGTGGTTTGATGACTGCGGGAGCGCAAGGCTCGGGGAGCTGTCGGTGTCGTCATCTCTGGACGTTGCAGAGACCTTGCTGAACATCGTGCAGCGGATTTCCCCGTCTTTGCGCGTGGTCATTCGACAGTCGGGCAGTCCCCTTTCGTACGCCCATCTGGCGTAAATATCACCCTCACCATTCATCCCAAAGATGTGGGCGATGGCCCTGACGCATTCGCTCCTGTTACAGTGACACCAGGCGACTGGATCGTTGCAGATGAAGATGGGGTCGTTTGCGTGCCAGTAGATATGGTAGACAAAGTCGTGGAGCTTGCTCAGAAGGGACAAGATATTGATGCTAAGTGTATGGCCGATATTAAAGCCGGCAAGGGCATCCAGGCATCTTTCAAGGAGCACAGAGGCAAATAGAAACTGATATTTGGGCTGTCTCCGATACACATTACAATACTGGATATGCATAAATGCGTCATTTAACAGAAATCCTACGTCAAGTCTAAGTACTGATACTGGTTCGAATACTGTACAAACGTGGTCCTCGACAATCTCAGTCAGATACATGATTTTTTGTAAAGAAAGTGCGCATATGACATGTCTAGAATATTCATGCACGGAGACCGGTTTTGAGAGAAAGCGTGGCCTTGAGAGCGTGGAGAACGAAACGAACACTGTGGTGCAAAGCCCAAAGAAGAGAGACTGGAGGAAAAAATCAGTCACACATTTCATAGAAAACGAAATGCGCATACTCAGCAAAATAGGAAGCCAGAACAGGACGAGCATTCGGTCGCCTAAAAAGAGAAATCGATAAGATTCATCGTCGTTTGAAATGCTGAAGCAACACTTACGCCCATGCTGTGCTTTCTGAACATCATTCACAGGCCTATAACCATACGACTCCACTTCTTGAGCTGGCACAGGAGCTGTAGCTGTAGCATAACCAACGCGCCTGCTCGGGCCTGTAAGACGCGCAGGTACGTCCGCATCAAAAGCAGAGGACTCCTCAGTGCGCGACGTACTAGCCACAGGCTCCTCCGGTTGCTTCTCGAGCGTCTCTCGTGGAGTATACATCGGAGGCGCTTCCTCAACAGGCACCGGACGGAGTGTCGCAGTAGCAATAGCGAGAGCCATCCATTTCTCCCAGGTTGCTTTTAGTTCCTGTGCCGCCCGTGCTGCTGGATGAGTAGCATCCCTCACTTCCCCATCGACTTGCTGTTCCTCCCGCTTGTCACCGAGAAACGGCCATCCCGTTATCGGGACGAAGATGGGGAACACCATTGGAATCTGTGGAAGAGCGCCCCAAAGGACAGCAGGCATCTCAGGCAGATGCGGAAGAGGAAGCTGAGGCATGTTTGGTATGATACCTTGAGGCTGCAGCTGCGCAAGTGTTCGCTGGATCATATCCACAAAAGACGCTGTTTGTTTCTCGTCCGTTGCATTAGGAGGTAACTCGGTATCTGTGTCTTTACTGGGTAGTTCCGGTGTTTGCTCTGTGTGGGATTCAGGGCTTGTTTGTTCCGTGGTATCTAATGTGCGCCGACGGAAAGTACGCATTGGTCGGCGTTTGACGATGAGTTCTCCCTCGTCACTCTCCACGTCACCCCACTGACTCTCACCATCATCCTCATCTTGACTTTCTGTCTCGACACTGGGCGAACGCCGTGAGGTGATATCATCAAAGAAGCCTTCAGGGGCAATATCCTCTGGGGTTTTACCAAGTCCGTTCACAATCTCCAAGTCCGCTCCAGCCGCCACCAGCAACTCCATACAAGGTTTAGATAGAGACAACACAGCAAAATGAAGAGCAGTGCAACCATTCCTATCGCGCGCGTCCACGTCGATATCATGCGCGATCAAGAATTTTGTAAGCTCCGCGAAACCCAAGAACGAAGCGAGGTGCAAAAGCGTCTGCCCATCAGGCGTAGAGTGCGAAACTGCGGTGCTCGTGGCGATAATGGACTGGTTATCAACGGATATATCTATCATGGAAAGAAGCTTGACGATCGTGGTCTCGAAGTTTTCTCCTTCGTCTGACCGGACGAAGAGCAGTGGTCGTATTTCGCGATAAGACGAAGATGCAACGACGTGCATCATGTCGTTGGTGTCTGAGGATGTCGGAGACTCTTCGTTTCCTGCATTTCCGACGATACGGCGGGCGACGTTCTTTGCATCCTCGATCTTGCCTGTCATTTTGAGTCCAACGACCTGTAGGGCCAGTTCCATCCTGAAAATGAAATACTTAGCGAAAAATATAACATGTTATCGGTGTGACGTACAGAGCCCTGTCTGACTCGTCGGTGTATGTGAATAGAGAAGGGAGCGAGGGATCGTTTGTCTTGTCGAAGCCTTCGAACCAAACAGCGACGATACCCGGAGAGGCTCGAGGGGGTAGGATACAGACCAAGGTATTGTCGCTCCAACGTTGCGTAGAGCTTGCGGGAACATCTCCAAAGACGCAGTTCAGTTGAAGAACATGATGGAAATTCTCGCCAAGGACAGTAACTTCAATGCCGCCATGTGTGGGACCAGAAGCGGGTATAAGGCGGTGGATTTTAGGGAGAGTAAGGTGGGGCAACGAGAGAAGGTGATCTAGCGTTGAAGAAAAGGAAAGATGTTGGTTGTGAAATAAGTTGTGGGATCGGCGGCGATACAGGGGAAACGAGAGGCGATGATACGGAGCTTGATACTGGCGATATTACTGGATTTGCGACGAATAAATTAGCTTGCACGTCTTCTGGTTGTTGGAATCCATTGACACCAAACATAGCTGCAGAAGGAACGGTGCCATTTTCAATTTGAGATAACGAGCAAGACGGCGCAGGCACAAGGCGAGAAGGTGTGGGAGACCGGGAACTAGGCACTGTAGAAGGCTGAGACGGTGTGAAGCTAGCCTCTCTCACAAATTTTACCGGGCTGTTTCTACTAGTAGCATCATATGGTTTTGCTCGCTTCTTTGGCTGGCCTTTCACGTTCGCCGCCTTGCGCTTCGAGGGTGCACGCTTGTCTGATAATTCTCCACTCGCTGCTATCTGGGACCAGTTGACTTCAGTTTCAGTGAGGGGATTGAACGCAGAATTTGACTTGGTTGTCGACTTGTGATCATCAGTAATCATAATCGGAGGAGTCGTTCCCGATCCGACGATGCGTCCAGTATGATCCATCATCGTGAAATGAATATGAAACCCGACCTTTTCGCGGTGATGTCTGCAGTAGCACGTGATGCGGACGGGCAGCACGACCGACCCTGTTTCGAAGTCAAGGACTTCGGGGCAGTTGAACTGAACGATGCTAGTCGTGTCTTCCTTGTTGCCTCTCAGTCGTTCATTACCATCCTCTGGAGTATCTGAGCCAGACCTGGCGGGTCTGACACGGGCCGCGATTTTCCTAGCCACGCGCTTTGCCTAAAAGGGAAAACAAAGTTAGCATGGAACCTTGATGATAGAGATGTACCGACCTCTCGGTTTCTACAACTTCCGCAGCTTAGCACGCGATTGTGTGGTGATGTAGCGCACGTCACAGTCGTGGTAAGGTGTAACATATCCAAGGGAGAAGGGTCTGATTAATGATAAATTTGTGCAAAGGACAGGGGAAGATTCTCAGTACCTATCTTCCCTTCCCGACGAGTGCGCTTCTTGGTGAAAGTCCCTGGCGAAAGTTTTAGCCATTTCCATGAACCGACCCTATCGTACAAGTACGGTTCCCCTGACGATGAGCTAGCATGCGCCAAGTCCAACGCAACGCGCACTTGAGTCTCTACACGAGACTTTGTACCGTGCTTAGGTATATTAGGGGTAAGGATAGGAAGACTTCACGAATTAAATATGAAAAACTGGATACTCAAATGAAGGAGAGACGCACTTGTAGCAAGATTCTCGTGGAGGAAAAACGACTCGATGCGAAGCGGTGGATGAATCCCTTTTAGGTGAATGCGCAGCAGGAGGAGGGATTACAGGTGAACAATGCATCTGCATGTGGGAGGGAACAACATATTCGGACTCAGGTAAAGGAGCTTGCGCAGTAGAAACACAGCTGTCGCCTGTCGGGTAAATTTCATCCGGTTTCAAACAATCTGGAGTGACTTGAGGTAGAACAGGGGAAGTTTCTGGAGCAGAACAAGCAGAACTAAACCAAGGTATATGACACGTCAACGACAGCAATCGGACACGAGAACCTTTTCGAGACATACTCTTCATAGGCCTGCTCATCTATTAGGTCGTCAAGCTGAAGCATCCTCTCGTTGTCAGGTTTGTTCATGACACTACGCATAGACTCGTCCCAAATGCCAATCTCGGAAAAGGTCTTCCTTGGACGAATTGAGTTATACCAGGTTGATAGGTTATGGTCATGGTGTAGGGCAACAGGATGATGACCGTCGGAAGATTCAGGTGTTGTTGGTGATGAAGAGCGAGAGTCCATGGCCGTTACGGTTGTCGTCGACATCAACGACGAGCGAAAGGCGTGTTCACGGAGCAGTCCAAGTGAGGTCGATAGAAAGGGATAGCGCGTATCTTTGAAACAGTTTAGCACCATGACCGTGACCCCAACAACTCCGACAATCTGCCTGATTACCTAATATTTATTTCACTTTGAATTAATCCTGAAGGGCCTTGGGTCAGTCTGTTCGTGTGCTTTGTCCACCATGAAGAGAGGCGCAGAGAGACAAATCAGCAAAGACGACGGCGATGACATAGAGGTATGATGGTGCTTTTCATTAGCTTGGCTGGTCATTGACGCGAGTAGGAAGTCGAAGACCCTGGCAAGGGTTTCCAAAAGGCAGACGAGTCCGTCCTCACAAAGCGACAGTGAGTGTCCAGCAACTGTAGCAAACAATGCTTATTCTGTAACACCCAGAATACGTGGTTTGCCTAAGCGAACCATGGCTTCAAATAAGGCTTCGTCTTTCGCCGGACTCCCCAGTGCACCTCTTTCACCCGCGGATTCGGTGAGTACTTAGTCAATGCCTTGCAGATCTTTCCAATAAAAGTACATTCAGGAACCACCTGCTGCCCCAAAATTTGGTGGTTTTACAGGGTTTGGCTCAGGAGCTGGACCGAGTCCTTTCTCGTTCACCCCTCCGGCCGTCACTTCATTCGCGACCTCAAACGTTGCACCCTCTGTGTCTGCTGCTACGAAGGGCTTTGCATTGGTTGTACAAGCCGCTAGTACTGCCAATGCATCCCCGAGTACTTCAGATGAAGATTACAACGCAGAACTGAATTACTACAAGTCTATTCGTGGTCTTAACGTCTCCTTTTTGTCAGCAATCCAAAAAGCTGTAGACCAGGATCCCTTTATTGACATCGCGGGCCTTCTTGAGAGTTATAAGAATCTCCGGACTACCGTCCAAACAGAGCTTGATAGCTCATCCAAAGGCACTAACCAGAAGGCATCAGCTTCTGACCCTCCTGCGCTCGAGAAGACTGCACCTTCAGCAACTGGATTTCCCGTTCCAAAAGGCTTCTCTGGATTCGGTAGCTTTGGCTCTCCATCATTACCTCCTTCGTGCACGAATGGAACAGATAAGAGCTCGACATCCAATAGTGCCTTTCCCTTCTCTACATCAACTTCCAGCACGAACTCAACTTCAAGTTTCATTTTTGGTGCCAAAATGAGCGAAGACAACCCTGCACCATCTCCCTTTGGCACTTCGGAAGCCCCGAAATCGGCTTTTTCATTCGGGACTAAACCGAATGATGCCGGCTCGTCAAGTCCGAGCCCGTTTTCATTCGCCCCATTAGCCGCATCTGCACCTGCATCTGCACCTAGCAAGGACAAAGATAAAGATGATTCAAAATCCTCATCCGCATTTGGCACTAGTTCAGGCATTCCCAACTTCTTCGCGTCATCCAAGGCAGCATCGTCCACGTTCTCCGACTTAAAGCCAACATCAGCATTCGGCACCACAACCTCATTATTTGGTAACAGTACTGACCCAAAAACCCCATCATTCTTCATCCCAGGGTCCTCAGACCTATTCAACAAAGTATCTGGTAAAACTGATACGGGAAACGAAGAAATCAAAAGCACAAGCACTGGTCTATTTGGTAGCTCCTCCTTCACACCACCTACCAACGCTTTCGCATCTGCTGCCACCGACAAACCCACCAGTGCTTTTGGCACGTTTGGTGGAGGCTCGCCACCAAAAGGAAACGGATTTACATTTGGGAAGGCGGGAGGAGGGAGTATCGGCAATCCAGTAGGGTTTGGATTCGGCGTCGCGAAGCCTGCAGATGGGACTTCTGCGTCTTCAGCGAGCGCCCCCACGGAATTTAGTTTTGGTGCTCCGTCAACGTCAACCAAGTCTGTCTCTCCGCCAACTGACACCGCCAGTCGATCAGGGTCGCAACCTGTTGTTAGCGACGAGGGCACAGACGATGTAAAGTTGCTACCGACTAGTAATCACGATGGTGAAGGCGAGGGTGAAGAAGATGAAGAAACAACGTACGCTGTGAAGGCTAAAGTCTTCAAGCTTTCAAAGACTTCTGACAAGTCCGAGTGGAAGGAACTGGGTATTGGTCAGCATGTTTCTTTGTTTTGGTATCATCCACTATTAATCTTGCTGACTTCTGATAGGTATGTTCCGTTTGAAGAAACATAAGGAGACAGGCGCACGACGTGCACTCATGCGAAACAGTGCCACCGGGAGGATTGTCATTGTTAGTCTCCACCCTTTCGTATTCAACTCCAGTTGCTTACCCATGCATGCTGCTAGAACTTCAGGTTATTCGTTTCACTAACCCCAACACTGATGAAGACGATGGTATCCTTTGTTGGACACGATGAAGGTGCTCCGGCATCGTTCCGAATCCGTGTAAAAACGCCTGAGCTTGCTCAGGAGCTCAAGAATGCTTTGGATCGAGAGGTAGCAGCTGTCAAAGAGTCGAATTGAGGGGCTTGTAATTTCATGTCTCTAATATTCTCCATCTCTAATTTTACATACTCCCTCGTATACCTCTGCCTATTCACTGCGCATTTCCATATTCTTTACTCATCGCATTATCTAGCATAGTTGCGAGCATTTCTAAGAAGGGCTCCCTTCGAGTTGTTGAAGACCCGGGCACCTTCGCCCCTTGCATCATAGATTGTACTTCGGACCATATCTTACACGTACGCTGCGCCGTTGAGGTATGGATAAGACAGCTATTTAGCATTAAAATGACTTTGAGCGTTGTGCCATATGGAATTGAGCACGAAGGCTTCGCTGAGAAGCATCTCAATTTCGTGGTCTCCCCAGTCCTGCGTCGGGAGGGATTGCAGGAACATGATGATACCCTGACACACGTAAGATATGCAATCCTGACAAAAAAAAAGGTGGACGTACCTGGAAATCCATTTGCCGGAGCTTTTCGCTCCACTTGACAAGGAATGCAGAGCATACATAGAGGTGGAATTGAGAGAATGCATCCGCTCCTTCAGCCTGGGAGCATACGATCAATAACGCACATCCTATGAAAGGGTGACAAGCTAACCAGATAGGTGTCCCACATGCGAATCGTGTTTCTTACACTGATTTCTCGCATCAGAAGACAGTTCATCCAGCGGAAAGCGAACTGCATGAATTCAACATTTTGGGACTCGAGGTGTGCATACAGGGGAGCTGCTCGATCATCAGCAGCCATTGTGCGCAGGTGACAATGAACTTGCCATCGATACGTGCAACAAGCTCGGCCATGCGCTTGACACTTCGCTGAATGCCAGGTTGTGCTGAGATATAGTTATCCTGAATGCCGTCCAACAAACGTGACAAGCACCAAAACGAGTCTGCCTCGACAGCATTCAGGACAGCCGTCGGGAGCAGAGAGATATCGAATTCTTCCGGATCCGAATCTGCCAGTAATCTTAACGTTACACTGAACCATGAAATAACTTTGGCATACCAATGTAAGCGGAGAGGAAAACCTGGAAGAATGGGGTAACGAGGTCATTGATGCCTTGAACGTATCCACTTGCTGGGTGTCGTATTGCCCAGACATAGAGAATTCTTTCGAGACTCTACTTGCGGCAGAAATATCAACATCTGCCGGAATTACATCGCGAGCACTTACACGTTGAGTGGATGCCTGCATCCATAAACGTACACCAGGTCTCGTCCGTGGTACGTCAATCTCGATCTGATGCCATATTTGTTGGTCGACACCTTGGCGATCCCGAGCGAATGCTAATTCAACCAGTGATGAGTATTCTCCTCTCTTCCGTGCAAGAGTAGAAGCTCGAAGATTCGAGGGCAAAGGGAGGTAACCCTAAGCATCGACATTAGAAGGTAATGGTATACAGGGAAGATAACTCACGAGAAGAATCGGCCATACAGCAGCTCTTAGATCGTTTGGAGTACCCGCCCAAGCTAATTTACGGAGTTCGCCTATTTGTGAAACCTCAGGTACATGATCAGTGAAAGCCTACAAGAGCGCGCACTAATATTGACATCATCTTTGCCAAGACAATCAATGAATTTAATTCGTCGGTTTGTGCGAATTGAGCTTTCCCGCAGGAGCTTCTCGGCATCACTCGAACGTGGAGAATGACCCATCCTATGATTAAACCTTGGTTCTGGTGGTGGTTGAGGAGAACAGAGAAACCTGTGAAATGGATCTAGATGTCTGATTAGATGTGGAAAGCAACTTAATAAAAGTTAATACCGTTCATGATCTCAATAACATCAGATTTGATGGAGCCTTGGTCTAGTTTAGCTTTGACGCCAGTGCCAGCCTGCTCCATTTCTGGCTCGAAATCACCTACGACCATGTCACTGTCGACGTCTGCATCGCCATTTGGATCAGAATCTTTGGGTAACTTGGCACATAAAGCGTCTTGTGAAGTGCCAGATTTTCTAACCATTGTCCATCCACCCTTTGCGGGTTGAGAGGTATCGGCATTCGAAGGGTAGGAGCCTGGACTTGGCGCGCTGAGATGAGTGTAGGAGAATGAGACATTGGATGAAGAGGAGTTGCTAGAGGCTCTAGGGACTGATTTCGGTGCTGTTATCGGGGACTGGCGTCTATATGATGGAGAAGGGGGGAGCCGCCACGAATTGGAGATTGTGGACTGGCGGGGTGATTCAGAGTCTGATCCACTATCCCAAACATCATCTTCTCCCCAGTCTGCGTTAGATTTCGCATTGAATGATGAATGCAGACCAATGTGCGGTCGTGCAGGTGGAGGCTTAGCCGCCATCGTGTCACGGCGAGCCAAGTTATTATCTGCCCATTCGTGGTTAAGCATTAAGTATTACATTATATTATGTAATCAAAACATGCGCGCTATTAAATTTACCGCTTACTCGGAGGCCAGCTGCTTTTCTCTTCCGTATTCAAGCTTCAATGTCTTCAGAAGATAAAGATTTCAAAGGACGGTGTATGTACTGCAACACTGACGTCGGTCGCGACAAAGTCAAGACATGCGGTCGCTGCCGGTAAGTAGAACTCGCGGAGGAGCCGCTCCTCATTGCCTGCAATAAATATTAGCTAATCCTGGTCTTTGTAGACTGGTACGTTATTGTTCGAAGGAATGTCAGATCGCGTCGTGGAAAACGCACAAACTACGATGCAACCAGAATTTACGCGAGAGCCTTGCAAGCGACCCCGCCAGTAACGCCCTAAATACAGCCCTTTCCAAGTGGATCAATAACTGGAGGGATGAACTGCATAACTGGGCGATATGGGCAATGGATCTTGCAAACAGTCCACCGAACCGACTTGCTACGCATTGGTTAGTTGATCATATATGATCCCGTGCCAGCAATTAAATGTAGTGCAACAGCTTCGTGATCGAAATCGAGCGCCGGCCGAATCCCCCGAGCGCTTCCCAGTTCTTCCGGGTGAGCACTTTCCGTCGGTATCCTCAGTCCGTCTGAAATCCCACAGATGCATGGAGGAGGTGTTGAAACTCGAGCAAGCTTCATCGCACGATTGGAAGAAATAAACGAGGCCAGTGAGGAGACCGTTGCATGTGTAAATGAGCGCCGAGGCACCGACACCGCTCAAATTATCGTCCTCTGCGAGGATTTAATTCGATTCTTATGGTTCTCTCTCCGAGATGGTGGTGCATCCTTGCGGAACCGCGACTCTGCCATGTCCAAAGCACTTGCTGAGAACTGGCAACAAGGCATGATTAGCGCAATCGAGACTGGCCGCCGTGAGTGTAGGAGCCTTGCGCCTGACTAGTTCTAATTGTGCTCCAGCCCGAGCATCCAAGACTCATCTAGATAGAGCTGCAATCAAGGTCATAGGACCGCCTCCCATATGAGTTGATCATATCGCAGGCGGCTGCTCATGACGGGCTGAGCAGTTCGTCTACATACTTCTACGGACATTCTCATGCATTACATCATGTACCATATCGATAGGCAAGGCCCAAAGGATGATTTGAGCAAAACAATCAAAAAGGAATTACGCAGCAGCAGCGGCCCGCTTCAGGAAATCTTCTTCATCCCATCCATAGTAATCTTTTAACTTCTTACCGAATTCCTTGATCTTCACAGGGTACAGAGTGGGATCCGGGTGAGCTATAAAAATATAGATAAAAAAGGGAGCTAAGTCGGCGAGGTTGCACATACGCTTGTGGAATGTGATGGACTGTGCAAGCAGCTCAGTATCATGGTAGGATTGCTGGATACTGGATAACATACCCTATCTCCTTCATCAGGCGGATCGAATCGTACAGACGACCCAGCGGTACTGGGATCATATGAAAAGCCCATGTCACGCATAACCTGTGGACACGCATGAACATCCCCCGAGTCGAAACCAAAGAAAAAATGAAGCACCTTGAGGAAACTCTCCCACTTCATTGCTCCCCGTCTCTCGTCGTCTCCAGCGCGAAGCAGCTGATGCATGTACCCAGTTGTCTTCTTACCCAATTTCGAAAACCACGTGTGTTTGCTGTTCACCATATCCTTGTTTTCCTCTTTATCCTTAGCTTTGTCTTTGCCCTTGGCCAAGAACCCGCGGCTGAACATGGAGGCATGATCAGGACGAGATTTGATCTTCTCCTTCTGAGACATCTCCTGCAAGAAAGAATGACCAGAATGAGCCGTAGTCTGTTCTGTCAGCGGTAATGAAGTAGTCGACATGTTGAGAAGCGTTGACGCCGAGCTGTTCAAGCTGGCCCTCCTAACAGGATTCGGCTTTGAGGGACTAGAGGGGGGAGATGCGACCCGCGCTGCAGGTGTTACAGGAGACGCGGGGCCATCTTCGGGGAGGACAGGCAGATCCATGTCGGTCTTCTTCTTCTTCGGCTTCTTTTTCTTTTTCTTCTTGCTAGAAGAGGCAGTGTCAGCATCGGCGTCGTCCTCATCGTCAACCTCTTCAACTGTCGTGCGAGTATCTTTAGGCTGCGCAGAAGGGGCTCCTGCATAGAGATACATCAGGCCTGGATGCACGGGAAAGTATCGACGGACACCAACCAGCAGCATGTGGCGGCTTGGCCCCGAGGGACCTAGCCACTCGTTTGTTCCGAGGAGTCGGGAGGGGTCGCAGCGGAGGTAGCTCATCCTCTGGAATACCGGACAAATCAATCTTAAGGGCTGGAGCTGGCTTGGACTTTGAGGCAGTAGTCTTGGGAGTGAAAGTGCTCTTGCGAGGTTCACTGCGCTTCGCAGAACTGAGCTTCGCACTCGATGAGAACATGCGTCCTGTGTTCCGCAACCATTGTAAGCGGATGATAACCGTAAGAGCTGTTAACTCGACCTCTTAAAGAGCCAAGGAGCTTTAAGAATGGGTTTCCCTTCTTCTCCTCAGCTATCGCTTCGAACTCGGGCACTTCTGTCTTCGCATCGAAAAATTCGGGGATGGCCATTGCCGTGTCCATAGCCTCTCGTAACATATTGCGATATTGCTCGTCTTCATCAGAATCATATTCAGATTCCGTCTCGTACTCATCACTGTCATCGTCTTCATCCCCAAAGTTCTGGTCAGAGTCAACCATATCGTCGTCGCTGTCATCAGAGGTGTCGGAGACAGATTGGAGGTCGGGCATGGAGCCATCACTCTCGTCGTCTCCACGACCGTCGGTAATAGCGAGCAACTTCTTCGATGGTCGCTTGTGTCCACCGCCTTTCTTTCCGCCTTTGCTCTTGACTGGGATCAAACTCAAATTACCCCCATCGTCTGAATCTGAATCTTGGCCTGCAAAGTGAGGGACATAGAATGCACTCCATTGAGGTGTACGGCGGAGGGCTTCATCAAGCTGCCAAAGAGTATCTATGGACATGTTAGAAACGCTTTGGTAATTCTAGAGTTTATAATGTCAGGGCAACAGGACCGATAAAAAAATTACTACACAACGTACCACGTTGACGTGTTTCCACATGTCTTTGAGGACTGTCCGATCTTCAGTGCGACTGAGCGGAAAGACGAGGTCTTTGAAATTGGCGTAGTTATTCGATGCTTGCTGGGAAAATATCTGCGCATCAAGCCATTGCTCGTACTGCTCGGGCATCTTGCGAGGGGTCTGCTTCATCTTCTCACCCTGCGGTCCTAACAAAGGACTATCAAGAAGCTCCTGGAGTTCTAACACGACCTACGGATGCCGATGATCAGCTAGGGAGACCAAAAGACCTGCAGTTCTACAACATACAGATAATTCGCCGACGGCATCCCACATAGTCTGAGGAAAACGTTTTGCCTCTCTTGGGGACTCATCAACTGCATCGTGCAGAATGTGGTATAAAATCCTCTTCGGATAGGGTTGCTTGGGGAAACATAGCTCAATGATGATGGAGTCTAAGAATGACTTGCATGCATCCTTGAGACCAGCCCAGTCAAATGCCATCTCGGGTTCACCTGGATCGGTGTTCTCGACCGCCTTGAAGTAACGAGCATAATGAGCTGTCATATAGTTAGAGCGTGTGATGCACAAAATTGAAGATGTTGCCGTACGTGTAGTGGTGGCAAGCACAGAAAATTTCTTTTGACCAAGATCAACTAGGTTAGAGACCAAATCACAAACGATAAGATAACGAGATAGTAACCCCTGATCCCTTTGCAACTGGATGTGAGCCGTTGCGTCATCGAGGCCGGACTTCTCAAGCGCTCGCAAAGAGTCGAGCACGATCTTCCATGCAGAAGCAACCATGTACGTATTGTGAATCCTACATAGCCGGCATATGATTATTGGACCATTTCAAAATAGAGCATTAGACGTACCTGATTGCGATGATGGACGCCACATAGAAAGGATCTGATCGTACCTCTATGCCGTTCTTCGTTGTTCCGTATGGTGTACGAGCATTGAGCTCCTCGGTGATCTTACGATGAAAAGATTCCGGGTCTTGCAGATTAGTGATATCATCCAAATATGCTAGACCACATGAGACGAAGGTATAATTTAGGCATCTGATCGCGTACCATTGAACTGAGAGTCTGCGATCTTGATGCATTTTGCCAATTTCAGAGGTGACATGACAGCAGTTCGCGCGTGCTCGTTGACAAGGTCCTCTATCATCGTACCTCGAATGAGCGGATCGCGTGACAATCGACAAGTTGCCCAACTTGCCTGCAAGTAAATCAAGTTTTTCCCTACCACTCATTTTACTTGAAAGCATAACCTCCCCAGTGCCTCTTGCTCCAAATTTACCATTTCGTAACACCAGGGCTCGAGAAGTGGTTGGTTTGAGACCATTCTCATCTCGTTTACCTCCATGTTTTGAGGCTTGAACATGTCGTGGCCCTACTGGTACGAGGTCTCTTGAGGTAGAAAGAACAGGTGGCACTTTCGCAGGTTTTTTCTTGGACGCCATGGACGATGGATGCTAAAGGCGCTTTGCCAGATCGTGAGAATCTTTGCTTTTGTTTTGTTGACGGTAGGTCAAAGTGGCTCTACTCGCTTTAACGCCCCTACTACAGGAACTACCTAGTATTCAAGCAACCGTCGGCGACAAACCGTTTGGATGATTCTCGGGGACGGTATACTCACGGTCCGGAATTCTTGGTTCGCACGGATTTATTTATGAGGCACAGCTAAATCATGAATAGACAAGTGATGGTGGCGGGCGCCGTGCACCAATAGAACTTTGGTTATATCACTGCTACTCTGCGCTTTCCACGTTCCTCTCATATCTCTAGCGCGGTAATCGCCTTCAGGTGAGTACCTACCTGCCAAGTTCCAAGTAATGACTGGTAAAACGATACTGCCTCTGGGCGGTTAACACGGTAATTGCACCTCACCGATATTTGACATTGTGGTTGCGGTATGCGCGCTCACATGAAGAATGGGGCCTTAAAAGTGCAGTGCAGCGTATCAGGCTACCGCTTGCCCGTCAATCATCATTTCTCTGTGCATCCCAAGATATCCACCAATACTATCTCGCCGCCTATGACAACCAGTTTCTCATAGGAACTATCTCTCAATTTCTAAGCAAACTCACACCTAAATTATTGTACTACTAATCTTGAGGTTGAGCTTGCTTCAAGCCGGTCGCGTCCCTTGCACCTTCACTGCTCTTAATTAATTTTCGTGATAATCTCGTAATACAATGAATTGCTTTGCCGAGCGGCCCGAGCCTCGTCTGAAGAGATGTCGAGTTTCCGAATTTTATATTTGTATTAGGTAATAATACCCGAACAATAAATTTCGCCCCTCGAAGATTGCCTTAGAGACCCATATCCAGTACGAGCGCGCAGGTTGATGTAGCAGTGCCAGGTTGCACCGTTACTTCCTGCCAAGTGTATTTGTGTCCTATAAAGTCTTCATCTTTGTATCACTAGAGCTTCCGAGTTTCCCCAACTTCAAGTTTCTTTCATTACTTTTCGTTGAGGTTAAGCTGGTCTCCTCCTTGTGCATTATTGCACATTTTCATTCACTTCCTTTCGACACACCAATCGTTGTTTTTTTGATTCGACTCCGAGCAGCGCTCGATACACTCGCTTCTGCGGCCATCTACCTCTTTGTCAACCTCTTCAATCAATGGGAAAACTCATCTGGCACGAACTAAGTCGCTACATCTCCCTCACGGCGAGTGTTTGTACGTCGAATCCCCTTCATCTGGCGGAAATCATCTTACCTGACGTTTACAGATGCGGTATGGGCTAGTTTCTGGGGTTTCTTCTTCCGCAAGTTCTTTTGGGACTTCATCGGTGGCATCTTGCGCTCTCCCGGTGGTCTGCAGTAAGTGTCGGAAGACTTTGTGTCTTGAATTATATTCATGTTCTCTTGCATAGACCATCACCCAAGTTTGCTGTATTCATCACCATTATTGTCAAATTCCCTATTGTACAGATAATCACCATGGTCCTCGGGTTCATCCTAATTGCGGTGGAATATCCCATTCCCATCTTGAAGGGAACTGCTATATTTAGGAGCATCGCTCTTAGAGTGGTGTTACTGATCATGCAAGCCGCCGGAACGGTATTATTCTACCAAGTGAGTTTCCGTACTTCTTTGTTTTATCAGATATCTCATACAACAACAATACAATAGGGTACAAATGCGGCATTGTGGTCATTAATTGCTGCGATGTTCTATATCCGTGCATTGGCATTGAAAGAGAAAATGGAGGGTGCAATAAGAAACAAAGGCCGAGTGGATCAGGCTTAACGAGTACGTTTACACGCAGTGCGATTCCCGAATTTTCTGAACGGCATATACTGCCAGTCTGTGACTAGTACAGTGTACCAGTTTCCCTTTTCGATCTCTTTTTCTTCCCTGTTGTACGTACTTACATGTACAGTTGTATCAAGATGTCAGGCATTGGATTTTAGACAACATATGTTCACACGTGAACCTACTACGTGGGCGGCAATTATGTGTGTACAAGCGATCCGTTCGCCTTTGGACTTTCACTACCATGAATCACAATTAGAGATGTTTGTATACTACGTTTGCCGTAGAATTTTAGTCTCTTTTTAAAAATAGCGCTCGAGTGTCTCTACGACGACGTACTTTTAACAGCACAGTGTATAGCTATCCATGTGCGACCGAATCTGTGCGGAGATCAAGCCGCTTTTTCGTCGTCACATAACCAGGCCACAGGGGAAACTGCTCACGATCCACTGTCACCGCTGATGAAGAGCGGTGATGTGCTGCCTCTTGCGTTTCGTAGTACTAATACGTTTTCGACAGACATATTTCTTTTTATTGAGCATGTTATATTGACCTTGGGATTCTATCGATAAGGAGTTGTGTTTGGATGAGTTAACACTGCGAGGTAGTCTGGAGTTTGTTCAGTTGCGCCTGGTTCTTTGCGAGTATCTGAATCGAAGTACGATTCTATTCCGTGTCTCGGTATGTGTTTTTTTCTTTCATATTTCATTTATGGACACCGCAATCGCCCAGGGGACCACTGACTGCGAAAAGAATGCAGCGCATGCGGAGCCCAGGTGGAGGACGCACATGGCAGTCGTGCAAATTGCTTCCGCAGATTCAAACGCTCCGTGCTTATTGTTAAAAAAGCAATATACTACGGCTATGATTCACTGAGACTGAGTTACACATGGTCAGTAGTGTAGCGCTGTCAGCCAATTGAAAATCGTTAATCGTTGATCACTGCAAGATCGCACCTATCACTTTTGCAAAATCGCTCGTCTTTCATCGCCGTTCCTATCATTTTTCCGTCAAATTTTTCGCTATGGAGAAATAACATACAAAGATCATCTTTGCGAGCGATTTCAGACCTCCGGTGTACCATTATACTGCCCAGGACGTGATTGCTGTGAAAAGCCCTGTGAGTTGGCTGATTCTTGGTTGGTGGACGACGCGGTGGTTTGTATGGTAGAGTACAATGGCGGCGGGAATGTGCTCGGATCTGCGGGATCCTGCGTAAGAAGATGAGCATGGTGCATCACAAACATCATGGGCCCGGAAACATACATAGATTCGCGGAGGCTGCGTCATTTGAGGTTGGCTAAAATCGGCTGAGGCCGTTCTGTGAGAGCGACGGCGCCTGATGAAGAACCATGTTGCAAGACCTGCGATGACCCCAACTGCGACAATTCCTCCGACAACACCCCCAGCTGTAGCCCCAACGTTCGAGCTCTTCGAATTAGGCGTTGAAGATTCTGTGCTTGTGGTCAACTTGGATACGCTAGTAGTGAATGCGCTAGTAGTGGATGCGCTAGCAGTGGATAGTGGCGTGGTTGCATTAGATTCCGGTAAATCTACAAGAAAGTGAGCAACAGTGTTTGTACCACAGAAAATGATGCGCGTAAGCTGACCTCCATCCAGCTGCGCTGCAGTAGCGTTAAAAATGTTACTGGTTACCTTTGAAGAGATTTAGAGTAGGACAGTCAGGATGCCTCGTGTACCTACGACATCCAGATAAGCCCAATTTGGAACTGCAGTGCCGGTCGGAATGATCGTGGGGTATCTGCAAATCGAGTGAAATACATTTAAGATCACGATAGCTCAGACTAACAATTGAGTAAAAGCTGGTGAGCAGTATGTTTTCCAGGAACTCCAGCTGTAAGGGAATAAGCACTTCGTTTCAGTTGAGCATACTTCATGCGACTTACGTCACAGGAATGAGGCCCTGACAGACACCACACGCGCTTGTCATTGAATAGGTTACTGAACTGCATTGGCAAGGATTTGTTCCATCGAGCGGGGGACCTGAATATTGAGTACCCGCAGGGATAGCAATGATTTCATAGCCTGCCAAAAAAAATGAGTCGTGGAAGGTCAAGGCCCGCTGAGAGATGAAGGTCATACTTCCACCAGAGCAGGGGCTCCCAAGGTAGGCAGTAACTAAGCACGGGTTCTGATCACGACTGTTGTTCATCTAATCATACCATCAGAACTTGCAACTTCAAGGTAAAGCAAAGAAAATGGTGTACCCAACCAAAGGAAGAAAGACACGTTATATTGGCCACTATCTGCGCAAATGCTCCTCGGGGCGCAGCAGCTACCACCAGGGCAACTATTGATGGCCATGTCTTCAAGGTAAGTAGCGACATGACGGAAAAAGAAAGAAGGAACAAAACCGATGCTCAGCAGACTCTGGTTATATATAAGGTAGTCCCTCGCCATTAGCCCTTATGCGCAAGCGTCAAAAAGTTCTTCTTAGCAACCAGTTGATGTCAGGCGTCAAGCGAATTGGCTCCTCCAGATATCCTCGGCGCATTCCGAAGCTTAGCTATCCTCGTCCTCGGTAGACACATCCAGCTTGAAGTGTAGTCGCCAAGTGTAGGTATAAATTCATCATACTTCCATTTCACCAGTCGTCCGCATCAGATACATGCGTGCTGTGGCCCTGCGATGGGAAGATTCTAAGCAGTGTTCAGTAGGCCTGGATGATCGGATCTGCGTCCATGCCACCAAGATTCGTTCTTCCCACATGTGATGGTCTGTAATCAAAATTCTGGACGATCCAGTCACTCCGGAAACGACCCAACTCCATCAATCTAGTGGAGTAGCTGGTGTAGAGCCTTGTGGAACACAAACACCCGTTTCTCTCTACATTTCTCTGCGCCCGATCATCCGGCGCGCCGGGCCTAATCCTTAATACAAGCTTGAGGCGTGCATGTGAAGCTGTGTGTAGATCTAGAACGAAATAAAATAAACGTTCAACTGCAAATAATTGGAGTGGAAGTGAGCTTAGCGAGGAACGAATGTACGGTCCGGTGAAGAGTCAAAGCAAGTCAAAGCAACCACAAAGACAAAGAAAAGTGCGCCGGCTCCTTCCGACCACTCAAAATCGGTTTGCGGCGATATCCAGACGCTTTGATCTTGAACACAAAGGATCATCATCATTCCTTTCTCTAGTGATCTCATCACAGAAATCTACAAAGGGACGTAGACGTTCGGTACTGGTAAGTGAACGACTTCCGATGCCTGATAAGCACGCTCTGGATCTTCGCCTTTGATGCTCACCCACAATATTTAAGATACAGATCCTATCCACGAATTCCTTCGTCGTGGCGTACCGGTACACCAGTCACTTTTCCCCTCTTTCCTAGTAGTCGTGGAAGGATCGCACATCCGATGCTAGAGTTCGTGGTGAATCAAATGATTTTGCTCCCGTCGAGGACTTGACTTACTGCTGAATCTCGTCATCTCGTACTCATCTTCATCTGACTCTTCACCGCTCGCCTCAAACGAGGAGGTGGCTGGCGCGTGCCATTCTGCCTTCGACAGAAGAAACCGGTCTCTTCTGCTGGTAAGTTTTTTCTCGGCCTAAAGTATTTAGTTAGTTACTCATTCTATTCGTTGAGAAATTAGCTCACCTCTATCTTGCGGATGCCGGGGCACTTTCCCCTGTGCTTTACCCATAGTCCAGGGTAGTACCTGGAGCGCTTGTCAATGGTGATGGCTTTCTGACATCCGCGGCAGGTGACGGATGTGGGTTGGACGTCTTCGGTGTACTCGTCGTCCTGGAGCTCTTGTTTTCTTTCATTCTCCTTTTTTCTCCGCTTGCTACCCCCCGCAATGACTGTATCATGGCGATTACCGTTGTTGATGCACGAGCTCCGAGGAGCGAGCTGCGGAGAGCTCAGCCCTTGTTGTGCGTCGTGTTTGTCGGAACGGGGAGGTGCATGGTTGAGCCCGTAGAACCCGCCCTTGCAGACGGGCGAGTGGCCGTTGATCAGGCGACTGACCGTGGGCCAGTCGGTGCCATCACCGTAAACGAAAACAACCGGACATCCGACCCTGCCACAAGGTAGCATATGGGTTCGGGCGGTTGTTTGTTTTATGGTGGGGTTTCGACTGGCGACGCAGTCGTTGCTTGTTGATTGCATGGCGGCTGAGGGACTGGGGGTTGATTGTTGCATTTGTTTTACTGGTGGAGTGCCCTTTGGGATGTATGTGGGGAATTTGCTGGAGTGGCGCGAGGTTTTTCTTTTGAGCCTGCCTCCGCGGAGTTATATTGTTCACCATCAAATACACGTGTTTTTTTTTTCATTCCGACTTTTGTCCATCGAGGGTACTGGGTGTTGAACACTACTGACTAGTTTAAAGGGTTTTTCTATAACACTGGACTCGCAAATGCCCCAGCAGGAAGATATCCCGTCAAAGTTGGGTGACTGACGTTTTCGTACTCATTTACGCTGTAAGGCACACATGGTTTTCCAGCCGGACATTCACAGTTATGAAAATCATACAACGCAGGCTAATGCTAATTCTCTTGTCACTCTTCTAGATGAGTTGTCCATTCAAAGGTTCTCCAAGCTGTAGGGTACATCTTCTCTTGGTGAACGTGAATATTGTCTAACACGATCATTCCAGACAAACACATCAGCACAGAAGCACTCTCGCCGCCGCCAGGACACTCTTCGATTTTCCCACATGTTGAAAACTTCTTTAGGCCTACAATGGGGATGGTGAAGACACTTAGTCACGATAGCGGGTGATCAATTACCATCATCTTGTCTAGTATCTTTACATGCACAATCCTAGATTTCGCCCACGTAGTTCCTGAATTTCGTGGACAGGGCTTCAACTCAAGCACGCAAGATGCAGTAGGTTCAGTGACCATACTTCCGTTCAAGTGACTTTATCAATTCATATAGTTCAATCTGGAGTGAAAATTCGCCCTGACCGCAAAAGTACCTCGATCTTTACTGAAATTCTATGATGAAGAACGACTTCCAGTCATACAAAAGACGTTTGATCTCAGTCGTAACTTTTCTTAAGAAAAGAACTGTAAATTTACGTGTTCAGGCTTGGTTGGATTAGCAGTGGTGTGGTGTACAGCGATGTGATGGGGTGGGTTTTGACGTTGTACATCCCTGATACAACCATGGTTGCATGAACCGACGGCATTGCTACAAAATGTGTTTATGAACTGGCGCTGTCGATAGTTCTCTAACAGACTCCGATACATGTATTAATCTCGATTTGTCTCACACCCCGGTGACCAAATATTAACGCGCAGTTCAGTCATGAATGCCTCTGATATCATATCCGCATTACCCAGTCGGTTCGAAGCTGCGCAATCTTCAGGGGATCTATTTTTCTTCCCGTCGGAAGTGAGCAAGCATGAGGAGATCGGAGTAGAGGTGTGTTTCCGTCCGCTCCTCATCATCACAACGGTATCTCAACGAACGAGTGATCGCTCCACAGTGGGAGATTCGTGTATGTACGGCGCTTCAGAAGAAACCAGTCGCGTCTCTACCTGCTGGGGAAGCAGGACTCGCATCATCTAATCAGTCAGACGAGAATTCCAAGAAATCTGATCCATTTGCACCTCCGTATGTCTCGAATCTCCATGTCGGTGATTTACGCGACGAATCGTCTGGGGCGGAATATGGTGTACTGGTACGCTCGATTTTCTCCTCACGAGCGTCCGGGTCTAGCTCAAATGCATCCAGCTAAACAAGTACTCGGTCGTCCCTCATCATTTCCTTCTTGTAACCAAAGGTTCCCTGCCAAAGCTACCTAAACACCATGATGACGCACTGATGCATATGATCGACAGAATTCATGCCGCAAAACTCACCCTTACTCCCTCACGATCTAGTCCAAACTTATCTGCTCCTCCTTGCAGCCCGCAAAGCACGTAAAAACTTCTTCGCGTTCTACAACTGTGAGGATCTCTCATGACGTCACGATCTGATGGCAAGCTTATACTGAGTATTCATCAAAGGCGGATCAAACAGCGGAGCCAGTCAAGACCACAAACATATCCAGTTCATCGAAGTCGAGGAGGATGGACCTCCGATCGAAAGATTAGCCAGAGCCGCGAATCTTGAAGTCTCAGGTACTCTATGCTGCTGCTCTCCCAGATATCTATGATCGAACCAAGCTTACCCCCAGGCAAACCCTTTTCGCTGTCATCCGTACGATATGCAAACCATGTATATCGGCTTCCGACTCTGTCGAATAGCGCATCGCCGGAGCAGCTCGAACAAACGTTGTTCCTTCCGTTTCTAGCCCTCTTGGATCTTGTGATTTCGACCGTACGACATGCCCCGGATTACCCGTCTGGTACCCCCTCCTATAATGTGATTCTGACATTGGAACACATGCACCTGATCCCGCGACGCTGGGAAACCTATACCCTAGGAGAGTCGGGGGCGACGCTGGGCGTCAACTCGCTTGGGTTTGCTGGCATGCTGATGGTGAAAAGCGAGTCCGAACGTCAGGCATTAGAGCAAGAGAAGATCGAAACGGTCCTGAGAGGTGTTGGTGTGGAAAGTGTGCATGAATTGCAAGTTGCTGGTACATCGATGGAAGCGATGGATGAGACAAGTGCTTGATAGTAATGTATACATGATCGTAGAGATTTCATACACGTACGAGGCAAAATTTCTACTCGAAGGATAGCAAGAAATAGGAAGCGTTCAAGACTATCAGAGATCATTGACCAAGAAAACCCTTCACTCTCCACATGGCGTCCAAGGAAGCAAGCTGAGAGATCCGATCAGCAGCGTTATGATTCCTTTCATTTGATAACCCTGAGAGCGCTTACCAGTTGGACAAAACCCTCTTCTCTGATGACTTGTGCTACGATGGATTCTAGCTCTGCATGAGAGAGCTTGTGAAGGGCTGGATTGTCATGCAGTGATGCAACAAGCTGGGTCCGAGTCGGATTACGATTTTCTAATGATCGACTTTCCGATTGAAGAGATCGTGTGACGCTCGAAGGCAGTGGAGGTGGGGGCATCGTATTCAAACTACTACGGGTAGACGAGGACGGCTGGGAAGAGTCGGGTAAAGAGCCTTTGGTTGAGTTGATAGAACCAGACGGTGCTTGACATTGGCTGGACTTTGGGACGGTTGTCCGAGGTGTTTCTGGAGGTGTAAAGAAGGTACTATCATGAGATGGTGCAGCCACAGAAGTCGTTTTCGTAGAGTTGCTGGTCAGTGTCAGAGGTGTGAACCTAACGGGCGTCGATGGTGCGAATGTGGGTAAATTGGATTCAGATGATGGATTGTCTGAAAGAAGTATAGTGGACGCTGATCTGAGGGGAGTTGTGCCCATTGACGGCCGAGCTTGTGAAGCAGCTGGGAGTATAGTACCTCGACGGGAAATGTCGTCAATAAGGCCTGTCGTAGCCACACTAGGGATGCGAGTGACCAGAGGCTGCGGCTGTGGATTCAATCTACAAGGGCAAACAGGTCTGACAGCATCGATGAACTGAGCTGCGTTCGTTGCAGTGGTAAATGTGATCTGAATGCGCCGATATACCTTGAAAAAACAACACTTGGTCAAAAAGATTGGAGCGAACGGCATATATAGGTACTGGCTGATGGGTCGAGTCTGCTGTTCTCGGGTGCAGATAGCGAATTCCAACAACAGCATCTCGATAGACAGCTCTGAGAGGAAGGCCATGGTCAGGTTGCCCAGAATTTGTCTTGGAGTTTGAGATCGATGAGAAGGAGAGCAAATCAAGATCCTCCTGGAGGGTTATGCTTTTAGTGTGATTCGTTTTATCCCGTAGTAAGAGCCTACGAGAATAATCTCTCTCTGATCGACGTCCGCGCTATTGGTGTTGCTGTCAAAATTCCACACAACTCGAAAGCGGACAGAGACAAGATTTCCTGTGGAAGATTTCTTCGCGTCCAAGTAGAGGTTGATAACGGGGTGGACGAAATGTTGCCATTCTGCATCTGTAGCGGGGTTCTGAGAGCTCGATGATGAGCTCGTAGTAGGATATGAACGCGAATATTTTGCTAGTGGAAAAGTAACAGACGTCGTCGTGAATTGAGCCATTTCGTGGGTGTAGTGTTGCCGCGAAGTGAATTGAAGTGGAAAATTGACGCACTTCGGTACACGAAGTGGCAACAATTTTTACTTCGATTCACCTCTCGAACACTTCATCTGACTTCGGAACAACGAAGTCAACTGAATTCTCACGTTTTTGAAGCGAGGAGAAGTTACCTCGAAGTCAACACTAATCAGGGCGGATCGTGTTGCTAAAAGTCCGCTATTGCATTGCCAGGTAGCCGCAAGTAACACTAGTCTGTGTTCTGTGATTGAGGATCGTGGAACTTTGAGCGCGCGATACTCTCCAGGGTCTGGTGAATATGGTGATGGCCAGCGCTCGCGTGTCTGGTCAATTCTAAAATGCTTAAATGTTTCCTGATTTGGCCACCACTCCGGTCCACGAGTACATCTGATCTAGCGACATCTCGTCACCTTCGGCATCAATCCCTGATACTTAAATTGAAGCCGCATCATAAAATGCGGCTTTTTCAGTTTCGCTTGACGCTGCTCTATACTACGTTCACCCCGTCGTGAACGTCTCTGGTGCATACTAGTACCTCTTTGCGACCCTCTCGACGACCTTCACATGTGTTGTGGTTGCAACGGCTATGACTCTGAATCGGACCCCGATTTAACGGACCTGGACACGGACTCGGACACGGACTCACTGGAAGATATCACTAGCAGTAGCCAATCTAGCGACCTGAGTGAAGTGCCCGGCAAAGACGGCGTAGCTGACCATGGCGGAGATACACATAGTAAGCACCGTCTCTTTTTATCCACGCGAAATTATTCACCAACTTTTGCTTTAAAGCTTCAGATAAACAACCCGCGGCAAAGCGCGCCAGGGCAGACCAAGGTTCCGATACCGGAACAGCACCAGGAGCAAAAGATTTTGGCACAAAAAAGAAAATTCTCGATCCCCTTTTTACCGTGCCAATCGATATTCTTCTCGAGGTAAGTTAATCAGCATTGCGCATGCATCTTACTTATTCGTCTGGCCTCCGCTTCAAATTAGATCTTTGGCCACTTAGAGCCACTGGACCTCTTACGTCTGTTCCGCACCCATAAGGCTTTCCGCCAGGTTCTATCATCTAACCATGCAGCCTCAGTCTGGAAAGCTGCTCGCGTCAACCGTGGCGGTGTTCCCGACTGCGTGCCTGGCATGTCCGAGATCGAATGGGCCGAACTATTATTCAATAATTCTTGCTGTGAAGTTCGTCTGGTTTCCATTTACAACTTTTGTACTTTCGTGACCACAAGCTCAGGAATGTGGCAAGAAGGGAATATGGAGGATAGACTTCGGTTTGAGGCGCAGAATATGTCGCCTTTGCCTCAACGAGGAGTGAGTACACTTTCTATCATCGTGCTCTTCTCTAGCCAATAATTCGTCAAGCCTGGTCTGTGACGAAGCCTTTTCATATGATTTTCCTGAATACGATCCGATCATCCTGGATTTCATCCCATTCAGTAGCAGTGGGTGCCGTCTTACTATGACTTATCCGTATCTGATCTTCCTGTGCAGTTCGTGTTGACGACCACGATCATAATGACTGCAGGATGTTTTGGCCAAAGGACATAGAGAGAATGGCAAAAGAGTTGGAACCGTACCTCAAGCCAGGTGCCGAACAAGCACTAGAAGATTTCAAGCAATCACGCAAGAAATATATTGATTCCAATATTGATGTAAGATTCCTACAAGTGGTTTTGCTAAATCTAACAACTTCGAAGCATATATCAATCTGTGATGCTTGGACTGGCAAGGATAATCAACGTCGATTGGAGCGTGCCCGTCAGCTTCGTGACCAAAATTCAGAGTTGTAAGTAAATTCCATAGATTCGTCATCTAATCGTGTCTTGATCTTCTCCTAGGTTTGTAGCTAGACTGATTGCTCTCGGACACAATGCCAAAGATGTAAAGCGCATGTTCGATCGTCGTCACTACGGCATACTAGATAAGGAGCTTACCGACGCGCGTCAGTGCTCTGCTACATTCGAAAAGATCCGTCCTTACGTTGACGATTTTTAGGCTGGAAGCGTTTAATCCCCAAAGTCGAGTATAAGCTTGCTGAATTACAGGAAGAATGGCGCCTCCAGAGGCAAAGCGAGGTATCGTTTCTCCGACAGTCTCGCCTGTTGACTCTGTACAACAAATACGTGCTGCCGTTGCCACAGGGTATCATACCTCCTGTCGCAGATTTCTTGAAGCTCTCTGACGTTGCGGAATTTATCAAAAGCCCACGCGCTGAGGATGGCGCAAGCGATTATCCACCTTGCGATGCCTTTGCGGAAAGAATTCCCGAGTTTTATGCTGAATATATGAATAAAAGGAAGCTCGAGCTGACGCGACTCCTTGCCCTCTCTGCTGATGCAGTGCAAGATACCACGACGCCACAAAGCCAGGGAATTGAAGCCCCTGATGATATGTTGATGCAGCTGGCAACCTCTATTGTCCAATGTACTCACCCGCGCTCCCAGGCCTTGCCATTGATTACATGGGACAAAGTGCAGCACCACCGGTTTCACGATCGAGGTATGGCCCATAGTTACGAACTATCGGCGGCGACATCGCCTTGCATATTTTCGATCTCTGAGCGTGGGGTGGCCGCTGCACGTTCTTTGTTAACCTTGGTCGGTCTCAATGCCCAAACTACGACAGCAACCACGATGGATAGCCTCCAATGTCGCTTTTTCTGCTCCAACTGTTCTCCCAAGTCAGAGAATGGAGGAACCTACCGGATGGCAATGGACTGGCGCCAGGGCGTTCGTCTTGCGTTTGTGACTTTGATGCTATGCTCACCGTCTTCCAGGTTTTCCATTACGTTCAAGAACGAAGTCCATCGCACAAAGAGCCTCATTGGGAATTATTAAGTGCTGCGCAACTTCAAGTTGTCCAAAGTTGCCCTGCGCCCGAATATCCCGTAGCCACTGAGCGAGTGTGGCGTTGCAACCACTGCATTTTGTACAGGAACGGGCCGGCTACAAAACCTATCGTGATTAAGCATACAAGATCGTAAGACATCATCTGTTTTACCTGACGTTTTTTTGATGTTTACGTAATAGGCATGTATTAAAGACACCAATTGAAGGAACTGACTTTAGCTATGACCAATGTGCCGTCGAGGAACCGCCTCCAGCAACGAAGTTCTTCGTTACCCCTCAGACTAGAGTTCCTGACAACTCGACATATCGCTGCCAACATTGCAACCGCTCAACTCGGACTTTCAAGTTGCAGGGCGTCAAGGCGCACCTCAAAGCCAAGTAAATGAGAATCTTGTCAAATGGTCCGGATCCGCTACTCATTGATTTTTTCTTCAGGCACAAGATCATATACTCAAGTGAAGGGCCAGACTTTTCTAGAATCGAGTAATTACATCACACTTTAATCATTCGTAACCTCCTCCATACAAAGCTCAGCGCTCAGCAGTTACATACACCGTCTACATCCCTAACCCTAATGTTCAAGTATATACCGGGCTTTGATCCACAGTACTAGGACGGTTCCTTAAGTATGCCGACTGGATGCCAACCTGTGTGGATATCTGATTCCGTATCTCTTACGATATCGTCTTCAGAACGTGTTAATATAATAGGACTCGGATCACACCATTCTTGGTGCTGGGCCAGTCTCCTATACAGCTTTCAGTCGAACGAAAATAAGCATTCCTTCTCCACTACTATAATTTGCTCCATGATATTGTGTACAGGTGCCGTCAAGACTGAGGATATCATCCGGCATGTTTGCAAGCTTTAGGCGTCGAGAAGTGGAATGAGATATGATTGCATTGACATAATTATCATGGAACTTAATATGTATAAGGCGGTGTTAGTTGTTGCTAGTTGAAAATTTTGAAATACGCACACCTGAACAAATTTCTGCCCTTCAGATAAGACGACAAGGCAAGACCACAGACCCTTCAAGCACCATTGCCGTTCCAGGTAAAGCCCTAAATATGCGGTTGGACTGGAGTCATCCTGTGGATCTGGAGCATGCAAGAGATGCGTGGCCCAGTTTTGACAGGCGTACTTCTCGAAGCTGAATCCCGAATTGCCTCGAATTTGAAAGCTGTCGGCAAACGCAAGCTGCGGAAAGCTAACATACCACTTCCAGTCAACAGATTCGATCTTGCCCCGCGTTCGCAATGGCGAAACTACTTTCCCACTAGCGGGATGGCATTCAAGAGTCGTATTTCCATCGCTAACACCGAGACGGCGGCATTAGTTGCAGATTCATTCGTTCCTAGCGGTTCGAGGGATGAAGTTGTAGAAGCGTAACCCGGTGAGTCACGTACCGATACTTAAACTCTTGAATCTTCCTGGCAGCAAGCTACAATAGATTGATGCGGAACTGAGATCAATCACATTGTGATACTGACACAACGCACTTCCAATGACAAAGAAGAAAGCAACCTGACCAGTGTGATGCTGATAATGAGCATGCTATCGATAAAATTGCTGAATGAGGCGGGTTGCAGGTCACGTGAGGTTGACAGAAAGGCGGGAACTTTCGAAAACAACCATACTTACTTCCGACATCGACTCGGAAATTTAGGGTTATGGACCCAAGTGGGTCAACTTCAAGTTAGCAAGGTTACGTGTTGGGCCACCGAGATGAACACGAGCAAGGGCGTGATAGTGCTATTCAAAAGAATATCCGTGTCAAGACAATGGGCGCAGTGACCATCTCCTTCAATAAGTACTACTACTACAATATCATACCAAATGCACGTAGTAAGGGGGCGAGAAAGTGTGTTGATCGTGACATACCATTTTGAAGCGTGTGCGTTCTGATATATCCAACCGTTTTCAAAAACATTCAGGTTACCGGGCTTCAAAAACCAGTTCGTCAAGATGCTCTTCTGGGATGAAGTGAGATATAATCGGTATGTGATGATATCGATATTACCCCTCTGTTGACTGCACAAAGTAAATTGATTTCTTTAGCAAAAAAGTTCGTCATGTCCGTGTTTATGGCACTTAGTGATGTGCGGGCCCGGCTTGGCCTGAAAGCCCCAGCTTAGGCCTGGCTTTGGGGGGCTTGGGCTTTCAAAAATATCAGGCCCAGCCGTGGGCCAAAGCCGCGGCTCGGCTCGGGCTAGTTTTTTTGCTATTCGTCGACCTTGATTATGATTAAATGTGCCTGCGACGAGATGATGAACACGTGAGTTGAAACGCAACGAGAGCATGATGGTTAGCATTTTGCTGCCAGAACCAGCTCACAGTTAAGTTCCTCACAGTGTACGGGTGCAACTGTTTGTTCCATTTGCATCAAATAGAAACCACAGAGATTTTGATACCTCGACACGAACGGCTAGCTCCGCTATTTCAACGATGAAATTGCCGAATCGAGCTGCGCTGGTCCACAAATCGAACAATTGTGGACTCTTAGTAAGTATTCAGATCCACAATATGGCATTGGTCATTCGTCTGGTGACTTTAGAACGCAACCACCAACCACTACCATCCAATACGCTTTTGAGTCTCACAGACCACTCCAACTTCGTTCTTCGAAACCCACTTACTGTTATTCATACTATGGACGCATTCGCATCCATCGCCTCGCAGTTTTACCCATCGAACGATGGTTTCTCAGGGGATTCCGACGGACTCCCCGTTGACCATGAACATAAACCAGAGCTACCTGGTATATTTTGCGTCATTGCTTGATGTCGATCGTTGCTTTTGCGACAGTGCAAACCTTTTTTCATTGCTCGCCGATCAATTCAGTACTAAAGTACACTTTGGCAGTCATTGAGCTTGCGACTACCGTCTATTCATCTTCTCTCACCATCAATCTCGTGTACATTCCACTCTTTTGTCGTCGTTTTCCAGTCGTGGGATATCCTGAAGGGATGTCGCTTGTACAACAGTGTAAACCTCTTTTCATTGCTCGCCGATCAATTCGGTACTGAAGTACACTTTGGCAGTCACCGAGCTTCCGACTACCGCCTATTCATCTTCTCTCACCATCAATCTCAATCTCGTGTACCGTCCACTCTTTTGTCGTCGTTTTCCAGTCGTGGGATGTGCTGAAGTGACTATTGAAGGTAAAGACAATAAGTTAAGCTACGTGATACATTTCTCAACCTTTGCACAATACAGCAGCACCACAATCACACTCGGTGACCAATAGACAGGGAACAGCGCCCGCGAAAGCGGCCGAGTACGCGTTATATATTATGCAATTCGCTAGCACATATGCATGATCCTGTTTATGAAAGTCATCTCATCTTCGAAGGGCGGCGCGTCTAAAACGGCCGGCGGGAACGGCGGACTGATGGGGGTACGCCTCACATCAGGGCATTCGCGCGCCCAAGTGCATCGGGGACACTGGGGGTCCCCTAGACTAGTTTTCCTCCTTATAGTACTACTCTCCATATGACATGAAAATGGATATATATGTATATGTATATAAAGACAAGGAACAGGCTGAGACTGGCACGTCGGCACAAATAAAAATACAACTTTCCGTATAACGAACGAGAACGAAGCAAAGTCTTCAACCATAAGCCCGACATTGAATACTGCAAATACTTTCTCTACTCGACCCGGCCTGCTTTAGAGAACTTGCATCGTCACACTCTTGTGTATATATTCGAATCTTCCAAGCCTCAGGCTGGTGCTGTAAGGTTGCACATCTGCTGTCAAGGTGTTCTTTCCTCTTTTAATTTTAAATTCACTCTTTGCCAGCGAGCAGCTGCGTATGGCGTAGTCCAAGTACTCTATATTGGAAATATAATGCCACCAGTTTCACGACACGGGTAGAACCTGCTACCGATTTTAATTTTTGACTAACTTCCCTGTGCAGTCTGATTCGATCTCGCACGGTGTCGCGACGAATGCACAATTCCGAAACACATCTGGAGTTGTATCTGGCAACTCCCATAGTTAATACTTGAATTCAAGCGGCGAAGGTCAGAAACTGATTGAGCGAACTTGAAAGTGGGCCTCAGTGTCTGATGCTCTCGTCAGAGGGAAAAACCTATGAATACTTTTCATTGTCATCGTATGCACGCAGACTCTGATTCTTCCGGATAAGTCATGGATTCATAGGGTCACAAGTTTCACGAGGGTGGGTATGGATCTCCTCTGCGATGTTGACCTCGACAGGTCGAGCGAAAGTGGGTTCCACAGTATCTGGTGGATCATCATCATGTTCTCTGCGTGTCCCCCTAATATCGGTGATGAGAAGAAGAGGTGTCAAGGTCTAGAAGGATGTGAGACTACGTAGAAAATAAGAAGTATAAAATGCTGACGGCAAACTGAACGCCGACGTGCGTTGCCATGAGACCAGCTGGATTCCCGGAAAGCTGTAGAGCGCACACTACCACGATGCTGATAGTGTAGATTGTACCGCACTGAATGATAGTGTATATGGCAGGTTTGTATGCGTTGTGGCCAGGATGGCATTCAAGAGTCGTATTTCCATCGCTGACACCGAGACGGCGGCACTAGTTGCAGGTTCAATCATTCCTAGCGGTTCGAGGGATAAAGTTGTAGAAGCGTAACCCGGTGAGTCACGTACCGATACTTAAACTCTCGAGAATCTTCCTGGCAGCAAGGTACAATAGATTGATGCGGAACTGGGACCCAAGTGAGTCAGCTTCAAGTTAGCAAGGTTTCGTGTTGGGCCACCGAGATAAATACGAGCAAGGGCGTGATAGTGCTATTCAAAAGAATATCCGTGTCAAGACAATGGGCGCAGTGACCATCTCCTTCAACAAGTACTAGTACCATGCTCAGGCTGAAGCCACCGAAGCGAAGACTCAGACACCAATGGCAAAGTTTTAGAAAGAGGCACTCGCTAAGCTCCACCGCGGAGCCTATAAGAGAATAATCTCTGAGGACACGTGAAAGCGCAACTGGCAGTACCAACAGCTAGTACCAAAAATGCATACTAGCAGAAGACATTTGAGAAAGACTTGGCAGGACAACGTCGCTCACAACGGCACTAAACATCACGTGACCTACTAGCTTAAAACTGAATGCCCCTTGAAGCTCAAGGGGCCATTCGGAATTCCGGACGACATTGCACTCTTTACTGTTAAATTTATCAAGACTCAACGCCACTTTACTGGAAAAACTCCGGCATTTCAATACAAACAGTACAAGTCACGTCAAATAGCAGAAATATTTGTGTTTATATATACGGCAAGGCAAGTGCACTTGCGCGTGGTGTTTAGTTCTTAACGCAGCTGCAGGAACCAACTTGGCAGTTGCAGCTGTTTACAAACAGTCAGAATCCCGTCATCGAAATGTCGCAAGGCAAAACTCACTTGGAGGTGCAGTTGCATTGCTCAGTGTTGTTGTTGTACATGATGGTGGTTATGAGTGCGGTTAAGCTGCAACACGGTGTCAGTCACGTCATGTTCGTGATGGATCAGTCAGACGACCGACCTGGTATGTAAGACAGTTGATGATGTAGCAGATTGCTGGAGGGAAAGCCAGCTAAAGAGGGGCCATTTTATATTGCTAGTTATTGGCGCCGTGACCAGAATGGACAGAAGGTAAATAGACAGCCAAAGAGTGCATTCGTCTCCGTCAATCCCAGGAGTGTCAACACTAGCATGATATGATACAGGCCCCCTGGGCACAGGGCGCAGGGAGGTAACTAAAAGAAATTAGGTTCTGCTCCAGCCCGATAAGATAAAAACTTTTCAACTTGAAGAGCAGTGGCGCAAGCATGCCACCATCTAGGGTTGCCAATACCAAATAGCAATGCCACAGGGCATCACTGAAATAAGAGATCAACTTCTGCTCCGAACCTGTCAAGATAGAAGTCTGCCGGCCAGAAGCAGCTGCATCAGAATACAGCAAGGGGGGCCGGTATATAGCCCACTTACTTGACTTATATGTTGGCCCATTGTAATCTTGATTTATTCAAGGCACGAAACACGCGTGTGGACGAGCTTCAATGGAGTGAAGTTGATTCTGTTCCTCGGCATTGTACTGGCACCAGCTATGCTTCATCAAGAAATTCCCTGACAAATCTCTCGGCATCACTTGATAGTGACGTTAGTCACTTGGCTTGTCTTTACACGCCATGTCTTCTAACCCGACGCCGGGCCGCTGGCCAGATACGTTTTCAGGTGACCGTCATCTGAGTGCTCAGTGCTCAGGCCAAGCTCAGGCACCAAATAATGAGATAGCCTTGTTGCGAGCGTGTGAAGTGAACTGGTGCAGAAGCACAGTGGCTAACCAGATATCTGTGACTCACTCATACGGAAGTAAGCAGATGTGAAGTCACATCAATGATAACTGAGACGCCATCACGTGCAAAAAACCAGATGGAGAAAGCATGATAGGAATGATAGGAACGGTGGTGAGAGACGAGCGATTTAAGCGGCCATGAGCAAACGTGATAGGTGGGATATTGCGGGTGATAGAGTGTATCATCATAGTATATGGGGTAATCAGATATGTCATAGGTGATCGGCGGTGGGCAGTCACATTCGTCGACCACACGAGTGGCAAGTATACCGAGACAAGTGTGAGATGACAGATGCATCGAATGTGATGGTAGCGCGTGCCCAGGTTGGGAGGAATTGGAAGTTGCAGGAAGTTCTGTTCTGCGGTTGCCAACGCTGTGGCAGCACTCATTCGTCTGTCCCTAAGAAGTCCCGCAAACCTTCACTGACTGGAACGGTCAGGGTTCCTGTAAATTTTTTTATTCGTGCAGTTAGTTCAATCATTACCCCATCTATGGATAGCAAAAGAACGCTGGCGATAGTAATGGGGTCGTTCTTGTCCTTGTATTATGATAACGAGCTATCGAATACCTTTGTTTCGCGGTTTTCCTCAATGCACGACAGACGAATTCATGAACTAGCCGATCCTCGACAACTTCCTCTTCAGAAGACTGGAGGAGCTGCTATGACTTGACAAGCTTGAAGACACATGCAAACCGATCTTAAAATGTCTGCCGCGCGACCTGTACAATGAAATTAGCACTAGTGCGTGAACTCGAAAAATCAATGATATGCCTTGTGTGCCTTGCAGCTACACTGGAATATCCTTGCAGGTGTCATGAGTGCAGCCTGGATCCTGGCCTGATAGTGGGGGTAGACGCCGCCAGTTTGCCTCAGCGACGTCCCATTTCACATGAGCATATCTCAGCGCTCATTGGTACCACTTGCTCACAAACTGTAGTTGCAACGAGAGAGAGAGAATTTCTATACCGTGTTACGGCGCGGTGCTCTACGTCTTACGAGCCGAGTAGTTGCAAGTTGTCGCTGTCGTGGGAACAATATCTCGATGAGTAGGAAATTCGCCTCAAGGGTAGCGCATCTCACTCATACATGGCCTCACCCTACAGTGATGAAGAGAATGGACGACGAAATGGAGTCCAAAGGAGAGCTACTGTCCGAGCATCTTGTGTATGACTAGAAGTCGTTCTTCATCATAGAATTTCAGTCAGGGCTGATTTCCACTCCAGATTGAACTGTATGGATCGATAAGTCACTTGAACGGAAATATGGTCACTGAACCTGCTGCATCTCGTGTACTTGAGTTGAAGCCTTCTCCACCACTTCGGGAACTACGTGGACGAAATCTAGAATTGTGCATATAAAGAAACTGGACAAGAAGATGACGATTGAGGCCTGCTATCATGACTAAGTGTCTTCACCTATTGTAGGCCTAAAGAAGAAGTTTTCAACATGTGGGAAAATCGAGGAGCGTCCTGGCGGCGGAGAGTGCTTCTGTGCCGACGTGTTTTTCTGGAACGATCCGTGTTCACTTTCACGACGAGAAGATGCACCCTACAGCTTGGAGAACCTTCGAATGGACAACTTATCTAGAAGAGTGACAAGAGAATTAGCATTAGCCTGCGATGGATGACTTTCATAAGTGTGAATGTCCCACCTGGAAAACCATGTGTGCCTTACAGCGTAAATGCGTACGAAAATGTCTGTCACCCAACTTCGATAGATCAAGAGTATATCTTCATCCCGAGGCATTTGCAAGTGGAGTGTTACAGAAGAACCCTTTAAACTAGTTAGTAGTGTTCAACACCCAGCACCCTCAATGGACAGAAATCGGAATGAAAAAACCACGTGTATTTTATGATGAACAATACAACTCCGAGGCAGCGTCAAAAGAAAAACTTCGCGCCACTCCAACAAATTCCCCACATACATACGAAAGGGCACTTCCCCCAGTAAAACAAATGCAACAATCAACTCCCAGTCCCTCAGCCGCTATGCAATCAACAAACAACGACTGCGTCGCCAGTCAATACCCCACCATAAATGAAACGACTGCCCAAACCCATATGCTACCTTGTGGCAGGGCTGGATGTCCAGTCGTTTTCGTTTATGGTGATGGCACCGACTGGCCCACGGTCAGTCGCCTGATCAACGACCACTCGCCGGTCTGCAGGGGCGGGTTCTATGGGCTGAACCATGCCCCTCCCCGTTCCAACACACAGCAGGCGCTGATGCCTGCGCAGCTCGCGCCTAAGAGCATTGCGGGCGGAAGAAAGCGGAGGAAAAAGGAGGATGAAAGGAAACAAGAACTCGAGGACGACGAGTATACCGAGGACGTGCAACCCACATCCGTCACGTGCCGCGAATGTCAGAAAGCCATCACCATTGACAAGCGCTCCAGGTACTATCCTGGACTATGGCTGAAGCACAGGGGAAAGTGCCCCGGCATCCGCAAGATAGAGGTGAGTTAATTTCTCAAGGGATAGAATGAGTAACTAACTAAATCCTTTAGGCCGAGAAAAAACTTACCAGCAGAAGAGACCGGTTCCTTCTGTCGAATGCAAAATGGCATGCGCCAGCCACTTCCTCGTTTGACGCGAGCGGTGAAGAGTCAGACGAAGATGAGTACGAGGTGATGCGATTCAGCAGTAAGTCAAGTCCTCGACGAGAGCAAAATCATTTGATTCACCACGAACTCTAGCATCGGATGTGCGATCCTTCCACGACTGATAGGAAAGAGGAGAAAAGTGACTGGTGTACCGGTACGCCACGACGAATGAATTCGTGGATAGAATTGGCATCTTAAATATTGTGGGTGAGCGTCAAAGGCGAAGATCCAGAGCGTGCTTATCAGGCATTGGAAGTTGTTCACTTACTAGTACAGGACGTCTACGTCCCTTTGTACATTTCTGTGATGAGATCACTAGAGAAAGGAATGATGATGATCTTTTGTGTTCAAGATCAAAGCGTCTGGATATCGCCGCAAACCGATTTTGAGTGGTCGGAAGGAGCCGGCGCACTTTTCTTTGTCTTTGTGGTTGCTTTGACTTGCTTGGACTCTTCACCGGACCGTACATTCGTTCCTTGCTAAGCTCACTTCCAGTCAGTTCCAGTCCCATGCATTATTTGCAGTTGAACGTTTATTTTATTCAAGAGGCTTATATATGACACGCTCCCACCCCACCCTCGCTCTTATTGCATCAGACGAAACTGACAACCCCTTGTTTCGCAAATCAACTGACGTGCCGTTCAATCTGTCATGATGTTATGCTATATTACAGTCTTTCGAGACTTGTGGCCACGCCGACAACTCAGCTGATGGTTCTTCGAAACTTCAAGATGCGAAGTCTGCACGTGAAACATACGTGCCGCCTACCCGTCCCTTTGGCCTTGTGACACTGAAATATTCTTGGTACGTTATTGCTGTCCTAGATGGACTTTTAGTCTGACGATCCTCTTGCAGGTATGTAAGGCCCCTCGCCAGACGTACATGTCCTCTTCCGAGCTTCAGTACATCGTTGACTGAGTGGACAACGGTTACTCCCTGGTCCCAACACGGACAATAGACATTCCTGTTTCTAAGCGCGTGCAACTTTTGAGAGACAGAGCTCACGCATGATCCAAGGTTGACATTCACCCTTTCAAAATGGTCCCCATAGGAATGGGACTAGTACCTTTGAAACGACTTGTTGCTGGTGGGCACATCTTGTGGAATCCCCACGAACCTGAAGACACGGCCGAATCTTTCCATCACTTCCAAAGCCCTCACAACAATAATTCCAGCGCAACGGGCCCAGGAACGTTATGTTCAGCTCCCCACTCGCAAACCTGGTCGTCGTCGCCTATATTGTTGGCCACGCGAGACGGTCTATATTAAGCTTGGAGCCCTGGATGGTGGTAGTGTTCACCCTCAGACTGCTGGTGAGAGACTGTTTCTGTCGGACGACTCGAAAAACCGCCCTGAAACCATTGGCGCATTTCTCTTCCTTCTCGGCTATGTAAGGAAGCCTATGGCATTGGCATTGGACAGCTCACCACTTTCGCGCGTACCTATTTTGCGTTGTTCACCTCACCTAAACGTGCATCGCCGAGCTAGTTGCTCGACTTATCAGCGCTTAGCACCGACGGACGGACCTTGATTGGAGTAACCGCAACGATGCATATGGTTGAGTTTGGACAGCACCCCCCATACACCACTTTTTGGTCTTCATCCTCGTATGCGTGCCCATCTCCCTCGTGTTTGCCATCCTCTCCCATACAGAACTTGGGTGTGTAGTGTAGCATTTATTTGGAATGTTTCGTCCTTTACATATGATAAAATATCGATCATGAATCAACTTAAACTCTCGTATCTTTGATTTGCTGGTGATATGGAGACGTGTTGACAATGGCAATAACATGTATGTAAACATTGATGGTAGGGTAGTGTGTACGAGGTGAAGCTGCAAGCTAGGATAAGAAGGAAAAATCCAGGATAGTGGAAATTGCTGAAGAAAGAATGTGAAGGCCGCGCTAGTAGAGATGACTGACAGGGAGGATTGATGAAGAGGCAATGAGGGAGGTGATATCGACTGCGACCGTGATGGGGAATCTGGAGCTAGATCTTGGCGCGGACGTACCGCGCTGTTCCACAGATGAAAACGACCGACAGCGGCGACATAGCTATATTCACAAGAACCAGGAACGGGGGCGAGATCGGTGTCGAGAGCTGGATTCAAAGAGATGGCGGCATAGGTTGTCGGAGTTGGACGAGTAGAACCCTCCCACGCAGTTTGCCGGGTCCTATACATAACATCAGTCTAGAGAGCCGATCTATTTCGGAATGTCATTTCAGCTCATCTGATCGATTTGCTTTTGTCTTCATCCCTCAGTAGGCATCGTGATGAGTCCCTGAATTCACTGTCGCTCGAAGTTGTCTGTAGACGGCCGACTGTCCCATTCAGTTCATGTTCCTTTCGACTAGCTAAACAATCTCGTTTTTTCGACCATCGTACTAGTCCGTTCTGCCAGTGGACTACTATTAGTAGGTCGCTAACACGAGATGGCCAATTGGCTGGCCTAATATACCATGGAACGTCGAGAATGTCGAGTGACGTACCTCAAGCTCATTCTTCTCTGAGAAGGCGGTCATGAGTCTACTTATCATTGTCGTGAAAGGCTGGATCTCTAATTCTCATCTTCGAACCGTCATGGGTGTAGCTGATGCATATGGACAATCTGCTCGGCTCAGGTCATGGGACCTTGTGATCGAGGCTCATTCGGCTTGAGTATAACGATGCATCCCCTCAATATAAGAGACGCGGTGAAATACGCCTCCAGCAATATCCACCTTCATTCAACGTCAATCATTTCTGGAGTAGAGATGTAAGTTGACCATCCACCAAAATATATTATATCTCACTTGCAACGCCATCCAGACATTCCGTCCCTCGTCCTACTGGGGTGTCCACCCCGGGAAAGCTCATTCTGACGGAGGAAGATATTTCGTCAAGATGCTCTTCTGGGATGAAGTGAGATGTAATCGGTATGTGATGATATTGATGTTACCCCTCTGTTGACTGCACAAAGTAAATTGATTTCTTTAGCAAAAATGTTCGTGTTCATGGCACAGTTAGTGATGTGCGGGCCCGGCTTGGCCTGAAAGCCCCTGCTTAGGCCTGGCTTTGGGGGGCTTGGGCTAGTTTTTTTGCTATTCGTCAACCTTGATTATGATTAAATGTGCCTGCGACGAGATGATGAACACGTGAGTTGAAACGCAACGAGAGCATGATGGTTAGCATTTTTCTGCGAGAATCAGCTCACAGTTAAGTTCTTCACAGTGTACGGGTGCAACTGTTTGTTCCATTTGCATCAAATAGAAACCACAGAGATTTTGATACCTCGACACGAACGGCTAGCTCCGCTATTTCAACGATGAAATTGCCGAATCGAGCTGCGCTGGTCCACAAATCGAACAATTGTGGACTCTTAGTAAGTATTCAGATCCACAATATGGCATTGGTCATTCGTCTGGTGACTTTAGAACGCAACCACCAACCACTACCATCCAATACGCTTTTGAGTCTCACAGACCACTCCAACTTCGTTCTTCAAACCCACTTACTGTTATTCATACTATGGACGCATTCGCATCCATCGCCTCGCAGTTTTACCCATCGAATGATGGTTTCTCAGGGGATTCCGACGGACTCCCCGTTGACCATGAACATAAACCAGAGCTACCTGGTATATTTTGTGTCATTGCTTGACGTCGATCATCGACATGATGTTGCTTTTGCGACAGTGTAAACCTCTTTTCATTGCTCGCCGATCAATTCAGTACTAAAGTACACTTTGGCAGTCACAGAGCTTCCGACTACCGTCTATTCATCTTCTCTCACCATCAATCTCGTGTACATTCCACTCTTTTGTCGTCGTTTTCCAGTCGTGGGATATCCTGAAGGGATGTTGCTTGTACAACAGTGTAAACCTCTTTTCATCTCTCGCCGATCAATTCAGTACTGAAGTACACTTTGGCAGTCACCGAGCTTCCGACTACCACCTATTCATCTTCTCTCACCATCAATCTCAATCTCGTGTACCGTCCACTCTTTTGTCGTCGTGTTCCAGTCGTGGGATGTGCTGAAGTGACTATTGAAGGTAAAGACAATAAGTTAAGCTACGTGATACATTTCTCAACCTTTGCACAATACAGCAGCACCATATCACACTCGGTGACCAATAGACAGGGAACAGCGCCCGCGAAAGCGGCCGAGTACGCGTTATATATTATGCAATTCGCTAGCACATATGCATTGATCCTGTTTATGAAAGTCATCTCATCTTCGAAGGGCGGCGCGTCTAAAACGGCCGGCGGGAACGGCGGACTGATGGGGGTACGCCTCACATCAGGGCATTCGCGCGCCCAGAGATGCATCGGGGACACTGGGGGTCCCCTAGACTAGTTTTCCTCCTTATAGTACTACTCTCCATATGACATGAAAATGGATATATATGTATATGTATATAAAGACAAGGAACAGGCTGAGACTGGCACGTCGGCACAAATAAAAATACAACTTTCCGTGTTACGAACGAGAATGAAGCAAAGTCTTCAATAATAAGCCTGACATTGAATGCTGCAAATACTTTCTCTACTCGACCCGGCCTGCTTTAGAGAACTTGCATCGTCACACTCTTGTGTATATATTCGAATCTTCCAAGCCTCAGGCTGGCGCTGTAAGGTTGCACATCTGCTGTCAAGGTGTTCTTTCCTCTTTTAATTTTAAATTCACTCTTTGCCAGCGAGCAGCTGCGTATGGCGTAGTCCAAGTACTCTATATTGGAAATATAATGCCACCAGTTTCACGACACGGGTAGAACCTGCTACCGATTTTAATTTTTGACTAACTTCCCTGTGCAGTCTGATTCGATCTCGCACGGTGTCGCGACGAATGCACAATTCCGAAACACATCTGGAGTTTTATCTGGCAACTCCCATAGTTAATACATGAGTTCAGGCGGCGAAGGTCAGAGCGAAAGTGGGCCTCAGTGTCTGATGCTCTAGTCAGAGGGAAAAACCTATGAATACTTTTCATTGTCATCGCATGCACGCAGACTCTGATTCTTCCGGATAAGTCATGGATTCATAGGGTCACAAGTTTCACGAGGGTGGGTATGGATCTCCTCGGTGATGTTGACCTCGACAGGTCGAGCGAAAGTGGGTTCCACAGTATCTGGTGGATCATCATCATGTTCTCTGCGTGTCACCCTAAGGTTGATATCGGTGATGAGAAGAAGAGGTGTCAAGGTCTAGAAGGATGTGAGACTATGTAGAAAAGAAGAAGTATAAAATGCTGACGGCAAACTGAACGCCGACGTGCGTTGCCATGAGACCAGCTGGATTCCCGGAAAGCTGTAGAGCGCACACTACCACAATGCTGATAGTGTAGATTGCACCGCACTGAATGATAGTGTATATGGCAGGTTTGTATGCGTTGTAGCCAGTCAAATCAAACGTATTTTTTCCCGCGCGCCAAAGACGGTAGGCAATACCAGATGTGAGACAGATGGTAAGCACGAGGTTGAGCACGCAAAGAGACTTCGCCAAAGCATTGGAAGCCGATAAAAAGACGACACCGAAATGAGTGACCACACCCCAGGCCGCGAAGGCAGTTGCTACGCAGAGAAGAAACGTTAGCTTAATCTGCCAGTCAACTCAAGTAAACAAACCCACAGAGATGTCCAATTTCCAGAATTATCTAGCGATTTCAATACTAGTAAAAAGTGCGACAAGTAATATCTTACCATGAGGATAACCAGGATCAAATTACGATCCCAAACCAAATAAAACCTCCAAATCTGTCGTCGCGTGTGTTAGTTGAACACCTCCACATAAAAAAAAGTTATTCTCACTAGCAAGAAATGTAGAACAAGAACCTGGCAGAAGGTAAAATAAAGTTTCATGACAAAAATATGATGCCCACATCAAAAGTATACAATCCTATCATCGTCGATGAGAAGGCTGTAACCCTAGCAAAATACAAGGTACTTCCGTCAGGGACGGATATTATAGCAGGATTTGTGAGGCCCTGAAGGGCATATAAAAGGCAAACGATGCAGCTTGCTGTCGCTATCGAAAAGTGGAAAATGCATGAAAGAGGAATAATCCTGATCCAAAGGTGAGTTGCCGGCGAATGATTGAAAAAGTAATGACACGAACCAATGTGCCCTTGTTCTCCGAATAGAAATGGCATAGATGCATACGCCAAATAGTACGCAGCTATCGATGAAAATGAGCCTGATGTAAGCCTTTGAGGTCCTTTCTCACTTGATTCCTGTTGAGCGGGATATCAGCATTGAATCTATACGCTGCTAAGGATGCATACCATAAATTATAGACTGTAACCAGGCGGAGGTTATGAACATGCGATTCAGCGCAGGAAGTGGCATTTTCGCTTGTCACAAATGAGTGAGGTGCCAGTTCTTGGCAGAAAGGGTTTTTAGGGGCGATCGATGGATTAGCTTCCAAAAATGCATCAAATGCCAAGCCTGTGCAACATCAACCACTAGACCGCTGAGCATGCGGAAGCACCAGCTCAATCTGCAATGCACCCACCGGGCGACACATTCATCTAAGATTTAAAGACTGGAGGTGTCTATTGACCTTGCTCCGCGCCTCTTACTTGCAGTAGATACAAGGGGACATGGAGAAACCAACGCGTCGGGCGACAAGAGCGCATACTGTATACGCGTTGATGCTTGGGCGTGCGCTGGTCCGAGACGCCCGTGGAGTTTCCTTCGTTGACCAACGGTTCTTTAGAGATGACAAGTCCGTAATCGATATGAGCGGTAGACTCGTAACCCTGGTACATTCGAAGCAACAGCATTCGAAACGGACGATATTGGTAAAATGATTCTAGGACGAATTAAAACAATTAGGGAATAGCAAGTCATTGGGAAGTCCGTATCACATCTGCGTAGACTCCATGCGAAAAGTCCGGCGGACACGTCTGGGGTGCTGGGTGAGAAAGGTCCGGGCAAAGGCCTTATTGTTTTAGACTACCCTGCGCACTGGCGGTCAGCCACCGTCACGCATCCCGTCTATTTTAACCACCGTCACTCCAATACTGTCATTCTTTCAACTTGCCATCGCGATTCTATTCACTGGTGTAGCAGCCGTAGACTGGGAGCCGCAAACAACAAAATTATGATGCTGGCGCACGGGTAGGAAATATGTAAGCATGAAGGGAGTAGTAGACATCAGCCTGAGGCAAGTGTGAGAGACTCGCATGGATCGGGAGAGGTAAAAATGCTGATGGCAGGCAGTCGGAATGGATGTTGACCATAAACGGGATGATGGTAACATCATGCGGGGGGCTTGCAATAGACTGTCCCATTAATAAGACGAACTTGGGGCAGACACGTACCCCATTTATAGGCTGGTCTGTGTTGTAGGCAGACTCCAGACCGTCCTTTGGACTGATGAGGAAGGGCTGACTCTGAAGACAAGTCGGCAGTTTGCGGAGTTCTCTATTAGTATCTGCGGCAAAGACTTGCCCGTGGGTATATTCTTCACTTCCATCCTCCGTCCTCGAAGACCCGGTCCTTAGTAGAGAGTACAAGGACGGATTCAAACGCAACTTGAAGGCCACTGGATCTGTTCTGCACAAGACGAAAGAGACATGCAGTGGGAGAAGCATGGCATTGCAACGAAAATCCAAGCAGCTCGCGCAGAGAGTTCCTCTGAAGCTGCTTCCCTTAACGGGTACGCATGCTTTGACCGTTCGAGCATCGACATACATTCAAGTGTCCAGCTCACATCGTACTTAGACACAAGGCTCTGACACCAATAATTGCTGGCAGCGTTTGTGGAGGTGTGCTGGTCATTGCATGGACTGTTTACCTCATCTGGTATCTACTCAAACGCCGAAAAACGGAAGATCGGAATCCTCCTAAAGAGAGCAATGAGGTGGAACAATACATCATGCCCCCAGATCCAGCTATCTTACAAAGAGGCACGGCACCCGACGAGCACGGCCCACGCATATCCGTCTAGCAATAATGTCTTGGTCGTTGATATCAGGTTTTGAACTATATGCGCGGCACACCATGACATAGCTGGTCCGTACGAATGCCAGAATTATAAAATGGTGAAGACGTTTGTCGTATTGCTACCACCCGCAAATTCTGAAAATTTAAACAGACCGAACGACATTAGGTGCAGGCAGTGTGGACATCGCGGGTGCAACCTACGCTGGAATGTGGCGGATTACTGGTTTGAATGTCACGCAGGGGCCCCGTCCTGCAACCTATTCCTGCCCAGGATCAAGATGATGAAGTTGTCGAGGGGGACATATAGGCGGCCCGTGCATTCCTGAGGTCCATCTCATTCAAGTATCTTATGGCGCGCCTTATGCAACTGTAATTTACCGTCCGATTTCAGTCAATAGGATTCATTGCCCGCGGTTCGACTTCATTGTTCATAGGTTATTTCTCATGTTCCACAATATATTGTGCTTGGCTCATACTCAGGCTCGGGCCATTCTTGCTTTGCACATTATTGCATGAACCCTGCTACAGCGGTCAATTCTACATTCCACACTTCCGCAGTCCACACTTCGGTTCCTCATATATAACCCTCATGGAGTTCCCTGATACCGACGCCAAACCTTTCCCATCTGCTCAAATCAAGTCTTCCCCATCTACCTCAATCAAACATGTCCTTCCTTTCCCCCCATACAGTTGACTTTCCAAAGCTGCTCTTGGAAGACATGGAGACACTCGCGGTCAACAGACTGTCCTGGATTGCAGGATATGACATTGAGAAACACGTAAGTACGTTGTACGTTTTTACTGATCTTCAAACCAACTTTGGTGTCCAGGGATGGATTACATTCCAGGGTTTGTATTGCGATGAATTTGATTACGATCAACATGCGTGGAGCAAGCTGGTCAAGGACCAACAGACTAAGGTACGGGCGGGAGTGATTCTGGGAACATCGTCTCGCAATCTAACGCGTTTGTTACAGACTCTCATGCAATCCGTATTGGATGCTATTGGATGTTTTCCTGGCATTCCACAGTCAGTGAAAGTTTGGAAAGGCCTGGTGTGTTTTGAAGGAACATTCCTGCGTTACTCTCGTTTACATTTACCATTTGTAGAATGTCCTGCTGAAAGGAGCCCCGGGAACGGGAAAAAAGACGGTTGCTCATGCTGTCTGCAACATACTCAAGCGCCCGATGCTCCCCATTTGGGCCAATGATATCCCAGACCTTGCCAACGTGCAACCTTGGGCTGCCAAACTAGCATCGGTATGTACCATATGCAGGACGCGATACATCTCTGACGCGACGTGGTGGTTGCTTAGCTTGCGATCAAATGGAATGCGGTGTTGGTCGTAGACCGTGGAGATGTACGTATCGTCTTTTAAAGCTTCCTATATATCCCTTCTGATGATACGTCCCACAGTCATTCATGAAATTTCAAGTACGTTCTTGATCGTTGTACTGTTGATGCTGTACTAGTATAGCTAATTCTTCATCAGAACCGCGTCGAGATGATGATTCAACAGTTTGAGTCGCCCGGATGTATCTGTTTGTGGCCTGCGGTGTTGTCGGACGCGCAGCAGGCAATATTCGGGCCGCTCACCGACAGTGCGTACCCTGGCTATTTGGCCTGACTACATCACTTACTTTTCCCTGTGGCAGCCATCGAATTCCCCGATCTCGATCGGGCAGCCCGTCGCCAACGTTGGCTACTACTCTTTGGCCGAGGTGACCTAGCGGAAACTATCCCTAGCGGCGAACATGTATTTGTCCCTACCGTGAGGGACACAGAGGCGTGGACCTTACTTCGAGAGATTGAGAAAATATCTTGGTACAAACTCGATGGTAACGTCATGTTTAACGCTGGATGAACTAATGGCAAGTGCTGATGCAATGCAAATAGGAGTGCAGATCGAAAATTTCATGAAATTGGCCACAAGGTCGGCTGGGTAAGATGGTTGATATTTTGAAGTTGTTCCTGACGACTAATCAGTGCCTCACAGGGGACAAAAACCAACTCCACAGGACATAAAGGAGTATCTCAAGGAATGGGATGCGCCGCTTTCTGTACGGAAAAAGATGTCTCGGTTTTTTGCTCTTCGTGAAATGCATCGACCCGACTCGGCGAGTGACTCGTGATGGGACCATGTTCTCAAGCACAGTGAAAATGTTGTACCTGTTTGACATACGTGCTTGATGCCTTGTACTTTGTATATAGCTCAATGAAATTGTAGTTTTAACTGTTAACTTATCATTGTGCATGCGAAATACCCATACGCATGTCATGAAGGGGACGGAAGACTTCGCCGGCCCATCAGCTTCTTGCTTCTTGCATGGCCTGGAAGATACTATTACATCGTTTCGTACAAGCTCACCGCGTGCGGCTTAAATGTTATTGATGCATTGGAAAGAATATCTGAACATTCAAATACTCGAGCGATAAATCGATATAATCCATTTTATTCTATGTGTACGTAGCGGCGGTGATCCGCCAGTCCCCGACATTTAAAGATTAATTATCACTCACGGTCACTCACTTACTGTTGTATGCAAACCTGTGAAAGCGACCAACATCTGTGCTCGAATTTGATAGCCTGATCGACATGGCAATCCCTAATGAGGATGCTCGAGCTTCCGTCCCTAACAAAGCCAAACATACTTCATGGTGAAATATTTTCCGAACTAGCCCGTGCACGGTGTATTGCTAACATAATGCCATTTGAATAGATTTCCATGAACCTTCAAGTAACTGCATACGCGCGTTGCTACAGGCGGAAACATGTAGAGCTTACGATTTCATCCCGTAGTGAAAAATTGCCATCGCGCTCATTGTCGATGATCGACCAGAGGCTCTCATAGTCACCATGTGCGTAATTCTGATAGAATTGATAGCAATACCTGCTTGACTTTTTATATCACCTTTAGATTGCTTGCTTGCGAAGCGTCTTTATCGGTGTCGGGCAGCTTGGTTTAATAAAATACAGTCGGTCAGATCTGGGCTTTAAAGGTACGCTGAGTAGTCTTATTAAGTGAGACGGTCGAAGGAGGATGCTAGCTGTTTTGTTCAGCATCTCTGTACATACCGTGCCCCATCTTCGTATTACATGCATCAAATTCATCGTGCTGATGGTCATCGCAGGTCATTTTTATCGCGTGTTCAAGCTATGAGATCAAGAGGTTAACGAGGAAGACGCGTGATGCATTCATTAGGCCCGCATGTATCAGCTGTACTCTATAATTGTTTGGTAATTGTATATTATACCTTTGTGATGCAAATGCAGCGACATTGGTGGCATTGATTTGATCCTAGGTGAGCAATCGGAGTATTCGCAAGAGCATTTACACTTGTATTGCCTCCGGATATGGGCAATTACTTTGTGGTTGTGGACGTGATTGTGGATGTTATGGTACGTCCACAGTAGCCCAGCATTTAAATTCTGACATGCAGATAACCTTCACCATCAGACACACCACCACCACCACTACCACCTTACAGTATTTGCAACGTTGCATCTTCTCTATATCAACTATGAATTCGTTCAGGAACATTTTCCAAAAGTGAGTCTACCGTTCTCGTGCTCTACTCGTCATCATCATACTAATTAATACACCTCAGGTCCAACGATGACCGGAAGGCGTCGCTGAAGCACTCCAAATCAATGACATACTCACAACACCCACACTACCATGGGCCGACTGACGCAAACATCGACTCATGCACGGACTTGCTGGACAAGTCTTCCTATTCCCCTGAACCAACTGAGCGCGTCCCTCGACGTGGTTTCAGGGCGCTTTCTTTAAACTCAAAGAGCTTCAGGCCTCAAGTGCCTGTAAAGCAGAGGTATGTTAATCAAGCTTCAGCAGATGTACTGCAGATCCCTAACGACCATACTTTCATTGTCAGACTGGCAGAACGTATTCGCACCAAGTCCAATGCTGGTCGCTTAAACATCCCTCCTCCATCCGCCCCTGCTCCCCCTCTTCCAAACCACCGCTACCTTCATCGAGTGCTCTCGCGCTCCGCATACAAATCACTCGTAAACATTAGTGAAGTTGCGTCCCACGTCGCCGTCCAGACTCTGGCGCCAGCCCATCCCAAATACGATGAGATTTTGCAGGAGCAGGACCCGATTGTACTCCGTAAAGTGATCAATGATCATCCCTTATCGCCTGTTTGCAGCGAACACTACCCAGAACATATGCATCCCATGCATTTTGACATGGACGAGCCGCAGCTCGGATCTTCCAAGACACTTCAATTCTACATCAATACGGCATTGGCCCAAGGCCGTCCCTTGGATGTACGCGCAGGTGGCCGTTACCGCCGTATCGTTGACGCGCATGACCCGATGGACATCGTTTCGGAGACTGGATCTGATTGGGATGAGCGGAGTGGAGAGTAGTGATTTTATGGACACCAAAGTTTGTTTTGTGAAGAGAAGTTTGGCGCTAGTTTATCTACTCGTATATGATACCTATGGATATGGATATGATTTATGTAACGAGGTCTATTTACCATCCGAACGAGATCATGTTCAGTAGGACTCATCGGAGAAATTTTTAAATTGATTCGATTTAGTAGCATTCACTCATACACGGACTCGGATCCTCCAATATATGTTTTCAATAGTCAACATGGCCAACGTACAGTACCAGAACAGATGAGACATCCGCTCTCTTGGATTGCGGCCTGAAACCTACCAACAAATAATTGTGTACCTTTTATCACACTTGGACATTTACTCACGTACAGATGTTTGTCGGATGTGCATCATGGCGAAAGTGGTGTACACAGCAGAGCTTCTCTTAGATTGACGGGGCTCAAAACCTGCTGACAACGATTCTTTTCATCGGAGCACCCTTTGACACAGAGGGCAGAGCTAGTAGGTCAACTCATGAATTAACAGAAGGAGGGGACGAAAGAGCATATCGCAAGACTGAGGAAACAGTAAGCGGCATTGTCTGGAAAAATATATCACCGAGTGGAAAAGTGTAACAAACTCGCGACAGTAAGATGAGAAGCGAAACAGTGTACAACAGGGGCCTGGGATGATACAAGTGAGTCATGACCAGGCTGAACTGTAGTCGGTACTATACGAGGTAGCGGTCGGACGCAGACGAGGAGCAAGACAAGGTGAAGATGCTATCGACGGAATGATAAACGATACAGTTTTGAAGAGATCTAGAGAAATGCACGCTGGACGATGAAAGGAGGAGAATATTTAGTACACGAGCGCGCTGGATAAACAATGAGAAACGAAAACAAAACGATGAAAGACTGGAGGGAGGAGAGCGCGAGTCACGCACGAGTTCTAGATTGCAGTCGATTTAAGCTGAGATGAAGGGTACCCATTTATATGCATCTAATGATCCATTATCTTCAGCGACATGAGCTAATTCCGGTAACTTCTCGATGTATTAGTTCGTTCGGCGAAAGGGTTGGGCCGAGAATTAGGTTTGCGATCGACACTAACATAACACTCTTGAACACTGAAGTGGAGTGTAAACGCATGCTCGCGTGGTCTTGGCTGTAGTGAGCTCGCCAATGTTAGTAGAGTGTAGCAGGTTTCACCTGCCAGTCGGAGCTGGTTCAAGATTGAACCGGCGGCCACTTTGTGCACTGGCAGTAATTGCAGGGTCACTGGCCTAGCCAAATCGCAGACATGTAACGAATGAGATATCAAAGTAGTACCATGCATCAATGACCTAGACCACTAACATCAGTGAACTCATGAGTTCGCGATATTGTAACCATGATAACTATAGGAATATATAATTCTGTTTTTGCATGAGGTTTTCAGCGATGGACGATCTGAGGGCTAGTAAGTAAACATTTGAGATGAGAAATTATGTGGACGAGTTGTGAGCAATGGGACATGCCGATAATCGTAATACGGACCACATCTCATCTTCTTCAAGGCTGTGAAATTATAATCAAAAGGTAAACACGGTTGAGCATAAATCTACTTGCATACTGTCATTGCCAACACATCAGGCTCGAGCTCGACAAAGAATCAACACACCCAGACTGTCAAGGGATCAGAGGCATGTTCGATCAGCCCACATAGGACCAACACACGTTCTGTCAAGGGATTGTCGACGCGTTCGGTCAACGAGGCTTGAGATTGACAGAGGATCAACACGATTACGATCTGTCAAGGGATCAGCGAGACTTGAGCCCGACAGAGGATAAACACACTAAAGTTCTGTCGAGGGATCAGCGCAACCGCCAGTCGCTCAGCCGCCATGCAATCAACAAACAACGACTGCGTCGCCAGTCGGAACTACACCATAAACCAGACGACTGCCCAAACCCATATGCTACCTTGTGGCAGGGTCGGATGTCCGGTCGTTTTCGTTTATGGTGTTGGCACCGACTGGCTCACGGTCAGTTGCCTGATCACCGGTCTGTAAGGGCGGGTTGTATGGGCTCAACCATGCACCTCCCCGTTGTGACAAACATGACGCACAACAGGCGCTGAGCTCCCCGCAGCTCGCTCCTGAGAGCTCGTGTATCTATAACCGTAAATTGGCAGACTATCGAAGGATCAGCGACGTGTTCGGTCACTGAGGCTCGAGGCTCGACAAAGGATAGACACACTGAGATTAGCGTAGTTTTGGAGAGTGCGTTGTAAGATGGCTCTTGATGAAGGTACCGCATTTGGCTCGAACGCGAATTGACAGAAGACGTCTTGGAGTTCGTTTCGATCGATGGAGAGGAGCGATCTCTGTCAGAGTGTGGGGATATGTTCTGTCCCTCCTGTTGTCGTTTTTGTTTAGTTATGCGTACCGTCGAAGCTGAGGTTGTGCACGCACGTTTGTGTTTTCCGAGTCAACGAAACGACGTTTCGTTTAGAATCGATTCACAGGTGGTGATAAGATCCGTTCTGCTCCGATCGATGAACAGTCGACCAAAGAAATACAGCGACTAAAGTGGAAACTCAGACATCGAAAGCTTTACTGTATCCAAATCAAAGGATCTCACTCAGAAAGCACGATAACAGAGATCGCGCCCACGTATGCCCCATCAAAGATGCAAGTTCGATTTTGGGCGTTGGTAGTGGTGCTAAAGCCGTGGGTGCTGACGAATTGCTGGAAGGCTGAGAAAAACCTTTGGTCATGGTAAGGGTATTCGTCGAGCCACAAGCAACAATAATCAATATTGGGCATTGAGAAAGGTTACTGTTCAACTCGGCCATGAGATCGAACATCTTGTGTATGACTGGAAGTCGTTCTTCATCATAAAATTTAAGCAAAGATGGAGGTGAGATACCTTGTGCGGTCAGCGCTGATTTCCACTCTAGATTGAACTGTATCATCGCAAGTCACTTGAACGGAAATATGGTCACTGAACCTGCATCTCGTATGCTTGAGTTGAAACCTTGCCCACCACTTCGGGAGCTACGCGGGCGAAATCTAGGATTGTGCATGTAAGACAAGATGATAATTGATCACCCGCTATCATGACTAAGTGTCTTCACCATCTCCATTGTAGGCCTAAAGAAGTTTTCGGCATGTGGGAAAATCGAAGAGTGTCCTGGCGGCGGCCAGAGTGCTTCTGTGCTGATGTGTTTGTCTGGAATCATCGTGTTGAACAATTTTCACTTTCACGACAAGAAGATGTACTCTACAGCCTGGAGAACGGCCAAGAATTAGAGAGCACACTAGCCTGCTATGAACGACTTTCATGAGTGTGAATGTCCGCCCTGGAAAACCATGTGTGCCTTACAACATAGATGCGTACGAAAACGTCAATCGCCCAACTTTGATAAATATCTTCATACTGGGGGGCATTCGCGAATCCAGTGTTACAGAAGAACCCTTTGAACTAGTTAGTAGTGTCCGACACATAGTGCGTTACTTCAATGGACAGAAATCGGAATGAAAAAAAAACCACGTGTATTTGATGGTGAACAATAAAACTCCGAGGCAGCCTCCAAGACAAACTTCAGCGCCACTCCAACAAATCCCCCACATATATCCCAAAGGAACACTTCCCCCAGTGAAACAAATGCAACAATCAACCCCCAGTCCCTCAGCCGACCATGCAATCAACAAACAACGACTGCGTCGCCAGTCGATACTACACCACCATAATCAAACGACTGCCCAAACCCATATGCTACCTTGTGGCAGGGCTGGATGTCCAGTCGTTTTCGTTTATGGTGATTGGTATCGACTGGCCCACGGTCAGTTGCCTCATCAACTGACCACTCGCCGGTCTGCAAGGGCGGGTTCTATGGGCTCAACCATGCCCCTCCCCGCTTCCAACACACAGCAAGCACAGCAGGCGCTGGGTCCCTGCGCAGCTCGCGCCTAAGAGCATTGCGAGCGGAAGAAAGCGGAGAAAAAGGAGGATGAAAGAAAACAAGAGCTCGAGGACGACGAGTACACCGAGGATGTACAAGCCCACATCCGTCACCTGCCGCGGATGTCACAAGGTCATCATCATTGACCAACGCTCCAGATACTATCCTGGACTATGGGTCAAGCACAGGGGAAAGTGCCCCGGCATCCGCGAGATAGAGGTGAGCTAATTTCTCAACGGATAGAATGAGTAACTAACTAAATCCTTTAGGCCGAGAAAAGACTAACCATCAGAAGAGATCGCTTTCTTCTGTCGAAGGCAGAATGGCACGCGCCAGCCACTTCCTCGTTTGACAGCGAGCGGTGAAGAGTCAGACGAAGATGAGTACGAGGTGATGAGATTCAACAGTAAGTCAAGTCCTCGACGGGAGAAAAATCATTTGATTCACCACGAACTCTAGCATCGGATGTGCGATCCTTCCACTACTACTAGGAAAGAGGAGAAAAGTGACTGGTGTACCGGTACGCCACGACGAAGGAATTCGTGGATAGGATTTGCATCTTAAATATTGTGGGTGAGCATCGAAGGCGAAGATCCAGAGCGTGCTTATCAGGCATCGGAAGTCGTTCACTTACCAGTACCGAACGTCTACGTCCCTTTGTAGATTTCTGTGATGAGATCACAGGAGAAAGGAATGATGATGATCCTTTGTGTTCAAGATCAAAGCGTCTGGATATCGCCGCAAACCGATTTTGAGTGGTCGGAATGAACCGGCGCACTTTTCTTTGTCTTTGTGGTTGCTTTGACTTGCTTTGACTCTTCACCGGACCGTACATTCGTTCCTCACTAAACCCACTTCTACTCCCATTATTTGCAGTTGAACGTTTCGAGAGGCTTGGTATATCGATGGTTGAAAACGACGTCCAATTATCTATCTTCATACATGACATGCTCTCACCCCAACTCCTGTTTGCTTAACCTCACTGCTATCGCATCGGACGAAGCTGACAACCCCTTGTTCCGCAAATGAACTGACGTGCCGTTCAATTTGTTATGCTGTATTTCAGTCTTTCGAGATCTGCGGCAACGGCGACAGCTCAGCTGATGGTTCTTCGAAACTTCAAGGTCTAGTCTTTACTGTCACGAAGTCTTCACGTGGAACATGACCCGCACCTATTGCCGCCCACCCCCGCCCACGCCATATTACCGGCTCCAACACCACAGCTGGCATATATCTCGACCGACCTCACGGTGCTGTGTATAGCGTCTCGGATTGCAGTCTGCGGCGTCGCTGTGACGATGTTAACGACAGAGGCTCAGTCGAGCAGTACGTTGTTCACGCAGAAATAATACAGATTCAAATTGGTTCTTGATCGCTGCACACACGAAGTGCGACACCTTTAACAGCGAGAGGGTCGTTGTCTCCTGCCTCTGTAACACCGACTTTGAAAGTTCTGGGGTATGATAATGCCTTAGTCTCTACAAGCCAGCCTGAATAGAAGGAGAGGGTTGGTCAACCTACGCATAAACTTTGGAATGAACATGTGGGTGATGTCTTTTTAACTCCTTCAAATTCATTTACGCTTTATCAAACAGACGTCCTAAATCCATGTTGGGCGAATCGTCGACGCGTGCAGCTAGTTCATATGCCGTGGGACGAGATAGTTTTTTTCTTTCTTGTCTGCTGCGGTGCAGACGTTTTCATCTCGGCACGCTTATTCACGGACCACATTCGGGATAATCTTGCTTTCAGAAAATACCGGACCAGATGTTGCCAATGCAGTGGTAGGGGATATGACAATCTGTCCAGCCGTTATGAATATGACTTGCTGGGCAACGACAACATCGTCTCCTCAAAGTCCAGACTCCTGATTGAACCAATATAGAGCCTCGAAATCATGTTAAATATTCGACTTCTGTATTTACAGTTGACATGTTGATTTAACGCATAATGTTTACCGACCACGTTGCTCGATTGATTCGCTACCTTCTAATATACCGTGGCAAGAGGCATCTCAGTCGCAGTAAGCTCCTTCGCTAGCAGGCTATAAAGCATAGTTAGCAGGCGAGGTCGAATCGTTAATCTAAACCTCTTACCGCAACATCACGAGCGTATCGGAACAAGATACCCCTCCGTTCCCTGAGGGCGCTCTTGCCCGAGACTTCCCATGCTTTTCTTCGGTGCGCTTTCTCTTCTTCTCCCACTTGCCAGTCGATGGTCCTACTCTTCGCATCAATGACAATAGGATCGCCGTCTTCCACAAGAGCAATTGGACCACCGAGGGTCGCCTCAGGGACAACGTGACCTGGTGAATCGGAAATAAGTATTCGTTTTCGAATGAAGTTGCGTAAAAGATGCACCGATGATGAAACCTCTGGATGCTCCAGAAAAACGACCATCCGTGATGAGCGCAGTTGAGTTGCCCAACCCAGCACCCATAAGAGCGGCGGTGGGACCTGTGCGTAAAGGGATTAGTGGGACTGTAGGGCTTGTTTAAATTGCAACTGTACCCAGCATCTGCAGTTAAATGTGAGCACGGAGGATATGATGTGAAGGATAACATCCAACCTCTGGCATTCCTGGCGCGCCCTTCGGTCCTTGATATCTAAATATCAAGACCGTTCCAGGCTTGATGTCTCCACGCTCAAGTGCAGGGTAAAAGTCGGGCACACTTAAATATAAAGTATATGAGGCAGGCTAATCAGAAGGTCTCGGGTTACATCGTACCTCTCAAAGCATTTGGCAACACCCTAAACCACCATGGTGTTCGTTAGCTATGACGTCATGGAATCAACGAACAACCATGAATCACCTCAAAGCGCAAACCCTCCTTCCCTGTAAGCTTGGCGACAGCGGTTCCAGGAGCCAAGCTACCTTTGAGAATAGTCAAATGACCAGAGGGCTTGATAGGGTCTTCTAGCTTCTTGATGATGTCTTGGTTATCGAAGTCGAGCTCCGGAACATCCACGAGGTTTTCAGCGAGGCTCTTTCCGGTAACAGTCATCTGGCTACCATCGATTAGATCTGTGTTCTTGAGAAGGTATTTGATGATTGCGGGTATGCCACCAATTTTGTGAACGTCTTCCATATAATACTTTCCAGATGGTCCTGACAATACTGTGAGAGAACGCAATCGACTTAGAAATTTGGAAGTACTTCAAATCAGCAAGGTATGGAGTCCTGTCTGAAATCATCTGGAAGTCGTCGATGGTTAATGGAACATCAGCGGCACGGGCTATAGCCAACAAGTGAAGAACAGCGTTCGTTGAGCCACCAAGGACATTGACTATGGTGATTGCATTCAAGAAAGATTGACGGGTGAGGATATCTCTGGGCTTCAAATCAAGCTCCAGTAGACGTTTCATATACTTGGCGACTTTGAAGCATTCCTGTGCCTTCTCTAATGCGCAAGTTCAAAACTTACATGAGACAGAAAGGTTTTCTAACTCACCAGGGTACATTGCCGGTGTGCTCGAGGAGTAGGGAAGGGACATGCCCAAGACTTCAAGAGCAGAGCTCATGGTGTTGGCCCTTGGACATATGAGGAGGTTTCTGTTTAAAAGCGGCGGAACACTTACGTGTACATACCACCACAGGCACCAGCGCCAGGACATGAATGTCTGACGACATCAAATCGCTCCTCATCGTTGATGAGGACCAACAGCATAGGCACCTGATTCCAGTTCAAGGCTTTGGGGTATTTGGAGGTGGATAATCACCCACCATAAGACTCGAAAGCGTCTGAGATGTTGACAGTCCCGCCTTTCTCGAATCCCATGGAAGGGCAATCGACATGGCGCGTCCCGACCTGAATTGTACCACCGTACACGATAATAGTTGGCCTATTGTGTCTAGCGGCGGCCATCAAGACACCAGGCATGTTCTTGTCGCAACCTGGTATCGAGATATTGCCATCATAATGTTGCGCCTTACACAAGTCAAATAACTTGAGCATCCAAGAGGCTATCAAACGTTGGAGTCTCTCACAAGTGTGACCTGACAAAAAACCGAATTAGCGTGAAATTAAAGCCTCAGTGAGGTCATTTACAGCTTCAATAGAGTCCGCGATGAGATCACGACTTGGGAGTCTGGTATGCTGTATGAACAAGATATCATACCAGTGACTTTTATGATACGCACGAGTACCGCATTCCTGAGCAGATGCAATCAGACATGTCAAAGGGAATTTATTAAAGACGCCTTACCATCTGTTCCCATTGTAATAGCATCACTACCTAACTTCAGTACATACTCATTTAGAAGATGACCAGACACACCTAACACCGATGGTGTTGAAGGTTAAACCAACTAAGCCTTCCTCCGTGCAGCCCTCCTTGACTTTTTTGGACAAATCGAGCTACAAAAGTATTAATCTACCAGCCGCTCGCAAATAGGGAGCAAGACACACAAGATGAGAATTGCATGGGTTACCTGCAAAACACACTTCAGTACCAACGTCAGCACACAGAACTGGTATTATTACCTTCCCACCAGATGGGTGATATACCGATCTAGTGAATTGTCAAGGCAATGCGAAAACTACAAGTTGGTATGAGAGTACTTGGGGCTTGTCCATATCTTCCTCCGTCATACCAACGGCATACACTATGTTATACCTTTATTAGTAATCGCACGTTGGGTGTCATTCAAGGCAAGGACTTACACATAGCCTGGGCACCTCCCCGAGCCTTCGAGCGCAGCGTACATTAGCAAATAGAATTAAGAGGGACGAGTAGTCGATACCTTGTCTTGTGTCAACTGACAGGATATCTTGTTGAGCTTTCCTGGGGTGGACACCCCAGTAGGACGAGGGACGGAATGTCTGGATGGCGTTGCAAGTGAGATATAATATATTTTGGTGGATGGTCAACTTACATCTCTACTCCAGACATGATTGACGTTGAATGAAGGTGGATATTGCTAGAAGCGTATTTCACCGCGTCTCTTATATTGAGGGGATGCATCGTTATACTCGGGCCGAATGAGCCTCGATCACAAGGTCCCATGACCTGAGCCGAGCAGATTATCCATATGCATCAGCTACACCCATGACGGTTCGAAGATGAGAATTAGAGATCCAGCCTTTCACGACAATGATAAGTAGACTCATGACCGCCTTCTCAGAGAAGAATGAGCTTGAGGTACGTCACTCGACATTCTCGACGTTCCATGGTATATTAGGCCAGCCAATTGGCCATCTCGTGTTAGCGACCTACTAATAGTAGTCCACTGGCAGAACAGGACTAGTACGATGGTCGAAAGAACGAGGTTATGATAGTATTAGTCGAAAACTGAATGGGACATTCGGCCGTCTGCAGACAACTTCGAGCGACAGTGAATTCAGAGACTCATCACGATGCCTACTGAGGGATGAAGACAAAAGCAAATCGATCAGATGAGCTGAAATGACATTCCGAAATAGATCGGCTCTGATGTTATTTATAGGACCCGGCAAACTGCGTGGGAGGGTTCTACTCGTCCAGCTCCGACAACCTAGTACTTGCCCGTGACTCATGCCGCCATCTCTTTGCATCCAGCTCTCGACACCGATCTCGCCCCCGTTCCTGGCTCCTGCGAATATAGCTATGTCGCCGCTGTCGGTCGGTTTCTTCTGTGGAACAGCGCGGTACGTCCGCGCCAAGATCTAGCTCCAGATTCCCCATCACGGTCGCAGTCAATATCACCTCCCTCATTGCCTCTTCATCCTTGTCAGTCATCTCTACTAGCGCGGCCTTCACATTCTTTCTTCGGCGATTTCCACTATCCTGGATTTTTCCTTCTTATCCTAGCTTGCAGCTCCACCTCGTACACACTGCCCTACTATCAATGTTTACATACATGTTATTGCCATTGTCAACGCGTCCCCATATCACCAGCAAATCAAAGATACGAGAGTTTGAGTTGATTCATGATTGAGATTTCATCATATGTAAAGGACGAAACATTCCAAATAAATGCTACACTACACACCTAAGTTCTGTATGGGAGGTGATGGCAAACACGAGGGAGATGGGCACGCACTACGAGGATGAAGAAGCCAAAAAGTGGTGTATGGGGGGTGCTGTCCACACTCAACCATATGCATCGCTTGCGGTTACTCCAATCAAGGTCCGTCCGTCGGTGCTAAGCGCTGATAAGTCGAGCAACTAGCTCGGCGATGCACGTTTAGGTGAGGTGAACAACGCAAAATAGGTACGCGCGAAAGTGGTGAGCTGTCCAATGCCAATGCCATAGGCTCCCTTACATAGCCGAGAAGGAAGAGAAATGCACCAATGGTTTCAGGGCGGTTTTCCGAGTCGTCCGACATAAACAGTCTCTCACTAGCAGTCTGAGGGTGAACGCTACCACCATCCAGGGCTACAAGCTTAATATAGACTGTCTCGCGTGACCAACGGTATAGGCGACGACGACCAGGTTTTGCGAGTGGGGAGCTGAACATAACGTTCCTGGGCCCGTTGCGCTGGAATTATTGCTGTGAGGACTTTGGAAGTGATGGAAAGATTCGGCCGTGTCTTCGGGATTCCACAAGATGTGCCCGCCAGCAACAAGTCGTTTCAAAGGTACTAGTCCCATTCCTACATATGGGGATCATTTCGAAAGAGTGAATGTCAACCTTGAACTATGTGTGAGCTCTGTCTCTCAAAAGTTGCACGCGCTTAGAAACAGGAATGCCTATTGTTCGTGTTGGGGCCAGGGAGTAACCGTTGTCCACTTAGTCAACGATGTACTGGAGCTCGGAAGAGGACATGTACGTCTGGCAAAGGGCCTTACATACCTGCAAGAGGATCGTCAGACTAAAAGTCCATCTAGGACAGCAATAACGTACCAAGAATATTTCAGTGTCACAAGGTCAAAGGGACGGGTAGGCGGCACGTATGTTTCACCGTGTCACGTGCAGACTTCACATCTTGAAGTTTCGAAGAATCATCAGCTGAGTTGTCGGCGTGGCCACAGATCTCGAAAGACTGTATTATAGCATAACATCATAACAGATTGAACGGCACGTCAGTTAATTTGCGAAACAAGGGGCTGTCAGCTTCGTCTGATGCAACAACAGCGAGATTAAGCGGCAAACAATAGTTGGGGTGGGAGCGTGTCGTGGATCAAGATTTAACCATCGATATATCAAGCCTCTTGAATAAAATAAACGTTCATCTGCAAATAATGCATGGGACTGGAAGTGAGCTTAGCGAGGAACGAAAGTACGGTCCGGTGAACTGAGTCAAAGCAAGTCAAAGCAACCACAAAGACAAAGAAAAGTGCGCCGGCTCCTTCCGACCACTCAAAATCGGTTGAACTTGCGGCGATATCCAGACGCTTTGATCTTGAACACAAAGGATCATCATCATTCCTTTCTCTAGTGATCTCATCACAGAAATCTACAAAGGGACGTAGACGTTCGGTACTGGTAAGTGAACGACTTCCGATGCCTGATAAGCACGCTCTGGATCTTCGCCTTTGATGCTCACCCACAATATATAAGATGCCAATTCTATCCACGAACTCATTCGTCGTGGCGTACCGGTACACCAGTCACTTTTCTCTTCTTTCCTAGCAGTCATGGAAGGATCGCACATCCGATACTAAAGTTTGTGGTGAGTCAAATAATTTTGCTTCCGTCGAGGACTTGGCTTACTGCTGAATCTCATCACCTCGTATTCATCTTCGTCTGACTCTTCACCGCCCGCATCAAATGAGTAAGTGGCTGGTGAGTGCCATTCTGCCTTTGACAGAAGAAAGCGGTCTCTTCTCCTGGTTAGTTCTTTATCGGCCTACATGATTTAGTTAGTTACTCATTCTATTCGTTGAGAAATTAGCTCACCTCTATCTTGCAGGATGCCGGGGCACTTTCCCCTGTGCTTCAGCCATAGTCCAGGATAGTACCTGGAGCGTTGGTCAATGGTGATGACCTTGTGACATCCGCAGCAGGTGACGGATGTGGGTTGGACGTCCTCGGTGTACTCGTCGTCCTCGAGTTCTTGTTTCCTTTCGTCCTCCTTTTTTCTCCGCTTTCTTCCGCCCGCAATGCTCTCAGGAGCGAGCTGCGCAGGGCTCAGCGCCTGCTGTGCCTCGCGCGTATCGGAGCGGGGAGGTGCATGGTTGAGTCCATAAAGCCCGCCCTTGCAGACCAGCGAGTGATCGCTGATCAGGCAACTGACCGTGGGCCAGTTGGTGCCGACACCGTAAACGAAAACGGTCGGACATCCGGCCCTGCCACAAGGTAGCATGTGGGTTTGGGCGGTCGTTTGGTTTATGGTGTGGTGTTGACTGGCGGCGCAGTCGTTGTTTGTTGATTGCATGGCGGCTGATGGACTGACGGTTGATTGTTGCATTTGTTTTACTGGGGGAAGTGCCCTTTCGTATGTATGTGGGGAATTTGTTGGAGTGGCGTGAAGTTTTTCTTTTGACGCTGCCTCGGAGTTGTATTGTTCATCATCAAATACACGTGGTTTTTTTTCATTCCGATTTCTATCCATTGAGAGTACTGGGCGTTGAATACTACTAACTAGTTTAAAGGGTTCTTCTGTAACATTGGACTTGCAAATGCCTCAGGATGAAGGTATCCTCTTGATCTATCAAAGTTGGGTGACATTTTCGTACGCATTTACGCTGTAAAGCACACATGGTTTTCCAGGGTAAACATTCACACTTATGAAAGTTATACATCGCAGGCTAATGCTAATTCTCTTGTCGCTATTCTAGATGAGTTGTCCATTCGAAGGTTCTCCAAGCTGTAGGGTACATCTTCTCGTCCTGAAAGTGAACACGGATCGTTCCAGAAAAACACGCCGGCACAGAAGCACTCTCCGCCGCCAGGACGCTCCTCGATTTTCCCACATGTTGAAAACTTCTTCTTTAGGCCTACAATAGGTGAAGACACTTAGTCATGATAGCAGGCGCTCAATTGTCATCTTTTTGTCCAGTGTCTTTATATGCACAATCCTAGATTTCGTCCACGTAGTTCCCGAAGTGGCGGACAAGGCTTCAACTCAAGTACACGAGATGCAGCAGGTTCAGTGACCATAATTCCGTTCAAGTGACTTATCGATTCATACAGTTCAATCTGGAGTGGAAATCAGCCCTGACCGAAAAAGGTATCTCACCTCCATCTTGACTGAAATTCTATGATGAGGAACGACTTCTAGTGATACACAAGATGCTCGGACAGTAGCTCTCCTTTGGACTCCATTTCGTCGTTCCATTCTCTTCATCACTGTGGGGTGAGGCCATGTATGAGTGAGATGCGCTACCCTTGAGGCGAATTTCCTACTCATCGAGATATTGTTCCCACGACAGCGACAACTTGCAACTACTCGGCTCGTAAGACATAGAGTACCGCACCGTAACACGGTATAGAAATTCTCTCTCATTGCAACTGCAGTTTGTGAGCAGGTGGTACCAATGAGCGCTGAGATATGCTCATGTGAAATGGGACGTCGCTGAGGCAAACTGGCGGCGTCTACCCCCACTATCAGGCCAGGATCCAGGCTGCACTCATGACACCTGCAAGGATATTCCAGTGTAGCTGCAGTGGCACACAAGGAATATCATTTATTTTTCGAGTTCACGCACCGAGTTCACGCACTAATGCTAATTTTATTGTACAGGTCGCGTGGCAGACCTTAAAGATCGGTTTGCATGTGTCTCGCAGGCTTGCCAAGTCATAGCATCTCCTCCAGTCTTCTGAAGAGGAAGTTGTCGAGGATTGGCTAGCTCATGAATTCGTCTCTCGTGCATTGAGGAAAACAGCGAAACAAAGGTATTCGATAGCTCGGTATCATAATACAAGCACAAGAACGACCCCATTAGTATCGCCGGCGCTCTAGAGATGGGGTAATGATTGAACTGATTGCACGAATAAAAAAAAATTGCAGGAAACCCTGACCGTTCCGGTCAGCGAAGGTTTGCTGGACTTCTTAGGGACAGATGAATGAGTGCTGCCACGGCGTTGGCAACCGCAGAACAGAACTTCCTGCAACCTCCAGTTCCTCCCAACCTGGGCACGCGGCCATCACATTCGATGCATCTGTCGTCTCACACCTGTCTTGGTATACTTGCCACTCGTGTGGTCGACGGGTGTGACTGCCCACCGCTGATCACCTATGACGTATCTGATTACCCCATATACTATGATGATACACTCTATCACCCGCAATATCACACCTATCATGGCCGCTCAAATCGCTCGTCTCTCACCACCGTTCCTATCATTCCTATCACGCTTTCTCCATCGGGTTTTTTGCACGTGATGGCGTCTCAGTTATCATTGATGTGACTTCACATCTGCTTACTTCCGTATGAGTGAGTCACAGATATCTGGTTAGCCACTGTGCTTCTGCACCAGTTCACTTCACACGCTCGCAACAAGGCTATCTCATAATTTGGTGCCTGAGCTTGGCCTGAGCACTGAGCACTTCAGATGACGGTCACCTGAAAACGTGTCTGGCCAGCGGCCCGGCGTCGGGTTAGAAGACATGGCGTGTAAAGACAAGCCAAGTGACTAACGTCACTATCAAGTGATGCCGAGAGATTTGTCAGGGAATTTCTTGATGAAGCATAGCTGGTGCCAGTACAATGCCGAGGAACAGAATCAACTTCACTCCATTGAAGCTCGTCCACACGCGTGTTTCGTGCCTTGAATAAATCAAGATTACAATGGGCCAACATATAAGTCAAGTAAGTGGGCTATATACCGGCCCCCCTTGCTGTATTCTGATGCAGCTGCTTCTGGCCGGCAGACTTCTATCTTGACAGGTTCGGAGCAGAAGTTGATCTCATATTTCAGTGATGCCCTGTGGCATTGCTATTTGCTATTGGCAACCCTAGATGGTGGCATGCTTGCGCCACTGCTCTTCAAGTTGAAAAGTTTTTATCTTATCGGGCTGGAGCAGAACCTAATTTCTTTTAGTTACCTCCCTGCGCCCTGTGCCCAGGGGGCCTGTATCATATCATGCTAGTGTTGACACTCCTGGGATTGACGGAGACGAATGCACTCTTTGGCTGTCTATTTACCTTCTGTCCATTCTGGTCACGGCGCCAATAACTAGCAATATAAAATGGCCCCTCTTTAGCTGGCTTTCCCTCCAGCAATCTGCTACATCATCAACTGTATTACATACCAGGTCGGTCGCCTGACTGATCCCTCACGAACATGACGTGACTGACACCGTGTTGCAGCTTAACCGCACTCATAACCACCATCATGTACAACAACAACACTGAGCAATGCAACTGCACCTCCAAGTGAGTTTTGCCTTGCGACATTTCGATGACGGGATTCTGACTGTTTGTAAACAGCTGCAACTGCCAAGTTGGTTCCTGCAGCTGCGTTAAGAACTAAACACCACGCGCAAGTGCACTTGCCTTGCCGTATATATAAACACAAATATTTCTGCTATTTGACGTGACTTGTACTGTTTGTATTGAAAATGCCAGAGTTGTTCCAGTAAAGCGACGTTGAGTCTTGATAAATTTAACAGTAAAGAGTGCAATGTCGTCCGGAATTCCGAATGACTCCTTGAGCTTCATTGAAGGGGCGTTCAGCAATTTTGAGCTAGTAGGTCACGTGATGTCTAGCGACGTTTTCTCAAACTTTGTCTTCTGCTAGTATGCATTTTTGGTACTAAGTAGCTGTTGCTACCGCCAGTTGCGCTTTCACGTGTCCTCAGAGATTATTCTCTTATAGTCTCCGCGGTGGAACTTAGCGAGTGCCTCTTTCTAAAACTTTGGCATTGGTGTCCGAGTCTTTGCTTCGGTGGCTTCAGCATGGGACTTGACACACCTTGGACATCGTAAGAATTGAGCACGCCTATCTATACTCAGGCTCATATCTGCCTGGTTGCTAGGTGTTGTAAGTGGTGTTCTCACTATCTCGCTACGACCTAAAGCAGCAGTTGGTGGTGTAGTTCTTCAGCCTCGCAGCCTTCTCGTTTTGGCTATTTGAATCAATGTCGCACCCTGGAACGTGCCTCTGCTGTACAAGTCTGATGGGCCCACTGTAAATGAGGCTGTGGATGGATCGAGTCGCTTCTGTCCTGTTGACTCATCGACACTGCACGGTGTGGATGCCATGTGCATGGTATAGTTCCCTCCTTTATAATCCTTCAGGACTTAACAGGTACTGCAGTGTTTCATGACCTTCAGCACACATCTTACTCTGAAGTTCTAGTTTGAATATATCCCTCGGCCATCATTATGCCTCGTCGTCGACGTGTCACCTTCGAGTCTCCAAGCTCATCAAAATCAGCAGACTTTTCTCCGGCGTCATCTTCCCCAAATCCTCAAGTTGAGATATATGCTCCCAGTATCGAGCCCTTGAAAGGGAGAAAACATAAGCGTAAGTCGTCGGGCAACGTTAGTGACCAAAAGACGAAGAGTTCAGAAAGTTCACGATCGTAAGTCGTTGTGTGGTACAGCACAAGAATGGACTTAATCTGGCATTTTCAGGCAAAAAAAGGACAAGTAAGCATATGAAACACTCGTCATCTGAATGCCTCACAATGTGCATATTGTTTAGTGAGGAGTCAAGCTACCTAGAACACGCCCAGGACCCAGGAGAGACACAACCCAGTAGAGCGCAACAAGTCGTCATTACTAGTATGTGATATCAATCGCCGTTTAGCACATATTGACGATCTCCAAGCGGTTCGCGCAACTGACCCCACTCTTGGTCTCCGACAGATCCCAACCGGCACTCATGCGGTAGTCAAAGCTGACGGTGTCGAATACCAGACAAGCAACAAACCGCATCTCGACTTCGACATACCTATCTCTCTTTTTCAAGATGTAATCGATTTGCCTCCCACTGGTCATCCAGACCGACCCATCACCCAATTCCATCTTGCCATTGCTCTCTTGTCTAGCTTAATTCAAATGGATGACCATGTCACTGAAGACTTACCATCCGAAGTCCTCGATGTCTGCCACATCAATAGCCATGTTTACGGATCAGCTTTGATCGCAATTGAATCATTCGCTTTACATTCTACTGGAAGCACGTATGATCTTAGGAAGGAGCGGCTCGCCACATCCATCCTTCCGTTATCGTCGAATCAACTTACTCATCGAGTAGAGCGGTGTTTGGAGGGAGATGAATCGCGTGCCTTAGATGAAATGATATCCCTTCTTTATGATGTACTGGGATACTACACCGCCGAGCATGCTGGTCGAGGGCGATTGCTAGGTAATCTAGCTCTAAAGCTGCAAACTCGCTTCGAGCGTCGAGGCAACAACAAAGACTTGGATCAGGCTATCGCAGTTCAGATGGAAATGCTTTTCTTGTGCCCTGTCGGTCACGCAGATCGGTCTGGGGCACTAAATAACCTCGCCACTCAACTCTCCGCCCGCTTTGACCACCAAGGCAACGACAAAGACTTGGATCAGGCTATCGCATTTCAGAGGGAAGCGCTGGCCTTGCGGCCGGTGGATCATCTAGATCGGTTCATGTCGTTAAATAACCTCGCAACCCAACTTTCCACCCGTTTTCAGCACCGAGGCAATGACAAAGACTTGGATCAATCCATCGCAATTCAGAGGGAAGCGCTGACTTTGCAGCTGGTCGGTCACACAGATCGGTCTGGGGCACTAAATAACCTCGCGAATCGAATCTTTAACCGCTTTGAGCACCGAGGCGATGATGAAGACTTGGATCAGGCTATCGCACTTCTCAGGGAAGCGCTGGCCTTGCAGCCGGTGGGTCACCTAGATCGTTTCTTGTCGTTAAATAACCTCGCAACTCAACTTTCCACCCGCTTTGACCACCGAGGCAATGACAACGACTTGGATCAATCTATCGCACTTCAGAGGGAAGCGCTAGCCTTGCAGCCTGTCGGTCACATATATCGGTCCACGTCCTTAAATAATCTTGCGAATCGAATCTCCACTCGTTTTGATCACCGAGGCAATGACGAGGACTTGGATCAGTCTATTTCACTTTACAGAGAAGCACTGGCCTTGCGCCCGGTTGGTCACACGGGTCGGCCCTCGTCATTAAATGACCTTGCAGTTCGACTCTCCATCCGCTTTGACCACCGAGGCAATGACGAAGACTTGGATCAGGCTATCGCACTTCACAGGGAAGCGCTGGCATTGACCTCGGTCGGTCACACAGATCGGCCCACGCAATTGAATAACCTTGCGACTCAACTCTTCATCCGTTTTCACCAGCGATGCAACGACAACTCGGACGGAGACCTAGATCAGGCTGCCGCACTTTATAGGGAAGCACTAGCCTTGCACCCGGTCGGTCACGCAAATCGGTCCATGTCATTAAATAACCTTCGCAGCTCAACTCTTCTCCCGCTGCAAGCACCGAGGCGATGACAAAGACTTGGATCAGGCCATCGCACTTCAGACGGAAGTGCTGGATTTGTGCCCGGTCGGTCACATAGATCGGTCCAGCTCACTAAATAACCTTGCAAATCAACTCTCCTTCCGCTTTAGCCACCGAGGCAATGACGAAGACTTGGACCGGGCTATAATACTTCACAAGGAAGCGTTGGCTTTGCGTCCGGTCGGTCACCCAGATCGGTTCGGGTCATCAAATAACCTCGCGGCTCAACTCTGCTCCCGCTTTAAGCACCGAGGTAACAGAGAAGACCTTGACGAGTCGCGAGAGACCCTACGCTGTGGCCTGACTCTGTTGACGCAACATGACGCCCGTCTATTGGTGGCTCATGAGTCGCTAGCTAAGGTATATCTATCATTCCATCATTCAGGGCTTGACAGCATTGGCGCGGGTGATGATACGGACAGTTTCAATGCTGCCATGCATCATATCAAGGCAGCAGCAAACTGTTGTCTCCGGTGGTTTGCTGTCCCGCATGCGAGCAAGTCTACTCTGGTCTCGTCATGCTGATGAAGCACTGGACATGGTAGTCGACTGGAGGCTTATGCGACTTCCATGCAACTTCTCGACGCTTATATGTCCACGACAGCTTCAGGTATCTTCTCGTCATAGAGCCATGGCAGAACTTCTCACCTACACTTGCCGTGGAATGCTGCATCGTGTGCTCTTCGTAGCGGTGATGTGCCTCGCGCCTGTCGAGCTGTTGGAACAAGGAAGGACTATCATTTGGACCCAGATGACACGACTCCACACTCCTCTTGATAAACTCCAGACGCGCGGCAGTCACGCAGCGGCCCTGGTGAAGAAATTCAGAGGCCTCAGTTCTCTCCTTGATAAACCTCCTGCGGACTATCCAGAAGCAACTCAAAGAGTCAATGTAGAAAGAGAAGAAACCCGGTACAGACGTCTAGTGGAGGAGTGGAATGGAACTGTAGAAGAGATCCGGAAGATCGAAGGCTTCTCTCGCTTCCTCCTTCCCCCGCTATTCTCTGATCTTCAAGATGCAGCTCGTGATGGGCCTATCGTCGTGCTCATCGCGAGCAGGTCGTCTTGCCACGCCATTATCATCCCGCACAAACGACCTCCAACCAGCATTCAACTCCTTACCGATTGGTGGAAACTCGCCAAATTGATGATCGCACTCCGAGAGGCAGTCAAAAAAGAGGCCAGTCCTAAAGGGAACCAATCAAGGCTGATAAAAGCTTTGAGAGAGTTGTGGGACGACGTTGTCTGCCCAGTGGTCGAGCATCTGGATGTATTTGCACGACGAGGTTCCAGAATATGGTGGTGCCCGACGTCTTTCTTTAATTTCTTGCCTTTGCATGCCGCTGGCGAATACAGGGCAAAGGGAAAGTCCCTTTCGCAGAAGTATATCTCTTCATACACGCCATCGCTCACCGCGTTGATCAAGGCTCGCGGAATTCATGAAAGGTCCCCGCCAGTACCCTTCGTTGCCATTGGTCAGAATCACCCAGCCGGTGCCTCATTCACTTTGGATGCTGTAGAGCCTGAGCTGGAGTTGGTGCGGGGACTTTTGCCCCCTCCCCCTACTGTTTCCTTCTCCAAGGTCACCAGCGTTGATGCCACGAAATCAAGAGCGCTATGTGCATTGCAGGACAATACTTGGCTCCATCTCGCGTGTCACGGGACACAGAAAATGGACGAGCCCTTCAAGTCGGCCTTTCTTATGCGCGACCAACCGCTTTCGCTCCTTGACATCACACAAATGAATCTGTCTCAGCATGAATTTGCATTTCTTTCTGCCTGTGAAACTGCAGTCGGTACCTTTAGTACGCCCGACGAAGTGATACACCTAGCGGGCTGCTCTGCAATTCGCTGGGGTTCAGAGCGTCGTTGGGACATTATGGAAGGTCAACGATAATACTGTGCAGCGCTTAGTCGAGGCATTCTACAGAAACTTTTGCGGGGATGGCAAAATGAATTCCAAAAGAGCTGCCCGAGCGCTGCACCAAGCAGTCCAGTCATTGGCTTGTGACACGGACATGCCCTTGGACCAGCGCATAGTGTTCATCCATATTGGCATTTGACCAATTCCGTGCGTCCTCCCACCTTGTTGGTTAAAACATTTTTGAGACAATCTGACGCCTTCGCATGTAGTCATGACCACGCTCAATCTGTTCCCGAGGACTTTGATATTCCAGACTCTGGGATCGTATACCGTCATGATGTGTATACCCAATTTTGATTTCAATTTGTATTTTCCAGTTCTCTTTTTTGGGGGGCTCGGCTACTTAATTCTTGCATCGGCCTATTAGTCTCCAATAACGGCCGGCCCTTCAGTGCATCGAGGAGCCGACTTTTGGCTACACCAGCGTTTGAACACCTCCCTAAATCCTGCGAGACTCATTAGTCACAGGCATTCGTCACTTTCAGTGACAAGTATGCGCTACGATGTAAGCATGTACTGCCAGACAGTTTGCGATCACTGCTTTGATGACTTACTTATGCATTGCACCCGAGCTTACAAGTCAACTTCACTCCATTGAAGCATACCCACACACGTGTTTCGTGCCGTATAAATTAAGATTTCAATGGGTCAACGTGTTGGTCGAGTGAGTAGCATATACAAGGGCTCCGTTGCCGTATCCATGCAGCTGTTTCCGGTCGGTAGACTTTGATCTTGTCAGGAGTTGATCTCTTGTTTTAGTGGTACCCTGTGGCATTGATATTGGCAACCCTGGATGGTGGCATGCATGTGCCACAGCTCTTCAAGTTGAAAGGTTTCTATCTTGTCGGGCTTTGGCAGAACCTAATTTTTTTTTTTAGTTATCTCCCAGGGGCCTGTATCGTATCATGCTAGTGTTGACACTCCTGGGATTGACGGAGACGAATGTACTCTTTGACTGTCTGTTTATCTTCTGTCCATTTTGGTCACGGCACCAATAACTAGCAATATAAAATGGCTCCTCTTTAGCTGGCTTTCTCTCCAGCAATCTGCTATATCACATACTAGGTCAGTCGTCTGACTACCCCCTGATAATGACGCGACTGACACCTTCTTCGTCTTGCAGCTTAACCGCACTCACAACCAGCATCATGTTCAACAACAACTCCGAGCAATGCAACTGCACCTCCAAGTGAGTTTTGCCTTGCGACATTTCGATGACGGGATTCTGACTGTTTGTCAACAGCTGCAACTGCCAAGTTGGTGCCTGCAACTGCGTTAAGAACTAAACACCACGCGCAAGTGCAGTTGCCTTGCCGTGTATATAAACATAAACATATGATATGCCGTTCGACGTGACTCTTGTACTGTTTTATTGAAATGCCAAAGTTGTTTGTTCTAGTCAATTCCGATCTTGATGAAACTGACAGTAAAGACTCCACTGCAACATCGTCCGAGTTCGGAATTTTTAATAGCCCCTGAGGTCGGAAGCCCGCTACTTCAATTATAACTGTCCATGGTGCAATATCCTCGGGTCTAGACCAAACGACTTGCTCACTTGTCACGGTGAGCACTTTAAAAAAAACATTTGAGCACAGTATCCGAGTCGGCACCCAATGCTGTATCACACATATATTTGGAGTACGAGTGAAACTGTTCTAGAACATTAATCTTCCTGATGAGTCCGTCAGGTCTTCGACGAACAGAAGCCGCATCTTAAATTTGACCTGTGGCACCGGTCATACCACCCAGCGTGGAAGATCATACCCATGGGAGTACCAAAACCGCCATTAGCGCTGAGTAGTACTGGTAGCTTGTTAAGGTTATACTGAGATAGACTGATAATCATAGATCGGCGCCGCAAGGGTTGGCATCACTGGGGGCAAGATCAAGATCATAAGAGCTGACCAGAAGGTGAAAGACGAGAGCATCGTGCTCGCGCATGTGAACCTGCATGAGTGGAGGTAAGAATAAGACAAGGCCGGCCCTTGCAACGAGGAGGCGCTAAATTCGTTGTTCGATGTCCACACGGTTCAGCCTGGAAAACACCCGTGCATTTCTTTTTTCAATTCGTTGGAAACGCTATCGGTTGGTTGGTTCGTATATTGTTCGATGTACCTCCTTCGATGTTTCAAATTGATCAACGGAGACTATGGGACAAGCGACAGCGAAGAAAAACGAGGCGTTGTATACATATCATCTTCAGAGAGCTACACAAGTCAGTCCTGCCTTGCGTTTGATGAAGGGGCATGCGAAGTGTGCAGGTTCGAGGTCTTTACTATCAAGATCGGACTTTACTAGAGCAACTTTGGCATTTCAATAAAGCAGTACAGGAGTCACGTCGAACAGCATATCATATGTTTGTGTTTACATACACGGCAAGGCAAGTGCGCTTGCGCGTGGCGTCTAGTTCTTAACGCAGTTGCAGGAACCAACTTGGCAGTTGCAGCTGTTGATAGTAGACAGTCAGAATCTGGTCATCGAGATGATGTCGGAAAGCAAAACTCACTTGGAGGTGCAGTTGCATTGCTCGGAGTTGTTGTTGAACATGATGATGGTTGAGAGTGCGGTTAAGCTGCAAGACGGTGTCAGTCGCGTCATTGTCAGGGAGTAGTCAGACGACAGACCTTGTATGTGATATAGCAGATTGCTGGAGGAAAAGTCAGCTAAAGAGGGGCCATTTTATATTACTAGCCATCAGCACCCGTTACCAAAATGGACAGGTGATAAATTTGTGCATTCTCATGACTGTCAAATACTACACGGCCTCACAAAAGCGCAGCACGAGAGGTAACTAAAAGAAGGCTCGGCCCGACAAGGCAAGGTATATCACTGATCTAGGGTTGTCAATTAATCTAGTGCGAGTAGCAGCCACAGCTTCTTGATTTCTTCAAACCTGACATCATACTAGATCCGTCCGCAGCTTCACAATGCGGAACGTTACTAACTTGACCAACGTGGCCGACACGAATACAATAGCCAAGATCAGGGTCTACATGTGGCGTCTAGTCCATGTGTAATTACTAGAAATCAAATCCTTGCTGCCGAAAAACATCCAAGTTTGACCGGTTCTCAGGTTTAGCCATCTCCGCAAGATCACTGCGCTCCTGGAACGATAAGCCTCAGCATGCCATCCAGGAGATAGAGCTGGATATAACTACCATTGCAGTAAACACACGCCTCAGGGTCAACCACAACTGATCACTAGTGTGACCACCGCCCGTGCTTTTCTGCATACTAATTGCACTCAGAAAGTGTTCAGCTGCCTCTCTGTGCGCTCCTATATTGAGACCTGTGCGTGAGATTAGCCCAAAAACTTCCAGGGGAGTAACCAGAAACGCACATGCTACCCCAACGTTATAAATAGCACGAGTGTAAGTAGGGCGTAAATTCAAAGCTTCCCTGTACGCTCCAAGGGCTTCCTCAGGTTTGTTCCCATTGGATAGAGATGATCCTAATCGGTTCCAGAGTAGGTAATCCTGATCATGATCATCAGTACAATAAAATGACAGCGGCCCGATGTTCCATACCCCAGGACGCTGTGATAATGCGCTCTCAAAGCAATCCTTCGCACGTTCGTAGTCTGTTGATCCGTAAAATAGCACACCAAGGGCAATCTGAGTATCGGGATCGACAACCCCTTCGTTATACTGCTGTCGTACCAGGGTAAGGAAGGTCTCTGTAAGCTTTTCATGTGATTCCCATGTTGAATGCAGAGAAACAGCCCTTCGGGTCTCATCTGAAATTGGAAAATCAGGAAAACGGACTCCCAACCATCGCAATAGCATGTTATAAGCAGCACGGTCATGAGACTCATTGGTGTATGAGATCGCCAAGGACTACAAACAATCCGTCATGAGATGGGCAGGAAGAAGTTTCCAGTTGAAATACGCACCAGCATACCCACTCCGTTGGCATTGGCAGCTTCTGATAAGCGAACACCCTCGGTCAGTGCACGCAGCCCGAGGTCTTCGCGTTCATCCATGTTTCTGGTTTCGCCAAGAAGTATCCATGCTTCATATCCGCCCTCACCGAGCTCTCCTTTCTGGATAGCAGCTTCGAGCAGAAGGGCAGCTTCAGATAACGAACCGCCCTGCTCCAAAAAAACTTTTGCTTCGCTCAGCAGTGACTGACTAGACGAAGATGGATCAAGGTATTTGTTATTTGACTCTGTATAGTTTAATAGACGAGAGCGTGATGTGTCGGATCGGACTCACCGAACACGTATTCGGTCAGGATGGGTATCCCATCATCGTTAAACTTGGACTCAAGGGCACTCTCATTAAAATTTCCATAACTGTTATTCCAAGCGTCCTGCATAGCTGAAGTGTAATCTTGGTCAAGCTCCTCACGATCACGACCCATGAGCTGGTTGAATTGTGCTTCCCATTTGCCGATATCTTCGGTGGAAGGTGGTATATCCGAGTTTTGCATCTGATCCCAGACGCTACAGAAAAATAAGTAGGCACATAACAATGATAATCAAATGACGAACTCCTTGAAATCCCCATTAGTCTTCGGTTTAGAATCTTCAAGCTTGACGTTTTCCATGGCCTGCTCCAAAGAAGCCGTATTATCGTCCAATTCGACGATCCTAGAAGTGGATTCTTGATTTTGCAACGAAGCAGCGTACTGCAAAAACGCAGCTTCATAATCAGCTTCGCGGGCTTTACCCTTTCCTTTGCTCGCGTCTGCACTCAGGGATGTAGGATTGAATCCCTGGAAGAATGGCTGTCCCCCATTCCCATAAAAACCCATGGGCGTTCCATACACCCCATGCGAACCGATGAATTGCTGTCTCTGAGCTGTATGCCTAACATTGACTCAAAAAATTCAGAAGTTTACGCAGGGCAACTCACTTTCAGGCATCTGCATGGCAACAGAATGTTGCATAGCGGAACCACCAACGGATTGCTGCTGAGTGCCGCTAAATTCGTTTGCCCATGAGCCTTGAGCCGCACCATTCTGCATTGGAAGCTGATATCTTTCCCTACTCCATGCTTCATTGAATTCTGGAAGTCTATTCATTTCCGCCATGCGAGCAAGTTCTGCCGGATGAAGATACGGAGGTGTGGCAAGTGCGGGGCCACCTGATCTTTGCTGTCCTTCGAAGAACTGACGTGCCATTGCGACATCCTGTTCGGCAGCTTGGGATGGAACTGATCCTGGGAGATGCTGGAGCTAATGGATGACATGAATACATCTCAGAACAAAATATAGTAAAAGCTGACTCGGGAGGATGAAGGACCAGCTACACGATCCTGTTCGTAGTTGTTGTCAGATGTTGAACTATGGATTTCGGCATTGTTGACAGACCTGCTGCAAGCTTCTGTCTCCTTCTGTGTGTTTCAGAACTTGCGACAGCGGGTTCAGTGGTACAGCACATTCAGATCCGGAAATCAAACCCTGCAGAGACATGGATTCTCGAATGTTTGGTGGAAATATGGGAGATAAATGTGACTTTGATGCTTGCGCTGTGCTGTAATAAGCAGCCAGCTTGTAGCCCACGGCGGTAACTCGGAACACCGAATTCACATGGACACTAATAAACAACTACCGTGACGAGCTCTCGACAAGGCCTCAAGGATCCACTACATAGCTACTTCGTGAATGAACATGATGGCATGGTATCATCTTTAAATGTGTGATTTGAGCAACCATTGTAGAGTACCTGAAAATCGACGAAAACCGAATTCGAGTTTGTTTGTCCGCAACTGTGGTGGTTTGCTGATGTACCCCCAGCCTTCGAGACCTGAGCCTTCTCAACTGTCCACGTTCAGACCCACTCGTGATCTTAACATTTTCGAGCTCTCTGAAGATGAAGCCAGTGCAACAGGCTTGCAAAACGAGACTTCGGTGCTTTCCATCGACCGGGAGGAGATACTCGCGCTTCTAGGGACATTCACTCTTACCGTTTTGAAGGGATCTGTTTCTATACTCGGCGTAACGTTGTCTGCCTCAAAGGTAGCTCACCATGTGTTCGCCTCTCGTTCTTCTCCGATTCCTATCTTACAATGCGCCTCATCGGACGTATCTGCCAACTTGAACATATATCCCCTTCCTCCTCGCGTCAAACATAATCTTGGTGGAGCTGTAGTAGCGATTCAATCGCTCGATACAGGCGTAGAAGGCCTCGGACATGTATGCCGCGTCTTTGATGGTGTTTTTGAACCTTCTCGTTGGCAGCGGAGCTCGGCAGAGGTTATACGGCCTGGCGTGAGCTTGGTACGTGTGTTGTTCTTGAATTTATGCAAAGTATCATTTGTCTTGTCATACAGATGACGCACAGCAACAAGGACGTGCTGCCTTTCGTACTTCCAGAATCATGGAATACTGCCCTCAGCGCTGCAGAGACGCCACCATGTTCAGCGGATCTCATACCACTCCCGGTATATATTGTCAAGGGTCCGAAGAAGTCTGGAAAGAGTACGTTTGCTCGGACGCTCTTGAACAGGCTTCTGGCGAGGTAGGTCTTGAGTTTAACATAGATAAATACTGTTGACAGAGCTTTATAGATTTCAGCGCGTTGCATATCTTGAATGCGACGTAGGGCAATCCGAATTTACACCTGGGGGTTTGGTCGCCCTAAATGTAATCGATAACCCGGTATTTGGTGAGTAATCACTACATCGACCTAGTACAGGCCTTCAATGAGATATTTTTGCATCTCAGGCCCGCCCTTTACGCATCCTAGTCTTCCATACCGAGCGCATTATGTTGGAGCGACTTCACCACGGTGCAGTCCGGCACACTATCTTGCAGCCATTCAAGCGCTCCTCGAAACGTACAAACTCGAGATTCAAACTTCCATGCCCGATGACGAGTCGATTGACATGCGGGTCACCGACGTTACGCCCCTGGTGGTTAATACAATGGGGTGGACGAAGGGTCTTGGTGCTGACCTGAATGCCAAAATCGAGGAACTTACCGAGGCTACTCACGTATTTGAGATCATTGGTCCAGAAGAGAAAGGTTGGCCAGCCGCTCCGCCGACCTATGACACTCTCCACAACCAGTCTGCGCCGAGCAAGGCGTTCCAGTATACCCTCGAAGCAATATCACCAAATTTAACAAATGCGCATTTTAATGCCGTCGACCAGCGCAACTTGAACATCTTGTCTTATTTCCACGCTATCTTTCCATCTATTACACCAGTATCATTCCCATCTCCATCCGCTCCACTTCATCAAATGACGGCAACCAAATGGGAGACCTCTCATCCTCTCTGCTCCCGGTATCCGTATGAGGTAGACTGGAGCCAGGCATTTGACCAGGTCATTTTAGTTGGTGCAGGATACGAGGACGTGATCCCCTCGGAGATCTTCAACGTCTTAAACGGTGCGATCGTCGGTCTTGTTGAATGCGAGCCTGGAACCGAAGATCCAGTATATCTGGACCCCTCTGGCGCCCAGCAATTGCCATACGTCCAAGCCAGGCAACCGCCTGCACCCTCAACATCTACTTGCCATGGCCTTGCCCTCATTCGCGCTATCTCGCCTAGTTCATCGCACATGCATATCCTCACCCCGGTTTCGCCCGTTGTCCTTGCGCGCTGTCGGGTGATTGTTAAGGGCGAGCTGGAGCTGCCTATCTGGGGATTGCTTGACTTTACGGACGCAAATGAAGGGGTCTCGGGTGTAGAGAAGGGCCGTGTGCCGTATTTGCAATGGGGTAAGAGCGAAGGCTTGGGCGGCGAGCGTAGGAGGGTGAGGAGAAATCTCATGCGAAAAGCCCAAATGTGAAGCAAACAAACAAAAGTATATTATCAGATACAACCAGCATTACAACAATTGTCGTACATCACTCAAACACGATAACTACATCTGGACCCTTGGTGTCCAGCCATCGCTTCCAAAGTTTGCTATATTTTGGCGACCACGGCCGGCGTAAAACTTGTTCGTCTGACAGAAGACGCGCAATCCGCTGCATTTCTTTCAGGTCTCTGTGAGAATAATACTTCATGCGTACAGCTGCTTGGGCAAGAGTCGGGTGATGCTTCGATCCCAAACACCAAGCAGGCATCACTTCTTCTGAGTAGCAGTGTCAGGCAGAGGACTCACCGATTCCCGAAATACCATCCTATGCCACTTGCAAAATGTTTTGGCTGGTATAGAAAATTCACTGCTTCCTTCGTCGGAATGTTGTATGTCGCGGTATGGAGGTAGAAGACGTGGGGTATAGTAAGTCACAAGAGGTATCTCAGACGTCTCTTGCGGCGGCCGGCGAGCATTAGACTGTGCAAGGTGGCGCCGGTAACGAGCAGCAATGCACCAATATTTCGCTTCCGCTTCTGGCGTGGGGAATGTTCCGCATCGCGAACGTGCGAGGAATGGAAACAAGAGGCGGACACGAAGACAAGTAGAGGAGAGTGCGTGATAGAGTCTGTCTACAAGGCTCCTGCTGGAGCCCCCTTGGAGTAGGCGCCTCCCAAAGTGAGTTGCGCAGAGAGGTCGCACCACCGATGTGAGATCGACGAGTGGGAGGCTCGTTAGTAGCAAGAAAGTGACGATAGCCGGTGGCTTGGAGTAGATGATGCTCTGTGCCTCGGTCAGGCCTGCGTTCGTGACAAGTAGATCTGGATGCGAAACTCACCTGCAGCTGCATTTTGCGAGTCTCCTCGATGATGATTGAGTCACTGTTAACCTTTAGACACTATGAAGAGTATGGGGCTGTCTTGCAAGCGTTATACGTCAGTTTTGATGGCGATGTCCGGCTCTTACGAGACTGTCTGGATTCCCTAAGCCCATTCGCTTTGGCCATCCGACCTCGTGGTGGGCCGCGAGGCATACTACTGGCTGGGGCAGTACTATTTAGATCATCATGCCAGCGTATCCATACAAAAGCAGGTCTGTTTCAAACGACAAGAACATACCATTTTGTACTGTTTTCATATACAGGGCTTGGGGTCAAGACGTTCGACGTTTTATTGTAGGCACCAGACCAATCAACAGTCTGTAGAAAGCGCTTGTCTAGTTAGTAGTACTTGTTAACATGAAACTTTATGATGAGGGTGCTTTCAATGTTAGGGTAACGTCAATTTTACATAACGTTACCTGATCTGAAGTTATGTACAACAGCAACTCTGCTCTGCTCTCGCTATCAAAATATGGAAGAGGCTAGGAATAGCCTGACGGCTTCACATCCATGAGCTGCTTCGTAAATGAACATGATGCACGATGTGTATCATTAACTCTACAGTGACATGAGTCACAAACCCCAACCAGTCAACGACAACCTCGACTTGCCCACGAATGTGCAGTAGGCGAATTATTTGCCTCTCATGCGTCTCGCCCCGCACGCTTGTCCGCACTGGTTGCACTTGCCGTGCTGCGTACGCTGCAACTAAGGACTTCTCTCATCGTGCCTACAACATACACCGTCATCTTTCTTGTTATCTTTCCGGACCTCTCCGTTTTCGCACCTTACTCGAACGCACTCCAATTTCTGGATAGGACATATTATCCAAAATCGTACGCCCACAATACCTGCTTGACTGTTTATATCACATTTAGATTGCTTGCGATGCGGAGCGTCTTTGTCGGTGTTGGGCAGTTTGGACTTGAAAAAAATGCAGTCGGTCGGATGTACTGCGTTTTAAAGTTACGCTGAGTAGTCTTATTAAGTGAGACGGTTAGAGGATGCTAGCTGTCCTATTCATCGTTTCTGTACATACCGTGCCCAATCATTATATGACATGCACCAAAGTCATCGTGCTGATGGTCATCGCAGGTCATTTTTATCGCATGTTCAAGCTATGAACTCGAGAGGTTAACGAGCAAGACGCGCGAGGCATTCAGTGGGCCGGCCTGTGGCAGCTGCACTTTATAATTGGTTGGTTATTGTAGATATATCGAGCAATTACTTTGTGGTTGTGGCCGTGATTGTGGATGTTATGGTGCGTCCACAGTAGCCTAGCATTTAAATAATGACACGCAGATGGCCTTCACCACCACCTTATAGTATTTGCAACGTTGCATCTTTTACCTATATCAACTATGAATTCGTTCAGGAAGTTTTTCCAGAAGTAAGTCTACCGTTTCGTGCTCTACTCATCGTCATAATACTAATTCATACACCTCAGGTCCAACGATGACCAGATGGCGTCGCTGAAGCACTCAAAATCGATGACATACTCACAACACACATACTACTGTAAGGAATGTCACTCTGCTAGCCACGGACACCAGCTATGGAATTCCCTTTGTACCGGTTCGAAGTACTACTTATGGAACTTCCTTTGTGCTCACTTACATACAAATAGTCGGTCCCTACTTTCTACAGCTTAAGTGAACAACTCCCCTTCACTCATTCTATCAGTCGCGTCCTTCGTTCGAGTCTCGATCAGTTCCCCTTAGTACTCAACAGCCGCCTTACACTACCATGGGCCGACTGACGCAAACGTCGACTCATGCACAAACTTGCTGGACAAGTCTTCTGATTCCCCTGAACCAACTGAGCGCCTCCCTCGACGTGGTTTCAGAGCGCTTTCTTTGAACTCAAAGAACTTCAGGCGCCAAGTGCCTATAAAGCAGAGGTATGTTAGCTTCAGCAGATGTACTGCAGATTCCTGACGACCATCCTTGCAGTGTCAGACTGGCAGAACGTATTCGTGCCATGTCCAATGCTGGTCGCTCAAACATCCCTTCTCCCTTCGCTCCTGCTCCCCCCCTTCCCAACCACCGCTACCTTCACGCGGTACTCTCGCGCTCCCCACACAGCTCATACGTAAACATTAGTGAAGTTCCATCCCATGTCGCCGCCCAGACTTCGGCGCCAGTCCATCCTCAGTCCTACGTGCTTCACTCCAAATACAATGAGATTTTTCAGGGGCAGGACCAGACTGTACTCCGTAAAATGATCAATGATCATCCCTTGTCGCCTGTTTGCAGCGAACCCTGCCCAGAGCATATGCATCCTATGCATTTCGACATGGACGAGCCGCAGCTCGGGTGTAATGAGAAGACACTTCAATTCTACATCAATATGGCATTAGCCCAAGGTCGTCCCTTGGATGTACGCGCAGGTGGCCGTTACCGCCGTATCGTTGACGCGCATGACCCAATGGCCATCATTCCGGAGACTAGATCTGATTTGGATGAGCAGGGTAGTAGTGATTAGTGATTTTATGGATACCGAAGTTTGTTTATGAAGAAAAGTTTGGCTCTAGTTTATCTACTCGTATACGTCGTGTGTGATGCCTATGGATATGGATATGATTTATGTACCCATAATCTCGCTCGAACGGTAAACAGACTTCGGAAGTCTATTTACCATTCGAGCGAGATTATGTTCAGCAGGACTCATTAGATAAATCGATTCAACTTAGTAGCCTTTTCGAAGCTACGCAGGCAAACTTGCCAACAAATAATTTTTCCCTTTTATCACACCTTAACATTCACTATGTGCATATGCCTCAGTGCTTGCTGTCTGTAGTCGTGAGAATAAGTTATCTATTTCAATTGATGAGTCACTTTACGTAACCAGTTAGCCACCGTGTTCTCGATTATGATATAGCCTCCACATGCGTAGCTGCTTCGTAAATGAACATGATGCACGATGTGTATATCATACGTATCAGAACCAAGCTTGCAGGTAAGTAAGGAAGTCGTTTGCTCAAAAGTCCACAGTTTGTATACCATCATCTTCCCACTTGCCCAGTCCTAATATTACTCCAGGGTGCGTTTCTTTCTATCCAATTGCAAGTGCTTCAGATATTGACTGTAGTCCTCAGTTGACTCCACAGTGATATGTCGCAAATCCCAACCAGTCAACGACAACCTCGACTTGCTCACGAATGTGCACTAGGCGAATTATTCGGTCGCGCTCCAATATATGACGCCATCTTCTCATGTGTCTCGCCCCGCACGCTTGTCCGCACTGGTTGCAGTTGTCGTGCTGCGTACGCTGCAACTAGGGACTTCTCTCATCGTGCCTACAACATACACCGCCATCTTTCTCGTTATCTTTCCGAACCTCTCGATTTTCGCACCTTACAGGCACGTACCGGGACGCTTATTGCGGGCTCGAACGCACTTCAATTTCTGGATCGGACTTATTATTCCAAATCTGACATGGACCTTTACGTGCATCCAGGACACGTGAGAGAAGTGTTGGACTATCTGGTTCAAAGAGAAGGATATAAATTCAAGCCAGACTTCACTCAACCAGAGGATTACCGTGAAATTGTGTCTGATAAATGGGATGGCACTCAAATCCGCGACGAGACATGTGATGATGACGCGCTTTTACTATACTACCAAATTAGAGGAGTCGAATCTGTACTTTCACTCGAGAAACGTGGCCGGGATGGTCTTTTGAAGATCCAAATTATAGCATGCGAGACGAGCCCATTCGATGCCATTATAAATTTTCATTCCAGTGAGTACCGAAATATTATGGGATTAGTCTGCTGATCTCTGATGATGACGGACTTACCATGTGCATACAGCCTGCGTTATGAACTTCATAGCCTTCGACGCAGCTTATTCTTTGTATCCAGTGGCAACTTTCGAAAAGAGGGATACTCTATCGGTTTGGAGGGCAAGATCGTTGCATGACCTTACTGTCGTGATCAAGTACGGCGAACGTGGCTTCGCATGGGTTTCCACGCTACCGGCCAGCGCTTCCCCGCAAAATTCCGCATTCCATCCTTTCACAGACCGCACCGTCGGGGACCGTTATACTTGGAAACTACCTCTGGATACGCGTGGGGTCGCTTTGCGGCCACAAATGAACCCCTCTTCTTCTGTTTTCCAGTGCGACCCTGTCATCTACAACGGCTGGGCTCTGGAACGAGTACAACACGGAATGGGCACCGTCTACAAGACAATCAAATCGTCGGTTTTCCGGTACAACTACACGACTACCAACTACAAGCTGAACTTCAAGCTTTGGCTATTTGCAATCGAACAGGGCTTTTTGAGTCGCATACTGTTGGACAATAGTTTGCTGGACAAGGAGAGCTGGCCGTGGTACGTTGACATCATTGTCGCTTATGCTTTATGAAGTTTGACTTTGGTTCGTCTATGAAGGTTCGATGCTGAGCTTGCCAGCTCCTGGGAAACTTTTGAGCATGATTTTTTGTCCTTCATTCGACGGGACTCCACTTAATACAAGACTTAATAGAAGACTACCATCATGCCACCTAATAGTTTCGACATTACAAACATCTGTGATGGTTGTTGAAGCTAAGTAGCCCGTCATTTCCTTTCGTGCAACGTTCCACTCCTATAGACTGTTCAACTCGTGTAGACTTTTTTATATGCACCACCACATGTCTGGCAATAGTCTGCCGTTCAAAATATATTCCCGAGAGTCGATATTCTCCTCGTTGGGATCTTCTAGAGTACTGCCCTCGTGAGAGACGGCGAAGTGACAATCTTGAAACATTTCAGTTGATCGTCTGATTCTTCTACCTCAATACCGTCATTCATCGTACATGAACTCTTCGGCATGCCCGAGCAAATGGACAACTCATACCATATATTACCAGTTGTGAACTTTTCATGCGTCAAAATACGGATAATCTGGTCAGATCGTCAATTTCTCCAAGTGTTACCACGCCGAAGCATTTATGTAACAAGCCATTTAGCCAAACTACATTGTTAATACATATGCGAATCTGCAACAGTCAAAGTCATAAGCGCTATCTAATGAGGATTGGCCCAAGGGGTTGCTGGTATACCGGGGTACACTTGCCGAGCAAGCTGGTCGTACTGAGCTGCTCTGGTGTTTGTACTATCGAGGTGGTGGCTCTCTCCTCCTACGGGAGAGCCGCATTCCGGACAACGACTGCGTTGCATGGCTCCTCCGCACTATAGACATGAATTAGCATTGCAATAAACCAAATAACCAGATGGTGTCACCTCGCCAATCACAAATGTGTGACCATTTGCACAGTTGTAGAAGTGTCCTGTAGTGCCTGTAATACTGTGAAGAAGGATCTGCAGTTTCAAGAACGATGACCTTACCGAAGTTGAAGGCTCGCACTATCTCCATCTGCTCCTTTAACGAGACTTCCTGATAAAATGTGGATCCAAGCACGGCCTGCCTGATGGCCTTCCACTCATCCACAATCGTCTGCGCAGCATTAGAAAAGTTCTCTGCTAGCCAGGAAGCCTCTTCCTCTCGTGATGGCACGACCTTCCTTGCGAAATGCTCTGCGACTACATCCCTCATCAATCCCTGCGCCTTACGACCATGTTGTTCTGCGGCCTGAACCATCTCTGATCGTTGATCCTTCATGTTCCCAAGTTTATTGGACATGTATAGGCCAAACCGGAAGTTCTCTAGCTCGACACGCATGAGTAGAAGGGAAGTCTTGGTGACCTGTCGGTGTGATTCAGAGCTCCTTGCGAGCCCGAGAGCCTTGGTGACATCAAGAGAACAACTCTGCAGCATGAACTTGACGTAACTTGCCCATTGCTGAAAGTGGTATAACGGATAGTCGGCTTCGCGCTTGCCCACCTCCTCTAGCCACGTGCGACCCAGAGTAATCAGAGTCAGGCGAATATGCAACGTACACCAGAAGGCTTCTACAATGAACCGCCTATCGGCTAATGGACGCGGCTGGCCAACTTGCAGTTTCGCAAGTCTCATCGCATTTTCCTGTGGCCGAGCAGGCGTACGGGCTGGGTTGTTGATAAGAGCGGCCATTTCGCGGTGGTATAGGAATGAAAATGCAGACTCCCAAGCATGTACGTGAGCAGAACGTGTTTCGGCAACCACAGTCGCCTCCTTATAGGCGTTGAATAACTTGTGGGTAATCTTGCCCCAAACTCGGGCAACCGCTGAATCGATAGCATGCAGGGACGTGTTGGCAGAGTTGAGGGCGCGTTCTGAGGTGGGGACCTCCATTTTTGAGGTCAATTCCTCAGAACGAGCCTTTGCCTGCGATTTGGACTTCTTGCCCTTCGAGGGCCGGATTTTAATGGTGGCTGCATCACGAATGACCGCGGTCCTCATTTCATCTTCGGAAATAAGGAGAATGGCCGTTTGGACCTTGTCAAGCGCTCGAGACATACGGGCGGCAACATTGTGCTCCAAAATATCTAGATCAGCTCGCTTGAAGATACGACCATATCTGGGAGCTGTGATGGGCGAGCGACAAGTTGGACATGTAGGAGGTTTTCTGAATCCGATGGGGGAAAGCATGCGAAGCCACTGTCCAGACTCGTTCTGGAAGTAGAAATCATTCATACTGCAGTGACCATCCAAAGTTTCTACGGTGAACGTGTGCTTGCACGAAGGAATGGTAATCAACATCTCGTCAAGAGTGTTCGACTCCGGTGTAACTTCGGATAGTGTGCGCTGCAAGATAAAATCAACGACATGGTGTCTCTTGTCATCGGAAGCACACTGCGGGCAAATCTGGATGTCGCAATCTTCCCCGCAGACTTTCCACAATGTGAGTATGAGGTTTCGACGAGGAGATTTATCACTCACCAGAAGGACACTTGTGTCCACAACGCAAAATTGTGTTGCAGGGTACGTCACAGGGCAACCTTGCACAGACCTAGAAATGGAGCCTATCAGGAAAGCACGAAACGGCTGAAGCTAGACAGCACACTGACAGAGCCACATGGTACAGGACAGGAATGGTGTGGGCAGCTCCTGAGGATGTTGATCAGCGAAAATGTGGAAACCAATTTAGAAAAGTTTCAGTTACCACGTGCATGATTCTTGACAAGGCGCGCAAGGCATCGAACAGAGCAATTTACACCGGGCATGAGAGCAGGCTTGTCTACATGGCTTCCTACAAGCGACGGTGTGCTTGTGGTCATCAGAACAAGCCTCCTGACACAAATGCTCGCAGAAAAGTGGTTTCTCGCAAGGGTGAGTAGCATGCTTTGTCCTCTGTGTATGTTCTCCTTGGGAAGGGGTATTCTTCTGCTGACATTCGTGGCACTTTGCATTGCATGATCTTCCACAGCAACTCATAATCCCGTTACATGGAGCCTTGCAGAGATAAGTGGCTGGATCAGTCGAACACGCCATGCGAGCAGTATGCTCGCAATGAAGTAATTCCTTATCAACCATGAAATTACAGTAGACATTTTGCAATGCGTTGATCTCGTGGCTAGAAATAAAGCGTTGATATCAAGTTTTCGACTGGAGATTCAAGACATACCATGGAACAGAGGCCTTCGTGTGTCCGCATGGAAGTTCGACGTTGGCTACCGGGAAGAAACAATCGCCACAGGTGGAAGCGCATTGCTTGGTACACGGATGACCTCTTGCGCAAAGCCTTGTACATGATTGCATGCACATTACAGAGGCATGTTTCTGATCATCACTGTGACACTAGAAGGAATCTTAGTCTCATATGCTACACTGAACGGGAGAACATTACCTTGAATGGACACATGTGACCGCAGATCAAACGGAAGTTGCAGGGCCGCATGCATCCTCCTGAAAACGTGACTCAGTGTATTGCTCGAGTTCAAGGAACGATCGTACACACCATCAGGTGCGATCTGGGGTAGTTGACCCGGTTTGCAGACATACTCGAGTGTTTCCGGGTGCCGATGACAAGCGATAGGAAGTGCTGGACCAAGGGCGTCGCCCTTTTCCAGTTCCTCAATGATATGCCGCCACATTCGGCTCTTGGAGGACAGGTTGGCAGCATTTCCAAAAATGAACAGACCTTCACGTGCACGAGACAAGGCCACTAGAACACGATGATCAGCGTGCCACGCCATTATACCATTAAACAGCGTACCATTCGTGCGGTTCTCAGACTGCCCATGAAATCAGATTTTAGAGCGCACCTCAAAGTTGTATCCCTATTTGCTCACCTTTAGGAAACCGATGCTGGGTCTGGCTCCGTGTGTAAACCCAAGCATAGCCATTTCATCGTCCAGGTCTCCGGAATTTCGGACCAATGACAAGATCACGATCTAGGAGAAAACATCCAGGAAATGAAATAAGACTGATGTAGACACTTACTCTGCCCTCTTCGCCTTGATAGTTGTCAACGGTACGCAATCGAACCTAGAAACAGATTGAGCACACAAAGAGATTGCCTTCAAATAACAATACATACCCTTCTCGTGACTTTTACATGTTCAATCGTGATCCCACCATTCAAATCGTCCTCCTCATTATCTCCCTCTTGGTCAGCAAGAGCAGCTTGGTCGCGCTCATCAATCACGATCGCCACCTCGTTGGCGAGGGCATCTCGCAGCTTGGCAAGCTGACCAAGGTAGGCACAAAGAACCACGATGTCACCTTCCTCAGAATAGCAGCCTTGCCTGAATAAAGCATATTAATCCTCGGACTACGAGCTTTGTGTGCTCAGACCTCAATAGATACAACACTAGTTCGCGAATCATTTCCACCTGTTATGGGTCAGTGAACAGCTACATCATCAAGGTAATAAAGATCCTTGCCTCAAACAAATTGAACTTGCTGGCGGAGTCTTCTGCACCCTCATTTTCCCTATTGTTGTGATTGACGAAGAACAGATTCTTCGTAATGCCGCGAACAGAGGGATAGTGGCGGACAAGCTCATGATCTTCAAGACTGGGGTAGAGCGTGTTCCTGATAGAAGATCAGTATGCGCCTGATATGTAATAAGAGACATACCTAATCAAACTCGAAATTTCAGGCCTCATTCGGCGTTGTACATCAATTCGAGACATAGCAAGTCCAGAGCTCGAAAGACGTTCCATCAGGGACATGTCAAACTTATAGAGATCTCGCCCTCGCTGGCTATCCATGGACATCGCTAGTTGGACGTCAGTCAATATAATATATGTTCATCATGAAGTGCTCACAAAAATTGTTGAGTGTCGGCCGAAGTTGTAAGGGGTCACCAATCATAATTAGGTGCTCAATCGAGGGCACCAAACTTCCGAGCACATGAGCCTCCAGAACCTGTCCAGCTTCTTCGACGAGCAAAACTCGAGGACTCAGACCCTGCGAGAGCTTAGATTAGATGGATATAACGCCAATCTCAATCAAATCACTGACCTTCAAGAGCATGGCCAACTTTGCTGCGCCTAGTGAGTATCACGTTGTAAGTGGAGATGCTTGGCTGAATACAGAAAACACACATACCAGTCGTGGTACAACCAATAATATCGATGTTGCGCAGTAAATTTCGACGGACCTGAACAACCATTCGAACCAGCTTTCAACTAAAGCAAAACAGCCACGCACCTCTTCTTTGCCTTCATTACATTCTCGCAGTATACCCTCGTGAAGTTCGCGAAGGCGCTCAAACTCGCCTGTCTGCGTCTCAGCCAACTCTATGCGCGTATTTTCAACCCAGAAATTGTGTAGGTTGTGCCGCTCTGCCTTGCTCATCGTCCAAATGTCACCGACATCTTCGAGGAGTTCATTCAAGGAGCGACTGGAAGTGGGAATGATAGGCCATTGCGAGCATCCGAGGGCTTCAAGGAATCCCTCAGGGTCTTTGAAGTCCGCCCGTCTCAAGCCAGCATCGTCACGAGGTTCGGGATCAATATGCGGAATGGGGGAATCGGAAGCTTTAGTGGGAGCAGCAGGGACTTCCTTCGAATCAGCAGTTTCGGGAGATGGTGACTTGACCTTGACTCTCGTCCAGGCGTCCTCAACCGGCAGGTCTTCAGAGGGCGACTCATCATCTTGCTCCTCGCCCGTCACGGATTCATTATCCGAGTCGGGCAACGAATCCTGTTCTAAAAGATAAAACTTGTTGCTTGTCGTTTCGTCAGGCGGTGGCGTGGTTTTCCAAGGTGCGTATGAGCCATTATTCAAAGTTTCGATGAATTCCAAGTCAGATCCGTCCCTCCAAAATGCATAGAATGACATGTCCTTGACAAAAGTCTTTTTTCGTCGGCCCTGTTGCTGCCATTCACCCGCATCGTTGTCGTCATCGCCGCCGCTGAAAAGGGACTTGATGTTCCGAATCCACATTGGCGGAGCAGCTAGGTATCCGGAGTGCTCCGGATGCAAGACTGAGATATACTTCACAACCTCGGTGGAGTCCGATTCTAGGTCGTCCTTCAGGACCTTGAACATCAAGTTCCTGATCCTTTCTTGGATCTCCTTGAGTTCCCTGCGCTTGCTGGAAAATGTTCTATCGAGGCGAGACTCCTGGTTCACCTTTTCCAGTGTCTCGATCGAATATTGCGAAATTCTCTCATCCGCCGAGCGAGAACCCAAACGGACGACCTTTTTGGTGATGTCTGCATCCAGCACAGAGCTAAGCATGTGATCCAGTGCGTGATTCGTGAATGCAATCATCAAGATGGGGCCGACATTATTGGCTCGTAGTACACGGAGCAACTCGACACCGGTATAACTCTAGGGTGTGCGAGTCAGAGAGATCTATCAGCTTAGGTGAGAGTTGTTACCTTTCCTGTCCCTGGAGGACTGAACATGGCGTCAGTCAGCATTCACACCCATCAAGTGCGACACGCTCACCCTTGAATTAAGGACACCTCTCTCGTCAGTGCATCAACAACTGCATCTGCCTGGCTCGGGTCAAGGCGGCTATCTCGCCGCAGCTCAGCACGCGCGTTTTCGATAGATTGATGATCTGTCACTGAGAGCGTCAAGTCCTCTACGTCTGTCTTGTCGGGAAAGAGACACGAAAGATTGTACGCAAAGCCAGGCATCGTTGAGTAACGTGGAGGTTCCACTTTACAAGTTTTTAAAAATCCCGGTGGCCGGTGAACTAGATAGTGCGAGAACGGAACTAGTTCGGGTTCGCCTTTCAGAGCTTCAAGGAATGGTCGGATGGCTTCAAACATGACGGAGGATTCGACCAATAATTTGATGTTTTGTCCGAGCCTATGAGGGTTCCTAAGCTCCTGCAAAATACGCAACTCCAACTTTGTGTCGAAGAAGACGATGCGAAGCTTCACGCGATCTGGATCGCTCTTCACATGCTCAGTGAGATCTTTGAGGGAGCTGGCAATCACCCCAAGGTGCACAGAGATATCATTGCCAGATTGCCACACAAGCGCAATCAAGCCGCCCTGGGAAAGGCGCTTGCCGCTCATGCCCTCCCAGAATGAGGTTCGCATACGGGAGTTGTTGGAGCGCGCACGGCCCGGGGGTGCGTCAACAACGATGCTTGCAGAGATACCTCTCCAGTCAGGTACGAGCGACCCAAAATCAACGCCAGTGTAAACGTTAAACATGAGACTGTCTTGTGTGTCTGCATGGCCACGGTACTTTCCTCCTCTGTTCTTTAGAAGCTCTGAGAGCTTCGTCTTCTTCCGTGATAGTGTTTTGAGGTCGTCATAGATGAGCTGAACAGCTTGGCGCAAAGGGGCACTACACAAAGTTCAGCCAGTGCCTAAAACTAAGAGTATCTAGACAGCAACATACGTCAACTCTTCTCGCAAAAGCCTGAACTGGATATCGAGCAAGCGTTGCATGCTCTCCATAGGTGCTGGATGAGGAGCACCAAAGAAGTTCGCAGGCAGAAACGGAGGAATACGGCACATGAGTTCCTCATGTGTGGGAGCAATGCGAATGTCGTAGATGTCCTCAAGGTCATTATCGTGACGAGGTCCACCTTCACGCAAGGCACCTGGACCTTGATATCCACTATGAAGAGCGGCAACGATGCCCTCATTGGAGGGGGCGGACTGTTTTTGACAATCAGGACGTATTTCTTTTCCTTGTTCCCGTTCAACAATGGAAACCAGCTTGTGAATCTTCTCGTTGAGAGTTTGAATGATCAAGTCTCGTACAGTAGGCTGCAGGCCTCCAAGAAAATTATCGAACGAAGGCGAATTAGCACAGACACCAGTCTTCCACTCTACAAACCATTTCTGCAGATTCATAACCAAGGGTGCCAGTCGGGGATATGTCGCAACAGCGTTCTTGAAGCGAACAAGAAACCTAATGCGGATTGCAGTAATAATAATGAAGGGAGTGACAGTTCCTTACTCGTGCAGAACACCAGCAATGGATGCAAATGCCTGTGCATCAACAGGGTCTTTTCCAGAAGCTCCTGGGTCGCTAAAGGAACGGGAAGCAATGATGCTGTCCATAGACTTCTCGACAGCGTCTGCAAAATTTGGAAGGTTCTGTAAAACCGTCATGTACAGTTGACTAGCGGCAGTTCAGTGAGTTGCATCACGACGAATCGAAGATACATACTTTGCTTGAGTCCTTAAAGTGCTCTGAACAACGAAGTCGGAAGACATATACTGCAACAAACGTCAACACTAGCACGGGCGTTTAATATGTCGACGTACTCTAAGCAGGGGGATAAACCCTCTCTGAAATGAAAGAATTTCGCGACTCATTGCTGTTTTTGAAGAAACACTGGGCCAAGTCACTATCTCGGCAACCCGAAGTCGACCAATGTTCTGCGAATTTCGATTGAGTGTGCATCAAAAGACCCTTGATGAACGTACCGAAGTCAAAGCTTCGAGTAGTAACTTGAATAAGCATTGTCAACACAGAAAATGGATCTGGTAGCAGCGGCATACCTGTCCTTCTTCTTGAGTCTGAATTTAACGTTAATCAAGACGAGTTGCATGACATATTTAAAACCCACCCATGAGCTATTTTGAATATTGGCGCTCGACAGTGGGACGAGAAAGCCGTAAATCTCAGGTACAATTTTGAAGCGAAAATCTTCTCTAAGGAATCTCCTCAAACGGCTTTGGGTCTCCGACGGAGTCAGAGACGTTGTAGCATCCTGAGGAAAATAACCGTCGGTACCACCTCCTACGAGTTTTGATAGACCTTTCTCTGTGAGGAATGGGGCAATGAACGCTTGCGCAGCTTGTGTAGGGATTATAGAAGGCTGCGGAGTTCGCCTGCCATCTTGACCCTGCGGGAGGGTGTGTGCACCAAGGCAGCCGAACTCTCGAAAACATCGACCTGTCTCCCAAAAGTTTCGGCATACTCCTCGAGGAGGTGGACCTGAGCGTATTATTTGGCGTTGAGGGCCTTGAGCATTGCGTCGTGAAGGAGATGCATCCGAAGAAGACACGCTTAAGCTTGGTGACAACGGCCGTCCATCTCCTCCTCGACGCTGTGCATTTGGAATGTGTTCAAAAGTACAAGATGTGCCACGGCGGCAACCGCCTGGCGAGTTATAGTATCTACAACTTTGGCGTCGAGACATGTTGGGTTACTAGTAGTAACACAGTCTCTAGCTGTGGCGTCTTTTAAGTGGAAGGATTATCCATGAGGTGACTGGGGACCTACAGATGCAACCAGTGCAAAAAATTAATTCAGAAGTACTAATAGAGCTCTTCCGACACGAGGCTTCACAGGATGTGTTCAATTGGCCGATTGCCAGCTGATACGCGCCCTTTGAAGTTAATGTCTTATGAGATCTGTTTCCGGCGCAACTTGGCCTGGTCTTTCTAACCGACACCAATAAGATTATTCGCATATGATACGATTGTTGTAATACGCACGCTAGTTGTTCCAACAATGGCACTCGCTTTTTGAGTACATCATGATCAAGTGACAGGAGTCAGTCAACAAATGTTACGAAAGGGTTCGGCGAATCAGCTGAGTTACAAATTTCAATCACCCTGTTTGATCAGCGGCCCCCATTCAAGACTCGGCACTGCATCGTGACTCACCACAAAGTATTCTGCACCCTTCTACCCTGTCTTGAGTCACTGGCCTCGTTTGTGGCCTCGAGGAGACGAGTGCCAATTGCCGGGAGGTATTACCAAAGAACGTAAAAGCTCATTGGTCATTTAAATTGCCTGGAACGTCCAAAAATTTGTCTTCTCCAGTCTGCCTTGAACGAATCACCTTTTCATATCAAATTTTGTCTCAATCCTAGATTAAGTTGGTCGAGCATGCTGCACATTTAGTAACGCCCTATTACGCGTTTCCGCAGCACGTCACAACGGGTTACCTGGGGAGGCTACCACTCTGCCTTAATGGCAACGTCTCAGTCAAGCCACTGAGCCCTAGTTGGCCTCGTTGGCAGCCTCGAGGGGATGTCATCATTACGAATGATTCCAAAAGCTATTTCCAAAGAACATATTAAACAAGCTCGTGATTCCTTGGAACTTCCACAAGTTCAAGGTTTGCTTAGGGAAATTAATCGTTGCCTAACTTCTAGATCAAAGTATGTGGGTCCATCAATCCATCGCGCATCCCCCCAATACACGTTGCCTGTGATAAGCCTTCACACGCGTTGTATCTGCCCCACTTCAGCTCCGCTGATCTATGCCGCTTCGAGTTACAGCAAGACTAAATGCTCCGGGGGCCCTCTCTCGAACTAGAAACGTTCGAGAGAGTCACATTACCCCTTGCCTAGTCATTGCATGTTTTCAACCTCGATAGCGTTCTTCGCTATGACATTCATCATGATGTTTTGTCCTTTGTCCTAATCATACTTAGCCCTGGACCCTTTCCCACTTACCTCACAATTAAGTAGTTATATATCTGTATTTTTTAGTTTGTGTGAAATTAGCCAGTCCTATCGGGGGGACTCTATTCAGAGAACTAGATACGATGATTAATAGTACCAGTATACGATGCACAGCAAAGAAAAAGCACAAGCACGAGACGAGCCCGCAATGCAAACATGTCGTGACTGCGTATTTCCTGCAGCTGACACCAGAATACTCATATCAAGTGCAGTAGGCGTCCCTGTCGTGGAAGTCGAGGTGGCGGCGGGTTGAGAATGCGATGACGCTTGGGCTCGGACTTGACCATGCAATTGCTGCGTTGTTGAGGTTTGGTTGCTGAGTCGGTGTTGAGCCGAGAGGGAGGTAAGAGTGAGGACAGACGACCTAGGAGCGCATGAGAATGTAACAATGAAGAGAGGTGGATCACGCACATGTTGCGAAAAGGGCATGTTTCTGCGTCAGTCATGTGATTGGAGTCACTGTCAGAGTATCGTGTGCTCCCCTTCCTAAAGGCTCAAGTGATCTGGAAGCGTCGTTCGCATTCTCGACTTCTCATCGTCAGGCACCATCAGGACCTAGAAAACAAACATACTCACCAATCAGTCAAGCAAACAGCCTACCCTCAATATTCATATTTCACAGACTTGACACCAAGACGATTCACAGCGCCGCAAAAATGACATTCATAGTCAACCCCAGAGAGTGATAGTATCTTCTGTTCAACGAAGACCTTCATCACAATCTTCGTGCCTGGTTCAATGCTTGACCATTTGTGGCGTGTAAGCAGGGTTGCTTGCGTGCCCCCGTCAATGCACAAATCGTACTTTCCTTTCTCTATATAATGTCTTCGGATTTTGGGCTTCAATCGCGTCGCGTTCAAACAGAAATCGGAGCATATGATTGAGTCGCTAAAGATAATTTGACAAGTAAGCTGCCACGAGAAGAATTTCGAGGTCAGAGACCGAACCTGATATGAGGTGCACCAGTTTACTGATATCGTTTGCTGGCGGCCTGCTGCATCTACCAGGGTCACGCAGCCAGGCGCGACGCTTCCGGGTATAATTGATGCAGATGGTGTCGCGAAGGCCTGTTCGGTGCTCTGAGGACGCTCCTCCAGCCTCCGCAAAACTTTATAGAGTTCGTGTATTTCACGTCGACTTTGTGTTTGGGACGACAACTAACCATAGAGTAATGAGTGAATGCAAGCAATCACCAGGGAGTAGAACACAACCAAATACTGCGTCAGATAATGGTCGATGTCAGTTGAGCATGCGGTGATAGCTTGCGTAACAGATGCATATGCGAGATGCCATTTTTGGAACTTTTCCAGGTGGGCTGAGGTGTCTTGCAACTTCCTAAGTGCGACTAAGTGTTAGATAAATTCAAGCCCACATTCACAAGTGGTTTACCTAGCTGAGAGGTCTCTCCGATAACTCCACAAGTAACAGCACAGTTGATGGAGTCGCGATCCTAGGTCATCTAAAGCTGCCTTGTTCTGATCGCATCTCTGTGATGGCCCTTGAGATCCAAAAACATTCTCATCATTTCATAAGCACTCACAATTATAAGTTGAAGGATTCCCAATAATCCGCCAATAGCCACGTTCATCGGAGTCCCGACAAGCAAACGTGTCAAAGGCTGTACCAAGGACAAAGTTACCTGAGCGATGTCAGAAGCTTCGCAGGCAGAGGATGCGCCCCAAGGGCACATGACAGAGCTATGGCCCTCGTGGTTGGCGGTTATTGAGTTGTGTTGTGTCCATCCTTGATTTTTATGGCGCTTCAAACGTATTGCAATGACCTTTGCGAACACCTGGAACAACTTGAACGGAAAGGGCATTTCGGTTAGATGGCAATGACAGCAGAGGATAAGTGATTCTCTTTTTGCGTCTAAGATTTGGCTAGGGGAGACTAGAGGATAGGTGAGATGTCAGTGGAGAGCGAAGGAAGGAGGGCAGGAAGGCGGTTGAGGTACTTGACCGAAATGACCATCAGGAAGCCATCGATGAGTCTACTGGCTGTGCGCAACACAGCCCTAGCTCAAGAAGTTCTACTAATCAAATTCATACAATGCCACGAAGAAGAGTTTCACGCAAAGTTCACACAGAAACTGTTTCAGCATGATGTGAACATGAGGTGCATGACTTTTTCAATGTTTGTTCAGGCCGTTGGTTCGCGACAGGTTGCTGACGATTCTTGGACTTCAAGGACAAAGGCCACGGGACAGGGTGCCTATGAGACGGTGTTTGCAGAATTTAATATTTATCGTCGACTTGTCCTGCGACGCATTCAGTGGTTCCCGTCTGCAGAAAAAGCTGCGTATTTTGAAGTGAATGATTCACGTCGATATTCCAGATGCGCTGTTTATCCCATGATGTGCTCGAGCTCGCGGAGGTGCGGTTAGGTGTTGACGAAGTGATGAAGTGTTAGTGACGGGTAGTATTTCAGAAAGATTCCTGATCAATTAGTATAAGGACGGAGCCCCAACATGTCTCTGGTAGTATATCGGATAGTACACCCGCCTGTCATGAACAAAACACGACCGCGGGAGAGCGGGGTTCGACTCCCCGCCAGAGAGTTTTTTATAATTTCTTTTTCAGTTCTCAATCTGGTGACCTATTGAATACGTGCGTTTCTTTGATCAAGTGCATTATTTGGGAACTACTCCGCTACCTGTACGATTGTAACATACAAGTTGCCAGTCTGCCAAACGTCGAAGGCGACAATCAGGAGTTTTTCTACGAGAGTTTTGCGATTTAAGCTATCTCGAAACCTTTCAAAACATTCAGATATACTGACTTAAACATGGCGCAAAGTTCGAATATGATGCGGAAAAGGGAGATAACGAATCAGAGGCAGAACCAAATTCATCCTGGACGCACAGAACGATGACTAGCAACTGTCCAATTGGACACACCTGCCATGATCTACTACGTGGCGATAAACGGGCAAGTTGCACAGGAGTGCTGAGAGTGACTAGTGACCGATGAATTGCGGCACGCTATCATTAGCTAGTAGCGTAGGTTTGGCCCCATCTCCAGCGACGTGCCAGAAATATGGTAGCACAGTAAGCAGGAGCCTGGAAGCTGTTGATTGCTTGACCATTGGTCAACGGCGTTCCAACTTCCCAGAGAACGTCAACGAGTCGTTTCGTATAAACCACTCCGTCGTAGTCCCGTCACATGCGTGTTGATCGAACTAAATTTGCAGGGCGGCACAGCTAGTTAAATGATCCACTTGAAACGAGATCAACCCTAAGCATACATCAGCGCTACAGTACCTATTTGTGCTTGCCCGTAGCTTTCCCTTTACCCTTATGGAAAGCCTTGCCCTCAAAACCAGGTCGAGCTTTAGTTGCCCCCTTTGACGACGAGGACTTTCTTTTATCATTCCGTCGCTCGTTTCGCATCGCGATGTTATCTGAGCGTTTCTTCTGCTTTGCAGCCATGGACGCTACGACTTGGTCTTTCCTCTCCTCCCTGCGATAAGATGAGTGTCAATGAAAAAATCAAGTATATTATTGACGGCTTACCAGGACTTCTTGCTCTTCGCTTTCTCCTTTTCTTTCCGTTTGATTGCTTTCTTGAGGCGCGCTTCATCGTCCTTGACCTTGACGCCTTCAACACGCGCCTCCGCTTTTGCCCAACGACTCTTATCTTCTACAGTCTTGCGTTTGTCCTCCGGCATTGAGTCCAATTTTTCCCTCCGCGAAGCGAGCTGGGACAAGGCCTGATGAGGATTGGAAGACGTCTTGAGCGATGCAGCCTTTTTGCTCGAACTCCCAGCCACCACAGAAAATGATACATTGGTCAATGGACCATCGGAACGACCAGATGCCGCAATTTCTTTTGAAGCGACTGGAAAGTGCGGAACAAGTAGCTGATTCTGTTTGTCAAGCACAAAGAGATGAACTCGAGCTCGAGCCTGGCAAGATGCAACATACCTTGACAGGAACACCCTTCGTCACTTCCTTCTTGCTCACTTTTTTGCCTTCAACCTCTGCCTTGCGCCTTTCTTTTGTCTCTTTTCGTCTTTTTTCACGAAGCGCGGCGCGTTGCTTTCTCCTTTGCTCCAAAAGCTCGTCTTTATCTCCTGGTTCTCCACCACCTTGTCCACCACGTCGGAGAGCTGCCATGCGCAAATGTAATTTCTCTCGGAGGGCAGCGATGCTCTCTGGTTGAGCCATGGGTACTATGGTGTCGAGTGGGGCGGTCACAGCGGTATCGATGAGATCCACGTCATCCACTTGCATAGCTTCATCGTTGGCATCAGAATCGGACCCAGGTACCGTAGCTTTCCCCTTCCCCTTAAGAGCAGCTTCATTCTGAAGGTCGATGACTGACTTTCGGTTGGCAGGGTCCAGCTAGGAAAAGAAGAACTCAAAATCGAAAGGGAACATCAAGAAGCGATGATAATGGCTGACCTTATCCCTGCGAGCCTTTTTTGATGCTTCCTTCGCAGCTTGTTTGGACGCCTTCTTGTTTTTGCTATGTTTTTGATACTTGGACGAAACCTGTCCGACACGCACAACACCATTCAGATTTCATCATTAAACGATTGAAAATTTAAGTAACGCACATTGCCGTCTGCATCATGATCGTCTTTGGGCAGGTAGTGCTTGGCGGGTATCAAATTTAGTAAAGCCTCGAAGGTGTCATTATGCGCCTCGACTGAGGCGCGCAGGACTTCGAGTGGTGTGAGCATTGGACCTTGTATGTATTTGTTCGTTGCTGGTGAGATGTGTTAGTTGGGGTTCGAGGAAGAAGAGGGAAGGGTTCATTGCGCACCCAGCCAGAAGGACAAATAAACCGACTAAACAGCGGTGGGCTACAGACGAAACGAAACGAAACTCAGACAAAAAACAACCAAATGAAAATAAGGTCGAACGAAAACACACACCTCTAATCAACACACCATTAAGGTCGAACGCAATGGAAGGAGGAGTGAGAAGAGGACTATGACAGGGGGGTAACAATCGTAATCAGTACCTGGTTCGTCAGTCACCAACCACTACGGCCATCATCGCACATAAGACCAAATCGACGCGTGTAGCAGCATACTCTCAGCTTTTGTACTGTGCAACCTGCAAGCCATGACATTTTATCACCCGACTACTCATTTCAGTACAAAGGGCAAAGTCCTCGTCGTTGTGCGTATGCCAATATTCGATTCAAGACAGCTCACTGAAGACAAACCCTCCAAGGCAGCCAGTGGTTTCTGTCGCGAACGTCGCACAGCTCGCGGCTGACCTCCTCATCGCTTCGCTTTCCTTGCATCGCGTAGGCATATTCGACCCTAGGAGCTTAGTTCCCGTCGTTGGAGCTCGCGAAGACAATCTTCCGGGCGTCACAACACCACTCGAGCGTATGTCTTAGTTCATGGGCTGCCAGAGTCTGGGCTAACAGATAGGCTAGTGTTTGGTCGCGATGATCTTAATATCGCAGTCATACAACAACGTTCACCTGTATTAAAGGTAGTAAAGCCGTCACTCAGACGTGATTTTTTACCGTGCTGATCATGCATCCCACCAGTCCTCGAAGCAGGATTTTGTTGACTCCCTGTTGGAATTCATTCGTACCTCAGGAGTCTCAGCTGTCCTCGTCATCGGCGGAGTAGATATGTCCAACAGGACTGATCCTCAGATGCTGTTGAGTTGCAATAATTCAAAATCTGAGTTGTGAATTGATGTTCTTCCGATCCTTCCAGTACACCCACTTGTCAGATCGTCCCACCTGGAACACCTGATCTGACGTCTGGTCCACTGGCCGCTCTCACGACCCTGCCAATACCCTTCTACGCTTCACCCGTCTCCCAATTCCTGCATACCGATGCAGAAATGACAGACATACCTTTCATACCAGGCGGAGGGTTAGCTCGTCGAATATTCTCCTCACTTTCTGACACATGGCAAATCCCGATTGCATGCCTGTTGCAATATGTCATGGAGGGGGATAACAGAGCAGACGCCCAGCTCATGGCAGCTGTAGTATCCAAGGTGTTGCAAGTAGAGGTCCCTAACTGGAAGCAACCTAGCAGTTGGGGTCATGGTCTTTTCGGTACCCCTCATGATCAAACATTGTACGGTTGACGAGTGTATTCTACAGCCTAGTGCGGATGTTGACAAAAACAATCGAGTAATGATCCAAAAACAAATCTACACGCGCTTTTTGCTAGCCTGCGCTGAACTTTATTGATGTTTTCCAGCAATGCCAGTACGGTTTCGGCCTTTTTTCTTGGCGGCTTGAGACAGCGACACATAAGCATACGGATCCACACCGCCTTTCTTGACGTCACCACCGGCTTTCTGTAATAAATCATCAGACCCTGCGAGTACGACCACAGCAGACAACCGACCTTTGCCTTAAACTCGTGGCCTAGTTTTGGCTCGGTGGGTCGCTTGTGTTTCTTCGTAGTAGTGGCAGAACCATCAGCCATCTCAACATCTTCATCTTCGTCCTTATTCTCGCGACGTCTTTTTTTAGTATCTTTGTTGAACTTGATGCGTCCATTCGGTCCACGGGTAAAGCCATCCATTGAGGTCATACTCTCCTTATATGCACTGCCTGCAACGTCTTTGGCAGCCTTCCGAGAGCTGATTTCAATGTCAGACTCCTCGTCCTCGTTGATAACAATCTTCCCAGTGTCAGTGTCAGTTTTGAAGTGGCCTGCGTCTTGACCTGGCTTGCGGCGTCGGTTGGCTTGGGCATCTGTAAAAGAGGTAAATGATACGGATGCAAGCACATGATAAACACCCACTGGTCAATCGCGATGCAACACCCTGCAAGAGGTCCATCGGTTCGTCATCGTCCACCCGCAGACGCACTCCCTGCTCAATTCCCTTCCGTTTTGGTCCCGCCATGGGTCGAGATGCCTGCTCATCTTCGTCGCTGTCGCCCAACTCGCTTTCACTGCCATACAGAACGTCCTCAAAGGCATCACCTGTAGGAACCTTTCCTTTGGTTGCCTGGATAAAGTCATCAGCGATGGTAAATTATAGACGCTCAGGGGAAAACAACCAACCTCCTCCTCTTCGTCATCGTCCTCTTGAGCTTTCTTCCTTTTAGCTCTTTCCTTCCTTTTCTTGATATTCACCAACACCTTTGCGGCTTGATCCTCACCTGCCGCTTGATACACGTCGTTCCACCCAAACCTCCTAATCATCCGCTCGAAGATATGGCGGACCTTTGTTTTGAAATGGTTCTTGTGATCATGAGACCAGCCGAGGAGTGCAGGGACAAGTTGTTTTATATGCGGTCGTAGCAATTCAACAGGTAAAGTATGAATCGCAAGCTTTATGTACCCGAGCGTAGACTTGATGATCTCACGGTTGGTAGAGGATAGGAAAACAAGAAGAGTCGTGAAGATCTCTGTCTGCATCTGGGTATCGATGGAATCTACTCAAATCATTAGATAAGTTGCGGTGATGACGTCTACTTACATACCTCTGAATTCAAAAACGAGACGGGAGATGGCGGTTACGGTCGCACTGATCATGTGCGGTGAAGCTCCTGCTAAGCCTCCTGCAACCATGGTCATGTACTCGTTGATGCTTGCTTGTGCTGCAAAGAGTACGTCGGTAGCTGGACTTTCAGTGCGATCACAACTCACCTTCGGCACCATCCTCATCCATTCCATCTACCATGCTCCTCTTTACTATACCACCGTGGCTCATCTTTTGACCCATAGCAACAATGAGCTCGAAAGCAGCCAACCGGGCTTTCTCTGATGGCTCCTTCGTACCCAAGACAGCCTCTGGGATAAGCGAAGGAATGACGTGCAAAGACTCGCTAGGTATCCGAAGTATCAGCAGAGAGAGCAAGGTGAACCGATCTTTCTTTGCAGCAGGTGAAAGCCCAACAGAAAGCTCTTCCAGACGTTGGAAAGTCTGGAGCGGGTCCTCTTCTACTTTACCGTGCTCCAGAAGCTTCGCTAGAATCTTGTAACCACGCTTTTGTACGCCGTTGTCCTTGTGACAGAGCACCTCCTGCGCAAGGCACGTCGAGAACAGAGCGGCGACATCTTGTGCATCCAGGAAGGGAAGGAGGAGAATTAAAAGGTCTTGCATCATTGCGGTGGTGTTCCCGTTGTCTAATTGTTGGAGGCTTTGACGGAAAAGGTCAACGACCTTGCGATAGGCCTTTGCAATGTCTTGCTTCTCTGCGAGTCCAGCCCAAACACCGATGACGTCGCCCACCATGCCACGATTATCCCTATCTACGCTACCGAAGACGTTGAAGAAAACAGCGAACCAACTCTCTACTTGGGTCTTGAGGAAAGTAAGGTTCTCAGAAGCTTGTTCGGGGGTAATTGCGTTATCAGTTCTCGAGGACTCTTCCATGTCTGTGTCGACCTGGGATGCGATGGTCTTGTTGGACTCTATCAAAACCTTCAGGCCCTTTAGTACAGGTGGCCGAAGATCAGGTTGGGTGTAAAGTAACTGAGAAAGGAGTTGCGAGAATGCCGGTGTAAGAGCCTAAAATGATATCCATCAACATCAAAGCCTGCATACGAGCACCGCACGTACTGTCTTGATATCAGGAGGCGCATGGCAATAACCCGCAAATCCAGTCCATATCTGAGCGACAAGCACACTCCACACTTTCGCCTCTGATTGCCTTCCTTCACTATCAGCCTTTTGCTGCAAATTGAACATCCGCTCGCTCATGGGCACAAAGTATGAGACAAAATGGCCAAGGAGAGACGGGTGGGGTTGGTTAAGCATAGGTAAAAGGAACGCGCGTGGTTCTTTGCCTGCTTCACTGAAATATATACATATTCAGCCCTAATCTCTTTTCCCGTTTCAAAATGACTCACCGATCTGAGGGCTCTAAATTCAAAGGAATAGCTTCAAGAAGCACGGCGGGACCCACTACTCGCATAGCCGTCGAAAGCACATCATCAGCGGCTTCCTTGTGCTCAAAGCCTTTTTGGATCCGCAGATCGGCAATTTTCGACACCAGAGGCATGAGCAAAGCCTCTGTAGCAGTAGTAGACTTCGCAGGGTCCACACGAACGCCCAAATTTGAGACCAGAGCTGAAATAACCGAAAGCAGCTCCTGCATGGCGGATGCAAAGGACAGGGAGTCGAGGGCTTTCGTCATTTGCGAGATGATGCTTCGCAGGGGCGATTTTCCAGCTTCGCCGTCGGAAATGGAGTTTTTCACGATAGAAGACGTGATACACCGTGTAAGTAAAGCCAGAGATTCCGCAACAGCTTTACGAGTTTGTGGGTTCTTCGTCTCAAAGTACGACCACACCGTTTTCCACACTTTGTTTAATTCAGCAGCACAGGCCGATGCATCCGCAACATGATATGCAAACATTGCATCTCCTAGAACACGAATCCAAGATGGAGAGATAGAATTATCGGCTTTTGTTGGCGGAGACTCCAGGACGGCATTTAGAACGGCTGGGATTTGTTCGATTGCACTGGCAGTGCCGGTCGTAGTAGATGCCGTAAAAAGATCGGAAAGAATCGAGTATGCAGCCTGAGAGAGGTATGGGTTTCCTAATCGTGGAAGGGTCAAGAGTGTGGTGGTGATGGGTGGAATGGCCTTGCGAATATCTATGTTAGCAGACAGTAATTTAAAAACTATTTGACATACATCGATGGGAAGATTTGGAAGTACTGGGCGCAAGAACGCAAGGAGATGGATAGCTGTTTCTGCAGCTGAGGTATCGGACCCTTTTCCTGATGATTTTGATTTCGGTAGGGCACCAGAGCTTGCTTGCTGAAGCGCAATATGAGCCCACTCAGCCACCCGCTGAGCATAAGGATGCCGAATTAAAGGACTCGGTGGGAAGGAAAGAACATCTTTTACGATGTCAGCTGCTTTCTTGCGCACTTTTGGTCGAGGATCCAGACATAATTGCAGTATTGATGCAAATGATTGGCGGACCGCAGAAACGTCTAGTTGCGATTTGTCAAGGGCTTTGAATACAGCATTGTACAGAGTCAATTGTGACCTCAGTGGAGGGGCATGTGCCATCAAGGCAGGAAAAAGTGGTGCGGTCAACGATAGAAGTGTATTGAGATTGGTCTGGATAACTGGCGGAGGGACGAAGGGAGCCACTAGAGCAAGGAGATACAGTTCTGCGGGTAGTACGTCTCCATCTCCAAGTGAAGTCTCCTTCTTTTGAATGCTTCCATCGAGAGTTGTGATCAATGCAGCAAAATAAGCCGTAGGCGTCCTGTCCGTATGCTTTTCCTGAAACGTCGATTCTAGAGCCTGAAGCAGGTTTGCTGGTGCTTTCTGGTGGGCAAGATTTGAGGTCGTGTGAGGCCGTATCTTGGCTAATGCCTCCTCCATGACGATCACTTACAACTGTAAATGACCGTCCTACTGATATGCAGATCAAAATTTTGATTATGTAATACCCAAGACTACTTTGAGTAAGTCAACTTAACGGCTATTAGTAGTAGTGACATGTAGACCTTTTCTTTCCCGAATCCTCCCCATAGGTACAACATTTCATGTACACGACCTTCACGACAAGACTCGCATAAATATGCCTGAAGGTTCCACCACGCCTTGGTCTTATGTCTTAATTCGGTGAGGTCAACAACATACCAAGGTTGACGGAATTTGACTGCGGTGTTATTAGGTTACTCTTCAAATTTGTGCTGAAGATATTCTATGGGACCATTGTCGTCGAGAATGCTGATCTTATACCGAAGACCGGGCAACCATGGTCCGTCCCCAGTTAGGTCATCCTCCATCAGCTAACTTGAAAATGGTTTCGCGACTCAGCATTGTCTGCGCCAACCACCCTAATTCCCTTACGGATGCACTGTAAGAATACATCTACTCTGACCAAGCGCGTTAACTCATAGTTTGTATACGTCAGTCTTCTAGTAACCTCTATGCCGTCCAAAGTAAGCAACTTCGACCTTCAACCTGACGTCACCACTTGGCCCACAATTGCTATGTAGACGCGTAATATGCTGCGGCTCACGGCAAAATCCACTCAATTCGGCCATCGGACATTTACCAGCTGGTTGGTCGAATCAGCAGGCACTGTGCCTATCAAGCGGCGCAAAGACTACAATAACACCGAGGTTGATAACAGTCAAGCTATGGACAAGCTAATGGATGTAAGATATGCCTATAGTATACATAGGAGATCTGACGATCCAATTAAATCTAACAGGCACTCGAAGTTGGAGATGCAGTTTGTTTATTTCCGGAGGGGGCAAGTCGCTATCACCCTACCATTGCCCCTCTCAAGACAGGAGGTTTGTTAACTGATTAGTGACTGTTAATGTTTACTTCACCGAGTTATCTTCTAGTGGCTCGTATTCTTTCGGATGTCTTGAGTCGTAATCGTGACGATCCAAACTTTTCCATATCCATTCTGACGTGCTCAATCACTTACATGTAATCAACTACTGTGGTTCTTCCGCCTAGTCGCTTACCGCGTGAAATTGTAGGCATCGACAACATTTCAGATCAGATGTCCTGGTGACATTCAACCCCCCAATGACGTTCACTCCCAAGGTGCGTGCATACGTATAACCATATAAAGCACTTCATTTAATTTTCTGTGGTTTAGGACAATCCAGAGCTCCTCGCTCCCGTGCAATACGAAGAAATTCGGGCTGTGACTGCACGGATGCAGCAACAAATTAGTTCCCGAACGATTGACTCGCCATCTTGGGAATTTGTGAGATCCGCGAAGATGGCGACACGCCTATATGCACCTCTTGGGACTCGTATGAGCCTAGGAGATTATGTGCGAATCACCAGAACATTTGTCGAGGCATTCAAAGCTTCTGACGATACTCAAAAGAGCAAACGTATTACTGAAGATCAGTCTCTCGACTTCACCAAGGAGGACATTGAGCTCAACCAACTGCGTCGTGACCTCAAGGTAATGCAGCTTTTAACGAATGTACCAGTTTCTAAATTACCGTCAAAAGACTTATCAAGACCGGCTTGCTCTCTGGGGTATCAAAGACGATCGCATTGCGCGACCCCTCTCCTTGGGAACGATCACCATGCGAATGGCTATTCGACTGACATGGTTCATATGTCTGTTCACCATCTCTCTTCCAGGCCTGGTGCTCTGGACCCCCGTATTCATTACCACATTCATCGCCGTCCGGAATTTCAAGAGAACTGGACCAGTCTGGGACACCTTTGATGAAATTGCGCAATATAAACTTGTCTATGGGCTTTTTTCGGGCCTATCCGTCTGGGCTGCTTGTATTCTATTGACGCTTCCTTCCGCCGCGTTCACAACATTTCTTGTCCCTGCAATGATGTGGATGACCCTGAGATGGACGGAAGACGCGATATCGGCTTTTCGCGCTTTTATGGCATTGGCGAGGCTCCTATGTGTTGGGAAGAAGACGCTGAGCGAGATACGAGTGACGAGGCGGGATCTGCATTCGCGATTGATGAATCTTGCTGTGGGGACTTTGGGATTAACGGATGATCCCGAGAAGTTTTTCATCGAACGCGGGGGTAAGCAGAAGGGTCGTGTGAGAAGCACCTGGGACAGCGGAGCCAAGTACTTCTCTGTCAGAAGGAGGCGGAAGAGAGACTGGAATGAGACGTTGAGGCTGTATGACCAGGTGGATTATCCCGAAGATGGTTGAAGAGGGGCTGTGCGAATGAGATGTTATATCCGCCCTACTGATGTTTGGTATTTTGTACATACATCTAGACAATCGCCTTTTGGTTATATAAGTGGAGGGAGCGACTTGTAATAAACATATTTACAAAATGCGTACGTACATACAGTAAGTGCTGCAAAAGGTATCCAAAACATGTACAAGTAAAACCGAAACGCAGTCCGATTGGTCGTGAGGGGAAGAAAGGCACTATACATTTGTACCATAAGTTGGAACGGGTTTGTATGGTCTGAAGCGATGACCTAAAATGGGTGAATATGATCTGTTACCAGCAGCCCACTTATGGCCGCGGTCCGCAGCCACACCAGTTATGATGACGCCAGCTCCGACAGCAAAGCCTAAAACCCAAGAAACCGCGTTTAAGACATAACCAACACCTTTGCAAACCATATTAGGGCCAACAAGACGAGAAAGCAACGCAAAAAACTAACCAGGCTTAGCGTGTTCGAAGGACGGGAATCGGTCCTTGCGGTACAGCTCGGTGACGAGAATGAACGTCACAAGTTGGAACACAGCTGCGGAGTGACGATGATGATGATGATGATGCCCCATGATACCACGTGCTTCATAACGACTTACCGTGCAATATGACTAGACCTGCGACGGCTCTCCAGACCCTTCTCCTTCTGGAGTGGGTGCTTATGCCGATGACCAAAGCGACTAAACCCATCGCTGCAAAACCGACACCAAGCTCGGTGAAATATTGAGCAGAGGTCCACAGAGCACAGAACAAGCGGTTTTCGTTATCACATTTGTCTTGTACGCGGGAAGGAAATTGACGACATTCGTAATCGGAGTATTCCAGACGTCCGCCTTTGGAGGGGCCAGGGATGCTGATGGCAGAAGACTCGCATCGTTCCATTAGCCCATAGCGAACTGTTACATGCGTGTTCGCGGTGTCATATCTTGCAATAAGCCTTCAAATACAATATGTCAGGGTATTTGGTGGTTAAAAGGTTCTCTGGGCGAACCAATCCGGGAGACGTGAAGATAATATATTCTGAGACCCCCCTGGATGAGTGTGGCTCATGAAATGGGAGTTGAACGACGTACGATGACAAGAATGACGACTACAGCGACAAAAGTCGCTGCATACGATGTTTTCCTCATTACAGGGGATGTTTTGAAGGAGATTGGGAGAGAGCAAAGTAATATTTGTGAGGCTCCACAGCTTGTTGAATATGTCTTGCCATGTCCTTTTATTGTTAGTATTATGTAACGACAATTACCGGATCGGTCGGTACCAATGCGATATCTTCGACCATTCGCGCAAATATCTCAGTTATTGCCCTGATGCTCCGGTGAGAGAGACATCCGTGGAAGGAAGTGCGTATACATCGCATTAACTAAATCGTTCTATCGTTGTTTCTGAGCCTGTTTTATACATCATGATGGTGTTTCTAACTTTAAGAGACTCGGATCCCAAAATACAGTGAGATGTAGTATTCATAGAATATTGAAATCCATGACGTCGACGGTCGTTTATGTTATCGCTTCTCTTTGCTTGTTCGTAATGTCCGCTGCCGCATCGTTGAACAATTATGTTACTGTCCAAATAAATAATATGTTATCCGCCACAATAATTTTGGATATCTCAGAATCCGGAACATATTCCTCTGTTACCATCACTGCGTGTAATAGATTCTTGTAAAAACATTTCCACTCACGATGGTATTTTACAATGATCATCTGTCGTATGCTCCGCTCAGTTTGGTCTAGTCCTCGATGGCGAAGACAATGCAGAAGGTGTGGGATTCTTTGTAGTGATGAATCGAAATACAAAAGGCCCTGGTTTGATAGCAATCGCGCCGGCATAGATTGCAGGGATGGCGGGAAATTTCAGATTGGTCGACGCTATGACAGATTGGGCCGGGTTTGGTGGCAAGCACAGGTTAGATAGACGCTGCTTGATATAGCAGGTGTGCACGTTCGTACATGTCCAAAGTTAATTACTTAGCAAAAGGTTGAAGGATTATGCGCACAAGGGTTTATTATGTCAGCGAATATCGCTGGCGTAGTGGCCTGAAATGGAGATAATCAAGTCTAACGTCTCCCTAATTTATGACATGATAAGCTATTCCCATATGTCCAGCTTCGATCGTGAATCACCTTGCTCCGCAATTGAGGTCAGGTTAAAACGTTGCCACGAAAGCATTCAAGGCAGCTGGCAGATTTTGTAACAATCTCCATAGGTATACAAGCACGCACGGCAGGTACCGGGACGAACAGGGAATGACGTAGCTACTAGGTTGGTGGCGGAAGATGGTCCGGGGGATCGTCGTGCGGGGATATCATATGGATCAGAAGTTGAGAAGCCTCTATGTCGTATGGTGATAGCAGATAGTCCAAGATTATCAGCCAACAGGAAGGCCCCGCCGGTTGGAGGCTCAGAACTCGAAGTTTTCCCTATATGATACGCCCCTGGATACGCACAAGTTTTAACAGGCCTACACGACGACTGTCTAATATTTATGGTATATTTCAAACGGCTATTGAAAAATATCGACTTTTCAACCGTACCCTATTGAGCAACCAATTAATTAATGTAACTAGGTTTCGCAAAATCTGAGAGCATCATTCTCGACTGGCATCGTGCTTAAATGCAGATTATCAACGTCAACTTCTGTCTGAGTCGACTATGACTCGAGGGCCCCTTTGATTTCCCCTCCCCAACATGATACATCGATGAGGGCCACTGGCCAATGTCCTTGTCGATTAGTGGTTAAATCATCGCATTGTGGCTACTCCAATCTGCGAAGCCGGAAGTTCGAATCCTCCCTGGGACAAGTGTAATTTTTCCTTCGCGACAACGTTGGAGCGAGCACGTTTATGCATACATACCAGATCTGAAATTACTCGTCACCCCATATCATATCATGGTAGCTTGGCTATCATCATAGTTGACGTCACGCGTGTGAGGCTGTTATGATGCGCTTGTGTCAGTGGTGCTGTGGAGCGCCGGATATACATAGTAGCGCTGGCTCCAACGAATCTCCCACTAGAGATTACCTGTCGCCTTTCATTGCCTAAGAGCGCTTGAATTTCACCACTGGGAACGTACATCCGCACAGGAACTACACCAACACTACCTATTTCAGTGCATCGTACACAATCAGTTGGAGGCGGGCCTGGAAGGAATGAACCTCCAATATGACTTTTCGCCTGCTCCATCCCTCGTGAGTGAAACCTAATTACATAAGAGACATTATCCAACAGCACAAAATATAAATTGAAGTGTCGTACCTCTGTTCCATCGATATTGTCAGGCAAGTACAACAACAAGCCTGAAGCAGGGTCCTGGATGCTGAAGGGAAAATACAAGTCACTCCCTGAAGACGCGCAGTCTATAGCAATACTCACATCCACCTGCCTACCTCGCGGTACGATACAGACCATTCATAGGCTTTGTCATTATAGACCACTTTCTCAGACTTTTTTTTTGCAAAGTTAGCATTAAACTTCAAAACAAGGAAGGAGTGAAACTGACGTCAGCACCGATGTACTTAGAGCTGGAGGTGGACTTGATAGTCACGTTGCTGTACAAGTCTACGCTGAGAGCTTTGACTTCCCACTGTGTGGGCCATGAGAACTGAACAGTAGTGCGATGGGATGGATGTTCAAGAACTTACCTCGATGCGTGGATCAGGGCTATCCGCGTGACGGCCGGCGACGATGATATCCTCTTCCTTAAGTCCTATGTTTTGCATGGCATACAAGACATTGAGGATATTGTAAGCTCCATCCCATGGAACGGCGAAACCCATGATAGTAAGTTGAAGATGAGTGTAGTTTGAAGTGAAAAGATTTCGAGGAAGATGGGGACACCCTGATGATATCCTGAGCCCCTTTATACTACACTTTGCCGGGTTTCAGCCCGGCGTACAGGCGAGTTGGCTATCTTCCATTCCTGAAGAAGTATCAGATCTGACAGCTTGCATGGAACAGGGCACAATTGCGCGAGTCGAGCGAATAGCACCCCAAGATGGTGCGCTTCCATTCCACTCGCTTCCACAAGGGTAAAACATTCTTCAACTTGCGCTCGAATTACTTTCAAGTTCTGGTCAGGTGCAGGCCATTTGAAGGAGCCTATCGGGTGAGCTGACAGCTTGCATGGAAGAATTGGATACTTGCGTAAATTGCACTCATAGCACGGGGCTTGCTGATTACTTGCCAACATCATTCGTGCTCGCTATGAGCGCAAAGCCGTCCATCGGCAGCACGACCTACTGATTTTGGGTCTCATCCAATGGCTGTAAAGGTACGGCAAGTCATCCATCTCCCTTAGGGCACCATACTATCTGCAAAGAAGACGATCGTCGAAATCGACAAATCAGCCTGCACCTTGACTATTGTCTTCATAGAGACACTTCGAGTCCGGTGATCCTCATTACAAAGTTTCACGTTGTGGGGTAACATTCATGTCTGCCGAGGTTGAAAATGATGGATCCAAGTTCAACCGTGACCATTCCTCGGACCGGTAACTGTCATAGCCGTATGATTTGAAAAATCCAAGTTCGGTTCATGGTCATACTTGAGGCTTTATACAGTAACATGTTTTCATGTCGAATGGACCTTCGCAAATCTAAATAAGCCGGATCCGACCAGACAAAATATCCGGACATCGCCGCGTCGAGAGTATCAAACCCTCGGTACTCCTTGAACGACATGAGGATAGGTAGTAGCAATGAGCTACAAAGTTGATCAGGTACAAATATGCTGCGACTTTCGAGGCTCTCACCCCAAATAGGTCAGGTGCACGCGCAGCTAATACTTGTGGATCTTCTCCGAGACCTACGAAGCTGGGTTTCGAGAAATCAGCAGGTTGCCGCATACACTGTGGTTTGCACACACATAGTGGACACACCAGCCTCTATGGCAGCAGACATTGTCATTGCTGCAAATATTAATAATCATGCAGAGCTATCGAGGCGACCGAAAAGAGGCACGCACAGCATTGCAGTCCAATAAGGAATCCAAACAAGACCACCGGCGCTGTGTACTGTCCATCGGCATTGTATGCAGGATGTGTCACTGCAGTAACGATGGTACCGGTTCTTCAAGCACATTAATTCAGTACGCACGGCGTAGGTATAAATACCCGAAGAGTGAGCACAGAAGCCCGATGGCATACGCTCCCCACGTCAAAGCTGTCGAACGTTATCAGAAGATGTCAGCAGTCACAACTAGTAACTCACTCATGCCAACCAATGAATCGTTGACAAGCGCATCAATCCCTAAAATATTGACATCCTGAGAGAACTGACGGGAAAACAAATGACGTACCACGATCCATAAACATGGTCCAAGTGTCTTTTGCTGCTTTAATGTAAGGCTTTCCGTAGAGCGCTGATAACATTGAGTGACTGTTGACTACAACCGGACCAGCTCAGATAACTTACCAATTTCGATGTAGGCATATCTATTAAAGTACCTTACCAGTCCTTCGATACATCCAACGAAGCACTCTGCACAGCAAGCAAGACACGCCTCTACGACTTATCAAAAGCTGCAAATCAGCGTTAAAGTAGGAAGATCCAGATTGACGCTCACAACTCCCTTGCGCGTTTGCATTGTTCCTCGCAGCATCCAGGATAAGGCGAACAATTTCCAGAACAGTAACAATCAGGGATCCAAACGCTATTGACCCAAGAGAGAGCGTTGAAGCACGTCCAAATGCACTGAGGGTTGGATGCTTTGGCTGAAATCAATGTATCAGCACAACTGAGGGAGCATAGAACAGAACGTTACCATCAGTTGTTGTTCTCGAGGTCCGAAGTAATACCAGCCTGTGATGTACATAAGAGATGAGGAAACTAGACGAATCGTTTAGCTATGCTCACTTCCGTACGCTCCACCAGCAAGAGTGGCTAAGGCGACGTTACCAATGACTTGAGATGTCCAGAGGTACGAAAATACGGCATAGAATATTAGGCCTGCCACAGTGCTCCCAGAACAAGAAGTTCCGTTGCTGCAACCTTTGTGGTCGTTCGAACTTGATTAAATTGATTGGTAATGCAAACTTACTTGGACTACCGGGTGTCCATTTCGTATATCTACAAATAGTTTAGAGAAGCTGAATATTGCGCAGCAAGCTGAAACACTGACATCGCAATAAGTGTATAGGAAAACCACCTGAAAATGATAGTGTTTGATACGACTTATTCGAGCGTAACAACGGCAACTTACACGGTTAGAGCAGCTTGCAAGATCAAGGCGATGAAGACAACGACGTAGACACTCTTGTGGTGTTTGGAGATATCCATTACTACTTGCAGGAGAAGGGACGCCAGTGGAATGCGGGACCTGAAACCAAAATAGGCAAAGATCGAGAGCAAGGCGATGATAGTGAAAATGATGGCCCCAGCTGTAGCTTCGCAGTCAATAAAGAGGCGGCCGATGTTCGTATATTGCTCACAATAGTAGCCTGTAGTCCAGTAATAAATGCAAATGGCGCTAGAGTAATGATCAGAACGATAACCGATCTAGGGCGTTAGAGCGGGCTCACATGTTGAGTATTATAGACAACACGAGAGTTATGTGCATCAAAGCTCGTGTAAAGAAACGTGCGAGCACGAGGTAGGCTACAGACAAGACAAGAGCTGCTGCAGTGACAAACAAGAGAAGATAGGCAGTATGCCTAACGCAGTCAACGTCGTATAAATATACCGATAAATGCATACAATCAACACACCGATTGAGGGTCAGCGATGAGCCAACTTGAGAACCATTGCCTACACCACCCCCGAGCCCGTTATCTGACACGTACCCTGAGATGGCGATTCCTGAAAGCACGGCAAAGCCTGCAAACTACCACGGGATTAGAAGGAGTGCGCCAAGAAATAACGTAGACCAACCTGCAGAATGAAAAGGATGAGAAAGAGAACGTCGTTGACCCGATTCTTCGGCTGAAACCGACCGTCGTCGAAGGGTGTTTTTTGGGTTGCGTATGATTGGGGATCGTACTGGGGTTGAACGACTGGTTGGGCATATGGCTGAGAGTGTCCAGGCGTCGGCCCCCCGCTGAGAGGATACCCCTGTCCCTGCTGGACTTTCCACTGATCCTTGTTCCAATGGGTCATTTCTGAATCAATGAGAGAGCGAATAAGGTGTTGTGGGAGGCAACTTCTCGTACACGCAGACTCCTTGAGGCAAAGGAAGAGGTGAATTTGAAAAACAGACTGCGTCGATCATGATGCATCATCTCCCAGTTTGGTGAGACAATTCTTGGAAGTGAGTGCGGACGGTAATTGTACGGATTAAGGAGACCAAGGCTCGGATGTCGTAACGGAGGGTGAACCAACCAAGTCTATCCCTTTATCACGACCGTTTAGGTTTCGGGTCCCAGGAGAAGTTGTTCCAGGCCACTCGTGATGTTACACCTGCCTGTGCAAGTTCCGTGGTTATGAACGAGATGCGGTCCCGGGTACACCTCCATGGGAAGTTTCTTAATCTCGGGGCATTGTTTCCTTCTGAGCAGTAGTATAAAATATATAAATATAGTGTCATATTGAGATATGCTTGATCAGAAGTTTGTGAAACTCGTATGTGTGAATGAAAGACATACTTGGACCACTACATGATAAATTTCCTGCGCGTATAATTATTACGACACCTCGTGGCCTGCAGCATGTTATGTATGTAAAACAAAGGAGCATGTTTTTTCACGCATTGTTCTCTGCTATCGATGGATAACGTTTGGCTGAGAGTTCAGCCAACAATTTACGGTACCGTCAGTGTAATTTTGTCAAGGAAACACATATGGCAAGCTGTGTCGGATCGTGGATTAAGATTAGTAGCGAATTTAGTTTGGTCGTGAAACTGACCACTGATTTACGTACGAAAATTCCGACTCCGGTATTTTGATTGCGGGCGCTGTTCTTCTTCCTAAACTCTCAACGTTCTTCAGCGTGATCATCGTTGACGACGTTCTTTATCCTTAAAACGACGGCGAGCTCATCATTATATTCCTCAATCTTTCTAACTGAACTCTTTTTTCACAGTCACTTTTCAATTCGACTGCGGGGACGTCCTTGTCCCCTTGCAACAGTGTCTGCCATTAATCGCACCCACCCTACTCGTAATCTTTATCCCAGCGTCCATAACCTCGCAAAATCATCAAGACCATCCACCATATTGCTAATGAGCCTATCTTTCGGCGGCCTTGGCTTGATCTCCCTATGGACTCCCCTGTACTTCTGGGATGACTCTGCCCGTGTTCGCAATGAATTCAGGTCTTTCGTCTTTCTTCTTGTATTTGTTGCTGTAATGCTCATACTTGGTGAGCAACATGGTTCAATATTTTTGATAGCCCATATTGACCATTTTATTTCTGATTCTCTCTCACTTTTGCGTACTATTATTGTTCGCGATATCCGATCGTCCATCTGACTCATTCTTATTCGACCCAAAAACCTCTAGCGTATCTCACGAACCCCTCAGAGACATCATTCCGTGCCTATCTGACCGAACAATCCTTCCGTCAACACCTCACACATCTTGATGATACCACAGACGAATCTTCTGATCCTGATCCCCAATTCTCTTCACGTCCAGTGGACCGCAATACACTCACTGATCGTACCCCCCTTCCGTTTCACTTTGCAAACCGTGCTTCAGTATCTTTACGCACCCCCAAGCACATCTTTCACAGTGTCGGCATTTGCACCATCGCCACTACCCGCGGAGCTGCTGGGGTCAATGGACGTGCTTCAAGCACAACTAATCTACATGGTAACGCGAATTTGTCAGGTGTTCATCACGATGGATTTGTAGTTTCAGATTCTTGGTTTATTGGAGCGTTTGGTCACTGGTGGCGCGGCGGTCTGGTTGATTCATGGTATCGTGATGCCATGGTCGGATCAAAGGATGCTGAAGGCTGGAGCTCTGGTATTCTTGGCTTTAAGGCTCTTGACAAGTTCAACGAATTCAACAGTATGTTTTTTCAAATCTCGTTTGTCCTTCCATCTTAAGGTAGAAAGAAGGTCGACCCTTTGCGAAGTCGGTTCCCTGTCCCAGGCTTCCATCACGTGGTACCCCACCTAGGTTGCGTAATCGTGAACGTTTCGCGCCCCGCCTTGGATTAATTCCTCGTCGCAACTCGACCCCTCCGCCACTTCCCAAGTCAGCTTCACTTCCCCTGCACACAGATCACCGAACGCACGAGCACAACCTTCCAATATCTCAGCCAAATTCCGACCAGAGTTGTATTGGCGTCTATGTACCGCCTGTTGCTCAACCCATCTCACGCGGCCCTTCGAGATCTGCATCCATCGATGACTCACCTATGGTTGCGGAAGTCTTGAGGCAAATCGCTGCTCAACAAGCTTTCGTGGCAGAACTAGATACCCAAATTTGTGAGGCCCAAACAGCGGCCACTGTGTCCCATGGTGCGCTGGAAGCTGAATTGGCCGAGCTGCGCGTACGCAAGCGCGATGAAGACCAACGCAAAGCTGAAGGGAAAGCTCGTGCCAAAATGCTTGAGGATGCACGACGCTCTGCTGAAACAGGAAGAAGAGATGCCGAGAAGAAGCTGAAGGCTGCCCGTGGTGTGAAGGAGGGCGCTGTGAGGCGCATTGAGGAACTGGGGAACGAAATTGGCAGGTTAAGGGATCAAATCGAGACGGACCGAGCGACTTTGCTTGAAGAAGCTGAGATTGAGGACACCAACCTAACACAGGAACTGGAGCAGGAACTTGAGGCGAAGAAGAAAGAAGTTCGGATTGCGGAGGATGTCGTCGCCGCGCTTAACACACGTGCAAAGGAGCTCGAGGCTAAAATTACAGAGTCTCGCGAGCGACTTGAAGCCGCTAGGGAGCGAACGGAGGCTTCGAAACATGAGCCGTTGTTCGTCCCTATGCAGGTTTTGAGCAGCGGTCATTCTTCCACGCAAGAACAGTACGGTCATACCAACGGTCACGGCAATGCAAATGATTATGACATGGGTCAAGCAGACGCACCATCCTGGTCTTCAAATTTTAGTCCCTTTGATGAACCGTTAGACATCCATTCTTCACCGGTGTCTTCGGAGCGCGCACAGAACGGTCTTGATTCAGGAGAATTTTCACGCTCTCCGAAACCTCCACGACTTTCGTTGGGATCACTATCAAATTTCAGCCCTAATGCAAGTGAAACCAGTGCTGTTTCGCGTCGCTCCAAGGGGTACACCATCTTTGATGACGATATCGCTTCCCTCGCGCAACCATCACAATCTGGTAAAATTGCTCACGGTCAATTCTCCCCCCATACGACTTTGACATTCTCTCCCTTTGATGTTCAAACGCCGTCTTCAGCATTCATCCCAAGTAGCCTCATTAGCGTGTTAGATTCTCCTTCTGGAGACTGGCGAGGCATTGGAAGAGCTGGAAGCACGCTCAATGCGTCACCTGTATCTCTTACTGGACCTTCGCCTGCACAGGAAATGGATGTAGAGTATGATCCTTTCGAAGTTCGCCACCACACTCAGGCTGTGTATGACAAAATGGGTATGCCTCACCGAACGAACTCTGATCCCTCTGCTGTACGCGCGCTGGACAACAGTGTTGTCAATGATGCCGCTAATATGGGGTTGGATTCTGGACCACGTAGGTGGTTCTCGACGTCTGCCAAGGACAAGCAACGCAAGGGTCTCAATCCGGATGCCAAGGTTTTCAGACTTCCGCGACGACAAGCTCCCGTTGCGTCCGAACCCACCAGCGGCGCTCCTCCAGCTTGCTATGACGCCCTGAACCCAAATGGGCTCATGACCAGCAATTCTTCGACTCCATCTGCCCTCCTTCGCGCCTTTGCTCCCTCTCGAGCGGAACGTGAAGTGCTTCAGCGGGCGCTTGGTGGTTCGACTAATACGAGCCTCGAGCGTCTGCCGAGCCTCAGCGACGTCGGAAGTATTCCATCTTCTCCAGTGCATGTTAATGCCGAGGCGCAGCCGCTGCCGGCGTTTGGAGGGAAGGGGGCTGTTTTACCTGCGTGGCTCCAGTCGCTGCCGTTGATTCGGAAGCCTAACTTCAGCCCCTGGGAGGACGAAGAACCTGTCTCTGTGAGTACAGGCGGAGAGCTCAAGAGGAAGTAGACTGTGGTGCAAGCGGAGCGGGGCGGGGGAGAACATTGTACAAACCATGGTGTTGAATCGTCCTGGGATGACGAGAAAGGTGTTCGCGATAGAGAAAAAGGGGTGGGTGGGGTAGCTGTATCTGCTTTTCAATTACCTGCTCGTCTGATATATATATATATATCGAAATGCACGAATTTGTTGAACCGTTTCACATAACCATTCAGGAATGGTGACTGAGTCTCAAGCCGGTCACGGCAGCCCGACGGATCATTATCAGCCTCATTTGTGCAGGTGTTCGCGCGTAGGGTCAATGCCTCGGGAATTGCTACCTAGTCAAGCTATGGGGCTGTGGCCAGCGTGCGTGGCGTGTGCTCTTCAAACCCAACACGGCGCATCATATCAACCAACCAAAGTTCTACGATGGAAAGTCTCCCCGCGCTTGAACAGCTAGGCTATGTCCATATGACCCCAAAGGACAAAATAACAAACCTGATTTCACAGGGGGAGCGATCGATAAGTCGGAATCGCGCGTAGAGCGGTGCAAACATCAATTCCAAAACTTCACATCCCGGGAGAGGGTAAATTATGTAGATATAGCTAAGTTACCATCAACGAAGAACGTGACTTGACACATGAACGCTATGACCTCGGCCGCGGCTCTTGTCCTCCAGAATCAATGAACGCCTGCAAGCTTTTCGAAACGGTGTATCCACACTGTTTCAGCTCGTCTAATGCTAGCGAGTACCGCGAATCATCAGCAGCGATGCAAGTCCGAATGATGGCATCATAAACGCTCCGTGGCGGCACGAACTTTTGCGCTTTCATTTCCTCGAGATAGAAGAACGCGTCTTCATATGTAGCCTGCGTTAGGCAAAGGATGATGATCCGCTCGTAAGTCGTTGCATCTGGTTTTATGCCCAACTCCTGCAGATCCAGCAGCAGTCTATCTCCGAGGCCACGGTGACTGGCCACGATACAGCCAGAAAGGAGGGTGTTGAAGGTGTCAACGTCAGGGACGCATTTGTAGTCGGGGAAAGCCTTGTAGGCACCCACGGCACGCTGCAGATCTGAAAGTGATATGGCAGCGCGGATGATGGCATTGATGGCGGTCCTGTCGATCGACTTCCCTTCACTTTTCAGCTTGTCAAGCAGTCCCCAAGCGCTGTCCACCTTGTCGATATCCTGCTTCAGGACGTCATATATCGGCTGGGTCGTTATCGCAGTAGGGAAGATGTTACTACTTCGCATCAAGTCGAGTGTGCCAAACGCGTCTTTTAGATTTCCGGCGTTACACATTGCTTCTACGAGGGGTGCAAAATGGTATTCTTGCCAGTCAGCGCCCATGCTTCTGAGAACACGGATGACATCTGTTGCTAGGTTAGAGAGTCCATGACGTCCAGCGGTATGGAGAACATCGATGCAGAGTCCTTCGTCTGGAGTGGCATTAAGGTCGCCAACAACCTTTTCCCAGCATCGTTGAACACCTTCACCCTTCCGATCGAATGTCAGGTGGAAACGATACAAGATAGAGATACCACATACGTAAAGGGCTTCGGCAGATGATGCTAGACACACCATCCATGTTTCTGAGCTTAATCTCCGGACAGAGGTTGCTTCGAAATTCTCCGCTAGGTCGAGTGCAAGTCGGGGAAAGCCGAGTCCCGCCGCAACTCCTATCACATCTTGGGCGATTGTGAGATCAAGGATGAGCCCCCGGGCCCCCAATTCATAAACACATTGCAGTGCGAACTCAAGATTTTTCCTTTCTGGTGTTGTGTGGCGTTGGATCATTAACTGGAATGTTCGTTCGTTCGGGGGGATGTTTTCTGCATCCATCTTGTCGAGGATATCCCACATAGCTGTCGAGTGTAATCGACGTGATGCCTGGGTTCAACAGTGAGATGATAAGATAAGGTACGGTGATTAGAGAAACACGAACGCACATGTATGAGGTGATTGAAAGTGTTTCGGTCGGGTGCAATCCCCATAGAACTCATATCTTCGACAACAGCCCAGGCCTCTAGCACCTGACAATCTTCCGCAAGACATGCCAGCAAGTTATTATAAATGATGATGTCCGGTTTTACGCCCTCTCTCTTCATTTCTTGGCACATTCTAAGAGTCTGTGCAGTGTTCTTGGAATTGGCAAGCCCTGTAGACCTGAACTGGTAGCGCGCTATAGCACTACTATGTGCAGTTCCCTGAAAAGTTTGGTCGGGAACGAAGGACCATGGTTTATTCCGAATTGTAGACGAGTTTGAACGCTTTGCTGCAACTTGCTGAGTGCTCTGACATCCTACATGGGGTTCAAAACCGCGTTTGCCAACGAGTGGCCGAATTGACTCACGGGAAAAGGTCAGAGGCAGCGCTCCAGTACACTCGGACTGGGATGACCATAAAGCAGCTTTTCTGGAGACTCTTTTAAGAGAGTTCCGCGATGTGGAAGCCAGCATATTGGACCTTTGGCCAGTCTGCTTCCACAAAAATCTAAAAGGTCAATAGGCCAAACACGGTTCAATAACCTTCCACTGCGACACAGCCACCGCCTGACCAAGTTGTTCGAAACCGCGAGTCCGTGACCGGGTGCCTGGTCAACACCTCTTTTCATTTCTTGTATATCACCTAAAGCTTGGGTTATCATGGTGCGTGTAGTCTACTGCTGCAACTACTTGGCAGTGGCTCACTCCGGAAAAGTTTTACTCAGAAGCTATTTTATCGCGCCGTGGGCCACTAGCCAAAGTATGGCTAGCCGCGCATATGGAGAGAAAACTCTCCAAAACACAGACACTACAGACGGATATTGAGCAGGCAGCGGGTGCGTCATTATCTGATATGTTTTTGACGCGTTAAATGACACTTTACGCTCATCCCAGACGCCATCATGGGACAGGAGGTTGAAGTCATGGCGCTACGCCTAAGTGGACAGTTATTGCTTGGTGTTGTTCGAATCTACAGTCGCAAAGCAAAATACCTCCTGGATGATTGTAATGAAGCACTTCTCAAAATCAAGATGGTGATGTCTTGTGCTTTTGGTGTCACATAAATGTTGACCTCGTTCCAGGCATTCCGTCCAGGTGTTGTTGACATGACGGAAGATCAGCTGGCTGTCAACCGCAATGCCATTACACTTCAAAGTGGCAATATTGATCTTGACGTTTTGCTTCCAGACATCAATTGGTGAGATCCTCATGCGTTCTTTTATCTCTTATTCCCCTGGCTCATGCGTTGAGCCAGGGACATCGATTTTGAGGACCGTATTGCTGAACCTCAAGGCCATCATGTTGCACGCCAAGCAGATATCACCCTTCAAACAGCCGACGACCTGCAATTTGACCTTGACGATCCTGGCTACGGTTTTGACCTTGGGCCATCAGATGGTATCGGTTCACAGGACTTTGGGGAGCTTGATCTTGGACTTGACTTCGGAGACGGACCGGTTAGCGTTATCGACGGCAGCGTAGAAGTTGGTCGTGATGCCCCAACTCCACGAAGTGCCAGAGAGTCGTTGGACTCCAGGATGATGGGAAAAGGTGGAGAGGGCGAAGATTTCTTCTCGAACAGAAGTAGAGAACCTTCTGAACATCCGTTTGGTGCCGACATGAATGTGGACATGGATTTTGGGCCAGACATGGGAGGTATGGACATTGATTTGGGCATCGATTTTGGGGACCGCCCCTTGAGCGATCGCGAAAAGACACCCGGACAAACTAGGTCTCCTTCTCGAATGTGTACGCTGTGCCTTTATATTTTTTGCTTGACTTTTTTTGATGCTCAATAACAGCCTCTCCGCTCACCGAGCCTCCGCCAACGCCACCACCTGACCTTCTCCTCACACCAAAAGCAGCCGCACAAGAATTAGCTGACGATGCAGTTGCTACAAAGGCCAAGCGCAAGCCCAAAGAAAAGAAGCAAATCATCGATGCTGTCACTGAGCTCACTGATGGCCCCGGAGCCAGAGCTGGTCGTGGTCTAGGCGCGCCTGTCATCAAGGATGTCAGTGATATCCTTGCAGAACATCCATCTCTTCCTCGTTCTACGATGGTGATGCGGCTCATGGAGATCCGTGAGGATCCCCTTGCCTACTTTCTTCCCACCAAGGTTACCCCCGAAGGCACTTTCCTCCTCGCGGGGCCCCCCGGACTAGCACCCGAATTATCCGACCTGTTCATGCGTCCTCTACAGACCGGCCTCCCATCGAAGAAAAGGGGTGCATCCCCTGAAAAAGCAGGGAGGAAAAAGCCTAGGGTTGAAGGGAGTATACATGAGGATGAGCAGGTCGAACAAGCTCGGCGGGATGCCAGTATTGCTCCTAGCATTGCACTTGCTAGTGAGGCTCTTGCCGGTCGTGCTAGTATGGCTCCTGACGGTGGCTTCGACTTTGGCGACATAACGGGCGGTTTGGACGAGTTTCAGATGGATGTTGGCGGCGAGTTCCCGGTGGCACATGACGATTTGGGATTGGAACAAGGCAAAGGTGTCGCAACAGAACAAAGTCGATCATCCACGCCAGCTGTTGATGGAGAAGAAGGTGAAGAGACCTATGCTGATCTGACATGCCCTATCGCGTCGTTCGATGTGCGACCCTCTCCCACTCAAGCTCAAGAGGCTGCTGGTGACGGCGAAGGCACAGGATACAGCAAGAACACAGTAAAAGCGCTGGGCATCATTCGCAAGGAGCTGAAACCCGAAGCTCGCGAGGATGGCGAGGAGCGAATGATGAGCTTCCGCAGGATGACGGAGAAAGCTTCCCGGCGTGCTGCCTCTGCATTCTTTTTCGAGCTTCTTGTCCTCGGAACACGGGACTGCGTAAAATTGACGCAGAGCGCTGCCTTTGAGAATATCGAAGTCCGGGCAAAGGACAAATTGTGGGAGCGCCAGCGGCACGGATCTATCGCTCCATCCATCACATCTGCAACGGGATTCTAGGTGTATTTATCGTTTTTCTTTTTGATTTTTCAGATCTTGATTTCATGACTATCTACGATATCAATGTGATACTAGGATTTTTATCAGTTTATTCTATCTCGTGAGCTCCCTACACCTAGCTTTCTGTGTTTTGTTCTTTGTAGCTTTCTTGATTTATACTGTATCTTCCTATACATCCTAGAATTGTTAGCTCGATCAAAAAACCTTGTCATTCTACCTAAAAACCATCGCAATCACATGTATCTACCACCAGCTACAAGGTTTGCGCTTTTCTTGGCAAGATACACGAGCTTGCTGCCTCAGACAGCGAGCACGAAGGTTTATAGTCAGAACAGTGAATGCTGACCTGAAAACTAATGAATTCTTGGATAGAAAGGAATTTATGAATTGGAAAAGTTTGGTGCTGGCCATTCACGAGCGGAGCAATAAGTACAATATTTCTATCCACACTTTGGGGCACCTGATATTGCCACGTAGACCTGACAGTACATGATGGCGTATCTAAGTCAGTATGATTTTGCTCTCCCCACCCAAATGAATAAAGGTCGAGCGTTAATATTGGAGCAGAGCCCTCTGCCATGGTAGTACCCGCGTGCCTGGGATGCTTATCACCATTTACCGTTTCGACTGTAGTCAATCATATGATGTACACCACCTTCTAGGCACTGTAAAGCTGACTTCAAAAATATGGCCGGAGGGCGAGGATGATCGATTGATAGTGTTTCGAAAGAATGTTCACTCGATTCCTCTGGAACGAGAGCCACAATCGCGAAGAAAACAGCCGGCTCGCATCATTCAGACCATATTCATGTATATTCATGCCAAGGGTACTGAGTACAGTTCTACTGCTGGAAAAGCACGTGCGCAATCAGGGATGAAGACTTCCTCCACTGTGTGCATGTCAAGTACCAAGATTTGTAAAAGAGCCTTCGTTGTGCAAAGCTTTGACCGCATCTCGCGCCCCGACAGCTGCCGAAAGTGCCCCAGTATTGAGACGTGAAGCTGACTGCATTAGCAATCAGGAAAGTATAAGTATTGAGTGTGATCCAACTGATTAGTCGCTCAAGTCCAGAAAAGATACTCATAAAAAATTAGCTGAGATATCCACAACGGACTTCGCCCTTTCCTTTAATGCGGCAGGCACGAGGGATAATGCATCTGAACTTCTAGCTCACGGATATGAGATAGATAGTGCAGCTGAAATAAAATTTCGTTCAGGTTGTGGATGCCGAGGTCGTTGACATCGCACAAGAGGTAATTCCTGACTGACTGTCATAGGCCGCGGGAGACCCGGTTCAAGCTTAGGGCTGTAATCATCGAAGGTAGAATCAAACAAGTTGCCTTGATACTGCGGATCGCCTCCTGCTAGAGGGGTCACATTGCTAAGTGGTTCATGAGTTTATCTGCTCGCCAGTGGAGCAGATGGACGTGGACGAGACTTGGGTGAAATGGTCTGCGGAATAAGAGGATGAGGAGTTGACAGCACTGGTGTCTGCTCACTTTCGGTCCAAGATTGTGTTTCTTGAGGCGCTTAACAATGACATGGCGGGTCTAGATCTGATACAAGGATCCATCTTTATGGCGCAAGCATTGAGCACAATAGCATACAACACGTTGTTCATCTGGCATCGTGCTCTATGATGATGGATATACGTGAAGGGAATCGGCGATTTTCACTGTTCAGACACGTCAGACACGCGCGCATTCAAATATCAATCCTCACGTGAATCAGAGTAAAGAAAATATACAATATGGGAGCACTGCACAATCTTTTATGTATCTAGATGACTAATTCACAATGATCAGTGTTGTGTTCACTAGGCACAAGGCCTTAGCGCAGGCGGCTGTCATAGAAAGCGTTGAGTTGAGTTCACGACACACACAGACTGAAACTCACCGAGCCTCACGCTCGCTCTCCAGAAGTGCAAGGATATCTTCCTCCCGCACGGGACCTTTGACGTTGCGAATGATTGTTCGCGTAGTGTCATCCATGAACTCCACACGAACTTGCGTGACTCCACCACGGGAGCCGGTGCGTCCGAGGACCTATAAGTTGGAATAAGTACATTCTTAAGGGGTCAGTATCCATATTAACCTTTATAACTTTAGCAAGTTTGACAGGAGCTTTTGATGAGTCCTGGAGAAAGCGAGTTGAACAAATGGCTTGACAACTTTATAAGGCTTACTTACCATGTTTATTCTGTCGACGGCGATGGACGAGCTTTTGGCGTGGATGATGGATGTTTAGAGTTTGAGACACACAAGGTTTCAGTCAAACTCCGACGGCATTCTCCGTCCTTCAAGTTCTAAGCTCACATAAGTCGCCAATTTCACCGTGATCAGCTCTACTTTGATGGCGTCCGTGCGTACCACACCTGACTGTCAGTTGCAGTCGTGCCCTGTCTTGCTGATTGTCATCTGCTCTCAACCGGATTGGAATAGTACCATGTGCGTTCTCATGCTATTTGCAGTCAAATTCATTTGTTGACTAGTGTTGGCAAAAGGTCTCAACTGCTAGCCACGCTCAACCGTATAGATACTAAAGTTGACCAGATTATTCAGTCTTTGGACAAGGTCTCAACCTCTATTCACGCGAACATGGCTATTCACGAAGGCGAATTTCTGGACATGGAGCATGCTATTCACGAACCCAATCGACAAATCTCCTCAGAATGCAATAGTGTGCGGGAAGAAATGCAGGCGATGGAGAAGCGTTTCGGTGATAGGCTTGAGGAATTGGAGAAACGGTTCAGTGATATGTTTGAGGAAATGACGGTGTCGCAGAAGACCTTTATGGATAGAATCTTGGATTTGACCGCTGGCAAGCAATATGCACTTTAATTGTGTTCCATAATAGTCTTGACTGACAGAATGCCTTTGGTGATGTCGTCATTCCTTGGAAGGTCATATAGCTTGAATACCATCGGCACTAATTCATGCTCAGCCGTTGGTTGTGCCATTCACATTAGGACCAGGTCAGCTTTCAACCTCCTGACTCCTGCTTCTTTTGCACCTTTTCCGCTACCTTTAAGTCTGAATCAGAACAGCTCGAGCCCGTCCTTTCTTTATCAACGATGTATACTAGATGTGCCATACTACTTGCATTCGCTTCCTTGGTGGTGGGCAACGCCCAGCCACTGCTCTCATCGTTGACCTACAGTCTGGTCGTCTCACACATTGGTTATGACTTTCTAGGTAATTTCTCTTGGGAGACAGTGGACGATCCAACGAACGGCCGTGTCAACTATGTCGATAAAGCTACTGCTCTCAAGGATAATCTGACTTTCGGTATGTGTTTCCTTTCGCGCTCAATTTATTCGCTCAATTTTTCGCAGTTTCTGACTGCAAGTTTATCATGCGCGCTGATGACACGAAGAAAGTTGCAAAATCTGCCCGCGGGAGAGACAGCGTACGCATACATTCCCTGGATGCGTACGATGAAGCCTTGTTCGTCCTCGACATATCTCATATGCCCGAGGGTTGTGCAACGTGGCCTGCGTGGTGGACATTGAGCGAGGAAGGACCCTGGCCTTTTGGTGGCGAAATTGATATTATCGAAGGCGTCAACCTCGACCAACGAAATCTTGCCTCGCTCCACACCATGCCGGATTGCATTATGCCAAAGGTTCGATCACAGAGAGGGTTCGATATTTTACTACCATTATACGTATTATTTGCTTAAGTTGTTCGTAGGTCCACAAAGTCTACTTCGTGCGACACATCTGTAAACTCCAACCAGGGTTGCGGAGTCTCTTTTCCTGACCAAGATTCTTACGGAACAGGCTTCAACGCAGTGGGCGGTGGCTTTTATGTCATGGAAAAAAGCAGCACGAAGGGCGTCTCAGTCTGGTTTATCACTCGCGATAGCTTGCTGGTTCTCGGTGGCGAGCCCCAACTGGACTTGGTGGTTCTATCAACACCTGATGCGTACTTCCCGACGGATTCACAATGTGACCATTCCAAATACTTCAATGCACATCGCATTGTTTTTGACCTGACATTCTGTGTGAGGATCCTTTTATGTCCTCCGGCGTCGTAATGACCTATTCATCAATTTTGTAGGGCGACTGGGCTGGGTCCGAGTCAGTATGGAATGCATCCACATGTGCAACGAAAGCCTCTACGTGCAACAGCTGTAAGCCTGCCTTGCTTTCATCACTTGCAATCCTGATAGATGACTATCGCAGTCGTGGACAACAATCCCAGCGAGTTCACTGAAGCCTATTGGGAAATCAACTCCCTCAAGATATATACACCTAATGATCTTACCTTAGTTTGACACCCGTACTCATTTATACCACTATACAGTTATTCATGTAGCAGGTCCCCGGTCGACTATTTCACCATCATAGAAGTCTGTCATTTAGCTCTTGCATTGTTTACGTTACTCGTTATTTTGCGTTAGATACCCTGGAGCTTGAATACAAGTTTTCAATGAAACATGGAGTATTATGTGTTTCACTCTATCAAAGGATTGTTGAAACGGAGAACGAAACGCGAACATGAATGATCACATGTGGATTGTTTTTGTGTCAGCCACATCCTAGTAATGTACTTATGACATGGCTCTAGCTGTTCTATACTTTCTACAGGAAACCACCAAGATGCGGTTTTTCAAATCGTTTCGGCTACTTCATCGTCGTACAAGGTCTGAGGGCGATGTGTCCCACATGGTTTCCTCTCCACCATCGTCGACTGGGTTATCTTGTTCGATGGAATTCCGACAGGCCCAATACGTCAAGCCTATATCGTCTAGCATAGTCAGCGGATCAGCGGCCCCGGTGTTTGTATCCCTTGAGGCTTCCCTACCTTCATTCGATCCCGCTCAGCTTTATCAACCCCGGCCAACTCCCCTGGACACGTACACTCGTACCTGCATTCACCAGCCCGAGAGCGATGTTTTCCGCCTCCGTCAGACCAACGCGGAACTCGCAGATGACCTTGCCGATGTTACCAACGATCTTTCGCGGACTCGCAACGAGCTCTATACCGAGATGACCAAACTTGCCCGCTTCCAGCATCAGCTTGCGCGTGGTATGGACCACATCCAGAAACTTGAATCAAGATTTCAGCGCCTCGCAGGCCTTCTCGTCGACATTGGCATTCCGTACTTTACCGTTCAGCGGATCTCTGATGCACTGGATTCTGATCTCGGCACCGCAGATCATATCTTGGTCGATGCTATAGGTGACGCTGTCCACGACCCAGAAGCGCTACTCTCAAGCTTGAAGCCCGCGGTCATCGGTAAAGCTGTCCTAGAACAGTATCAATCTGCGCTACACATGACTCTCAGCGCACGGCGCAAAGTCCGTACGCAGAAGAAGGTCTCCAAGTTCTGGAAACGCCTCGCTCAGGAAGGTGACCGCCATACAGATACCGTCACCCCGTCTTCGTCCAATATATCCTCTATCCGCGAGCCTCTCACCCCTGCCCGTCAACACGCTGTCGACTCCCTCGCTGCTCGTAGACGAGAGGCAAATGCAGGCTTTGGTAGATATGCATTTAGTGGGGCTTCTGTGCAATGCGGTTTGGTTCTACCTGTTTCTGCCTCTGACGGTGGATCTGCTACGAGCTCTGCATCTGGATCGACTGTACAGTTGCAACATACTCCGCCTCCAAGAGCACGTTTTTCGATATCTGAGCTACGTCGGCGCTCGCCCCATGTGGTTTTGGGTGACATCGATCTCAACGTTTCCCAATTGTCGGATGCACCTCCAGAAGTGGAACCTGAACTAGAAGATCCAGAACAGGATGAATCTGACGACCAGAATGTACGCCCAACAGTAACTCTCAGCCAGGACCTTATTCAGGTATGTCAAATTAAATGATTATACATTCAAAAGATAGTGATGATGGCGTCAACAGAATTTGAACCGCGTTGCCCTTGGACGTGGACACCGCCGTAACTCTTCGGTCGTGTCAAGGTCAAGTATCCCGCCCCGCCTCTCCGATTCCACACCTGTCTTGCCCTCTCTTAGCGCCTCGTTGTGCATACCCACATCCGCTCGTGGCCTTAGCTCCGACACGCCGTTCGACAATTCCGCATTCCATAGTCTGCTTTATGGTATCAGTAGCACTCCAACGGACTCACACAGACGCAAACGTTCCGATACGCTTGTAAGCGCCAGGAGGGACTCGCGCTTCCTTGAGCATGTCAACGAGTACTCGACCGGATCCCTTGCTATGCTTGAATCTGCAGATTCTTTGGGATTGATGAACTCTACTGGCTCACTTGCCGTGCTCAACACCACGACTTCCACTACCGCGACGTCCCCTGGACTTTTCGGTACCAGCGAGGAAAGCAAGGACTCGCTGTTTATGTCTACCCAGACACCCACAACAGGACCTACCACGCCGAGCAAGACGCCGCCTACGAAAAACAGTACACCCTCATCCAGTGGGAGCAAGTTGCCCGTATGGAGACACTTGCATGGTCCTGATGCTAGTCCTAATGCCTTCAAAGTTTCCATACGCAACCCTGGGGAAATCATAAGGCGGTTGTCGCCGAGCCCTGAGAGTTTTGTACGAAAGCTTCGGAATTTAGGTTCTCGTGACGGGAGCGAGAATGTGAGTCCTGAGAAGCCATCTGGGATTCCTATTATGCAGCGCAAGATGACGATCAGGGGGCGGGTGAGGAAGTGAGTGGATGTGTCAGGGTAGAATTCGGATTTCGATGAACTACTACTATCTTTTCTTCTCATTATTGTAAAGACTTGGAGGCCAATGTCATTTTTCCTTCCTTCGATACAAGCAGTGGATGGTCTTGAATTATGTGAGTTTGAGTCAAGTATTACACGTAGAGGTCAGTACCTTAGGCTACTTCCTTCGATATCAACGGCCTGACTTGGTGGTACCTTGCATATCTTCATGCGATTGGGGTTTCAAGTCAGGCTCGTTGTGAGTAGGCTACGAACTGATCACACGTTCACTTTAGTCGGGCATAAGTAAGTATAATAACCCCTGTCTACTGCTACCTGCAGGTAATTATCTTGGCAGTACAAAATCTCAGACGAAAGAGGACCACAGCTCTGCTTGTTGTTCAACAAATACAATCTCAAAGTCAGACACGACACTGTATGCATCGTGACTAACCACCGTCAGGTGAATGACCAACAGTTTCACAAAGTCAACATCTTGACATCCACAGCTCGGGAGATCTCGTTCGACAAAATGCAACATAACAGATAAAACCATATAAGAAATTCTACAACTCTCGACTCTTGCGAAATACATGACGGGAAAGCAAACATAAAAAGACAGGCAATCAAGGGAGAGGCCATTGGTTTATATAAACAAAGATACTAGGCCATCAGGGAAACATAATTTGCTACACTGGCAGAGTACTATGTAGCACTCTATATAAAAAGCAGACAAAAGACTGAGGTGCAGACCTCACAGAACATATATTCAGGCGCGCCAATCCGCAATCATTGATCAAGCATGGTTGATTGTGTAACGTCCACTGTTCGGGTCGCGCGTGAGGTTCCAAGTCGTGTTCTGGACGAGCGCGGTGAGGTCCTGCGACCAGATCGCAGGGGTGTCAATTTGACCTCGTAAGATTGAGTTCTCGTCATAGTCCGACGCGATGTAGGCATGCAGGACCGGAGTGAACTTTGCCGTGACGCGACTACTATCCCTGCATTTGTATTATGAGCACTCTGAAGGAGAAATAGAGGAAATATGACATACCCAACGTCGCTGAAGAAAAGTGTGGGAGTGGGTATCAGCTCTCCTTTGTTGAGAAAGCCTGGAGGTGGACAATACAGTGAGGTGAAAGAAGAGGAGGTGGTCACAAACCAAGTGCGATATCTTGAACGGTCCCAGTGTTGTTCACGGCCTGCAGGATGCCAGAGGTTCCCGCCTGAGGGGGCTACACGCGATATTCATCAGTGATCGAGATAAACATGAACGGAAGCCAGACTTACAGAGAATTGATAGACCTCATTTGCTTCTGTCAGGGTTGTTTTCTGGTCGGTCTGTATCATGGCTTGCGTCGGTGCTAGCAATTGCAGAGTAGATGAGAGTGGCTCACATTGATCGTGACAGAAGTTTCAGCACTGATTACCTTCCCATTTTCGTCCTGAGCTCTGGAGAAAGCAAGCCTGTACAATAGATAAGCGAGTTTCATAATCATTGATCTCGTCGGTCATCTTACTGGTTCGTGTAGGTCAACTGAGCCCTGTACGGACCTGGAATAAGGGGTCATACATCAGTTGACAACTTGGCAACACAAGAATGGGAACACCCACCCGTCTTCCCAAATTTGCTAACCCTGAAAAATTACAAGGTTTGAAATGGTCCCGATAAAAAGTAGGCGCACTTACTTCCAAACTATCGGGAAGACGTCGTCGTAGAGGCCTTCCAGGTTGGGTTCCCAAGCGAGCATGATCCTCACCTCCTTGCCGAGGTTGTTGCTGCGAAACGACGACAAGTCGAGTGAAAAATTTATGCAAAGTGAGATCGCAGACACTCACGACTGGAAGGTCAAATTTCTGATAAAGGGCCGGGGTGACATTGTTTTAGATTGTTGAACACGAAGCGTACTAGTTGAGATTGAGTGTGAATTAAAGAGCTTGAGTTCTACAGTTAGAGTCTACTCAGAGAGGCTTTTATATGTTTCGAGCTGTATAGGCTGTACCTCCTTGCTTAGTTTGCGATTTAGCCAGCGTTTCCTTCGTACCTCGGTATCTGCCGCTGGGGGCCCTAAGTATGCGGATATATGCATCCTTTGGATCTACAAGGTGGGTAGCACATGATGGTCCTTGACTTGCTAGACAGCCGGCTTCTCCACGACCCCATTCCCTGAGCGTTCAAGTTGCGCGCTGGGAAGCTCGTAGCCGCTGTTGGCGTCCTTCATACCTTCCTATCGTGCTTCCGTCACAGGTGGATAGATCAGTACCGAGTACTGGGATTTGATCTGCCTGTCAAAGTGGATGACATCGGGATCAAAACAGTAGGCCGATGCTTGTAGGGGGTTGAATCACAGTTACGGTCGCAAATGGGTTTATAAGAATAAGAGCCCGTGGGCCATGGCGCATCTCGCGACGCGTGACTGAAATATTTTTTTGCTGGCCCCGCCGGCCCAGGTTGTCTGGGACGAATCAACCGACAGAATCAAAGTTCCGTCAAACGAACTGCAAAACACCGAACCTGCGAATGCTTAAAACTTCAACCAGCGCATAAAGTTGGTTTCGCCAATCACCAATTCACTATCTTCTTGCTATAGTATTGGCCCGCCCGGCCCAGGTTGAGTCTGTGAATGAGCTGTCAATCAAAGGCAAAGTTCAGTTAAACGAGCTGCAAGACGTTGAACATGCGAGTGCTGGAAGCTTCAACTGGCGCATACATCTGACTCCGCCGAGCTGCAGTGTGTTCAAGGCGCTTCGCCTGCTCAGCTAGTTCTAGAATCTAAAGTAGATTTCATCAGTTCACAAAATCAAATCACATTTATCAGCAAAAGCGCTGAAATGAACGCTTAGCTTGAGCGCGTTATAAACGCGGACAAAATGCGTTATTAGATTAGTAATCAGTCTGTCTATGAGGCAAACCGTCAACAGACGGACTGGGTAAAACTGGGTCTGAATCGCGCGTCACACCAGACTCGCATGATGGAAAAATCCCTGTTCGTGATAAGCTAAAATATTTGTAAAGCGCTCATCGAATCTTCTGTTGAGAACGCGCCATGTAGAGACACCGCAACTTACTGCGGACCGCCCAAAGGTACATCGTCGACCTCTTCCCTTCCTGTTTGCAGAGTGAGGTCTGTCATGTCACTGGTGCTAGCACACGAGGCCGTACTGTGGGCTCGGTATATACTCTCTGCTCGAAGGCGAACAAGTGGAACCATCTCGATCGTGCTAGAATTAAGGCTTTTAGCATCAGACATTATCAAGACATGTTTCGCCATGGAAGATAAACCCATCTTGACATGGAGAACGATACTCCGCACGTCGAGTTCGCATTCCTATCGATCTGCCGTCGGCGGTGAGGAGAGGTCATTCACTTCGCAGCAGGTCTTCAGGGTTAGGTTTAGAGAGCGTCGTTGGCATACTGAGTCTGGGTGGTCGACGACACTGAAACAACATGTTGTTAAAGCTCTCTACGTCGTACGAGATGATGCTTGGGAATTGGAGAAAAGTCGTATCCGCACGAAGGCAGACCGGGCACTTAAACATGCTACGTGCACCGTGAATAAGAATGTGCTGCTCGAGCAGAAGATGGTCACTCATTGATTGGTGCATATGCATTGATGATTGCCGTTTCGCTGCATAGGACCACAAGTTGGTTGCTAACCTGTGCTTATATAATCTTGCTCTTTATTTTATTTTATTATTTTTGAGAAAAGTCGCAGAGGAAATGTGATACATAATATTATGTAATAAGTGATTGACACTACTACTACCGAAAATAAAGCCAATTATAGAAGATGCGTTTCTGCTCAGTCGATATTCAATAGCAATACTACCTACACCTGTAGACCAAGAAAAGTCACAATCATGCATATGCTAACGTCTATCAGGACATCAAATGGGAAGATCGAGATCATAGATCAATTGCTCTTGCCACACACGACAAAGTACGTGGAAATCACGTCTGTCGAACAAGCCTATGATGCCATCAAAGACATGAAGGTCAGAAAGAAAAAAAAAATTATCCACTTCGCAGTTTCTGATGAATAATAGATTCGTGGTGCTCCAGCCATCGCATCGTTGGCATCACTAGCCTTTGCTGCTTACATTCAAGCCGGTCTCGACAGTGCTCAACCACCAGCATTCCTCCTGTCACCCGAATCACTTTCCGCACAGGTGATCCAGAAACTCGATTATCTTTCCGGCGCACGTCCGACTGCTGTTAATTTAGGTGCAGCAATTCGCCGCCTGAAGGCAATCCTTCAGTCTTCTACAGATGCCGGAAAACCCATCGGGCTGATCGCAGCAGACCTGATAAGTGAAGGGAAACTCATAGCCGATGAAGATTTTGACCGCAATAAAAGAATGGCAGAACATGGCGGTGAATGGCTTGCAGAAATAGATAGGGGGTCTGGAGGCAGTGGTCAAGAACTTAATGTCCTCACCGTGTGCAACACAGGATCCCTTGCGACATCGGTATGGCATCTCTTAGTTAATATATCCATTTTTGACAGCGAAATGTGTCACAGGGATACGGTACAGCACTCGGGCTGATTACCTATCTCCATGAACAAAAGAAGCTAGGTAAAGCATACTATACCCAAACCGCACCATACCACCAAGGGTCCCGGTAAGCCGCCGATCGGCCATTGTATCGCCAACAGCTTTCGCTGATGGGCTTTGCACCTCACAGCCTCACAGCACTAGAGCTCAAGACAATGCAGATCCCCTCAGTAATGATTTGTGACACAATGGTTGGTTCTTTATTCCAGCATCATAAGATCCATGCCGTCGGTAAGAACTATCTCATGTCAACGTTTTTCTGATCGCCTGATCCTTCCTCTTCATTCATAGCGGTTGGTGCCGACCGGATCGCGAGGAATGGTGACACTGCGAACAAAGTACGTCATGCTTGTTAACCAAACTCAGTCGCTAGAGGTTATTGTTACCTTTGCAGATCGGGACTTATAATGCGGCAGTACTTGCGGCACGGCATAATATCCCATTCATTGTTGTTGCCCCAATTAGCACCGTCGATCTCGATACCCCGGACGGCTCAAGCATTCCGATTGAGCACCGTAAGCCGCTCGAAGCTTGCCTCGTGCGCGGGGCTGTTCATCCCTTTGAGTTTGATGTCGAAGGAAAGGTTCGACAAGAGACCGTCATGATTACTCCGAGTGGCCTTGAGGGGATATACAACCCGAGCTTTGATGTTACTCCAGCTGAATTAATTACGGCGATTGTCACAGAGAAGGGCGTCGCGACTAGGAAAGAGGGCCAGACTAGTTTCGATCTAAGTGGAGTTGTATGATCTTACGAGTATCGACTAGAAGTAACGTTAATGTAATTGTACCTACACGACGGATCAGAACTTCAGTTAAAAATTAGCCGGTGCTTATTGTTTCTGAAATACTCCGAATCAGTATTACGGTTTGTATTTCAAAATGACATCCAGAAAGCACGGGTAGTCCTGAATTTCTCCAGTTGAGCAAACTTGAGAAGTGGACAGTACCGTACTAAACGTTAACCAGTCTGGACTCTGTTTCCAAGTGTCCGATTTCGGAATACTCAGCAGCTGTTGACGAATATTATTTTTTGCTGTATCACGAGTCAATCTAACTCATGGCGTGTCACTAACAGTTGTCGCGCTGGTTGGGCTACTTCGACATGATTTTAATCCTTTGCCTGCACATCGTTACTTCTGGGTCAGACTTGGACCGTCATCTGTCACCCATGGCGCACCCTTGAAACTCAGGTAGCGGATTTACATACTATAATTATTCCTTAATCTGCTGCATAACTTGGACTGCGAGATCCAAGCTGGTTTATTCGATTAGGGTATAAAAGTATTCAACACTGCGAAGTCCAATTCTAAATTTCTAACCGAATAGCGTTCTACAGATCCGAGACTTTACGTGACAACTGCAGTGCTCGATAACGACGTGTAGTAAGGTGATGCGGAAGTCGACTCAAAGAAGTGCGGCCACCGCGCATTCGGTGACAATGCAGTACTTTCAAGCAAGACAATGAATGACCAGATGAACATGACTAATAATAGTCACGACAGTAGAAATGGGTGTACACCAAATAAGGCAAGTGCTGTAATTTGAGAAATCACATGCAAAAGGGGGTTGTCTGGTAGTTCATGCCTGTCCCACTGCCCCTCCTTACTCGCAACTCATCATGATCGACTATCTTCTAGGTAGACCAAGTCCATCTTGGAAACGCACTCAGGTAACTACGACCATAACTGGCGATTCCTTTGCTGATCAATGATACAAGGTTGTTCTTGTTCTCATCTTCTGGATTTGGCGGTTGGTGTACGGTAGCCCCGATGCTCCACGGTTTCTGTGGCTCAAAAGAGCCAATAGGCGTTTGAGTGAGTGGTGTATACATTCGTACAGCTTTCAATTACATGATGCCTTTAGAACGTTTCTCGCCTTGGCAGATCATTGTTAGTACACTCACTGCAGTGTATGCTGCTCGAAATTTGGACAAGATTACTGGTTTTGGAGGTAAGTCCATGGAACGGTACTAGCAGTTGATTCATCTGATTTGAGCTTGAAATCTCGCAGCACCGGAACCTTTGGCTCGTTTGGTGAGTCTTTCCCCTTTGTTGGTGCTTGACAATGTCATAATCATTGTGATGCAGTACTCGCCCTCGTATTACCGTGCTACATGGATTGCGATTGGCCTTGATGCTGGTTTTGCTACTGCTATGTCCATACGCCCCAAATGGCTTAAAGACTTCTGCTCTATCTTATTTTCCATCTATTATATCATCTACGCCAATGAAGCTGACGAAAAGGTACTTCTTGTGCACGCCACTAATGTCAATACTATTCACAGAACATGTTCGTAGATTCGTAGGTACAGAGCTGTTCCGACTGTCGAGATGCTCAGAACTACCTGGGAGAAGACTACTAATCCATATGTAAGACATCCTCGCAATGCTTTGAGCCTTGTCTTAGAACGTTTCTAGCTCCGTTTAATTGCGTTGACGCCGCGAATGTCTCTGTGCAGGAAATTTCTACTGCCAAGGCCTCCCACGTCGACATACGAGCGTCCTTTAAAGGTACACGTGTACTTTGCGCTACCTACTCCTCAGCTTCAGCAAGCCACGGATCTCATACTTGACTTCCCTGGTGGTGGGTTTGTCGCAATGACTCCGGAACATCATGATGAGCGTCTGCGCTCTTGGGCGTCACGCACAGGCAAACCAGTACTCTCCGTCGAGTACGGAAAGGCACCAGAATGTAATATTGACATAATGTGCCTGTTCTCATGTTACTAACTAACGTACTAGATCCTTACCCTTTCGCGATTGATGAATGCTTCGATGTCTATCGGGTCATTTCCATGTCCATTGGACGATGCATTGGTATGTCTGGTAAGAAGCTTAACATTATATTGACCGGAGACTCTGCGTACGTCAATTCATGAGTAATCGCGTGCCGCTTATTCACGGTTATTTAGCGGTGCAACACTTGTGGTGGGCGTGATGACCAAGATCTTACAACATAACGCCGCGCTCCCCGCTTCTACAGCTCCTCTTCCCGCGCCTGTCGCACTTGTGCTGAGTTATGCAGCGCTAGACTTCAACTTTACCTCGTGGATGTCCCCTGAGAACCTCCAGGTCCTGCGCTCCGAGCAGTCCTCGGGTAATCTTCCGGGCATACATGAGTTGGCATCGCAGAAAGACCACTTGCAACATGTTAGCCCGTTGAGCATGGTGGGAGACCGCAAACACGGGTCCGGACGACGGAAATTACATAGACGCAGGAGCTGGAAAGATGCGCTATTGGATTTTACAGGAGTAGACGCTGACCCTATCAAGTCGAAGCCGGTGCCGGCTCGGCACCACTCTACTTTGGGAATGAAGAAAAAGAGCTCTGTGGTATCGTTTGGAACGCGCGCTGGGAGAGATAGTGCGCGAACCAATCCAGTGCGACATGAAGATAGCGGTTTTTGGGCGGGTTCTGAAAGCGACGAGGACGAGCCCGTGAGAGAGGAGGACCGGCCACTTGAGGATCGTGTGCGTTTTGTGTACCCTGAATGCGTCAGCGGAGGGGACGGTGTATACTTGCATCAGAGGCTCGAGAAACAGCAGGAAAAACTTTCTGCAGCTGTAGCGGAGGCTGATAGTAAAGCGTCGTCTACCAAAGGCGAAGACGAGAAACGCGAACTGATTGGTACCCGATTGACCATGACTAGCCGCACGGGGTATTTTCAGGATAGAATTATACCTCCCAGTATGGTAAGTACTTCTGATCATTGTTCAATCCCATTGGGTATTTATTACACTCCACAGATGCGAGCGATGGCCATCCTCTATATTGGTCCCCACCATAATCCGGATTTTGCCACTGATTACTTTATATCGCCCATCCTAACGCCCGCGAAACTTCTAGCACAATTTCCTCCGCTTCTGATGCAATGTGGTGAAAAGGATCCATTTGTGGACGATACCGTCATTTTTGCGGGGCGTGTCAGGGAGGCCAAACGTGCGCGTAAGATTGAACTAGAGCTTGCACTTTCTGGGAAGAGTGCTCGATTTGGGGAAACGCTCCAAATGAGCTCCGCGCACCTGAAGAGTGACGAAGGACTGGAGAAGTTGGAGAACGAGAGGGAGCAACTTGCGAACGAGACGGAAGATGACTGGGTGCAGATGGTGCTGTTCTCTGATTGGAGCCACGGGTATCTTCAGATGATGACCCTGATGAGTGAAGCACGGGCTGTGGTGGAGGACTTGGCGGACTGGATGGATGATGCATTTGTGAGGTATAGCGGTAAAGAGAAGGGCAGTCCTTGCGGCAGGGTTGAGGTGAAGGCCGTTGATGCTGGTGGAACAAAGAAGATCCGGTCGCGGAGAAATTCGCCGCAATCATCGTCTGTGACTCCGAAACGGGTGAATGGGGACGGACACGCCGATGGTAGTCCTAGCCCGTTTACATCTGAAACGGAGACGGACGACTCGGGTATCACGTTTGTTGCTCGAAAACGGCTTACTATGACGCAGGGTAGCTCTGTGGGATCAACGCCTCCGATGAATTCGCGGAGGGGATCCGGTGAGCTTGTTGAGACCATGTTGCAAGTGCAGAAATCTGGGCAGTTGCGTCGTGGGGAGGTGGACACAGCGACTAGTACGACGCCTCAGAGCAGTACGCCTCGCGGAGGGAACGGGAAGATGGGACAACGGATCAGTGAGAGTGAGTTATTGAGACGGAGGAGGTTATTGGATGCACATATCTTTGAAGGACAGGGTGGTACTAGTTGATAGCCTATTCCAGTGCTGCACGGGTAACCGGAGTACATAGTCACAGCCACTTGGCTTGGTGTGTGTACACAGCCACGTGCACTGGATTCTTTTAATTTTTTTTGGTTTAGTTTTAATATTAAAAGACTGAGGCTGTGTCATCTTCCTTCAAATAGCGCCAGGAGAGCGCTCCAGATTCAGACATCCGCTTCCCCACCCGCTGTCCTGAAAAGTCTCAGCATCCGCTTCTGTTCAGAACTTCCGTTGATCTTAAGTACAACCTTTCAAATCAAAGAAGCCCTCTATTCCCTCGCCTAAATAATAAAAAGGTCCTATCAATCATGAACCTGGATTCGACTCGGGTTCACTGGTCCACATCTCCCACATCTCAACAAGACTTTCAAGCTTATAACAATCATCACTTTATTCCAACTGAACCCACAAACATGTCTCAGCAACAGCAATCCTTTCCTCCAGGCGCAGGTCCGAACGACACTCCTCAAGACCAATACCCTTCAGGTCACGCGTACAGGAGGAGTCAGTCTAACTCTCCGTTCCGACACACCACACATCCATCTCCATATCCACAACCAAACATTCCACCAATTCAGGGTCAACCGGAGTTAAAGCAAGAATCATACTATACCCCAACCTCTGCAGAGTTATACACTCACGCTCAGGTCCTCGCATCCGGAGCAGGAGAGGGGTCTGCTTCCGCCCATTACACTTCCCAAACCGCTATAACTCGTCTCCCCCCTATTCTACAAGTAGAGAAGAAGCAGGTCACAACATCCGCAACACAGGCTGCAAGTGCAAGCAGGCGGAGGAATGAAGCTCATTTCGCCTGTCCAGTCCCCGGTTGTGGGAGCACATTTACGCGTCGATTCAATCTTAGAGGTGCCTAATCATACCAATATTGTCTCTTCATTCTACAACCAACCGTCATCCACTAGGTCATCTTCGATCTCACACCGAGGAACGTCCATATGTGTGCGAGTACCCCGATTGTAAGAAAGGTTTTGCAAGACAGCATGACTGCAAGTAAGTCTTACTCCTTCACAATACTCTTCGATCATATTTTTGGCTTCCGCCGGCCGTTGTCCCTTATCGCGTCACCGATCCTCTCTACATCATTGACTCACCTATGACATGCTCACGTCATGATCTGCACAGGCGACATCAAGCACTACACGCCACGCGCTCCCAATCCAACATTTGTCAGGGCTGCAAAAAGACCTTCAGTCGCCTGGATGCCCTAAACGTAACTTCTCTATATCGTTACCAACCCACATCAACTAACATTCATCCCTCTTTTGCTTCCATCCAGCGACATCGTAAGTCACTATCCCTGCCCTTCTCGATACTCAAGTACTTACTACTCCGCGGCATAGTTCGTTCCGAGGGTGGTTCTGAATGCAGACAGATTGTAGAAGCTCAGCAGCAGGCTGCAGCACATGCTCAAGCGATCACACAATCTCAGGGTCCTCCACTACCAGACCACCCTCCCGGCAATCAACCAGGACCCAGCTCAAGCACTGCCAGTTAGAGTTAGTGGTTAATACTCATGGACTCCCAGAACGCTTTTAGATATTTTGTTTTCATGTTTTCATGATTCCTCTTTACACTCAGGATGTAAGATTACCTGAGCTATAGGCTCATCATCATTCATTCCCACTGATGTATACACTCTTGTATCGATTCCTTGGGCTTACAGTTAATATACTTTGCTCTTAATGTTACCCCCCAATCATTATTGCCACGATCCGTGGGAACTTGGAGAAACACGTGAGAAATGCACTCTCGGCTATTATAGGGTAGAGTCACTTGCATGACTTAGTACTCATCCAACACTTCTCTTCCTATCCCATCATAATGTCCCTTGCAATGCTCGTCGGTGGGTCCGAATGCGGCCCATCAAACCCACTTCAGAGCCTATCCAAAAGATTTGACCAAGACCGCGGAGTGCAGCAGGTGCGTGCGGGGTTATGGGAAGTCCTAGGGTCGCATCAACCAATGTACCCCGCTGCAGGATTTCATCGGTGGCACGCGTGCGAGTTCATCTCGAGAGGTAATAATAAAATCTTCGAATCAAATGAAACCCCGATAACATCACACCCAGGTGTTCCGCACCCAACAAACTACTTCACCTGAACTACAAGAGCATGCGGAACGTTTCTTTAATTCGACGCATGCACCCCCGGCCCAGCTTGTAGTCCCTCAGCCTTTCAATCTGGCTGGATTTCACGATGCTCTCCCGCAAGTTCAAGCATCTATTCAATTACCGCAGACCCAGAACCCATTTCCCTCGGGCTGGGCGAGCGATTTTTTGGTACAACAGGTGCAGACGCCTGCATCTGTGATCAAGCATGTCGAGGCTCAGCAAGATCGAATGCAGAGTCCTATTTCTGTGCCTATGAGTCCAGGACTACAAGGTGCGTGCTTGTGGTGGATAAGGTGAATATATGCGGAGTTCAAGTGCTAGGTAGTATGCCCTCGCATATGGGCTACAGAATGAGTCCTATGTCGGGCATGATGTCCGCAGTGCCGATGCCGATGCAAAGATCTGCCTTGCAGACTGATCGTGCGTTTGATAATTTGATTGAATCTGATCAAACGCTTATACTTTGTCTGAAGAGATGTCATGGGACAGAGAGTTTCAGTCTCAAGAAACGATGTTGAATGCGAATGTCGTCCCAGTTGCTGAATCTTTTCACACCGCGCCAAAGCCTGCACCGAATGACGATATGGCACAATTAGCAGCACGTGTCATTGATGCTGTCCAGGGCGAGCAGAATCCCAAATTCCATCAAAGTCAATTCATGAGCCTCATGCGTCAGTTTCGGGATGGGGAAGTCATCGTTGAAGAAGACAAGATCGTTCCGAGCGAAAGCAGCACTGCTGCTCGTGTAGACGTCAAGGGAAAGGGGCGTGCAGTTGACATTCCTGTGCGAGAAGTTCAGGAGCCTGTCCGTGTCCACTCAGTACCAGCGAGTTCCGTCCAGGGTTATCAAGGTTCTTTCGAATTAAGCGAGGCGTACATCCGCCAACGTGACAATAACAATAGCGCCAACGATGCTTATTTTCAACAAGAAAACGAGGAGTTCTCGGAGTACTGGAATGCTCATTATACAGGACCTGTGCCCCACACTATATCCGCGGGTGAGCACGGTTCATGGCATGAACTGCAGCGCGATTGGGATGCCTTTGAAGCTACCTCCACGGGAATTAAAGCCTTGGCAAATTACCAATTTCAGGAGAATAATCCTTATCTCCTGGGCGACTCATCAAGGACGTACCATCATGGAATGCACGTGAGTGATGTTCAACGTGCCTATGATGTCAGTCACAAGACGTTCTTGTTTTTCACATGTATGCTGACTCCGCTCCATCTGAAATAGAGCGTTCTCAAACTAGAGGCGGCTGTCCAGCGTGATGGAAATAACGCTGCAGCATGGTATGAGCTTGGCGTCAAACATCAAGAAAACGAACGTGAGAAGAAGGCTGTCCAGGCCCTGGAACGTTCTGTTGAACTCGATCCGACGCACCTAGGTGCATGGCTTGCCCTCTCGGTATCTTACACCAATGAAAACAATCGCATGGGCGTTTACAATGCAATCAAAGAATGGGCGATCCGCAATCCTAAGTACAAGCATATGGTTCAGAACGCCACATTGACATCGGCTATTAATTTATCATCTCCTGGCAATTTTGAGGCGTTGATAGAATGTCTTATCAGTATGGCACGTAGCGCTGATGAGTTGGGAAGTGTGGATGCAGATGTACAAGTGGCGCTTGCTGTGCTGCTAAACACGACAGATGTACGTACTTGCGATCATCTGTCCGGAGAGTCATGGGCTGATTATCAATGTTCCACAGGAATATGCCAAGGCTCAAGATTGTTTCCTGACGGCCTTGGCGGTACGCCCGAGTGTGAGTGTTTCAAAATTGAGTCCATGGTGCGAGACTTGAACAAGTTATTACCAGGACTGGCTCCTGTATAATAGAGTAGGTGCCACGATGGCAAACAATGGGCAGGCCGAGGAAGCAATTCAGTTCTATTATCGGGCACTGGATCTAAACCCTGCATATATACGAGCGAGGTATCGTGGCCCTTTCCTCATAGTTGGCTGTTGTAGATGCTGAGTAAAACGCGTTATGTGGTAGGTTCAACCTGGGCATTTCTTGCATTAATCTTCGGGTGGGTCTTTCTTATTCCGATTAGCTGTGATGCTGTGCTGTTGTTGACGTTGATTTGACAGCGATACGAGGAAGCACAGTCACACATTCTTGATGCGTTGGTTTTGCAAGATAGTGATGGGGTGGTGGACAATAATGGCATGAATGACAAGCGTGGTGTGACAAACTCCACATTATGGGAGAGCCTCAAGACGACGAGTTTGCACCTTCAGCGGCCTGATCTTGTAGCGTTATGTGATAAGAGAGATCTGGATGGTAAGTTTGGGACATCTTCTGATGTTTCTGATGAGGGGCTGATGACAACGTGATGTACAGGATTCAGGAATGCATTTGAAAGCGGGCCCTGACATGGACAAGCGGGTCCATGAAATACCCGACGATCCAGACTGTAATGTGTCCTGTGATCTCGTACTTTGTTTTACTACGTGTAGCACCGCTTTATCTGTATTTTACCTCGCGTGTGTGTCAACTATAGAACCTATGAGGCTGTCAGTTCGGAGTAGTCTTTCAGCGAGTAGCGCTTGAGTCGAACCTGTACTCGGACCAGGAATAGCTGTGCTCGGGGCAGGTATGCCGAGCCGTCTATTCCTCTCAGCTACTAATAGCTGGAACCACGGCAAGGTCTGTGGGTCGTTTGGCTGGATTGGCTGCTCAGCTACTTTTTTCATTGCGAGCAGGGTCTTTTGCTTGGCCTCGAAGCGAGACTTTTGGTCTGTGACAAGGTCTCGGATTTCTTGGACGTCGGCGTCTGACATTGGAATCATGGTAGGCGTGCGTCTGATCATGTTGTAGTCGATAGAAATAGCAGGCTGGATGGTCTGTAGTATAATGCAAGCCCAAGCGCTGTTGGAGCGGTGATAACGAGGTGTTGAATAAGCGCCCGACAGTTTAAATGGAATTAGTCAATTGAGACGTGTTCACACTGTTTGGTCACTCGGACACGCGAAACGCAGCAGCTGCCGCCGCAGCAGAAAAAACCAGCACTGTGCCCACAGACCCAACTCTTAATCAACCACCATCTACCATCCACTAACAGTTATGGAAACCGTTGTTCGCGTCGTTGACACCCTCAAGTCTTTCCGGGTACGTAGTATCTGCATGAAAGGAAAAAAACCTGGTTTCTAACCCTTGACAAATTTATTCAGGAAACCCGCTTGAGCACACTCAGAACTCCTGCAGAATTCTTTGATGTCCACCGAATTTCAAGACCTGCAGATTTTAACACGGCAGTATCGGTGCGTTTTCGTGCGTACCCTGAGGACGTGTCGCTGAGGACCGAACTCGTAGCGACTCACATATAACACTCGGTATTTCTCCGGGAACTACACTCTCATCGTAGCTGCTCTTGCAGTATATTCCATGTGCGTATACTCCCAACCACGAGCTATCGCTCAACCCCGAACACCACAGCTGATGTCATCCCCATAGTATTGCAAGTCCCCTCCTTCTCTTATCCCTCGTCTTCCTCTTTGGAGGCTTTGCCGTCATCAACCGTTTTGGTGCGACTTCCTCTTTCTCTTTCTTCCCTTGATCCGGCGCTGACCATAGAGTTGTCATTTAGAGGAAGTCTATGGACAATTTGTCACCCAAAAGACCCTGTACACGGCGCTCTTCGTGATCGGTATTCCCCTCCTGTGGTTCTCCTCTCCATTCATGACTTTATTCTGGCTCATCGGAGCATCCGCGTGTCTCATTCTCACTCACGCATGCTTGATCGAACCAGGTGTGGAGAGCGAATATGCAAATATCGAAGGAGCAGTGTAAAAATGCCATGGGGGAAAAGAGAATGAGAAATGAGTGTGCATGTGGTTGGTTGTTGTACTCCTTGGAGATTGGACTATTTTCTTATTGTCTCCACTCGAATCCTAATTACGGCTGCTCGTTCTCATTCGTCGATACCTCGTCTCCAATATATAGGCGTGTATTTCCCTTGCGCGCATAGATTGTACGAATTGGAACAGGATCGACTAAAAGTCAGCTTCATTGTCTACGTTTAGAATATCAGTACTAGGATAATGATTCTATTGCAATGGCGGTGCAGGCGAAATCATGTGCAATATAAGAAGTTCATAAAGTAATGTACAGAGTTAAGCCATCCTCTCCAAGGAATGCAGTATCTCGGTACAAATGTAGATAAATAGATAAGCGAGTCACAACATTATCCGGGTGGGACATCGGGTCATAGGAGCGGTAACCATTGGCCTTTTGGGCACTTATAGTCAACGTATTGATGGGAGTCAGGATATCACTTACCGATAACTATGCTGGGAAGATCAAAGATGTCCCTTCGTATTGAAAAACAAAAGGTCGAGGGTATCGGCGCGCCGGAGGGCTTGAGCAAAACGCAGTGCGAGTATACTGATTTGGTCGTGTTCTCAAAAGCATGAGAGGCGAAGTTTTCCCAGTATTCGACGACGGATTGGTTTTCGAATAACTAGCACCGGGTCAACGTGATTTCAAGAAAGAGACAGAATACACGGACTTCGTATATGTACTTGCGCTTTCCAACGAGATCTTCCAGGCGCCACTCCGTGAGCATGCAAAACTCGGGTGCGACGAGACAGATTTCGCCGGTTCGCCTCCAGACAACCGTTGGTGTGCCGCTGTACGATATAAGCTTTTCGAGTTCCTACACGGGAAATCAAAACCAGCGTCATGTGAGAATAAAGTGATGTACGCACGAGTAGTGATCTTTGGAAACATTTCTCGACGAACACTTCGTCCTCATCCGTCATGGGCATTTGCAGAGCGATAAGCGATGGTCGAAAGATGGCGAGTGCTCGAACAATGCGTAATATGTCATTCTTTTCAAAGCTGAACGGTCCAGGGGTTCCAGGGGCAATCCAACCCAAGATAATATTAGGATTTGACCACACAGGCCAGGAGCTCTCGACTTCTCAGCACACAGAGTATACGCACCGACTCGGGAGATGCTTCATGAGAAAGTGGTAACCTTCGGTATAATCATAAGGCACTGTTACGTTGATGGTCTGAATGGGATGATGAGCCAGGTACAGTATGAGAAAGTAAACACGAACAGAATGGTGATCACCGCTTTGGACCGTAGGCGATGGTGATGTCCGCGAAGAAGACTCGTAGGAGTGAGAACGAGTATCCCTTGATGGCGTGCGCATCACACTTGAGGAACCGAGACTAACGACACCACGCGAATAGTGCGGTGCAAGGTTGTATGGAGCTGATAATTGGGGCTGTGGTTGAGCATATGAGTATTGCAACGCTGGTGACGAAGTTCGACATAGTGGGGCAGGATAGCTTGCAAGGAAGGTTGGCGACGATTGAGAAGCAGATATGCTATCTGACTGCGGCATCGATAACTGAGGCGGATCGCCGAACGGGGAGCCAAAATTGCTTGGCGTTCCCTGAATGTACTGGGGTTGGGCGTGAAGTGGCTCAGGAGACCACGCCGAATTTGGGATTGGCTGGGAAACTTGTTGTTGTTGCTGTTGTGACGGGGACGGTGCTGTACCAGATTCTGGAGGACTTGGATTACCCAAGATCGCAGAAAGAATGGAGTACTCTAGGTTGGCAGCCTCGGAGCCGAACGTAAAATTGGGATCGAACGACACATTAAAGAGTGGATCGTGCGATTGGAAGGTTTCAGCTACACGCAGTGTCAGAATATCACACGACTAGATGAAAGAGCCAAGACGTGTTACATGTCGGTTGGAGCGCGGGTGTCGGCTCTGAACTCGAATCAGGAACTCTGCCCTTTTTCTTAAGTTGTTCTGTCATGAGCACGTGATCAAAATTAACCTGAGGAGCAGAGATGAGAGAAGCACGCACGAAGTTCGTCATCATCGAGAAGATACTTGGCTTTCTTGCGATGACCTTCTGTACAGCTAGAAGCAATTCCACGCTTGACGCAACGTTGACAAGGACGAGCTATTAGAGGAAATATGAGGTTGACATGTGCGAGATCCGGGGAACAAACAGGTGACCTACAATCATCACATGTTAAATGTGCTTTCTGACAGTGCGCGCAGGCACGATTGGCTTTCTTTTTCTTGGGACCGTCCCTGCTTTTGCGAGGAGCTTCAGTGTCTTCATCGCGTCTACGTTTCTTCAAAGCGACTTTGTCTTTTTGTGTGCGGTAATGAGAAGGGCCAGCTTGTGGTTCTGGAGTGACCATCTGGGAAGGATTCACGTATGCATTGGATGGTGAAGGAGCAGCAGTAGTCACAGGGGATGGGTCGACCAAAGTAGACATTTCTGAGGATGTAGTAGTGAGGACAGAATCTGCTGCCATGAGAGTTGCTATGAAGACATATAATGATCAGCAAAGTAACTTGTGAAAGAGTTTGTAAGAAGTAAGAGGAAGAAGAATTATGACTGTCGGTTGCAAGCAAGGGAAACTTTGACGTCGGCCGTAAACCGATTGAGTCTGATATACATCATTTCCAATTATTGCCAAGTACATATAATATTTTTTTTTACTATTTCCTTACATAATAAATAAAACAGCCGTAAACCGGTCGGCACTGCCGATGACGGTCCGGAAACACCGGAGAGGCAAAAGTTCTATAGGTTAGGTTCTAACCTTGAACCAAGTTAGTATGCGTAGTGACAGTGTGAAACATCTATTCGCTAGGCTGGTTTCTTCACTTGGTCGTGGAACTGCCACACGCGAATTCAAATGGATGAAACAAGCTTTGATCCCATCCCATTCTCTCACACTTACCGCAATGCTCCAGCGCAGGTTGAGTGGAGAACCACTCCAATATATCTTAGGTGCGCAGACTAGTTCATCAAATACACGTGCTATTTACTCATGCAAATCTCTAGGTACTACGCCATTTGGTCCTCTTGACCTGCTAACAAGGCCTCCAACGTTGATACCTCGTCCCGAGACAGAACACTGGGCTCTTCGCCTTGCGGATATGATATCGCCGACCCCCCTTCGTCCGCTAACCGTCCTCGATCTATGCACTGGCACCGGCTGCATACCTCTTTTATTATGTCATCTCTGGCCACCAGGCAGTACTCGTGCTTATGGTGTAGACATATCTAAAGACGCAATCCGCTTAGCCATGGATAATGCTGCACGTTGCAATATTCCATCATCCCAGCCCTCGTCCCTGGTTCCATTCACTCAAAACGTATTCATTCCAGTGCTTGGTGATCTCCGTGATCCAGACATCTTCAAATGCCTCCTGCCTCCCTTCGACATTATTACGGCGAATCCTCCTTACATTCCAAAACGAGAGTACGACGAGCTTCCCATATCCGTCAAAAATTACGAAGATCCTGTGGCATTGTTAGGCGACCCGCCAGATTCCGGGGAACAGGATGGCCTGACCTACTATCGTCACATCTCGCAGCTTCTCAGTCAAAAAGGAATGCTACGAGACGGTTCAATCGTGGCATTGGAAGTGGGTCATGCTCAAGCAGATGCGGTCGAGGGCATACTCCAGCAGTCAGCAGGCTTGCGAAACACGCAAGTATGGAAAGACCAATGGAATGTCAAACGTGTCGTCCTTGCACGCACTTGAGGATACTCACTTACACGTGTCATGTCCTCGAGTGATCGACGCTCTTCTCATCTCCAGATGCGCGTAATAATAGTAATCTTACTCCGTTTCTGCCGTGACTCATGACGTCCGAGATATGAAGTCTCTATCGCTTCACTCGACAACGACGTGGTTGACCTATGATCAAACCATTGATTTGTTCTCTGAACGGAAACTCTTCCGGATATTTCTCGGCGACCACACGTGGCAGCCCACATGCGGGGGAATACAGACGGGGATCTCCTACTGCGAAGGGCGAGACGTCATGACAATGACAATGATTGCACGTGGCGCTTATGTGGCAGCAACCGCGCTTGATTGGCGAGGACAGCCGACTGTTGATTATGCTGGGTTTGAAGGTTGTTCGCAATCCAAACACTCAGGAGGTTTGTGATTCTAATGGATTTGATGTTACATTCGCAGACAGCCGAAGTGTAAAATCTTTTGTGGGTGATCTCTTTGTGAGCAGCTTAATGAAAATTTTGATGAGCCCCATGCAGACCCCTCGCGTTGCACATTTCCGCCGTCTCTATATCTCACATTATCTCATCCCATTCCCAAGCCCCGGCAAGCGCCACATCTTCGTCTGTGTCTATTTCCTAATTGGTGCCGACATTTGGCGTGTTCTCGTGATCGGTTGACACTGATGGAGGTGAAGAGCTTTTTAGGAGGGAAGCGAGAAGTGAGTTGGTAGATGTCCGATGAGTCCTCGAGGAGGAATGATGAATCAGTACGCGGGGAACAACGTGCTGTATTTTAGGCTTCAAACCATCGACTTCGACTTTGGAATGCCGAGGACGACATTGATCTGGATCTCTTTGTGACATTGCAACTTCGTCGATTTGATGATTAGTCCCGAGGCTGCGTCATCTGTGGAAGAAATTCCAACAACGTGCGCAATGCTAGATGGCTCAGATGAGGCATTCACCAGCGTTGCCTCCTGATATGGCGATATGAGCTCTGTTGTACTAACCACCGCTTGCACCATTTCCTCCTCCAATGTCCCCATTACTGCCAAAACAGAGTTGCGTCACAGCTGTTCTGCATCATCACCAGGAAAAGTTCAATGACATGACAAATATTCGCGATACTGGGATCCTGTGGGCTAGTGATGGTTACAGCGTCATCCATTTTCTTCAACAATCATCACAACACCATAGAACACCATCCTGTTTTGACAACCCCTTCGATTCTTCGAGATTTTCAAACCACTCAAAAGATGATCAGAACGATGTATGCGCAGCTTCTGTCGCCATCCTCTGGATTTCAAAGTATTCAACAAGGGTTGAGGAGGACTGGTGGGTGCTGAAAGTCTTGCTGTAAGCTGCCGAGCCTAGATAGTTGTTAACCTGATTGCATGGTGGATTGCCTCAAAATGAACAATAATCGTGCTTTAGCAAATGCAAAGTTATGCTCGCATCGAGAGATCGGAACACTTGGATGATGCTTTGAAACCCGCATCAAGCACGTAACGTTCCCAAACAACTTCTGTGAGTGCTAAACGTTACAACCTACCCGAGCATGAAACATCGTGCCGAGTAGCGAAAGTCCCTCACCGGCCGTGAATTTTTAACCCATGTAACGATCGGTGTATCATCTCCGACCAGCGGCCCAAACTTATCCAGATTTTAAGCTCCACGAGCTTCAGTAGCTTTCGATTACCTTGATTACTATTCAATGGATATTGGTGCTTTCAACTTTTGCTATCTGGAACATACCACTGCCTGTGACGCCACTGCTCGTGTGATTGCATTCACGATCCGTAATGGTTAATTGTTATGGACCAATGGATATCGGTTCTGCTATCTGGTCCCGAACAGATCAGTGCCACTGATCGCGTGATGGAATTTACGAACACCTCTCTTCATCAAGGCGTTCCACAGTAAGATAAGAAAGTCATTTGTGACTGCGGGGAGGAGTCTTTTCATACATCCATCACCTTGTAGTACGCAAAGCTTACCATGGCATACGAGAGCATCCCACTTGAAACCTTTCACGAAGCATTCAAATTTAACACTGGTGTGTATTGTATTCAAATTGCTCTTTGTTCGATCCTTACGCAACCCGTTGATTTCAGAGCTCTCCAGTGTCGCACTGGGAGGAAAGGTTGTAAAAGTCTCGGATGAATTCTTCGCCGAGGCATTTCACCTGCTTGAAGTCGAGGTAAGTTCCACGGCCAGTGTGAGTTTGCAATAGCAATATCAAGTCCTTCTCCACAGCCAGCTCCCAGCCTCAAAGGGCAGTTCGGCCCTAAAGGCGCGTTGTACAGCGGCTGGGAGACACGGAGACATAATCCTTCCTATGACTGGTATGTCGACGAGGTATGATCTGCACAATACGTCACAGAAGTATTCCCCGCATAGGTGTATTATTAAACTTGGTACGTTGGGCACGATCGTCGGATTCGACATCGATACAAGTCACTTCAATGGTTTGTCTTTCTTATTTTTACACAATGAATTCATCGATAAGATCGTCACAATGCGTAGGTAATGAAGCTCCCGAAGTGTCCGTAGAAGGTATTACGGACTCATCAGTGGATGAACACGACATGGACAACGCAAAGGTTCGTGTCTGTATCACGCGTCCGCTTGTTCTAAATCGAGATATGACGCTAGTGGACCGAGATATTACCGCGTGTCCCTCTCGGGCCGTCCAAGCGGCATCTTTTCAAGATACCAGAGACTGAGCGAGTGAAGTTCGTAAAGTTAAACATGTATCCAGACGGTGGCATCGTAAGACGCGTGACCAACAGCTCGAATGTGAAACTCACATGTTCAATTATAGGCGCGTTTCCGAGTCTACGGTAACGTCGCTCCTGTGCAGCCTGACAGCACTCAAGAAGTATTCGACCTCGCTCATGTCTTCGCTGGAGGTCGCGTGTCATTTATGTCCGATCAGCATTTTGGTGTTGGCGCAAATTTGATTCTCCCAGGACGAGGTGCGTGTCTCCCGCTTCTCGGAACTTCGAGCTCGCTACTATATCCGTGCAGGTAAAGATATGGGCGATGGTTGGGAGACTAAGCGGAGCCGGCAAAAGGGTCACAAGGATTGGGTGATCATTAACCTGCAAGTCACCAAAACCTCCCAGAGTCCAGTGAATTGAGCTTACCCGCGACTATTTAGGGGCGCACCGGGCCATCTAAGAACAGTCGAAATTGACACGGCGCATTTCAAGGGCAACTTCCCAGAGAGCTGTGAACTCCACGCTTTGAATAGCGAAGAGGATGTACCGGATAGCGATGCTGCCGATTGGACACAGATTTTGTCCCCGGTCAAGCTTGGTCCCCATCGGAGGCACTTCTTTGCACTGGAAGCAGATGTTTCTGTTGCCTACACCCACGTGAAGCTTACCATATATCCTGATGGTGGTATCAAACGCGTGCGAATCTATGGCACGAAAGGGCCCTGTCCTACAGACCTTGCGGTCAGACCCAATGACGCAACAGAAAACGATGCTGCTGCACCACTTGAGTCGGCACCTGTGGGTCTGAAGCAGGTCAAAACCATACCTGTTCTCCCTCTTACACCAGAAGCCTTTTCGCCCTTTGGTCAAGTCATCCAAGCGTATGGCGACCATGCCGCAGCTCCCCCCGGAACTAAGATCACGCCTGCCAATCAGGGATCTGCAACCAAATTCCATAAGCTTTCACTTTTAGAATCGTCGTATCCGGCTAGTTTGGAGGCTAGCAGTGGGCTGTCTGTCTATCGCTGCAATCCGACAAAAGTTGTCAACGGTGGTGTAGAGCTCAAGGTCGTCGAGCGCCACCCATATACGAACCAGGCCTTCGTTCCTATGGGAGGGGGAGGGATACAGGGCGATGAGGCGCTGAAGGAGCCAGGTAGTGCATATCTTGTGGTGGTTGCTCACAATGGAGCCGACGACAGACCTGACTTCAATAGTCTTCGAGCATTCGTAGCGAGTGCAGGGCAAGGAATCATGTATAACACTGCAATTTGGCGTAAGTGACCTACCAACATTTGCCTTTTCAGGTCTTACAACATATTTTTCAGACCAACCGATGACGGTGTTGTACAAGGTAACGGGCCTCTTTGATTTTTGTTTTGGAATACGAGCTCACCATCTTTCTGGCAGCCAATGGACTTCACTTGCGTGGAGACACAAATCGGGAACGGCGACAAGGCAGATTGCGAAATATTGGAGTTGGAAGCTAGCGAAGTGGTCGTCTTGGCGCTTCCGCGTCACTAGGTTACCTTCCTGCTCGACACAAGACACCTTCGGATCGACAAAGCGCGATATGGTATCGGAGTGATGTGTATTGTATTATCTAGGCTCTAGCGTTGTTAGAGATCAAGCCAAAAATCCAGGCCAGTAAGCTCTATGTAGGTCAGTGATGTGTCTATTAATGTAATAAATCTACTTCTTTGCCTGTGGCAGCGATTTGCGGTAGGCTTCTTCCAGTTCCTTCTGAATATTAGGTAGCACAGGCATGTGGTTCTACAAGGATAACATTAGTTTCTACTCTTCAGCCGACGGGGATAACATACCTTATATTCCATGGTAAACTCGCCCTTGCCCTGTGTCGCACCGCGGAGCTGGCTCGAGTAGCCAAACATGTCATTCAGAGCAACTTCTGCAGTGCATACGAACTCCTCGTCGCGAACCTCACTGTCAATGATAGTACCTCGCCGTTGATTTAGTCCACCGATGACAGCGCCTATAAGAAATTAGAGTTCATCCACGCAACAAAAGGTTGCGACGCACTCTGGAATTCGGATGGGGCGACGACCTCAACAGTCATGATAGGTTCGAGAATGACTGGCTTTGTATTTTTATAAGCTTCACGGAATGCACCAATAGTGGCGTTTCGGAAAGCAAGTTCAGATGAGTCCACAGCATGGAAAGCTCCATCCTTGAGCACGAAGCAGCAGCCAGTAATGGGGTTACCCGACAATGAACCCTTCTCAAGCGCCTCGTAAAAGCCCTGTAGAACAATATGAAGATGCGGATCCTCCAGCAGCTACGACAACGTACCTTCTCCACGGCAGGAATGAAATTAGTAGGGATGTTTCCTCCCATGACGACATTCACAAAGTCAACATCACGGCCAAGGTCCTCGCTGTATTCCATAGGCTCAATGTAACCGATGACACGTGCGAATTGCCCTGCACCACCCGTTTGTTTCTTGTGGGTATAGTTGAACTCCGCACGTTGCGTGATGGTCTCGCGGAATGCGACGCGAGGTTTACCAGTGGTGCAAGCGACATTATATTCACGACGCATGCGCTCGACGTAGATCTCCAAGTGAAGTTCACCCATGCCAGAAATGATGGTCTGCAGTGAAACGTGAATAAAAGAGTGACATTGTATACAAGCATACATACCTCTTTGCTCTCCTTGTCAAGATGAACTCTGAACGTTGGATCTTCCTTCTGGAATCTGTTCAGGGCACGAGAAAAATTGGGAGTCTCTTTGCCTTCGGGTTTGATTGCGAGGGAAATTACAGGTTCGGGAACGAACATCGACGTCTTCAGAATAATATGGATCAGACCAGTACCAAAAGGAGAGTATCATGAACGTGCTCACCATGGAAAAACTAGTCGAACCATCGGTGAAAGTATCACCAGAGGAGCATTCAACGCCGAAGATAGCGCAAATCTCACCAGGACCGATGGACTCGATATCCTATTTTCACAAGGTTATAAGGTCTAGAAGTACATAAACGGCAAAGACGCGTACCTCCATCTCGTTACTGTGCATACGGACCAGTCGAGGGACCTTAACCTTCTTGCCAGTGCGGGCATTGTAAATGATACCACTCTTCTTCAGAGTGCCTTGGTAAACCCGCATGTATGTCAGCTGACCAAATCGTCCCTCCTCAAGCTTGAAAGCCAAGCCGACGAGAGGTGCATCTGAGGCAGGGACAAGTGGAACAGGTGGGGCAGATGCAGGTTGCGTTGTATCATGGGCTGTCACGGGTACCTCAGCGGGGTTCGCGAGGTAGGCGCATACACCATCGAGCATAGGTTGGACAGCGGTGTTCTTGATAGCAGAGCCAAGGAAAACTGGCGAGAATTTGAGACCGACGGTGGCACGACGAATGGCCGCAACAAGCTGCGCAGTTGTGGGGATCTCGTCCATAATCAGAAGTTCTCCCATTTCGTCATCCACTTCAGCAAGTTGTTCAAGCAATTCGGCGCGCTTAGCCTTGGCAAGATCGAGCACAGATTCAGGAATATCGTCGGATTCTACGACATTAATGCTGCAGGATACGGTTAACGCCGCTGGGATAGATAGATTTTTAGAGACGTACCCTTTTTCTCCTTCGTTGTAAATGGCCTTCCAACGTACAAGGTCGACCACACCCTTTAGCTCGTCTTCAACACCTATGGGCACCTGAACCGCTGCAGCTGCAATCTTGAGTTTTGACCGGATCTGATTGATAACTCGCCATGGGTTGGCGCCAGGCCTGCGGGAGGAGGTATTAAAATTCGGACTTCAAATGGATAAATCGAGGCCCACCTATCCATCTTGTTAATAAAGGAAATCCGGGGAACATTATACCGTCTCATTTGTCGATCTACTGTGGTAGTTTGGCTCTATACAAATGGTAAGATGTTGTTGGTCAAGTTTGAATATGTTTTGCACACCTGTACACCAGATACGGCACAAAGAACTAGGATAGCACCATCCAAGACACGGAGGGCGCGTTCAACTTCAATGGTGAAGTCGACGTGACCTGCAAAGACGCGTCAATTTCATCACGGAGATAGTTAGACAAGCATTTTACCTGGAGTATCAATGATATTAATTGCATACTTTTGTTTCTCATTTGTCACAGGTGAAGTTGCTTCCCAATCACAAAATGTAGCAGCACTTTGAATAGTGATACCCTTTTCGCGTTCAAGCTCCATGCTATCCATCTTGGCACCAACAGCATCCCGACCCCGAACCTTAGCCGAATTAAAAATCAGTCGCGCCCCATGTAAATAAATTTGACTACAAAACAAATATTTTTTGAAAACCACAAAAAGATTGACTAACTCACCTCATGAATTTCCCGAATACGACCAGTATAGAAAAGTACACGTTCTGTGAGAGTCGTCTTGCCGGAATCAATGTGAGCGGAAACACCAATGTTCCTCTGGAAATTGAGCCTTTGCACATCTTTCTCTGTTAACTGATATGTGGGGTAAGTTGGTGGCTCATATTCCACCGGTTGGGACTTGGCGACCGCGGCTGCTGCTGAAGCAGCGCGTCTGCCTGAGCATAATACCAAGCACTGCGGAGAAGTTCTAGATGACCTAGAACTATACAACGCCCATTGCCATGAACCGGGCAGCCTCCGGACAAATGTTTGCATGACAGGTCAGAAGGACATGCAAAAATTAGGCGGTGGCGAGAAAGTAACCCGCTGCATAGCTATCGGAGTTTCAAACTCAGATATACTGTTCATTGCTAAGGTCCATTTTGAAAGTGTTTATTCTATTCGTCGTGTCCTACCAACGCCTCTTTTTATCCGTCATCATGTTGGAATCAAGGAAAAGGCCCTTGCCGGATGACGGAGAGGTTGCTCAAGCAAAGAAGCGGGTATTGACGAGCACGAGTGGGAGCCCGGAGGTCAATGGCTTGAGTGCTAATCACGACGCAGAAGAACCTGCGGACAACCACCAGTTAGAGGTGATTTTGCATCTCTTGTGCCTTACAGCGTACAAAAACCTTACTCTTTATTAGCTATTTCGCAAGGAAGCTATCTTCAGGCGCATGAAGCATTACTCGAGAGAGAACGAACGGAATCAGGCGCGCATTGCTCAACTGGAGCAACGAAGAAGCTCGTGCGAGGCAGGTCTAGTAGCTATTGCCGCATGCTGGAAGCAGGTAAGTTGTTATATATACTATCTTAGTAGTGGGCATCAACATTCTGGTGGGATAGTTGGTAGACACTGTTCAAACCCTGACGCCACCGGAGGACCTTCCAGCTGTCGAAGTCGATACGAAAGGTGGGTCAAGCACTTCTTTCATGACTTGGCTTTTGTTAAGCATTGTGCCAGATATTTTTGACTTGTCACAGCACATCTCAACTGACTCAAGCCTCAAAGCTGCACTAGAGAAGAACATGCTTGTAACCGAAAAACTAATCGCAAGCTTCATGAAACTCAATCCGGCCACCTTCAATGATAAGGCATATCAACGCTGTCAGGCATCACAGACCGAGGTCAGTATTTCCACTAGGCCACACACACCATATTGACTCGACCTAGTGTGTTGCACTTCGCTCTGAGATAGCAATTCTGCAGCGAAGGCTTGACGAGGTTCAGTCAGAGAAGGAGCAACTACACGACGACCTCGTTGCTGCTGAGATCAAGTTAGACCGCATGCAAAGTGGCACTGTTGCAGCCATGAAGACAAAGGGTGAGGCAAATGAAGATTCAAACCCGGACCAACCATGCCCAGCAGAAGGAAGCACCCCAAATCATGGGCCATCAACTTCACCGGTCAGTGACTATGGGTTTCCTTCATCATTACATAGAACTCACAATTTGTAGCCGCCTCAATTAAATGGTCATAGTGATTCATCCCTATCAGATATGGAAGCTTTTCGATTGGAGCTCAAAATTTCCTCCGAACGTGCAAGTAAACTGGAGGCAGAAATCAGGACTCAGGCGGAGATCATAGCGAAGCTCGAGGTCGAGGTTTGTCGGCCATCACCTTCCGCAGGACAATGCTTAAGTTAAAATCTTAAAGCGTGCCGCTCCAACAGTTGAAATGGTCTCTGGGACTGTGCATTACAAGATATTATCTGAGCGTAGGGATCAGCTGGAGTACGTGAAAGCTGAGAACGATAGCAGAATTGGACGATTGGACGTCACGATACGAGAACTGCAATCAAGTCGGACGCAATTTGAGGAGGAGACTCGGGTAGGTTACCCCACACTTGTTCTCCTACTTGTTCATTTCATCTTTGTCAGGCTTCTGCGCAACAAATGAATCAAGAACTCAAAGCTGTACTTGCTAAGCGGGATGCAGATCTCTCTCGCCTTCGCGACCAACGTGAGCTGCTGCACGCCGAATTAAATGAACTTAGAAGTCGTGAAAATATAAAATATCAGTCATCTCGGGAGCTCAAGGCCCTCGCCGAATCACGAGCGGTGCGCCAGTTACACACAGATTCATACCAAATTGTTGATACATTGCAAATAGGAAAGGATAACGCAACTTGAGTCGGAGGTTAGGAGACATAAAGCGAAATTAGCTGCGCATGCCGGTAATGAAGATCTCGTGAAGCACTTCTGGGAGGGAAAAGTTGACGATCTTCAATATGTGGACGGTCTTCGGAGGAAACTGAGGTACGCATGATATTCTAAAGTGTGGAGACGGGTAACATTGACATCTTACAGTGAAACTGAATCAAAGCTCGCCGCACTTCAGAAATCTATGTCCACCATACGAGAAGAGCAACCTGATATTGCACGTCATATTGCTTCAGAAGCAGCGAGCCGGGAAGAGCTCGCGGTGGTTACAGCAGAACTATCACGGTATCGATCTCTCTTTGGAGACCCTCCTTCTTCAGACCTCGCCAGGCAATTACAAGCGAAGGAAGATGAGCTCCGGAAATTGCGGCTTCTTGCAGAGCAACATCAGCAAGGGGAAGATGCAATTTACGCAGAGGTGGAAAGGCTTTCAGGAGCATGGGAGGCTTTGGATGGGCAGTTAAAGAATAAGGTAGCGAGCTTGATAGCGGCGGAGGAAAAGATCGCTAAGAGCGCACACGAGGTACGTCGCTGTCTCTCGCCCGTCCGGCAGGTTAAGTGTACACCCGGTATGCAGAAAGCGAAGGCAGATAACAAGTACTTTGCGGCCATGCGCGACAGGGAGTCTGTTGAGATTGAGCGGAAAAACGCCATTCGGAACCTCGAGAAGCAAGCCAAGGTTGTTGAACGACTGGCTGACAGCGAGAAAAACCTGCAACAACATATAGTGCGTTCCTTTGGATTCTGCCCCTCCTTCGTCTCTTACCATCACCATTTTAACTCAGGGTCATCTCGAAGCAGCCAACCAGCGTCTGCATCGAGTGATGGATGAAGCAGAAACAAGATTCACTGCTCTTGAATCGGATGTCCTAGTATACAAGAGGCAGGCCGAAAGTACAGAAGAGATGATGAAGAATGTACGTACGATTTTACATTCTTGTATGGTCCATATCTATAACTTCTCTGCCTAGGTTCGAAAGATCGCCGACGAAAAATATGCTCACATCCACCACCTCAAGGGCGCTCTATTCAAGAGGGACGACGATCTTGCTCGTATGAAAGCCGAGGTCGAGAAACTCCGTGTTGAGGCAAAGAAGTTGAAGTCTGCTTCAGCAAGCGAAAAGGAAGCAGACCTTATGGAAGAGGCTGCGTCTGTCTGGGTACGTTGCACATCCTCAGTGTTTAGAGGTGATTGTTGATTTGGTTCACAGAGACTCATCAAGTGTTCAACATGCAAAGAACACATGCGCGGAGTTGCCCTCACTAAGTGCTCGCACAGTGCGTATCGCTGCTAGAAATTAATAACGCATGAGTAAACTGATTCCCTGTTTTCCAGCGTTCTGCAAACAATGCATCGATGCGAGGGTCTCGACACGTCAGCGGCGGTGTCCGCATTGTAATTCAGGCTTTGCACAAAGCGAGGTAGTGAACGTCCTCTTCCAATGACTGCTTCTCCCATTTCATCTATCCCTGCTCAAACGTAGACTTCCGGTAATCTTCGTTGCTTGGCGCCTTTTTTTATTGGACCAAATCTTCAGTCATGCGGCGATGTATTGTAGCATATTTTATGCTTTTTTATGGAGCACTCGTGCCAGGTAATGTAATGATGATATCTTCTTATCTTTGACATTTACGCCGGTGAATGAAAATCGAATGCAAGACGTCGTGATGGCTCACTGAATGGTGATGCAGGATGAATGGGCTCGTTTGCCCAACTCTTTGCAGGAGGACATACAGTTAATTGAGCGCAGAGATCATTCCATATGAGCCGCTACACATCAAGACGGAACGGCTTCATAACAGACCGACGATCGAGGCTCGATCAGCGTACTACTATGTCCAGAGGTCGATTAGAATTCGAGAACTATCCGAGAGACGTGTTTTGGCTGATAGCTTGACTATCAATGAACCTTGACTGCACAAATAATTATCTTGATAAGCCCCCGAAGCAGATCTCTCGTTGTCATGTCAATCGATGTAGGTGAAAACGTTGACTTATGCACTTCACGCAGAATTGTCAAATTGATGGAGTATTGGTGGTACGATAGAAGCGATGGAACAAAATGTAGGCACTGCGCAATACACTGATAACAGCTACCGCTTGACCCAAGCATACTGTAGGCAAGGTGAGCAAACGAGGAAAATGATACAACGGAAAATACACATACCCGCTTGCGTGCCTTCGCAAGACCAGGCTTTTTTCGCTCAACCATACGTGGATCACGACGCAAAAGTTTCGCTATGGACAGAAATGTTAGTCGAAGTTGTTGGATGGAGGATAGCTGAAACGAAGATAATGCGCGACACTTACCCTTCCTCAAAATCGTTGCGACACTTGGTTCGTGTGCTGCAAGACCCTTTGCGATACCATGCGCGAGCGCACCGCTCTGCCCAGATGTACCTCCGCCACGTACGATAGCGAAGATGTTATATGCGCCCAATAGACCCGCAAGTTTGATTGGATGAATCACGCGGGCACGATCAGCGGGAACAGGGAAATAAGCTGAGAGGGGAGTGTTGTTCACGAGAATCTGAGATACGGATACAAGTTCGTCGCTCTTCGATAAAGAATTAGGGTTAAGAAGGGCCGAAAGGGCGGTGTCTGTCTCCGTTGCTGTTGGTATGGGCTGGGAGATGGTGGATTTGTCTGCGGGAGGTTGTTGGACGGGCACGATCCACACCCGCGCAGAGCTCGTCTTCCGCTTTCCAAGTGTATAACTTCGCCCATACTCGTCGAACTGGACGGGTTTGGCCTTTCCCCTCGCCAGCATCGTCGCGGCGTCTGCACGCTCGAACAGCTCTGTGATACCTTTGATACCTTCCTGCAACTCCGCGATCCCAGCTTTTTCCGCAATTGACCTATATGTCTCTAGCTCGTTGAGCACGAGAACCACTCGTCTATAGCGGCTCGTCGTGAGGGTGCTTCTGAGCTTCAGGCCGAGCTCGCGCTTGTCTACCCAAGCATTGACACGAGGTGGGAGGGCCTCCCGAGCAAATTGGGGAAGTGGAAGGAGGTGGCATGCCGTGAGCGCAGTCTTAGCATGTTGCAGAGCCGACTCTAACGACGAGAGCTGGTCGTAGAATTCGGGACGAGCAGTATAGAAGGCTGGGCTCGTAGGACGCGGTTTTTCGCGTTGGCGTCGGGGGAAGTCGAGGTGGTTCAGAGAGGCTGGGGGAACAAACGGCCTTGTGGTCTGTGTCGAGTAAAACCGAAACTTGGTTAAGCCCGACGGTCGTCGCAGGACGTTCATTGTTGCCTGGAACAAAATTCAAGAAAACCAGTAATTTCAGTGCGTTATAGACGTCACGTGATGTGCAAAGTTGTATTCTTACACCTACTAGTACATCAATCTTCTAGGCTAGTGATCCGAGTCCGCCAGGCAGAGAATATCATCTTCTCGTGTTATCGTCCCTGAGGCCTGAGGCCTGAGTCACGAGTTGTGTCAGTCGTTCTCGATCACCAGCTGGCATTCAATATCCCGAATCGAGGACAGACTAGCCAAAAACCACCCAAACACTGAACAGCTATTAATGACCAACCCTGTTGATATCTTCGTCGAGGCAATCAACATCTGCATAACTGATAGGTACCGTAACTCGAATTAAGGGTACTGGCACTAACGGGTTCGTAGTAGTCAACTGTTACTCGACATGCGGCAGAGGAAGGTGTTCGAGGTGGCACGTGGAATGTCCAGCCCTCGGCTCATCATGTTGGCACAAGACTTTATTGCTCTCTTTCACGTTACAAGCATTTAAAGGGTGAAATTCATTGCATCAACAACTAAACATGCACTGTGATGACGAGGAAGATTTTTTTTTGGGGGAGATCGTTTTTGACAGCTGTGTTGACTCAGACTAATACGCATTGCGCAATGATGCCCTTTGGAACGGCCACTGAAAGCAAATGCAATCAATTTCCCACATAAATACTCTTATTATAGGTGATAGCAAATGAGTCTCACACCTCTGAGGCGGTTTCAGCAGATCACCGCCTCCTTCAATATCTCCTGGATAAATTAAAGGTGCGAGACCCATCACTTCGCCGCATGTTGAAAACCATTCATACAGCTTCCATTTGCAGGTTCGAGCAGTTCACTTTGTGGTTTGATGTTCGATCCGCTCGGGGTAAGACAATGCGGCGACAGTGAATTCCAGGTGCTCATACTATGTAGTGTTTGTCACAAAGCTCAAGGTCAAACGACAGGCTTCAATCTTGCGAACCACCTTTTTTTGGGAGACGTGTATAGCACTCGCCTCCAGCTAGTAACTCGTCTAGGTTTATCTGCAGGATAATTGTGTCTGAAACACCGATTTATTGTGATAGTAATCGCAGAAAGTGGCTGTAGCAGTTCCTGCTAATACCCGTTATACCCACCTATGAAGAATAACGAACGAATGGAAGCCAATGTCCATAAGGCACTCGATTCTGTTCCAATCGAGTGTATGTGTCGGTGAGCATCGCTGTTTTCGACTTGCCAGAAGGTGTTTGAATACTTCATAGCTTTTCCAATCGATCTTTGCGTTTCCTTGACACATATCGAAGAGGTTTGAGTGGAAAGCAAGCGGCCTGGGCTAATATAAAATACCGAGGTCATCGAAGCTTGCCTGACAGAAGAACTCGACATAGCCATGCGTATAATGTTAATTACATAATGTACACTGGCACAATCGAGTTCAGGAACTTCAGGATAACCAATATACCGAGGCCATATGCAAGATTGCGAAGAAATCTGGAAGCCGTTTACAAACATTTAATAATCGGGTCATTCATTTCCTGTGTAGTCCACGCGTTGTCATACACAGCGTCCTAGTACAACCGGTTCGATAGCAATTGCAGAAAGCGGCCGTAGATCGATAGGACAATGAAACCATACATCCCCTGGAGGCCAAATAAACATCATGATCTTGAAGCGGCGCTCAGCGCTCAACGTTGACGTCCAACGATACTCCGGAGTCCTTCACGGAGATGTGCAATTTCGCTACTGCTAACACATGTCAAGTCCTCAAAATCAAGATTGCGTGCCTACAATCGCCGTATTTGGCGAAAAGAACATCCTTTCCGCTGCTGTGACGAGAAAGAGAGTGTAAGCCTGTGTGTAACTTTGTGAAGCGTTTATCCACAAAACACATTCTGGCTGCGCCCTGTAAGCCAAGGAACAGGAAGCAGGCCAGAATGATGTCCTAAGGGTTGCAGTGCATAATGATGTCCTAATTAAGGGTTGCATGCCATGATGCGGGTCCATTGGAGAATGTCGGTATATGAATCATAACCTGTTAGGGATGATTGCCCGTGGTGAAGAATGACCCTCAGGCTGTCATCGGAAACGTGGCAATCATTGAGTTCAGGAACTTCAGGGTGGCCAACTACTGAGTTGAAGAACCTCCTGCGTAGAAGCACTTAAGACCTGCGGATAAGCCAGAACCTAGCTAGGGATGCGGTGCTGCGGTGTAGCGGTCGTCCACGCGTCGTTGTCCTGGCTTTTATCTCAGATCTGGGTGCTAGGATTCAAACCCGCAACCCTGCCCCGGAAAGCCGCGATGACGTCAGCAATTGACGTGCTGAACCATCAATTCGGGTGACACCTCAACAAAACCTCGAGGCGATATGATTCAAGAGGCGTGCAAAAGGGAAATGCCGAACATACAGCCCACCATTAGATAAGCTTTTAAACCTTAATACACAGCCGCTTGAACTTGCCAGCAGACCGTTCTGAGTTCCTCGATAGCGGCGTCAGAAGTTAGTAGAATCGTTCACTGAAGACCAAGAGGGGGGAGTTTTTGCTAGCGTAGAACACATCTTGATAGTTAAATTAATGAAAAACGCGTGTTAACACGAATCAGATTACACGTCTCATAGCATTAATAATTCTGATTCATCTGGACATTTTCCTACAAGCCTGCAAAACGTACTCGCATTGTTCGTGCTTTACTTCAGCAGCCTACCGCCTCACTTGCTTGATGTTCTCTTCGTTTGCATTCATTTTGTATCACTACTTTCTCGTATTGCTCATTATGTCTCTATTGCTTCAGAACAAATGCTTTCTATTAGTTCGTACGTACTCTACAGCGTGCACTGGAAGCTACAGTAGTTCTCGTTGTCGTGTACTCGCGCCGTTCCCTTGCAATCAATCGTTAACATTGTTTTTGTCTTGTGCGTCCGGATGAAAATGATCGAACGGTCACCATATATGGATATATTTGCGTTACTGTCACTGTGACAGAGGGGTGGGGGGGCTTCCGAAGTTGCGAGAGGTGTATATCCTATATTGCAAATTTGCACACCTCTTGTCTGGAAATGAGGCAAACCGCGTCTATCGACGTCTCTCTATGTAACTGATCGTCACGTGAGAACAGTTACCTTGGGAAATCAACCAATAAAACATCAATTAATCGTATCATCCCAAGGTACCTACTATAACCACCTCCTCCTCCAGGTCGCAGAAATGTTTTGTCAAAATTCCATGGCGCTGTCGAGAAATTCGAACAGCAAGATCAAAAGTGGCCGAAAATGACATTCATGCTTACTGGCGGCTTAACGTGCTGCAGAAACATGCTACTTAGAAGATGCTCATGCTACTAGATTTATTGGTCACTTTGACTCAATAAAAGGACCTTTGATCACCTAGCTTTCAGCTATCTGAACATACACGCTTAATCCCTGTGGTACGTTTGGTACCAAAAAACAATCTGTCGTTAACGTTACTGATCCGTGGTGCAGCATATCCTTCTGACCACCGTGACGTCCATCAGCGACTCCCCTACAGTCTTATACATGCCTTTGGATATCATTCACGTAGATTCTGAAACCATTCTTCGAGCAAACCAAAGCAGTCAGCCAGTTGTCCTTTATAAGTGTCAACTGCAAGGCGGCCTCTGCGGATTGTATGTAGAGGGAACGACCAGTGCAATATCTACTCATCTACGAAGACACGGCATCACTGGTCCAGACAACAGCAGTATAATCTGTACATGGGGTAGCTGCTCCAAGACACTCAAGAAGGGAAGCATGGCGAGACACATCCTTACTCATCTTGGCGTCAAGTTGCGTTGCTCCGTGTGTGGAATCGTGAAGTGCCGTCACGATGTCCTTCGTGCGCACATCAAATCCTCAGGGCCATGCCATTCTGCAATCGCCGATAATGTTCACGGACCCGAAGGACGTGTCGTCATGCCTCCAGGTTGGGCTGCTACCCATGAGGTTTGATTCCTGTGGCATTCCCCTGTTTTGACCGGTGCTAACAAGTTGATTTTTATTGTAGGACAGTGATGAAGACGTCATACCCAACTCGCTTCTTGTGCAGACTACCTGACATATATACGATATAGTTCATTGGATGCTACAGCTACCAATATCGAAATCTTAGCGGCGGCAGCCATCTCGGATATTTTCTTTTGGATAGTGTACATTTACATTTACACAGCTGAATCTGGACTAGATATCGTGTACATGCTCAGTTTTCATACCTGCTTTCGATCGACTAGGACGCTAGGCCGCTGATCTGAGATTGAATCTGATATTATATTCTAAGCTCGATGAGCAGCGCGTGTATTAATATCAAGCCAAACCTGCCACCTGCTGGGTAACGACCCAGATAACTGACTCCGACAAAGGCAAACCTTGTCTGTTACGTTTGTATTGAAAACGTGTAGCGGAGGGGCTACGAGCTTGGCTTTAATCGGCACCATCCCCTTGCTTCACCTGCCCGAAGGCATCGATACCGGCAGGGGTGTGGCATGTCAGCCCGCAGCTTGATTATCAGGCTGAGACGTTAACCGCCGCGCGTGCGATGCCATGGCATAGGAAATATTTCGCGCATTTGCCTTTGGTGCACTGGAAAGGTGCATCATGATTCATGACTTGAGTACGGCAACGAAGACTTGCGTGATGGCGCGACTTTATGTGCCATGGGTCATAAGATCCCGTGGTATATGAGTCTGTGAGACACCGACATGATGCTGCCTGTATGCACACGAGCCTGTCAGAGTGCCTTTGGGTGATATTGATCGCCAGATCCTTGGAATAGGCTGGGTGGTGGGAATTATTTGGCGGTTCCGCTTTGCGGTAAATGCGTAATCAGCTTGTCGCTCAGCCTAACGTATTTTGTGTTGAGTATGTCCTGTCTATTTTTTTTTTTTTTTTTTTTTTAGAAAAGCGAGTTTATTACACAGCAACTGACTCCGTCGAGCTCTATGTAAACGCTTATAGCGACTTTTGCTGGAAAAGCATTTACCCATCTCCGTCGTACTGAGTCTTCGCTGTGAGTTGACTCACGTATCACCCTGTCTATTTTTGCTGACAACCCTGCATCGCAGCACTCTCTAATACCTGGGGGTGAAAACTCGGCCAAAGCCTCGAGGTCTTGGTGTGGCAAGGCATCTTTGCATCTACTTCATCCGTCGGATGCCGATAGACCAGAGCCTCGATCCCATTCACCACGAAATCCGTCTATTGTCACCTTCATAAACACACGTCCCGAGGTATCCCGCCAGATCCTGGAATAGGCTGGTGAGCAAATGCCAAAACAGGCAGAAAGTCTCAGTCTTCGACTTTTCGCCCCATTCGGGTTCGTGCCGAATTCTTTCCCACGATTAGTAACAGACAAAGTCTGTGACATATTACTATCACATCGGGGTTATCGATATTTAAGAGATGTTTTTATGTTGTACCTAGAAAGTGCAACTGTTAGTACTGCCGTTACATTATATAATCTTTGGCATGAATGGCACGAACGGGGCGATTTAATGGGGCGGAAAGTCGAGTAACTACAGTCACGTGGCTTACTACACTCAGACCTGACCATGAGCGCAGCAGAGCACAACTTTTCCGGCGCACTGGCAACATGGAAGGGTACGCAAAGCAAATTATATGAATGACGCGAGCTAATGACTGCAGACATTAAGCTGCAGGAACTGCAAAAGACGCTGGACGCCCAAGGTATCGAGATCGTCGACAACCAAAAGGAATCTATACTGGGTCGCAAGCAGCTTGCTGACCGCACAAAAGGTCCGTGTACATACGTTCTTTGACTGTGAGCCATTTTTAACTTTTGCAGAGTTTAAGAAGATTCCAGATGACGAGAAGTTAAACTCGTTCAAAGGCCTGCTCAAAGGTTCGCATATCCTTCTTTCAGTGACTTGCTATCCATTGTTAACTCTGGTGCAGCATACCAGACAGAGATCGACAACCTCACGAAGCGGTCAAAAGTTTCTGAGAATGCGTTCCTCAATGTATACAAGGTCCTCGCTGAAGCGCCAGATCCATATCCTCTACTCGAAGCTGCTGTCGTGCGTTTCACCCATCTTCTTCACCTCTCCCCAATTTCACACGTGCGCAGGACCAAACGGTGAAAGCCACAGAAGCACACGCACTGGAAGCTGAAGTTTCCCGGCTGCGTGCTGAGAACACTGAGCTTCGACAATCGTCTAGCGCGTTTGATGCCTCCAAACGCCGCGTCGAACAATTGGAGACACGTATGGACGAACTTGTTGCGCAGAAGGAGTCTGAGATCAACGCTGCGTATGACGAACGTATGCGTAATTATGAGGAACGGTATGTTGCGTGTTGTTTGCTTATTGTAGCTGCATGATGCTGATTGAGATGCAGGGAACAGGACTTGCATCGCCAGGTTGCACTATACAGGGACCAAGTGCGTGATCTACGACTGTCGAACGAATCGAATCAGGCAAAGCTCTTTGATCATAGCCAGCGTCAAGGTGAGTTGTGCTGCTTTTCTTCGTCCATTCCTTTCTTTCCGCTTACATGCTGACAATTTTACTTAGACCAAGAGGTCATTTCCCGTCTTGCAGAAGCTGACATGATCATGGTCGACTTGGAACGTGCGAATAGCAGAGTCGTGACCGTCGAGCAGCGGAATGTGAGTTGTGTTAGCCTCTACCCCTTGTTTGTCAATTCGCTGTTGTTCCATACTATTCGTTACACGTCATCTTGCATGCATCCACCTGAGTTACTACACTACCGTCGCATGGTTGACATACAACCACCTTCCATCCGTTGTTATGAAATTCAATTCAATTGATACTGACCGCTTCTACAGGAAGCACTCCGTGGAGAGATCGAAGCATTGCGCATTGGCAGTGAAAGCAGTGAACGGTACGTCTATTTTTTTTCCCTTTCAATATGCTTCCCCCTCCACCCACCCTTTCTGAGTCATTAAATTTGTATACGTGCCCTCAACCCAACTAATATACATGTATTTCAATAGTGTCAGATCACTGACGACTCGTCTCGCCGAGCTTGAGTCCGAGTACACACGACTCGAAAGCACCGTCGACGTCGCACGAAGCGCTGCAGCACGATCAGAGGAACGAATTTCAGAGAAGGTAGGTGTTGTTTTAAGCCTGGAGAGGCATGCTTCATGAGCATAACATAAACACACAGGCTCGTGAAGCAGACTCTGCTCGCGCAGAAGTAGAAGCTCTCAAGACAAAACTAAAAACATACGCGGATTACGACGAGGTGAAGCGAGAACTAGAGATTCTGAAGGTGTGCCTTCCCCTCGTGTGTCATTCTCATCATGTCGACCCCATAATAGTACGTTGAATTCGCAGGTCTCGACCCGGATGATGATTGGTCAAGTCCTGACGAAGATGAAGACGGCGTGCATCTGCCAAATCCCAATGCGGACAAGGCGAATGCACAGCACGGCAAGAGTCTCGAGGTCCTCCTTGCCACGAAGAATAAACGGATATTGGAGGAGTTGACTCGATTCAGGGTATGTTTAATGTTAACTTTGACCGTTGCGCTTCATCCAACTGACTGTTCCATAGATCCTCCACACATCTCTTGAAGCATCCCTCAAAAGCACACAGGACGAGCTCGCAGACACACACGCAGAACTTGTCAAGCAACAAGCTCTTTGCGAGAAACTTGAGACGGACCTGCTTGCTTTGAATACCAACAATGGGAGCGGGCCAAGAGAGGAGAGTGGAGAGAACGGGGAGAGTGGGATTTCGGGGCTGGGGCTTGAATTCGGCTTACGGACCAAGGTTTGTCTACATTTGAAAGAGTTTTGGGCGGTTGATACGATCGATATGACAGGACGCAGCGGGTCCAAGCACCACACGCTCAACACCAATACCTTTCACGTCATCCGCCGATACCTCGATCCTTCCTATCGTGACCAGCCAGCGGGATCGGTTCCGCCAACGGAACGCAGAGCTCGAGGAAGTAAGTATTACATCTCGCGTCCACGTCCCTACTCCACCTCTTTTGTTGACATTCACCTCGCCCGACGCTAACCCATCCCCAGGAACTTCGCAAACACTACCACACCATCTCAGAACTCCGCACTGAAATCAAATCCCTCCAATCCGATAACCTGAAGCTCTACGAGAAAGTCCGTTACATGCAATCATACCGCGAACAAGGCTCCGTCTCGCAGCTCGACCCTCTCCCGCCGTCTTCTTCCTCGGCATTCAACGGAAGTGGGAATGTAAGTGGAACTGGAAATGGGAGAGATGAGCTAGGGAAATGGCGCACAAGGTATGAGGAAGCGATGAATCCGTTTGAAGCGTTTCGTGGGAGGGTATGTTCTCCGTACTTGGCTTTCGTGTGTGCTGGGCTAATAATCGTCGTCCAGGAAGCGACGCGTGCGTATGAGGCTCTCAATCCTGTCGAGCGAGGTGTGCTCGTGCTCACGCGTGGGATCATTGGGAACCGGCGTGCGCGTACAGCGTTTATCTTTTATGCGGCGGCGTTGCATCTCTTAGTTGTCGTTACGGTATATGAGTGTGCGTGGTCGAGCGGGCAGCTGCAGGTTCAGCCGGGGCCGTACTGATCATAGTGGAGTCTTGGGCGAGATAATCTTTATTGAGCGCTTATATTCGCTTTGGAGTTCACCACATCATGGAACTTGGAGGGACACGTATGCTCAAAGCTGATTAGATTATATGCTGTAAAATATCAATGCACTATGGCTACGTTACATGCTGAGATACGCAATCCGCCTCATGCGGTTTTCAGCGTCGAAGTTTTTGCACTCCGTGCCCTGTAAAACGCAAGTGCATGCTCAACAGCGTCCAAGAGTGGTTTCATAGCCTATCACAAAAGCGCGTTCAACACAATCGTCCAAACCAAAGAAGGAAACAAAGACAAAGACTCACCACCTCTACTCTCTCAGGTTCCACACCCTCCAATTGGCCCGCCCGCACGAGCGCCTCGACTTTCTCACGTGTCTTACTGAGGTAACCCGCCATCTTAGCCGCTTTAGCTGCGTTTTGAGAGGGCGTGGCGCCTAATGAAGTAGTTGTTGGGGGAGGATAGAGAGATGTCCAGAATTGCCTAAGGAACTCGTTTTGCCGCCGTTTGGCATGTCGTGAGTTGGCGGAAGAGCGTCGGCGGGAAATCGGCTATAAAACAATTGTTTGAACGAAAGAGATTGTGGTTGAGAGGTACTCACTTTTTCTGGTGCGGATGTCTAGTCGCGCGGAAACATTTTGAGTCATCGAGTCCAGCGCTGCGTCTCCTGCTCTTTTGTCTATTCGAAACTATGGAGGAATTGGGGATTTGCCGTCGATACGACAAAAAAGGAGACTGTACCTGACTGAACCGCGTCTCCCAACCCCTGAAGCCGTGTTTCAATTCTGCAAAAGCTGCGCGGACATCAACGACCTGATCGTTTGGTGTTTGAGCATTTTAGGATACGACATATATAATAAAATGGAAGGAAACCCACCTCACTGCCTGCCTGCTCTGAAGCACTCCGAGCAAGCTGTCCCTCAAAATATCGCTCGCGGTCCTGCATCTGGAGCGTGATTCCATCCATAGCTTCTGAGTCTCTTAAATCATCGAGCGTGATCTGGGCGTATGCGTCGTCGTCCTCATCGTTGCCACTATCAATGCGTCGGCGTTTAGCGGGAGGTACTTCGCCTCTGTCACACATTGAGTTCATCAGGATCAGTGTTGAAAAGAGGAGACAGACAGGGCAGAGTTGAGTAATCGTTCAGAATGCTCATTGAATTTTCGGATGAGAGGGAGGGCCCCGCGTTGTCTTCCGGCTTGCATTGTCACATCCTTCTCGTTTCCTGTCTGTTCGGGGTAAGAAAGAACATGAACCAAGTATGGTGGAGGCATTACCTCTACATGGTCCTCGAGCGTCGCTCCTATATTGATGTAGAGGTCCGAAACTTCATTTCGTGCTCTTCGGGGTTCTAGCTCTGTGAAATAGAATGACGGGAATGAATTTCAGGATAGACAGAAGTGGTGTACCATCGTCGTCTTTCTCTAGGTATTTGTCGAATATGGGGTCGTCTTTTACAACATGTTGCGTAGCTGAGGAACGGATAGAAGCGCGGTGGGCGTTAAAGAGCTTTGACTGGAAATATCTCTTCCAGAACTCGGCTTCTGAGAGCTTGTAGCGGTGCGGTTTAGGCACAGGCGATGAGTGTAGGTATGGGACGAACCTTGTTAGGAACGTTGTCATTGTATGCTTTTGCAACGACGGGGAACTCGTCGAATATGTCGTGGACTAGCTGTGGGGTGATAACAATCTTGACCTCACCACCTTCTACGGTCTGTGGTCTAGGGTCGACAAGCTGACCTGGACGCCCGCGTTTCTGGCCCTCTGCAGCAGCTTCTGCAAGTAAGAGGTGCTTTGTAACAACTCAGGACAAGAAAGGGGTATATAAAGGCAGGATACTATACCTCTCTGCCATCCCAAAACTCGGACTCTGTAATATGACCACTCATAACAAGCTCTTTATGCAGCGACAAAAGCTCAGGATTCGAAAGGAGCACTTTTTTTCTGAGGCGAAAGTCGGTTGCTGCATCTATGCCGGAGAGGATTGGGGTGCGAGTGTCGCTCGAGACGGAAGTAGCACGGGATGTGGATGGGATTGGCGCGGGTGTCTTTGCGGGTGTGCTGAGTGGTGTTGGTTTTGGTATAGGTGTCGGTGCAGCGCTTCGGTTTCGAGAGATGATGTTTGTGAGCTCTTGCTTAAAGACTTCCCGTTCGGCATACGCGACTGCTGAAGGCGACGTAAATGTAAAATTATGTCCTGCTTCATCGTTTACGAGTCCAAGCTTAAGACGGACTTGAGCAGCGCCCTCTTTGCTACAGAAGAGAGCTGAAAGCGATAGTGAGCTTGATGTGATGTGAGTTGAGTTTACTTACAAGATGCTTCTGGGTGTTGAACACGGACTGCTGGTGCCTTCTTGCCTTCTTGTGTCCATGTTAAATGTGAATCTGTTAGCTCGAGAGTGCCAGGTTGTTTTTTGTAGGATGCTTTGGCGGAACACAACGTCGTAGGCATCGTCGACTTTGCTCTCACACCACCACCTTCCAATAATGTACACATTTAAACACCGCGACCTACGACAACCGAGTTCAAATCATTATCGACGTTATCTCTTAGACCATCATGACCACGATCAAAACCCAGCTGGTCGTCTTCGACTTCGACTGGTAATTCATTCTCATTCGCTCCGTCACTTATTATACATGTCTCGCATCCTAGGTCAATGGCGGATCAAGACACTGATCGCTGGGTATTCGAAGTCTTGGCGCCTGATATCCGCAGAAAGATGAAAACTCTCAAAGAGAGCGTTCAATGGACTGATCTCATGTCCGTGCCTTCCATTTTACCATCCAATAAAATTCATACATGGCCTGCAGAGCGCAGTCGTTGCAGGAAATCCATGCACGCGGCAGGACGCGTGAGGAGATCGAACATACCCTCCGTCAAATGCCCTTCGTGAGTAATTCACATGCAGGAGAGTAGATGTGTTAAAGCATGTATTTTAGCATCCTGCGATGGTACGAGGTATTACCAACCTCAAGGGAGCGTCCAACCTCACCACTACATTGTTTTGCCTCTCGAACGCGAACACTGTTTTCATCAACACTATTCTCGAGGTGGGTTCCTTCGCGTTTCGATTTCGGTGCTGTATGACTGATGAGGTATCGCAGTCAAAAGGGCTGCAAAATTTGTTTGAAGAGATCGTAACTAACCCAGCAGAGTTTGATCCTTCGGGTCTGCTCAAGCTCCGTCGTAGGGTCGACCCCGATGGGCTTCAGCACAGCTGTACAGTAGGATGCAGCCCAAACATGTGTAAAGGTCACTTCTTCCGTTCCATATGACTGCAGAACGCTAGCTAAGATAATGCCTAGGCGAAGAGCTTGCTGCGTTTTTGGAGCGCCACAAGCCTGGCTATGACCGTATCGTCTATGTTGGAGATGGGTCTAATGACTATTGTCCTATCCTCAGACTACGAAGGTAAGTCTGTCGTTTTCTACTCAGATCTCGTTGCTGAGGTTGAGTAGCCAGGATATGGTGCTCTGTCGGCGGTTCCGTGGCCTCGAAGGCCGTATTTCTCGAGAGGGCGGTCATCAGTGTCAGGTCAAGTATTGGGCGGGCGCTTGGGAAGTCGAAGAGATCTTTAATCAATTTATAGAGAACAACTGACGGTAGCGATGCTGCTGGCTGGCGTCGATGTTATTATATCAAAGCGATCTAGGCGAGAATGTTGCCAGTACTTTATGAGGTGCCCTGATTTAATATGGTGGAAGGATACATCTCTCGCACATGGCTTTCAGACCTTTTCTTCCTGCAATCAAGGCTCGCCTCACAAATCCAATGACCAACAATGATACATTTCATCCTGGGCCCATCACAGCTGCCACTGAGTTCTCGCAATAGCACTAGTATTGACGCCAACAAGTTGAATTGCCAGGAGGAAGTTCAAGACCATATCCTTGTCTGTGCATCATTCAGTTCTCGCTGAGCCCCCGTTTTCTGTTACGCATGCCTCAGTGGGACACTCTTGCATGAGCTTTCCTCCCACCGATGTCAAGACCATTTATGCGGTGATGTTTATAGTCACGCATCACCTGGCAATGAGTGGTATGGGAGGTGATGAGAAGATATGCATAACTCGGGATGCGTTACATAGTTAAATAATAAGAATCATCTTCATGCCTTTAATAGTTGACATCCTGCTGAATGAGCGCAATAGCTTTCGCAGAGCGAGGCTTGATAGAGCACTTGAAGGGCTTGGGGTGGCTGGGAGTACGTCTATTCAAACAAGCACTACGAACGCGATAGGATGCACGACATACCTGACAAGGCCTGATGAGAAGTCAACCTCAGGGGTATGCTCAACACCGTTCTCGACGATCTTGGAAATATCAAACACGGCGAGCGACATCACGGTAGATATCCAGATGGAAGCGTCAGCAAGGTGCATACCTGCACATCAAACATCACAATACTGTTTTGTTGAGTGCTTCTGTGAGTTTGACGTACCCGGGCAAATCCTGCGGAGCAGAAAGTTAGCATCCCACTCAAAATGAACTCCATGCGTACCGTCTACCAAAGCCAAAGCTAATCGTGCGAGGCTCGCGCTCGGGACCCCTTCCATCATTATCTAAGAAACGTTCGGGGTTGAATTGCGAGGGGTTAGCATATGTCTGCGGGTCATTGAGCATGGACCTGGCATGTAATTCTATCACGTCGAATTCACATGAATGCGAGCACTAACCAGATGTTAGGTATGAGCATGGTTCCTTTCGGAATGTAGTACCCGTCATAGATATCATCCTCAGAGACGCAGTGGCCGAAACCTGACTTTAGGTGATTGGTACCACTCTGCGATGAAAAGAATGCGATAAATGCATACCTGTAGGGGCGACAGCATTCCAGCGCAGTGATTCCTTTATAAGGGCCTCGATATAGGGGAGGGAGTCACGGTCTGCGAAGGAGGGAAGGCGGTCAGTGCCAACAACAGCATCTATTTCAGCCTGAGCCTTCTTCTGCACATCAGGGAACAGTGTCATCGCCAGGAAAATCGAATAGATTGTAGAAACGGTCTGCGGAAACAGATGTTAGTTTGAAAATATGCTGATTAGTCTTGGAGGAGCTAACCGTGTCGGCACCACCGGCATATATAGACACAGCAGACCATTTCACCATGTGCTCCTCCTCCGCAGACAAAGTGCGACCGTTCAACAGATTCGAGGTGTAAGACATTGGGGCAATTCCGGCAGCCTGTAATATGTTCAGCCCGTGATCATCAAATTGTAGATGTTGATTACTATCTGATCCTTGGCGAATTTGTATGGAGCATCAACAGTCTCTTTGAGGTTCTGGCGCCATTCACGGGCCAGGCGCTTGAATCCAGCACCAGGAAACCACTCGGGAACATTGGCCACTAGAGATATTCAGCTCATCGCAAACGTCAGGGCGCCATAGTCTTACACCATGGCATGATGTCTACCATGAAGGCACCTGTTTCGGTGCACCGCGAGAATTGGTGCATTGCACGGCCTGCAAGGTCGACGAAAGGATCATTGTTATCCTTCACTTCATATCCATAAGAGATTCGCAGAATGATGGCGCCAGCGGTGCTGAAAAAAAATCAAGACCTCATTTGTGCAATGACAAATACTACATACTGTCGAATATGTGCATTCAGTTGCTCGGGTTGTGCAACCACGCGCTTCAGGAATCGGCGAACCTCGATCTCCTCGATTGGTTGGTATACATCGATAGCAGCATGACTCCCCATGATGCGGTGGATGTTCTTACGGTAATTGCGAAAACGATCACCATAAGAGAGAAAGCCCAGGGCGTGCTTCCAGCCAACAAGTTCACAACTCATTGTAAGAAATGGACGGTCAGAGTAGATAGAACTTTTTTTGTCTAACAATTCAATCGCTGCCTTGACCGAATTCAGTACAATGATGTGTCGACCCGGAATTTCGATATGCAAGATGTCGCCTGCACAGCATTGAATTGAAATAAATCGTGTTGCGAAACACGAGGCACTCACCATATGTCTTGCTCCACTTCGCAAAGGTAAGCCAGGGCTTGTTGTGAGGTATGTCTGTGATGTTCCCAATGAGAGGCCACCCGGGAGGTCCAGGGGGATATGGTGCAGGGTTCCTCTTGTTGAATGCCTGCTTGACCAGATAGACTCCGGCGCTAGCAAGACATAGATCCAGCCAAGTAACATTGGTGAATATCAGCATGCAGATAGCTGAGGAAGAGTAAGGGTGAGTGATGAGATACTGGTAAGAGGAGTGCTCTCCTGAACATTATATGCGTAGGCAACATGTGATCGACCTATATGGGATGATGAATACAAGTCCGGATCTTCACCCTAGAAATAAGGGAACAATCTAAAGTTCAAAGTGGTCATAGATGTTTGGCATGGTGATTGATGACCTAGAATGTCCGTGTCATCGCAGGCGGAATTTAGTGAGGGAAGATACGATGTAGGCTACGGCCAATAGCATAACAAGACACGGAGATCCGGGGCGATTATCATTCCACCACCATCAAGTCCTGGTATGGCAAATGAATGCGTTTCAATGAGAAAGTTCTATCGTTGACGGCGGCTTCGCCGTGACGTGCATCATCCGAGGCTTTGACTCCGAGCTGAACGCGGCGTAGCCAACTCGAACTTTGAAATTTGAAGTCTTGAAGTGAATGTTCATGACTAAGCGAGAGCGTGGCAGTCTTGGTCCGTCAACAAGGATGCGACGTCGAACGCTATCCTTGCCTCGCCTTTTCTGTAGAGAGCGATGCCTTTGGAGATGTAGCTTGTCAATGAAGACCGGGTGCTGATGGATTGTGTCACAGATGAAAGTTAGTCTTTTCGTGAGAGGCCGAGTGATCATGAGTGTCTTTAAATTCTCTAAGCTGCAGAGGTGAGTATATTGTGCATTTTTATGCTGCTGCACCATACTAACCTAATTTGTTTCTATAGACGCCCAAGACACCAGCCTTGGCAGTTTGCAATCACCATTCCGATAAGCATGTTCCCTAGTCACTAAGAGTCATGTTGAACCGCCTTCCTTGACTGCACTGTGTACATGCGTCCAATTCTCGTCTCTATGGCTTCCAGAATATATTCTCGTCTCTATGGCAGTACTTAGTACAGTTGCTACTTTTAGCCGCTCGAATCTGGCTGAAAGCTACCCATGAGTACCGTTGTTTCTCATGTTCAGGAGTTTCTACGGCTTACCGTATGCAATATCATCACATCATCCCATCGATTTCCAAGATCTGCCTCCCACCAAATTTTTCTCTTCTCGCCTCTCAAATTTACCGCAGCTTCCATCTTTCAGTATGCGTTCCGTTGACACGAGGATTTCCAAAAGTGTCAGCCTTGCTTCTAACGCTCAGCTCCTCGCTCATCTCAATTCCTCAGCCAATTCCCGGCCCATTTGGTTTCAGTTTGTCTCGTTCTCCGACAACTTGAACCAACCCATGTCCATTCTAGTTGCAATCATGCACCACATATGTGTGCAATATGCTCATCACACTCTACTAACATTGGTGAGCTCACTATAGCCAAGGCCATGCGAGCCTGCATTTGCTTTTGTACATTCTACTTCAGTGTTCGTTATGTTATCGATCACCGGAATCCTCAGCCCAACCCTCTCGCCCAACGAATTAATACATCGAGAAGTGACCGGTGTTGCTGAAGATAATGGATCACCAGATGCATATAAATGGGTGTCCTTCATCTCAGCTAAAGTCGACTGCGATCTAGAACTCGTGCGTGACTCGCCCTCTTTTCCCTCTCGGTCCTTCGTCATTTTGTTTTCGTTTTTCATTGTTTATCAGCGCGCTGGTATACTACACTATATCATTTATCATTTTGTTGATAGCATTTTGACCTTGTCTTGCTCCTCGTCCGCGTCCGACCACAAAATCGTATAGTACCGACTACAGTTCGGCCTGGTCATGACCCACTTGTATCATCCTATGCCCTTGTTGTACACTGATTCGCTTCTCATCTTGCTGTCGCGAGTCTCTTATACTCTTCCACTCGGTGATATTTTTTTTCAGACAATGCTGCTTACTGTTTACTCAGTCTTGCGCTATGCGCTTTCGCACCCTCTTTCGGTTAATTCATGAGTTGACCTACTAGCTGTGCCCTCTGCGTCAAAGGGTGTTCCAATGAAAAGAATCGTCGTCAGCAGGTTTTGAGCCCGGTCGACCCAAGAGAAACTCTGCTGTGTACACCACTTTCTCCATGATGCACCTCCGATAAACATCTGTAAATGAGTGAATGTCAAGGTGTGATAAAAGGGAAAATTTATTTGTTGGGAAGTTTGCCTGCGCAGTCCAACAGAGCGGGTGTCTCGTCTGTTCTGGTGCTGTACGTTGGCTATGTTGACTATTGAAAATATATGTCGGATGATCCGAGTGAATGTTCAAAGGTATCCGTAACTGTGAGTAGTAGTTGCCAGCGTAGCTAGACTTCGTACATAAATCATATCCATATCCATAGGCATAACACACGACATATACGAGTAGATAAACTAGCGCCAACCCCCAGACTATATAGAACTGTCCAACATAGAGTAGTACACTCTGATAGTACATTAATGGAAACAAAACAAAAAACTAGCGCCAAACTTTTCTGCACAAACAAACTTCGGTGTCCATAAAATCACTAATCACCACCCTGCTCATCCTCATCCCAATCAGATCCAGTCTCCGGAACGATGCCCATTGGGTCATGCGCGTCAACGATACGGCGGTAACGGCCACCTGCGCGTACATCCAAGGGACGACCTTGGGCCAATGCCGTGTTGATGTAGAACTGAAGAGTCTTGTCGGTACACCCAAGCTGCGGCTCGTCCATGTCGAAATGCATAGGATGCATATGCTCTGGGCAGGGTTCGCTGCAAATAGGCGACAAGGGATGATCATTGATCATTTTGCGGAGTACAGTCGGGTCCTGCTCCTCCAAAATCTCATCGTATTTGGAGTGAAGCCCGTAGGACTGAGGATGGACTAGCGCCGAAGTCTGGGCGGCGACATGGGATGGAAGTTCATTGATGTTTACGTATGAGCTGTGTGGGGAGCGCGAGAGTACCGCATGAAGGTAGCGGTGGTTGGGAAGAGGGGGAGCAGGAGCGAAGGGAGAAGGGATGTTTGAGCGACCAGGATTGGACATGGCGCGAATACGTTCTGCCAGTCTGACACTGCAAGTATGGTCGTCAGGAATCTGCAGTACATCTGCTGAAGCTTGATTAACATACCTCTGCTTTATAGGCACTTGGCGCCTGAATTTCTTTGAGTTCAAAGAAAGCGCTCTGAAACCACGTTGAGGAAGGCGCTCAGTTGGTTCAGGGGAATCGGAAGACTTGTCCAGCAAGTTTGTGCATGAGTCGACGTTTGCGTCAGTCGGCCCATGGTAGTATGTGTGTTGTGAGTATGTCATCGATTTTGAGTGCTTCAGCGACGCCGTCTGGTCATCGTTGGACCTGAGGTGTATGAATTAGTATTATGACGATGAGTAGAGCACGAAAAGGTAGATTTACTTCTGGAAAAACTTCCTGAACGAATTCATAGTTGATATAGGAAAAGATGCAACTGTAAGTGGTGGTGGTGGTGTGTCTGGTGGTGAAGGCCATCTGCGTGTCATTATTTAAATGCTGGGCTACTGTGGACGCACCATAACATCCACAATCACGGCCACAACCACAAAGTAATTGCTCGATGTCCGGAAATAATTGCTCTTGCGAATACTCCGATTGCTCACCTAGAATCAAATTAATGCCACAAATGTCGCCCCATAAGGTATTATATCTACAATAACCAACCAATTATAGAGTGCAGCTGCCACAGGCCGGCCCACTGAAGGCCTCGCGCGTCTTGCTCGTTAACCTCTCGAGCTCATAGCTTGAACATATGCGATAAAAATGACCTGCGATGACCATCAGCACGATGACTTTGATGCATGTAATACAATGATGGGGCACGGTATGTACAGAACGACGAACAGAACAGCTAGCATCCTCCTTTAACTGTCTCACTTAATAAGACTACTCAGCGTACTTTAAAGCGCCGTACATCCGACCGACTGTATTTTTTTCAAGTCCACTGTCCAACACCGACAAAGACGCTCCGCATCGCAAGCAATCTAAATGTGATATAAACAGTCAAGCAGGTATTGATATCAATTATATCAGAATTACGCACATGGTCACAATGATAGCATCTGGTCGATCATAACCCTGAATGATGCTTACATTGTTGATCTCCAGAAACGTCAAGATTCTCTAGCTTGCATCAGGGTAAGTGGATCGTCTACTCAACGATGGGTTACCCGTTTCATGGCGACAAACCTGCGACTCGGATACCTACTCTAACCGTGCAATCCACAATGAGCGTGATGGCAGTTTTCACTGCGGAATGAAATCGTAAACTCTACATGTTGCTGCCTGTAGCAACGCGCGTACGCGTTTACTTGAAGGTGGATGGAAATCTATTCGAATGCCATTATGTTAGCAATGCACGGGCTAGCTCGGAAAAATTTTCACCATGATGTATGTTTGTCTTTATTAGGAATGGAAGCTCGAGCATCTTCATTTGGCATTGCCATATCTATCAGTACAATTCTCGAATCCAGTACGTAGCTAGCAGAGTGATATAGATGAGTATGAATAGTGGTTTACAGATGTTGAATACAAAGTACCAGCGATGCTAAAATCAAAAATGACGAAAAAGCTGCAGAAAGAATCCTCAGGCAATGAACTCCATGCCAGCGGGAGGTTTGTAATCCGGCATTAGATTTTTCGCACGCTTAAATCTCTCTGCCCATGCATCCTCCTCGTGCTTCAGCATAGTCAAGAAGTTTGTGTATTGATGGACTCGATTCCGCGATGCGAGGTAGTTTGAATACATGGTGTCGATGTTATTGGATGATGATGCCATTTTGTTGGTAGAAAGTGGGTCGATGACTCGGAGTTATTGATAAGAATTTCGACCGAAGCATTAACAACATTTTAAAGTGCCGCTTGGAGTTAGTCGCATACGCCGTAATTGGCGAAAAAGCACGAAGTTCACTAGCACGTTACGATCTAGACTCGTGACCAGCCACCCCAAAATGACAACAGCGCCCCGGCCCCGCCCACATGAGCTCAACCTGAGCGATGTCGAAGAGCAACGGGTACATCAAACGCGCATATAGGCCAGCCATAGCAGTAACGTCCGTGTGCAGATGCTCGCTCTTGCTCCCCAAGTTCTAGCCTGAGCAGTTGAGCGAGGCCTCTGGAGAAATCCTTGATAGATTTTCGTTGCAAAAAGGTGGTGATTGGGAGACAAGAATGCCAAACATAGAGTGAGTTCTCGTGTGAGACAAACAGGTTGATGAGCATTGAAGATATCAATGTAAAAACAGCAAACTCAAGGCGTACATGTCTAGCACTAGCTACACAGCGCTTGGGGTTAGGCTGTGAAACGAACAGGTACCTTGCTTGTGCGAACAAGTGTCAAAATCAACATCGACTGGCTCCACTTACAGTCGGCACCTCTCATTGATTATCGGAAAGCTGTGAGGCATCTGAAAAGTGCTCCTCGTGAGTCTACCCCTGCATACAAAGTCAGAAAGCCATGCTGTGAGTTATAATCTCTCGAGTGAATCAAGATGAACTCGTGGACTTACTACTGGCAGTGATTTTGTCAGTTAACGTGTCCGACCCATAACCTTCCTCGACCAGGGAACAGAAGCCCACTATAATGTCCGGCCAGATGATACGAGGCCATACACATTTGATACGATGTGTTGCGCACTTTCCATGCGGACAACATCTATTTAACAGCTCGCACTGGACCTAGACAGCGACACTCGGATCGGGCGAGATGAGGAGGACGAGACAGGAATGAATACCCCTACACGATATTACTGTTGCAAGCATAAGCCATGATGGGACAGTGAAGTGGGGTGTCGAGATAGGGAGCATGGGCCATCACCTAATGGAAAGGACGTGCTTGGAGTGTGCTTAACCAATGCAGTGGTGTCTAGACGGCCTGTGGTTTTGTCTTGTTGTATCCAAAGAGCGGCACTTGTCAAGGTTCGTACGATTCCCGCTGTAAGCAGCAACAACTTCTAATGGCGGTTACCTCCTACGTAGGTGTTGCATCATATCAGCGATACCAGATAGGGACATCGCTATCACGGTGCACACGTTCCAGCAGATAGCATCTGTTCAGTTCAATACAACCAAGTCTCTAGAAATTCCGGCCTAGTGATAAGTGCTCCAATGCGCGTCATCGCATCTAGGATCTCCAGCCTCAGCTCCAAATGCGTCATTGCGATTTCCTCGGGGCGCACGTTGATCATCATGGATTCAATTCTCGCTTCGGTCAATGGCCTGCTGCACTGCGCTCTCTCGAAACCTCTTCCATTACCGCAACGACCTGATTCTTTGACCATCACGCACAGTGCGCTCTCAGAATCTGTCTGTGGGATAAGTCCCGATGCTGAACATCAGGTAGCAAAGCACTCGCTGGCGAGCGATTTTTCCACTAATCCTTTTTTTTTTTTGCGGGGGTGACCCTCATAGGACGGCGGACACCACTTTTCTGTGACAACATCAATCAGTCAGCGAACAGCAGGAATGGGATAGCATAAACCCCTTACCTCGCACATCACATACAGCCGGATATCACTCCTCAAGAACGATGGCATATGCTGCTAGGCTTGACAGACTCCGGGGATCTTAGGCTGGGCCCAGTGATCCTAGCGTTCTCAAAGATATTGTTTTAGATGCTGTGGGTTACACCGGAAGTGACCATTCCATTAGCACTCAAGAGAGCAAATGAAACTGGACGCACTCATATATGTCCTTGACAAGAAGCATTCTCTATCGAGTTGGGCTGGGGTGAAGTACGTTGTAGATATGATGATCCTAGTTTCTATACTGTCTCTGTCCTCGAGTGACTGAAATTTTACTCGTGTTGCTGAAGAAATAGTAGATATATAAGAGGGCGTGACGGCCCCCCTCATTGTGAATTCAGGAGATCAAAATCGTATGTGCTACATCTCAGAGCTTTTCAAAGCTTCTTGATGCTGTGGTGTTCAATACAAGGGGCTTGTTCTTCAGCGCAACCAGAATCCGGTGCAAAGATAGATTGTAAACACATAAGTCTATGACCACAGAAGTGAAGCTCAGCAGGGATTTTCTACCGAGCCCAAGTACTGTAATCTGCGCAGTGGCGCGGATCATAGTATGGGAAGTTAGCGTTAGCAAACAGAGGTACACGTCTAGGGTCAGTAGCAAGCTTAAGAACAGACTACAGGTAGTAGGTTTGGAAGACAGGCGTAAAAGTGCCATTGGATTGAACATGCTTGAGTTAGTACTCAATTGGAGTCCTGATAGATCAAGATCAAGGACTAAAGGGTAAGGTCTAAGACTTCAACTGAGCAACCGGTCTCCTGAGGTTGTCCTGAGGGGTCCTAGAGCTTTGAATTCCCAAATACAAAAGCTACCGCAACAAGACTGAAAGGTATATATCGTGCGCAAATTAGCGAAAGCTAATTAGATGGTAATAGTACTTAGGAAAAGCGCCACCTACATAAACCAGGCGTGGAATGAAAACTTAAATGAGAGCCAAGTCCGTAGGGTGACACTCGAAGTGGATTGCAATAAGTGCAACATCACCTTTACCGGCAAGTCCGCCGCATGCAGTTCATCGACTAAATGGAACTCAGGGAAAAAGCAAGCGGACATGTTCTGAGGTTAGCAACCGCACAATTATGAAAATGTCACCACTGCATGACAAGTGCATAGGTCACCCTGAAAGAGGGCATGTGAGATGAAGAAAAATGTGTAGGACTGCCGGAGGTCTTGGCACCTTGGCAGACCCCGGTCGACGTTGGCTTCTGTCCTGCGGGGTTCGTCCAACGTAGATGCAGCCATGATGGATTGGTCGATGATAGAACAAACGCTCTACTAGCTTTCTAGCATATATTCCTCGATGTGAATCGCGCAAGGCTCTACTTGAGTCCTATCGCGCGTTAAGCCTTCCAAGCAAACCCATCAGGACAAACGCAGTGACCTGTGAGGCACTGATCGCATAAAATGCGCCCACATGTCCGATCCATGAAAGATAAAACAGGGGTGTAGCAAGAACAGCTCTCCGGCGGGTATCATTCATCCAGTCCGAAATCAGGGGGTTGTAGGGCTGAAGATGCGGTGGCGTAAGGGTGGGTCGAAGCCTCCAGGTTCTGGTGCTGCCGCCGCTTTACCCCATTGGTGTACTAGTCTAATGGTTTGTCGAGTAATTGCGCAGCAGAGTCCCTAGATGTCCCATCTGTGCCTACCAAGATGTGCGTAAGGGCGGTCACAGCCAAGCATCAAAGGGTAGGCGTTTCTAAGGAACACTAGTCTTGTGAGTAGCTATGTTAGACCAGCGCAACACAAGTGATACTGATCATCAGGAACAGCTTGATGAACCGCAGACTCGATTGGATTGCGCTGATCAGAGTCATGAAGGTACATTTCAGGACGAAGTCTGGATTGAGGCTGCTTCTCAAGGAGATCTCTGCAATAGGAAGTGGGAACATATATTTAGCCTGACGGATGAATTGGGAAGCACAGGCGGGCGTACGACCATAGAAAAGGTTTCTGTGGATACTGATGTGACAGAACCCTTCCTGTCCGGGACCAAAACTGTCGTGAAAAAACTTTATGGATGATCACAGCTGATTGGACAAGTGAAGCATTCATGCTTGCTTTGGGAAGTCTTTCAACCTCCCTGTCCCAGACAAGAATCAGTAGGGACATGACATAATTTCCAATGATAATGTCCGAGTCTTCGATAGCTGTGTGGCGCGATCGCAAGGTGCTTGTCGTACATCCCATCTTAGAAAGATGTGCTAGACAGAAACCTGAAGGCAATTTTATACACGTAATTCAGGGCAACGTGACATAAGAATAAGGTCAACAACGATAAATTACTGTCAGACAAAACGCAAACTTACGATTGATTGAGGATGTGACGAAATCTCGTGAAGAGAGGCAGCCGTGCATTCGATCGTATGGCTCTAGATAACGCCATCATTTTTGAAATCAAGTGGTTAGTCGACAAAACTTGTTTAAGCTTTCCAGCCAGTCCAATAATGCCTGCAGAACGGTTTGTTTAGGTTACTTAGTAGTTTCACGGGCTTGCGATGCCTTGCACTGAAGATTTGGCTGACATGATCACCGAAGACGATGTGATCTTGCGCGATGTCCGGCACTAGAAGTTTTTGTTATGAGTGAGGTCAGAGGCGTCTATGAATGAGAAAATATGTACCAACAACTCACCGGGTAGAATAAAAATGGCGAGTCCCAAAAGAGCTGGCCATGCTGATATGCCACAACATTTTCTCTGAATGCCAATGTGCTGTTCGTCATACAACAACTGTCATGGTGGATGCAACCTTGAACTAGTATTGCATAGGACGAATCGCGGAAAAAAAAAACGAAAAATATACGAGTAGGCGGCTTCATCGCAGATGAAGCAGTACATGATCAGATTGTGGGTCCCATACCTCTTGATAGATTAGACTCCTCGAGAATAATCTTTTCGGAGAAGGTAAACAATATCCTTCTCGTGAAGGCACCCATTCCCTGGAGGATGCTTCCACGTTGGTATCGAAAAAAATGCCTAGAACATATGCCTGTATTATTCGCGGATCTGAAAATATGACTCAATGAAAGAAGTTGGTCCAAAGTTGTTCTATCCGGAACTTTCAAGTCATACTGATGATACCCCCTGGTCGATGCCGCCCTGCGTCAAATGAAATTCATGCACATGCGTCAACTAATCTGCAGAGCTGCACACCTGTTCTTTACGAGCAGAAAAGCACTGCTCGGCACCAGCTCGTCTACCAGCGCTGCGCCGCTAAGATCTAAGAACTCGTGAGGCACCGGACGCCGAGGGCTGCCTCCACTGTCCAACCTGGTAAATATATTAGACGCAGAAGAGCCTGAGGGTGTGCTTGGTGCGATTGAACATGGTTTGAGATGCTTATCCAAGGACAATGGTCAGCGCATGACAAAGACACCTTACATAAAATTGAAAGCTGCGTCTGACCAACCGTCTCACCCCAACCCCTCATCTCACTATCATGAGAACACACATCCTGCTGAAAGATTGCACATGCTCGGCGATCGGAGCGCTGGAACTAGAACAGAAGGGCTGCATTGCCTTCGACTCTCCATTGAATCGGTCTCTTCCGTGACCTGTCACGATAAACTGATTATCGTTGCTTCGACATTTTTCCTTAAATCTAGGGATCTTAGTTGTCCAACTTCTCCATGACCGACGGGTGCACCTCGAACTATCAAATATGGATGCCCGCTGCGTTGGGCTCACACACGCGGAATGCGAGCGCACGTAATACTGCCACAGGCGATGGTCAAAAAAACTGGGGCGAACATATAATTTCCTAATCGAGACATCATAGGTGGGAAATCACCCAAACAAAAACAAACTTCCACCTTGCTCCCACCATCGACCTGATTTTCTTACTAATACTCGCGCCTCCTCAACGCGACCGTTGTTGAAACTCGATCAGCGAAAACGCCCCCTAGCATCTAAAAAACATATCAATTCACTGCGCCTTTTATCAAGACAGACGTAATACACTAGCGATCATTGCTAATGCTACACGGTTACCCTCCTTCGGGCCAGCAGCAAGGTCAGCAGTCTGAGGCTCTGCAGCAGCAGCAGCAACCGCAACAACCTCAACAACAACCGCAACAAACCCCACAGCCTATTCCTTCAATGCGTCTTCGTGACGACCCACTGCCGCCTCAACCTTCCACATCTCAGGCATCTGCACAGCCAGCCGCCCCAGCTCCAACAACCCGTTCTCGCAAACGTAAATCTCCCCCAACAACAACAACCCAACCACCGCCGCCGCCACCACCATCACAGCAGCTCCAGCCGCCGCCGCCAGGTATATTCCTTCCCCCAATGTTACCACCACCGCATGGACACCACCCATCATCCATGCCCATTTATTTCTCTGGCCCTCCGGGGCCTGAGTTCGGTGGACCTCCACCCCACCCGCCTCCGGGTGAACAACCTTCCCCGCAGATTGAGGGTCAGCCTGGTGGTCCTGAGGACTCAAAGGCCAATGGTCGTCCATTGAGCCAGACGAAGCGGGCTGAGCAAAATAGGAAGGCGCAGAGAGCGTTTAGGGAACGTAGAGATCAGTAAGTGCATCTTCACCCTTGCCTTTTTTTTTCCTTTCTGCACTCAAAAGGGCCATAGCCTCACTTATCTCTTGCTTTCATCTCTTAAACGCATTGTGCGGATCTGACTCACCTTCATTGTAGGCACGTTAAAGCCCTCGAGTCGCGTTCTCAACTACTGGATGCAGCACTTGCGTCAGCAGATGAGGCGAATCGTCGATGGGAAGAGTGTCGAGCGCTTAATGACAGGCTCCGCGACGACATCACACATCTCCGCGAAGAAAACACGCACCTTCGTCAACAGCTGGACGAGGTGTACTCCCAAATTCCACAGGGTTTACTCTCACATCTCATGCCATCTCAACCCCAGCAGCAGCCAGCAACACAAGCACAGCCTCAGCCAGCAACGGCTGAGACGGAGAAGAAGGATGATACTGCCTCCAAAGAGTGAGGCAGCGGAACTGTTGTTTTGTTCTGTAAAAATGACTTCAATAACAAGACAGCAATAGGTTGCGGAGGCGCAGTGTACCGTAGATGTCCATTTTTTACTTTGCTTCACCAGTCTTATTTCTACACGTGTGCTTGCAGTGGGCAGTAGTTTATTCCACGTAGTTTGTACGTACCCGCGCCTGTGCCGTTTATAACTGTCTCCGAATTCGAATTTGTGTTCCTTGATACCACTGAGGTTTGTTTCAGCTCGCCGCACTCTGGCTCTGTTGTCGACGTCGTTGAGAGGAGATGGTGGGTGGGATGAAAACGACGCCGGAAATGCTGACAACTACATTGTGATAGGAACATTTTATGTAACCCGGGGCTTTGTCATCTACGCTGCTCGCCTTCACTGAAAGTTGCCACATCTATGAGCCTTGGGGCAACCTTAGACGGCCTTGTACAAAGACGTTCTGCGCTCTGTTCCTGTTGATTGCAGTCGGAGGTGCAAATGGTGCTTCAACTTCATTACATCTATGCTATTGCTCGAGCTGATATCAATTTCTTGATCTCCGAAGGCGCTTTGGACGCTCAATACTAATCGATCTGACCATCTTGTAGGCCCCCGTTGAGCTGCAAATCGATTCAGGTATCGGAATGCATTTACGGCTCCGGGTCTGCGCGGAGCTTTAAAGAACTGGCCTGGTGAGCAGTGAGTATGACGGGTCTTGCCCATTGACTAGTGCAAGCCTGAATCCTAGATCAATACAGTCGTGTATCAGTGAGTCAGCTTCGCGCTTCGCATTCGTCCTTGGTGTTGTCGTAATTTTCGGCTAGACCTCTGCTCATCAGGGAAAACCCTCTTCCAAAATCTTTGACATTTCAGGTTGCTCGTGTGTTCAAGATACACAAATATCAATTAAATATCACCATCGAAAGGAGGGTCCACTTAGGAATGATTTGTGAATTCCGGGAGGGGGCAGGTCCAGCCGGATAGCACGGAAATCACGTGCGCACATTCGCAATCCTCTGGCACTTGCACCCATCCAGCCTCCAATACCCTCCCAGCTCTCCATCAAACTTACAGTGATGAACCGCATATTTTCTTTACCCCTTCCTGGCTCCTTCGATATTTGGTCTCGCCGCAAGACTTCGGAGCATCTTCATCTCTACTCCTATCTTCAAATACACTGTTTTATTTTCTTCACGGACATGGCCCTGCGAGCGGCTGCGAGCCCTGTAGGCGGTGTACAATAAAAAGGCAAAATGATATATATGTGTAGGGCAAGATGCGTTTGTTTTATTATACACGCAATCTTCACTCGGTCGCTAATGTGGAAGAAGGTAATTCTAACCAAGTGCACACTGGCAGGTGTAAGAAACCGATTTTCTCTGGTCTGGCCGATCTGGCCAGTGTCTATGCAACTCACGAAGCCTGCGTTTCTTTCACTTGTTATATGCCACTTTGTTGTGATGGCATGAACCTAGTCCAAAACTTCGGTATTTATTCACTGGTTGTCACATTGACTCTTTCTGAACACCTGATACTCCGTACGTCCTTAAAATTGTCACCACTCATGTGTAATTGACTAAGAGGCTACAGCAGGTATACATCAGGAAGTGCACATACGGCATGAATATATGCATCATGTACTGTCACTTCACTTTCTCACTCCCCACAAAGTCCATCATTTGTTGGTCTTGTCTACTTACAATAGAATGTTATTGTTCTTGCTAATCACCGTTTGGACTGGCTTCCTTGGGACATCAAGAGAGGGAAAAAAACATTGACCCTGGTTCATCGGGGGAGACAAGCCGCAGGCCCTAGTAACAATCTGAGTGGCATCATTTACCTCTAACGGCGCACAAATTTCCTCGTTCTTGCTAACAGGGCAATAACTAGATATGTAGGGTCATATACTGATAGCATGAAAGTATTTGAAATTTTCTAATTTGCAGATTTCTCGGCAGTTTAATCACAGCAATTGACAGCGCACTAGATTCCCAGGACAAAACAAGTCAAGCCACTGCGTTTAAGGTTACACCCACTGGCACTGGCCAAGCGGGGATGCCTCCGACCCTGTCCTCTGAATGAGGTTTCCGAACCGGAGGCGGCCACGCCCCTTCGTACCCCTCGCCACGTTGGTGGCGTTAGCATCGTGGCGTCTACCACCATAACCCTGTTTCGTTATGACTCATTTCGTTATGACTCATAAGCACTCCTCTTCGTCATCGTATCAGTGGTCTCCGCATCGACGAAGCCTTGTACCCTCTCAACCTCGTTGTATTGCGTCCATTCTTCTGCAAAAAAGCACATTGATATCAGACTTGCGTTTGCGAATACACTCTGTAGTGCACCGCCATTTTCGAATCTCCGCGAAGAAAAGTGCGGCCCATATTCAAGGGGTGTGACTCGGGTCTAACCTGCATATCACGTATTTCTGGTCAGGCCCTTCTGCTTGTTCTTGCACTTCATAAGCAATAAAATCCAATAACAGAATTAAATTGGTTTGAGTGGGGCTACATATCCGATCCCCTGCGGTAGCCATATGTTGGCAGACGTAACAAAGGCCAATGCTGTCCTATCACGAGGTATGTAATCACACTCAAACCGTTTAAGTCACTAGGTCCATCCGGCTGGCGCTAGTAGAGCCTAGCCATTGCGCATTGATCGGCAGTTGGAGCATCGCAAGAGCGATAGCTCGGAAATTCTCTCTGCTCCATGCCCTGACGTTCTGCCGTCATTAAGATGATGTGTCGTTTGTAAAGTTCATATGGTTCACTTCCGTGACTTCTGCTTTACTCGGTGGAAATTGGTAAGCTCCACTATCGTCATTCACATCAGAATTCGTCGGGTACGAGGAGAATACTTACCCTGCCGCTAATAGTCACCAACAGCACTCAGACTTTACACCGCGGCCATGGGTTATATGTCTTTCCGAGGATGCGAGTTTCCGAGTCATTCACCTTTTGAACTCCCGAAAATGAGCTCAGACTTCACCATCACCAGGCGGGTCTAGGTAGGGACGGGGATCTCATAGAGAATCAGATCTTAGTAGACCATCTGACACCGCGCGCACCTGACGGAATTATGCGTTTCGACGAAGAATCGTGAAGCGCCGGTTGCACGGCTTTTGTTGTGCTTTTAGCATTAATGATCCGAATCCGCTGGTGTAACTCATTTAAATTTATGCGCTGGAACTAACTTGGAGAGTGCTCCCTTAGCAGTCGATGCCTAAAAAGCGGACTAGTTGGAACATGCTGCAAATTATGGATTAAGTATGACAAGGGTCGAGGCCTCCTATGGTATCAACCGGAGGCAGTTCCAGACTAGCCCATATGAACCGTAGCCTATAGCCTTAACCGCTGTTGTCTGGCATCGTCTTTGTTCATGATTGAAATATTGAACATTTGGATTGTGTGGTGAAATAGGAAGCAAAGGTTGCTGTGCTGTAGGCTGAGTAAGCGAAATTCAACTTCCCCCTCATGACTCGGTAAGTCGACACAAACGACGCAAAAGCTGCTTTTCTCCCTCAGCACTCAGCTTTCATTGCCGTTTTTTAACGAAAATGGTCTCTGCACATGCCAACAATGAAGGCTCGCAGGAGTCAGCATCTATAACACCTGGAGGAACGTACACTATTCAAGTAAATTTCCGCAGTTTCAATTCACACAGGCCTCCACAGTGCTGACTCATCAAATTCTTTCCTCAGACCGTCTCTGTTGGGTGCAAAATCTACATCCGCCGTCCAACCCCAGACGGGGAGGAAGAGCGGCTTGCAGAAATACTATCAATCCGTGATAAACCCGTGAACTCATATGCTTCAGTATCAGCACAACGCACAAATGCCCGAGGTGGTGTGAAGGAAGAAGAGGAAGATGCAGTCGACAAACCAGAGGACAAGTGGGAATATTTTGTCCACTGGGATCAATTCAACAAGCGTTTGGATGAGTGGGTAACGGGCTCTCGGCTTATCTTGAGCAGGGACCTTGAGTGGCCCCGTCCAAAACTGCTACCGGGCAAGAAAGCTGGGGCTGGCTCACTGCAGAAAGCTCCGGGAAAGGCACCCCGCTCTCAGTCACTATTGAAGAAAGCCACGTCAAATGCTGCTGCAGCTGCCTCACCCACATCTGCCTCGACACCTGGCCGCTCTGCCTTTCCCTCGCCATCACCTGCCCCATCATTGAAGCGGAAGTTAACTGATGATGAAGAGGAAGAGGAAGAAGAAGAAATTGAAGGGGATGACGTAGACGCGGAAGGCGAGATGGATGTCGATGGCGAAGGGGACACCTTTGAACTTAACGTCAATGGTGCACAAGTAGAGACACCCCCTCCCGTCTCTTCATTCAGCAAAGAACAAGAAATCGAGAAATTGCGGACATCCGGTTCAATGACCCAGTCCATATCAGAAATTGCTCGGGTGAAGAATTTAAACCGTTTGCAGATCGGCAAACATGAGGTCGAAGCGTGGTATTTCAGTCCCTATCCAAAGGAATATGCGCATTTACCCGTGCTGTACATCTGCGAGTTCTGCCTCGCATATTTTCCGTCGCCCATGATGCTCTCGCGCCACCGACAACGTTGTACTCTATTTCATCCACCTGGCAACGAGATCTACCGCCACCAAGACATTTCGGTCTTCGAACTTGATGGGAAGCGGCAATTAAGCTGGTGTCGGAACCTCAGTTTATTGTCCAAATGCTTTCTGGATCAGTAAGTCCTTCTCGGCAACGAAGCTCAAATATCTGACTATTCCTTATAGCAAGACCTTGTACTATGACGTGACACCGTTCATGTATTATGTCATGGTATGTACAATGTTTGTTTTGTATCTACCATATATCGACCATTATCCCAGTGTCTACGAGATTCTACAGGCTGCCATATTATCGGCTACTTCTCGAAGGAGAAGGAGTCAGCGGAGAATTACAACGTCGCATGTATCTTGACGCTACCGCAGCATCAGCGCTACGGCTTTGGCAAGTTGCTCATCGAATTTTCTTACGAGTTGAGTAAGAAAGAGGGGAAACTTGGCAGCCCTGAAAAGCCCCTGAGCGATCTAGGCCTGCTCAGCTACCGTGCATATTGGGCGGAGGTCATCGTGGAATTGCTCATCAATACGACAGACGAGCTTAGCATTGACGATATTGCGCAGAAGACGTCTATCACCCACGCGGATATTATGAATACGTGTGTGAAAGAACCTGTTTTCTGGGATGTAATGCTAAATGAATTGCATGCAGGTGCACAACGTTGCAGCTATTTAAACACTACAAAGGACAACATATCATTTGTCTCTCGGAAGCCGTGCTGGAGAAACATGAAAAAGTGCGACACAAACGCAGGCGTCGGATTTATGCCGATAATTTGATCTGGAAGCCACCTGTCTTCACCAGAGATCAACTACGGTTTTACTGATCACTTCACAGTTGTTTTTATTTGCGAGTTTATTTTCCTGATCGATATCACTGTAGCTGTAGAGTAAAAAGGGACGTTGATCGGTATCATGTTATCGTACAGGGTGCAGAAAAATATGTAGTTCTAGCGGCGATTTCAAAAAGGCTGATTTAATCATCATTTTTTGTTTGGGCGCCCCGTCGTCGCAGGATCATGGGCTCATCCTGTACATCACGTATTTCTTCCATTCTCATCGATCCATCTTCTCCAGACAGGTTCTCGTGGGGTAGAACTGGTGACGATGGCTGAGACGGGGAAGGGGACAAAACGCCAATACTAGACAACTGTAGATCCTCCTCTCCCGTGAAATAAGCCTGGAGCTTCATTTCTTCCTGTACTCCCGCACTCTTCATGTCGGTTTTATATTGCCGATGAACCGAAGATATGCAGCTGTCTTGCTCCGCGGGGCATGATGACGTATCTTCAACGAGGATGGAGGGCGTGCCCTCAGCAGTCACAACAGGCTGGTCGCTTGTCGACGCTTTGACATCATCAACAATACCAAGAGTGCGCGCGATCACATAGGAGGTGATATCCTAACGAGAAATCAGATATTAATAAATATTGGAAGAAGCGACGATCTACAAATTTGGCAAGGTTGGATACGCACCAGCAGTGTCAGAACGACGACTGGCAGAATAAGCAGGAACGCTAATATGCGAAATGAATATGCGACCTGGCTGACCCAAGACCCAGGCTGCGGGTTCCATAGATGTTCGATGTATGCATGCCATACGAGATGAGGTGCGGAAGAGAAGGAGAATTGGGAAGTCATTCTGGCCGCTGCGGAAGGGGGTGAAGGGATTTGGAGCTAATTTGGACGGACTCGCTTGCAGGAATATGCAAAAAGAATGCTGGCAAGGTGCAAGTTACGCCTGTGATTTGTATGGTACTTTGGACCCGACACAATGATTTTAACGGCCAGATAGCGTTTTCGCACCCGATACGACGAACGCGTTTGCGTGTAGGGCGATGATAGGTGGGCGTACCGCTGTCAAATATGTCGATATGATGAAAAGTAACGTACAAGCTGACTCTTGAACTCAGTGCTCAGATCTGATAAGGAGAAACTGTAACAAGGTAGTTTCACGGTATTTGCCGTATGGAAGATGGGGCGACAGACAGGAGATAGAAACATCAAATCGAAATTCTTCTAACAGATATGATACAAGGGGGCTACATAGTACTGTCTTGCGCTGGGACTTAGTCGGGTCCATGGTATACAGATAGCAACTATCAGATCCTAACATGTTCAAAGCATTGAGAACGGCGAGATTATAGAGATATATCCAGGCAGGCAGACCAGGCCACAAACGAGCACCGCAGATATACCAATAAATACAATCAAGGGAACATAACGGGTGACGGAAAAACAACACCATCTGGTCGTATCATGATGATCGGACGGCGTTTCGCAACTTGGTTTTCAGGAGGTAGGCAGCCCAACACCTCGGTGCACCTCACTTCGGCATATGGCGAGGGGTCTGATCCGAAGAAGATGTGTACTGGATCTGCTTTGTTGAAGTTTTCTCCGTATACAGTCAACATTTTTGATATGTGAGGATTAGGTTTCGACAGGACCCCACGCGATTGTGCGCAGTTAGACTTCGGTGCTTCCGCAGCACGGTCAGGAGGAAGATATTTGACCACAGCCGGGAATGGAGTGACGGGCTTTGATGGAATTGGGAATGATCCTGTTTGAGGGGCGTTTTGGTTGTCGAACAATACGGGCGGTACATAGAAGTTGTATCGCACTTGATCTGACAAATCTAAGTTGAGTTTTGCACAATTGGTAAGGGAGATTACGTAGTACCTGTGCCAACAATAGTCCAGACGCTCGTCTCGCCGATATCAACTTGCCAAAGAGCACCCGATGATGCGCCGGCGTCAGTGGAAGATCCGCGCCGCCCAGAAGACGCAGACCCGGCGGAGGTCGGGCGCCGTCGCCCTTTGGGGCCCGGATTCTTGATGACACCAGCACTAGATGTTGAACGTTTCCCCTTCTTCACGCGCCCGCCGTCATTTGAGAAATCATTTGATGAGGACGGCGATGCTGGTTCACTTGCAGTGGCTTGCCCGAAATAATCGGCGCTCGACATGGACGCTGGTGTTGAAACTACGGGTGATCCAGGAAGAATAGGGGATGTCGACCCTGCATTCGGCGGGTTGTTCCATAGTCGACCCTCAATTGGACGATAGGTGTTGACCTTTTCACCCATGCACGACAGGAACGCGCCCGTTGTACCAGGGGTTCCAGGCTCAGGCATGCCCTTCGTTGAGTCGTAGACTTCGAAGGCGATCTTGTGAAGCTGCGAGACTGGGTCACCACACACTTCGCCTGGAGAGCAATAGTGGTCTGCGACACCCTTTGCGCCTTCTTGGAGGCCTCCTCCAACTACTGTGGTTTGATGATCAACTTTGCGGATAATCAAGACGGGAGATACGACGCCCGAGACCAGGCACTGTAGCACCACTGTCTGGTTGTAATAGATTGGTATTTGGCTTCCGTTGTTGGTGAAAGGAATGGCATTTGGTGGAGGTGAAGGATAATCAGGCTGTGGGGGTGGTGGGGGAGGGGTATCAATTCCGCCAGCTGGCTTGTTGACATCGACAATATACATTACAAACGGATCTAATACAAAAATGTTAGCGAAGACAGAGAAAGGTGTAGGTGAAAAACTGACCCCAACTGGCAGTACGCGCAATAAATGATGGAGTACTGGATCGCGCACGGGTATCGATACCCATCAAAGGTGCACCGTCAGAGCCCTTGAAAGAGGAACCTGAACCAGAGACGCAGAGGTATTTCGTCGAGACAGTCTGAGATCGCAGACGATGGAAGAGTGAAATCGTCGAACCATGATTTATACATACTGGAGGATCACAGTCAAAACCCATCATAAGCCACAGTGAAACTACGCACGCTCAAGATTCTTTGCACTCTGTCTCTTCTTGCTGGGCTTGCTGATCACTTTGATAGGACGGCTCGGGAAAGTTCCGATGACGCGCTCAGGCTCATCGTCGGAAGACGGAGCAGTAATCTTTACAAGCGCTTCAACTTTTTTCTTCTTCTCGTCTACATCACTGATGAACAATTGCTTTCCAACGCAGCGACCGATGTATGTTGTGCCTGTAGGGGCATCATTCACATCAAAGATCTTGCCGGAAGCAGACGTCCACTCGATGGAACCCTCTTGAGGGACAGGTTCGCCCGATATACAGACGGTCACACGAGGAGGACAAAGTTTTGGCTCTTCGCCGCGGCGTATCACGTCAGTCCACCAAGAGTTGCCAATCATAATTGCAGTTGGAGGGGGGCAGAGGAAACGTTTCTCAGTTCCGTATGATTTTTGAGCTACCCTGCTCGACATGACAATGACCGTGCGTTCACCGAACGCAAGGCGGTTTGGCGTCCGTACGTATTGATCGAGGTAGGGTCTGAAGCAAAGGCATCAGATTCGGAAAGTGTGTTTAACGTAATAATGTTTACCGAATGAAAGCCTGAAGGTCATTAGAGGAGCCCATACCAGGGTGACCGTTTCTCATCCCGGGAAAACCGTCACCAATACCAGACATGCGAAGGGACAAGTCGGCATGAGGGTTTCCAAAATATTGCACGTCATCGTAGCCAGGCAGGCCGGAATCAGGGCGGAACGAGTGCGTTGCTTGCGGAGCAACGCCACGGAACATATCAGGGCTGTGTCCCATATGCGAAGGGACAGAAGGAGGTAGGCCAGAATGGGGAAAGCGACTGTCAGGTTGCAAGCGCATGCGATCTTGGAATGGTTGAAGGGCCGATGGAGGATAGGCTGCACCGCCGTTCATGCCATAATCATCGGAGAAGTCGTTGTGATAGCCAGCGCCGCTAACACCGGAAACACGGCGATCGTTGAGGAGTTCCGGGTATGCGTGGCCGTTAGAAAAGTCCTTCTGGTGTCCATTTATGCCCAAGGAGTGGGGGAAGACCGGAGATTGCTGGATGCCCGTCATCGCGTCATTGGGAGTCAATGGCGAGACCTTTCCACTGGAATACGAGACACTGCTCATCATGTCGTAAGTAGTGCTAGAACCAAATGATGGAACGGAGTCGCCGAAGGAGGCATGTGAGTATACTCCGTCTGGGCTCATAGCGTAAGAAGGACCCAGAGACGAAGACGAAGAAGAATTGGCGCGGTACCGCTGGGAGGCAAAATTGTTATTATTGTTTGAAAAGAGATCATATGAGGGATGATCTGAGACCTCTCGAGATTCTGAATGATCAAAGTTATGTTGAGGAATCGTTTGAGACAAATGATGAGATGGAGAGGCGTTGTCTACAGTCTGTAACGAGTTAAATGCTTGATCGAGGTCGGCCTGGTTATACATTGGCTGGTGTGATGCGGATGCAAAGTCCATCGCTCCTGGACGTGGTATCGAAGTGGTATCGAAGTGAGAAGGAGGACTTTGATTATTGAAAGAATGATGGATAGAAGGAAGGCGAAAGGCGGCAGCTGATGATGTTTCGTCAGTCAGGGAAGTCCGAACAAGCTGTGATCGGTCGTCGGGAATTGCCGCTGTCATCACGGAAACCCAAGTGGCACTTTGAGCCATAAAATATGAAGAAGGCTTATGAACGGGTCCGTACAGGTAGAAACTTTTTATCAAGCTTATCAGGTATGCTGTAAACTTGAGGGTCTTTGACAATTACTACCTTGATGATCAGCATATCAAAATTATTTTGTAGTGAGGCAACACTAACCTGTTCTTCGTTCTACTGATCTCTATCTTTTCTAGACGGTGACTCTATAATCGGTTGCGGCTGGATACGAATTGTCAAATTTATATTGACAAACAACAGACCACCAAGGTTAGGTTAGGAAGGCGCAAGGTCAGCAACGTTGTTAAGGCTTTGTACGTTGCCGGCAAGCTGTGGAACGCTGACGGCCCGCAAGTTTTAGGGGATATCGTGACGTCTACGGCACAGACGAGCTCGAAACTGGAAGGTGTAACAAAAGGATCATAACAGCACGGTGTGCCGTTGCTTTTATAGATCTCTCTTTAGTAGGCTGACATGGAACTCTAATTGCGGCAAGGCAACATTTCGCGAAACACCGCGGCCGACCTGATTCATGAAAAAAAGGTTCCGTGTTTCTTTGCTATCACTGCGTTCTGAATGATTCGACTTGTCCAAACAATGAATGATCTCGATCTATCGTCGCCTTCTTGTGCCTACCCAAGTCCATCTTCTTCGACCTATCGGCGCGCTGGCATATATCTGGCAGTCTACCCGCTCCGAAATCTCATCTGTTTCATCCGATTGGATCTCTCTCGACCTTGTGGCATTGACTCTTCAACTGTCGCACGCGGCGGAAATACTGTACTCATCTTACTCAACCAATCTTCGTTTGGGATCTCACCTATTTTGAAAGTCGCTCGGTTAGACCCGTCAATAGGTACGTATGGCAGTTCCATCAATATAATCTCATTCTTGGTTGCCGTGATAGACGAGGTCAGACGCTTGTTGTACGAATAGCTCATCGTTCCATTCTATCTCAAGCCAGTCGACGATACCCAGAGTGTGGCGCTATGTCCCCCGATTTAGGGATAGTCAGAGGGAACATTCCGTCCCTGCAATGTGACAATCGGCCCCTCCCCACCAATCAGGGTCCTTGCTTCCGTCTTCACGAAAGCTTCAAGGATCAACGTAAGAATCAGCTGTACAGCAATGAAGTACTTTACAGGCCCGAAATAGATGTCAGTCACGCAATGGTCATTACAATGCAGTCGGGACTGAACTTCACCCAAGGTTTTCCAGAACAGTGTAAGTCTGTAAAGTTCGACAGTTTGACGTCGGTTAAGACATTCTGATTTTGTATAGACCGTAACAAATCGAACGTTCATTGCGGTGTATTTTTTGAAATCCGCCATGAACTAAAGCTTAGGCTCTCCTTAGGTGGCTTTGATAGGCCGTAGGTATGTCCCACACATTCATACTAGAGAGAGTTGATTGCGCACAACGTTCAGACTGCCAGTATTCGTCATACTGCCCTTTTGCCATGACACCCCGTCAATATTAATGTGTGATCGCATCTCCAAGATCCACGGTCACGGCTATTTACCTTTTCCTTGAGCCCTTAC